CATGGTTCTTTGCCGCGTAGTTGCGTATCGCCATCTCATCTTTCCAAAGCCGGACCAGGTCCCATTTCACCCCTGAGGGGGCGGCACAGGCCGCATAGGTCACATTGCCTGCAGGGAAGAATGTTTTACGAACGGCGGCGGGCCTAGTGTACTGGTCGCAACGTGTGGTACCTGAAACCAATGAGCGTCTCCTGGGTTGTCGCTACTTAGGGGTAGCGTTATTAGACTACTACCCCCCTAGATGATGGTCTACGGAAGTGAAGAAGAGGTTAGTGCTACCGCGGATTATCCAGCGAGATGCTGGGAACTTCGAGAGCGGCGTGCTGTGTATCGTGGAGTCACCGCTCTAGCAGAACCGCCGAGCTCCCAGGCCATGATGGTAATGGGCCCCCGCCAACACGCGCAAGGCATTTGGTCTCTTCTCCCTTCAAAAAAGGAAGGGATTGGAAATAGACTCTAGGAAGGAGCATTATAGTACAAAGTGGTTATTAGAGCATGTCGAACCTAACGGAATCAACGGCCCGCAATCGCCGGCTTCACAAAATGCGGGATGAATTCACCAGAACACAGAACCCCGCCGAACTGGGAGAGCCCCTGAAGAAAAAAAGGGGGAAAATTCGGAACGCAAAGGGGGCGTGCGGTCAATTGTCATGAGTTGTGTGACTTCGTGGAAAAGGGAGTGATGGCGGCTGCCTCGTGAATCGTGTTGTTTAATTGCCGAATCGGTGCCTTGTTGGGGAAACAGTCGTGGCTGTTCCGTCGCGCGGCCGCGCGCGTTTCACCAATCGTGAGGAGCGATCGCCAGCGCTACACAGTAGCGCCAGGGTTCCACGGTCTTTCTCAGCGTTGACAAATCCCGCTTGGCCCCCCTCGCTCCTTGCTGGCGTCGCAACGGGAGCAACAAGACCTTTCTTTCTGGTGCTCTTTCGCCAACCCGTGGCCCCCTTGCAAAAGATTGTGTTGCTCCTGGCAAGGACCGCGTGCGCTGGGCGAGTCGGCGCCGATGATAGATGCAACGGGAAGATCCTCCCCAATCTTGAGTTTTTGGGCTGGGCCTCGCTGGCAACCGTGATTGGCTCGGTTGCGCTAAAAACCGGCGGCGCGGCAGAGCAGTGCCGCGAACCACGAGCAAGCAACATACGCAAGAGCGACCGCGCCAATGAGTCGCAGCCCCCCTCCTTCGGGCCGCCCGATGTCGAGAACACAAGCTGACAAGCGGTAATGGCCGTTTGGCGAGGGGAGGGAGCAACCCAAGCATTGATCCAACGGCCGTCGGCCGAATTCTGTTTCGCGGCCCCGCGCCCGGTCTGAGCCTTAAAATTACAATGTCCGTGCCCTAACAAAAATCCTGGTGACCGCTACGAGACGTTAACAAGGCAGGCTTGTCGGAGAGAGAAAATGTCCGCTCCATCGACGAGATGAGCGAGATCACTCCCAAGCCGGAGATGAGGAAGGGGAACGACGCGCCAATCACGCGGCGAGAGAGCTTGGTTTCCGTTTCGCCTATCGGGCAGCTGACGGGCGGCCGAGGGTGAGGGAAACCCGGGGGGAGGGAGGCGTGGCCAGTCAGCACCTTAAAAAGAAACTGGGCGCCTCCGTGGCTCGTCCGGACGGTGCAGTTATCGCCGGCACGCGGAGCTGGGCCTGGCGATAGCCCTACGGGGCGCCTCTTTCCCGGTAGAATGGAAACAGTTGGCCGCAGGAACCGGCCCCGATACGAATACGCGGCGCGCCATCCCGCTGGGCGGCTGACGTTCAGTGCGAAATATCCCACGGATCCGTCGTTGAGCTAGGCGTACTTAGGAACCATTGTTGTCGAATGACTTGCAGCACATCATCACGGCATGCGATCGAGCCGGTGAGCCTTGTGATTTTTTGTCCGTGGCTGGGACTAGTCGGAAGCCAGTTTTGCCGGATCCCAAAAGGCTGCGCCTCCGGCTTCAAAAACACAGGGCCACCCGGGTGGCTCAACACAGAACTATACGTACAACATGCAGTACCCGTAGTAGTAGTAGTAGTAGTAGTAAGGCCTTACGAGCTACTTTCCCAGTTCAAACCATGCCGGTGATACTTCGACGGGGAGCTCGGAGTCGGCAACATCAAGGCGAGTGCTTGTGAGTGGTAACTTGCTGCCTATGGAACGGGGCAAACCTTGATCACTTGGTCCCCAGGTCGTGGGTGTCGCGCTGGCATTCGTTGGATCCAATGGCCATCAGCCGCGACAAGCGTCTGAGGGAAAGCCAAGGGCCGAAGCGGTATGGCTGGCGTCGTGTCGGTCCAAGTCTACCAAACCATAGCCAATATTTTTGAGCGGTTTTGGGCGACGATCGGCGTCAGGCGAGTGGCATTGTTATGGCTCTGGCCCACGAGCGCGCGGGAAGTTGGACCGGACACTGCAACTATCCCTTGGTTACGAGGACCCGTGATTCATTGGGTAGTTGTTGATATGACGAGTGGATAGAGATGCCCTTCTTCCGCAGTAGTCACTCGTCGAAGCGCTCCATCGGGCAGAAGCGCGGGGAGAAAATGTCGGTTGAAAATCGGCCGAAAATCGGAAAGTCCCCAACGAGCCCGCGTGTCTAACTCAGAAAGGAAAAGAGGGTGTTCAAAAACGAGACTAAAGAAACAAGCAGCGGGAGAGTCGTCGGTCCAGAACTCACTGCGCGACAAGGAATCGTGGGCTTGGGGGAAGGGGGCCAGGATAATGGTCGACTGGTAATTGTCATTGGCGTGGAGGTGCTGCGGTTGGAGAGAGGACACGAGCGAACAGGCAACGAAATTTGGCGCACGCGGACTGGCCCTGCCGATCTCAACGTTGGCCTGGTGTTGGGGGCGTCTCGATGCCAAGGCCCCTGCGGAGAAACCTTATTTCAAGCCCTGCAAGTCGGAAAATGGGCCAATGGGCACGCTCCATACCCCTGTTCACACTTGTCCGCTTGGTCTTTCCCGTTTGTGGCTCAATCCAACGCTGCAAGAACCGCCTGATACCGCAATTGCAACGCGATGTGCACTCTCGTTGCAAAATCAGACCTCAAGGTTGTGTTTTCTTCCACTTATCTCGTAGTGCTCATCTACGACGGTAAGGTACCTAGCCGGGAGCCGATGGCGATGGCCGAAACCCGTCTATGGCACGGGCGGTCTCAGCAAACGAGGATCAGCGGTCGCTGTGATTGGGCTTGCACGTGTTTACAAACGAACCTGAGACCCCCAACAATCTCTCGACGGCAGAACTTGTTCTCGAAGCTGGCCCCGGCCTGAGCCCGTGCCGCAGAGAGCCCGGTGCCGGCCTACAACCCTGTGCTTCACGGGACGGTGACCTCGCTTGTCGACACCAACGGCCACCCCATGTCTTTTTTCTGAAAGCCGGGGCGGAGAAAATGGTGGTTTGGAGCGGCCATCACTCCAGGCCCAGGAAAATCGCAACCCGCTCATTTCGGGCACGCCAGCGCGAAGTCATGAGTTCCCGCGAACAACCAGCCAACCTCCCAGACCCTTGCCGCAGCCCGGCCATGGGAGACCAACGGCCACTTGGCAGAGGAGAAACTCAACGCAGGCTGGCTGTGGTCGACACCATTTCAAGGGTGTGTGGTGCGTGTTTTGCTGTCCTTGTCGTCCATCAGGCTGGCTTCGGAGACAACATCAAAAACAAACCCCCCCTACACTAGACTTCCATCCTCCTGGTTGCTTGGCTTGGCCAAGAAAGAGAGTTCGGCTGCGTTACCACAGCCCTACGGGTTCGAAGGAAAATGATGCTGGGGATGAGCTAGTTAGGCGAAATCTCTACACGACCCAATCACATCCCCAAATCGAGCACACCGCCAGCCGGAAACACCCCTGTTGTTTTACCGTATGCCCCAGAACTGGGTAAAATATTTCAGATGCGGGCTAATTTTACCCTGAGGCAGTTTTCTGGCTGCCTGGCAGCACTGAACTGCGGAGGCCGGGGTTATCTCCGTTTTCCAAATTCCGTCCCCGCACGGCGTCCGCAGCACCCTTCGTTACGCAGCACCATCTCGTAAAATCGGCCACGCAAAATGCCCGATTCCTTCATGCAGCAACGGGCCAGCGAGCTTCGCCTGGTTGGCTGTGAGCCCTCGTGGAGTTTCCGTTTCCGTCTCGAACCAGCAACTGGAATTGGGGTACGTTGTACTTCGTAGCGAGTGGCTTCCGGTTCCCCAAGTTCCCGCCCGCAGTCCTGCGTAACGGAGACCCATCAAGTTATTGCTCGTTCTGGAAAATGTCTCGCCCAGAGTGGGCTGTTGCGACAGCGCTGCGCCAAATATCGTGTACAGGGAACTAGTTAGCAAACGAAGGATTTCTTCTCGACCGGAACTCGCTGGCGGAACTCGCTGGTGTCAGTACACTACGTTTGGGTAGAATAATGGCTCAAAGTGTAACGGCCTCGCCAGTCACTAAGGCCAGCGACAAGCTCCTGCAGCTGCTTGGTACAGAGAGACAGCAAGCCTCAGCGGCGCCGGAGCGGGTACCTTGGGCCAGGCTGCAGGATAGCGGCCAGAAGTACCTCCACCCTTGTCACTGTTGCCGGACGCAGTGTGGCAGTTTCGGGGCTCGATCTACACCCCTGCCCGGGCCGTGGGTGTGGCCCGTGGACCACGACGATGGAAACGACCGACAGGGGTCGAACTGGAAGTCGAGGTACATACCTTGACCCCGACGCCGCCATGTGGGTTTCCAAGCAAGCCTCCCACCCCAGCAGCGAAGGAGGCTTTGCAATATTTAATCCTGGAGCCTTCCCATCATCCCAACGGCCGTGAAGCTATCCCGGCACGCAAGACGATCCCTCTCGGACTTCATAGAAAGCCTCTGCACTCGTCTCCGAGACGTTTATATTCCCACCTCGTCCTCTCTCTTCACATCTCGGGTTTTAGTTCTCACCTCATCTTTCTGTGTTGCCTACAACATCTTGTTGACCACAAACCCACAACAACCCACACAACCCACACATCCTCAGGCACAGTCCAAGGCGGTTAACTACCACCATGTTCACCATGCAACATACATATGCCTACCCGGCACAACCAGCCCCGGCTCCCACAAGACACTACTCCAACCACAGCACCAGCAGCGCGTTCAGCAGCTCCGCGAACCCTGATGAGGACTGGACCAAGATCTCAGATCTCGCCGAGCGCAGGAGGATACAGAACCGCATCGCTCAGCGCAACTACCGTATGTTGTGGCCCATCTCAAAGGAGGCAATCGAACCTCTCGGGGCCGTTCTGGTTTACTAAACTTCTCGGGAACAGGCAAGAAGCTTAAGAAGAGGCTGGAAGAGCTGGAGAGGCGGGCGGGGACCTCGGACGATGCCTCATCGTCTGGCAACGAGAAGCCCAGCCCCCCGGCGAAGACGAAGCGCACACCAGCACCCAAGGCGCCGCGACAGACACCACCCGCCCAGGTCAAGCCCGTGATGCAAAGTCAATACACCCCGCCCATGCACCACGACGACGAGTACATCTTCCCCCAGTCCTACGATGAGCGCGAGCGGTCGCACACCCCGCCCATGTTCGCCTACTCAACATACCCGCCGCCACCAGAGGAGATGATGATGCCCACCTACGGGGCTGTCCCAAGCTACCGGCCCATGCCCACCGATTCGTACCCAGAGTACCTCTCGGCACCGCCCGTCCCGGTAACACTCCCGTCCATGACACATTTCAGTGATGCCATCAAGCGGGAGCCAGCCTACCCGGGCGCGCCGGCAGAGGAGGGCATGGCTACCTACATGACCTACAACGGCTACCCTCTTCCCGGGATCGATATGAGCGCCGGTCACCCTTCGCCCTACGATCAGATGCCTCACGTGAGTGCTGCTCCCTCTTCATCTTCGTCGGCGTATCCCTCGACGCCACTCTCTCCTTCTTCTCACGGCCGAACACCTTACTGATCGGGGACCTCTTGGCGAATTACAGACTCCACCTCTTTCGCATTCGTACGATCACTCCGCGACCTGCTCGGACTCGGGGAGTTATGAGTACCCTACCACGCCCCTTTCTATGCCGGGCTCGCCCGGTATGCTCCAGCATGTCTAAACCCAACATGGACGGTGTACAGAGCGCGAGCTCTTAAGCGCCTCTGGAGAAGGCTTCTCTGGCTTTTTATTTTTTTTGGATTCTCTCGCCGCAGGAAGGCAACATATATTTGGGCGAATGTTTGGCACATATTACTACATCTAGAGCTCATCGCCGCTATTTCTTTGTATTTTTTTACCCCGGGAGTATTGGGAAGAGGATCGTCTCAGGGTGATTCTTACTCCCTTTCTCCTAATGACGGGACACGAACAGCATTTCCTTTTTTTCTCATGGGCTTGGAACTATGAAGCATTATACACCTTGGGTGGACGGACGGCTGGAGGGCTATGGGAGCAGGATAGCGCAGAGCACAAGATTTCCCCTTGTTTCTCTTGGGAGGCGGGGCGTCAACGGAGCACTTTGTATGGAAGGGATTTTTTAGCGTGTATTTATCTACATCAATCCCGCCTCAGGTCGAAGCGCTCGATCAAGAGACCGGGAGCTGAAAGCACAAGACGAATAAGCATATATTTGCTCAACCTTTCACAATCAACCAAATGAAACAATAACTACTTATCCAAAATGCCATCCATCCTCATCATCGTGTTGTGAAAAACACTAGTCTCCTTCGATGAACCAAACACGGTAAATAACGCGATGCACTCCTAGAGCCGACGCTTTCCCTCTCTAACCCTTCCCCCCCAAGTCGCCTAACTTCCCAGGACCTCACCTCCACGGGAACCAAGTCTTTCCCATCACTCCTATCATCCCCCCTCGCCCTCCCCCCTAACTTCGGAGAGATAAAGATCTGACAAATCAGCCTCTGTCCCCGTCCCCCCTCCCTTCTCGGAGCACTCCTCCCGCGACGAGCAGGGGGGGTTGACGTTAGCGAGTTTGGTGCAAAAAAAGCCATTGCAAGCCCAAGAGTCGAGACTAACGACCAGAAACAGCCACCGCGCGCTTGAAGGGGGGGTTACGAGTCACCGTGGTGGGGAATGTCACAAGTCCCGCATAGGGCTGAAAAGGGTGATTAAAACTACACTAACTACACTAGTGATGAGGGTGAGGGGAAGCGAGGGGTGTGTCTTGTGTCTTGTGTCTTGTGTTGTGTGAGAGACAGAGAAAGAATCGCGACGAAGGAACAACAAGGTGTTTGCGGATCCTTCTCGCTTCAGGTCTTCCCCGGCTTTCGTTTTACGCTTTCTTTTTTGACCATTCCTTCTCCCTTCGTTTTTCCCTTTCTGGCCGGCATTTGTGGTGTGGTGGTGCCAAGCAGCCAAGCGCTTGACGGATTTTTGGTGGCCTTCCTCTCGCTTAAAGTACAGAAGTACCTGCTTGAGCTTTTGCGGCGGGCGGTGGCCCAAAACTGAGCCCGGTGCACAACTTGGCAAGAGTTGATACATGAAACAAATCAGGTGCCTCTCCTTGTGAACCTTTCCTCCCGGTCCTTAAACTACGCCGCTTGACGTTTCGTTTCGTTTTGTTTCGTCTCGTTTATCTTAGACTGTGAAGGTTTCCCGCTACGCCACTGACAACAGCCGGACGAAACGAGTGGCGTGGTTTTCTCCGTTTCATTACGGCCGGGTTCAACGATTTTGATATCTCTCGGTGGTCAAGACGTGGGTGCATCCATGTAACTAGTAAAGGAGGGATCGTCGCCTGGGTTACTCCAAGTACCTTTTTCACCTCCAATGGATTCCACTCCCGTTTTTACTCCATAGACACGACGAAGAAATCCAACTCCGACGCCTTGCATGCATTAAAGCCAAAGATACGAATATGTCAATCAACCCATCCCAACGCTGAAGATTCCGCACGGACACCTGTCCAGATTAGGAACTCGGCCGTTGCCGACGGCGGCGCCTGATGCCCCCCCAAGAGGCCGTTCATTCATGGCTGCTGCGTCTAACTCGCAGTCGCCTCAGGTGCACGGCGGCTGTTTTGCCCCGTTAAGGGGAAAGGGGGTTGAGAGGTGGGTGGTGCGCTTGTGTCGGCCTGCGGCACGCCTGCCGACCTTTTTGGGGCATCAGGTAGAATGGAGTGCGCGGCGGGCGTGTAGGGTGGATGCGTGTTCGCGAACCCCGAAGCTTGTATCGTCCCTTCCCCTCGTGTTTTCCAGATTCGGAAAGAGACGACGAGCCGCGCCCAACCCCAACACGACGCTGTCCGGCTAATTCACGTGTCGTCGTTGTCCATGGGACACGGGACGTGCGCGATGGAGGCGCAGGCAAATAGAGATGAGGTGCGCGCATTGCGCGTCCGTCGATTCTAGGAAGGTCGTCCGTGCTGCCGCAATACCACAAGTTCTATACCTTATATCTCGAGACTCGAGAAGCGGTGCCGCAGCCCGGGGATGGTTTCATTTCGGAAGTTCCATTGGGTTGGGGGCCAGTTCTGGCGGTTAGATTGGTCTCCCGAGTGTGGTGGTGGCATGTCGGGGCGCGGCAAAGCAGAGCCCAAGCGGGTGAAGGGTTTCGCCGAAGTGGCTGTTTGGCACAGTGAGGGGACAGATGGCGGGAGCGTGGTCTAGCCCGCCGAAAGCGGGCGGAAAGATCTAGGGGCAAGAGATCAAGATACCACGAGACGGCCTAGCCGGACGGCACGGTCGGCAAACGCAAGTGATTTGTGGTCGCCGACCTCATCAATCTGCGGGAGCGTCGACTCCTACGGCCCGGGGCAGAGTCCTGTCCTGGTCGCCGGAGTACGTGGACATACTCACGGGATAGAAAACGAGGGGACTCGCTTGACAGAGTCAAAATTGGACGTGACATAGATTCGCACCTTCCTCGATTGGTACCCATGGCTGTTTCCCACATGGCCCAAACATGCACCTTTCGGCCACCGGGTCGGTGCAGATGTCATTTATGCAACAGGGAAGGAGCGCATAGGCGCCTTCAGACGGTTCAAGGAAGGAGTCAACGTTCATGGCCCGGAAATTTTTGTTGCGCAAGTTACCTGGGAGAGGAAATGGTGTGGAGGCCACGAACAAGTGATACAAGCGGACAGGAGCCGTGCAAGCGCCCTTGGTTTTTCTAGGGTTGCCGTGGGGGCCAAGGCCAAGACCCTTGTGCGTTCTGCGTTGATTCCATTGGGATTCCCATTTGCGGTTCCCAAGCCACGACCCGAAACTGCCGGTCCCGAGAGAAAGGACCTCGTGGCTGCGGCTGCGGGGTGACTTGACGAGAACAGCGCGTTTTTCGACGCGGTTGTCGTTGGTGGCTTGCAGCCAACACCTTCACTAGCGCGCGGGCTGCGATTTAGCTGGTTGGTCGGCGTTTGCAATTTCGTTGACGCATGCATCTCCGGTGATCTTTTCTATTTCTGCAAACGCATTGGCGCTTTCCCACTGTCTGCCACAGGACGGCTTAACAGAGAACTTCGAGGACCGAAACATCCGGGCCCGGAGACATCGGTTCACCCGGAACACACGGAATTTCGGGTACCCAAAGGCCTAACTCCTCGATTTTCCCCTCGATCAACGCGTCCATACCGTTTTGCCCTCCCGGGACCGACAAAAGCTTGTCGTCTGAAGACACACCCCCTGCTGGCTCCTGGCTCGCTTGACATTTGGAGGATCGGCCCACGGGCCGCTGGCCAGGAGCCGATTGGCTGTGCCCGCGTTCCTTCACTGACGGGTGCGAGAAGAGTGCGAGCGGGCCTCTGGTCGTCTCGGTCGGGGGGTCGCCTTCACTTGACCCCGAATCAACAAGAGACACTCCCATGGGGGGGTTGAGCAAGTTTTGTTTGGCCCCTGGTAGCGCGGGAAACTCGCTCAAATGGTCCTCGATTTGGCTAACAATCACAACCGTGTCGGAGGACTACTCCGCGAACGATTTACCAAACTCCCCACCGGAGTGCTCGAGGATTCCCGCCTCCGTGCCTTCCGCCTCGCACTGCCCCGGATCCATCGGGCACGCACCCAGCTTGGGGTCTTGATTCCGCCTCGTCTAAAGTCTCGACCCTCAGTGCATTTGTTTTGATTTGGAATCGTTCCTACCCGTGGATCGGGCGTAGTGTACCGTCTCTAAGAATGCGTGCCTAGGAAGGAAGCCAACATCTTGCTCGAAGCGCCGCTCCACCATGAACGGCCTTGTCTTCTCCACAAACACCCGCCCCATCATGGTTCTGGGGCAAATCGCCTCCATTGTAACGGTCAGCCCTATGAGTTGAGAATCGACCATCTCCCCAAGGCCCAACCCAGTTTGAGCGAGTCAGAGCATGTCAGACGGCTGTTCGCGTTCACCCCGGCCACCGGGTCCCCGCTGCCCCAGTCCTTGCTCGCTTTCTGGCCTGTCAGAAGACTCTCAAACCCACAGACAACTCAGGAAAAGGCCATCAATCCTTCAGACGAGGGAAAAAACTACTCCAATCTCAATATCCGGCGCGAAGCGGACTTCAAAAGCTAATCTCCGAGGGTGATCTTTTCCCCGCTCACGTTTGAAGATGAATGATCCTAAACCAACGAGTAGAGTTCAAAATTTTAGCTCTCACCCATCTAGGGATCTTCACTGTAACATGGATGGCAAAGCAGAGAACTCATTTCGTCTAGATTCTCCCATTGAGGAAGGTAGACATCGTAGTTTGGTTGAGGCTACTGTGCACACCTTGAAACGGACTGGTGGGTGGGTGCCGTTCAAAGGGGGCGGCTTAAGAATTGGCAACCCGGTTGCCAAGGGATGATGCTTTCTAGGAGACGGAGTCAGAAGTGAATTGCGGCTATTCATAGTTCATCTCCTGTTCCGTTATCGGGCTGTGCTTCAGGGGAGCCCGAGTTGAGGACGGCGAGTATGGGTTGGTGTGAATTCCCAGCGAGCTCCTTGCAGGGCCCAAAGACCCTCGCACAACACTCACCTCTACTCGCATGATGCCTTTATGACTCAGTACCGTTAAGTTTGGTGCTATGCGGGTGTTATCTTGTGTAGAGAAGTTCTAGTAGAGAGGAGCGTACAATGTGTCTGGAAATTTGTATTCCCTGCCCAGTCAACACACGTTTTCCCGAGACGAACACTCCAAGCGCAGATCTCGTCAGGTACAGAACGTTTCGGCCGCACCGTCTACTTTCCTGGTGATATCGGCCTACCGAGCTTGCCTGAGGACTATTCGTTGGTGATTACGGATCAGTTTCTAACCCCATGGCTAGTACTTGGTACGAAGGATTCGTGCTAGGCTAAGCAGGGAAATGAGACACGGAAAGAATCTCGACGTATGATCTCTATGTTCTACAGTATCTTTGAGCTTTTGAATTGGATTTTAGCACCCATTACCGTTCAGCATCCCGGGGAAAGGAAGCGAGACGTCACGAGCGTGTAGTTCTGTCGCCGCCTTGGACCCAGTCCATCTATTCGGTAAACTGAACTGCCATGTAGACACCCGTCGTCCAGGCTTGAAAGGCTTACGACGGGCCGGCCGGGGACTATCTCGGAGGTTGCCTGCCTCACTTGGGCCTGATGGGCGAAGACGCTGGTTCCCAGTGCTCCAGAGTTCCAGTTGTAATGTTGACCTCGGCGGACCTTATGCAACCACCGGTGAAGCCCCCAAGTACACCTTCAATGTGCTTTTTGATTATTTGCCAATGTTTTCACCAATCAGTGAATGAAGAGACTTGTATTTCCCGCTGGGTGTCTCAAGTTTGTGTAGGTGAAGTCTTGCAAGAGCTTGGGAAACAAGGCCGCTGTGAGGGGATTCAGACTTGCCTCGTCATATGATCACCATATCGACGACTGCACTGTCGGTATTCTCACGACAATGTAGCAGTGGACCTAACTTACGGGGTGTCCCCATAGCCATACTTCTAGTGGACTGCGTCCAGACGGTGTCCGTCAGGGGATGATGGTGATGAGTGAGCGAACCGGTGGCTGGGACACAATAGAACCTGAGTAATGAACGTCCGATCAATGTTCATATATTCAGCCCCGCTACCTATATAAACTGTGTTTTGTGGTTGATTTATCTCGGTACGTCTCAACAGTTGGTTGAACATAACGAGTGAAAGTCAGGCGGTATATGCACTTCTACAGTCGAGGCGGGTAGAATGGGGACGGTGAGACCGTTCACTGAGGGAGGAGGTAGTTAACTATCGATTCAAGTTAAAGCCACTAGGTAAGCAGGCCTAAAAGTCCGGATATCGGTCTCGAGAATATAAATCGAGGACGTATGGGTTTGCCGTCTGCAGTCGAACAGACGAACGCCTCTCACTAACACGATATCCACAGCAAGTTCAATGCCACCAAATCGACCGCCTCAGGCACAGTGGCGAGGCTAACTGTAGACGCCCCGATATAGTTGTTCGATAGCAATATCACGGAGGCACCGACCGTGCTAGGCTCCGAGAGTGCGTGAATGCTCTGATTCATTACTGTATGTATTGCCCCCATACACAGCTTCTGGACTTGCTGGGATGTTCTGTTTGCTAAGATGGGTATGATGTTTGATGTTAGGCCGTGCTACACGGGCATTACTGCAGTACCATCCAAGAGGCCAGGGTTCGGATTGCTTCTACTACGATGCCCGAGGTGTTGATAACACAGTCCCACGGCCAGTCTTGACTGTCAGATCGTCAAGATGGGAGTGAGAAGTCAAACACGAGGACTAGGCAGACGACCTAACGGAGCAGATAATTGTAGTAACACTTAGCTGCAGCGCCCCGGGGGGGCATCTACGTAGCGGGTGATATCTGCGTGGACAGGTCGCGCCTCGGGTACCCCCATGAGTTCTTGTACCCAGCGAGGCCGTCTGTAACATCGTGGACAGTACTACCGGCCATACTACAGCAAGCGATATCTCTCACCGATTCTAACGTATTATTACCAGCCTGGGGCCATCCTCAGAGTACGGAGAGCCCTGGTGCCAGCTCGGGTCTGTGTCCCGGAGTGATCGTACTACGACATCAACTCCAGCCCAACAAGATATACAGGAGGGATAGAGAGCCAGAACAACGCCTCCGGAAAACAGAACAACCCCAGAAAGTCAGTCAACATGAACCACTCCTGAGCCCATCACTGGGTTAGGGGAGCTCCCATTCTATCAACCGAAATCAACCATGGGGAAATCGTACCATCATGTACATTACATGTACGTACGACTCCCAAGCTAGCACGGAAAGCCCGGCATTGCAAACCAAGGCACGGTCAATATTGACCATGCGCCGAACAGCAAATAGGTCGAGCACTGTGCAAGATCATTCATTACCTAGGTATACTGACTAGTCCGTGTGATTCAGCACACACGACCGTGAGCAAGTAGAAATGATCTTCTTTATCTAATTGATAGCCACCGCTGGAAGCGAGACTACATCCATCCCATGTTGGGTATCAGATACTGACCCTGAACTCCTCAAAAGATGGCATCGAGCGATCTTTCGCCTCACCCAAGCCCTTTATCACCCTCGTCCTATACGCCGTCTAAGCTTCTACCACTTCATCCACAAATTGACGATGTACAAGGCAACAGGGGAACACACTTGGGAAATAACCGTGGATACGAACATAAGGCGGCGAGTATTAAACACCACGCGCGTGGTGCATGTATTTCTGCCTTATTGGATACAAGGGAATATGTAATACGCCCCATGGACGTGTACATCCTCATCCCTCGTTTCCCTATCAATTACGGATATCACCAACATAAAACTCATCCCCTTTCGACTAAACTCAAGATGTTTACCGAACCCACAGGACACACACGGGTCGCGGATAGGGTAGCAAAAAAGTGAATAGCGGAAAGGAGCCGCCAAGAATTCTGATTATTATCCACCCATCGACGAGACTAGCTCACAACAGACCAACATGTCTCCGACACAACGCCATGGCTGGGGCCAGGAGAGCGCGTGGAGTAGAGGTATTAAGTGAGTAAGTTTACTCATCCTGCTCCGGGACCTCCTCATCGTAGCCCTCCTCTTCCTCGTCCACACCAGCATCCTGGTACTGCTGGTACTCCGACACGAGATCGTTCATGTTGGACTCAGCCTCAGTGAACTCCATCTCGTCCATACCCTCACCAGTGTACCAATGCAAGAAGGCCTTGCGACGGAACATAGCAGTGAACTGCTCGCCAATACGCTTGAACAGCTCCTGGATGGCCGTCGAGTTACCGACGAAGGTAGACGACATCTTGAGACCGCGGGGAGGGATCGAGCAAAGGGCGGTCTGGACGTTGTTCGGAATCCACTCGACGAAGTAGGACGAGTTCTTGTTCTGGACGTTGCGCATCTGGTCTTCAACCTCCTTCATCGAGACCTTGCCACGGCTGTTGCGTTGTTAGTAACGACGGATGAAGCATGCATGGACGAACAGATAAAACGTACAAGATGGCAGAGCAAGTCAGGTAGCGACCGTTACGGAAGTCGGAGGCAGCCATCATGTTCTTGGGGTCGAACATCTGCTGGGTCAACTCCGGCACGGTGACGGCGCGGAACGAGTGGGCACCACGGCTGGTCAGGGGGGCGAAGCCGACCATGAAGAAGTGGAGACGGGGGAAGGGAACCATGTTGACGGCGAGCTTGCGCAGGTCGGAGTTGAGCTGGCCGGGGAAGCGCAGCGAGACGGTGACACCCGACATGACGGCCGAGACCAGGTAGTTGAGATCGCCGTACGAGGGGTTGGACAGCTTCAGGGTGCGCATGCAGATGTCGTAGAGAGCCTCGTTATCAATGCAGAAGGTCTCGTCCGAGTTCTCAACCAGCTGGTGGACGGAGAGGGTGGCGTTGTAGGGCTCGACGACGGTGTCGGAGACCTTGGGGGACGGCACGACGGAGAAGGTGGCCATCATGCGGTCGGGGAACTCCTCACGGATCTTGGAGATCAAGAGGGTACCCATACCGGCACCGGTACCACCACCGAGCGAATGAGTGATCTGGAAACCCTGGAGGCAGTCGCAGCCCTCGGCCTCACGGCGGACAACGTCGAGAACCTGGTCGACGAGCTCAGCACCCTCAGTGTAGTGACCCTTGGCCCAGTTGTTGCCGGCACCCGACTGGCCGAAAACGAAGTTATCCGGGCGGAAAAGCTGGCCGAAGGGGCCGGCGCGGACAGCGTCCATAGTGCCGGGCTCCAAGTCGACAAGGACGGCACGGGGAACATACTTGTTGCCGGAGGCCTGAAGTAGGGGGACTTATCAGCATGCTATCACTTGACCCCATCACGATAGACCACCCAACCTACCTCGTTGAAGTAGACGTTCATGCGCTCCAGCTGGAGCTCAGAAGTGCCGTTGTACCTATTGAAGCGGTGAGCGGGGTATGAATCGGTCGGGGGCTCGCGATAGCTACATACACGCCATTGCTGTCGAGGCCGTGCTCGCCAGAGATGGTCTGCCTGGATATCAAGTTAGTTCTGATGTTCTGAATGTAAAAACACGTCCTTGTTTCGGCTACAACTTACCAGAAGGCGGCACCAATTTGGTTACCCTAGAAAGAGGGGGTAAGGTCAGTCAACGTGCCTTATCGGTCGGCAGCAATATCCATTCGGTTCCAACTTACGCACTGGCCGGTCTGAAGGTGGACCTGTAGTAGAAGAATCAAGTTAGCATCGAGGTCTTCCCATAATAGCCGCGTCACTCGCCAGCACCCGTCGGTCCAGCGGTCGGGAGCGCTTTGCGGACGAGGTCGTCTCAAATTGGGTGGGGTAGATTCCAGGGGCCCAAAAAAAAGCTTCCTCGACGCGTCGCATGCGGCGTAGAAATGCGGGGGAGACAGGCGACTTACGATCTCACGCATTTTGGCGGATTGAGTTCAAAGCTGTTCTGCTAAGGTGATGCGAAAGCTGGAAGGGAGGTAAATCGGAGTTGAGGGGCGCGAGCTGTGGAAAAGCAGTCGGGTGGGTTGTGGAGAAGTCGGGTCGGGAAGAGGAGATTGTTGATTTTTGGGGCGAGAAATGAAAAGGCGTGGATCGCACACCGCTTGCTGCTGCCGGTGGAGATCAGGCACCGCCAATCGAAGCGCATTTGGGCAAGTCTGGCTGCCTGGTGGTCCCTGCGTTCTCTCTCGCTTGTTTACACCATACCCGATTGGATTGGGGACAGGGTGAGCGCGACGCGCTAGTCCAACTTGGGATGTGCCACGGCAATTTCAATGTGGGGGATTCACAAACTTCAAGCTTCACCAGAACAGCATGAATTCAAGCAGCCGGAAACGCAAGTTAGACATTTCACGTCTTCATTGTGAAAGGGTTGGAGTCACCTAGGGATTGCTCAAATTTACCATTTTACTGCCATCTTACCATAGTATCACTCTGCAGGAGAACCTCGCACCGAAGAGAAAATCTCTCCCCATTGCTTTTTTCCTTCCCGAGCCCAGGATTGGAACAGCACACTGCAAGGCCAGTGTGTGAGGGGAGAGCACTGTGCCAGCCTTTGCGCCCGCCAGCGAACTGATTCAGGATTGGCTCATCAAAGAAAGTCTTTGAGACCCATGTTTCATTCACAACTGGCAACACGTCGGTGGTAAAAGGCCAACACAAGAAGCTCCACGCTTCTCCCGCACTTGGTAGTCCGTACTTGAACCGAAGATTCCTGGTTTTATTGACAATTCGATATCAAACTACGGCTAATGGGCTTGGACAACACCCGCGGCATCTGCCTGTGCAGTAATCCTCTTCTTGTAAGCCTGTACATCACCAGGGAACTTCTCGACCGTGCCACCGTCACACACCCACAGCGATGTGCAGACAGTCTGCAGCATCGTGACATCGTGGGATACCATCAGCACGCCGCCCTGGAATTCCTTGAGGGCCTCAGCTAAGGCATCCATAGCCTCAATATCCAAGTGGTTGGACGGTTCGTCCATGACTAGAATGTGGGGGTTGGTGAGGGCCAGGCAGGCGAAAGCGACACGGGATTTTTGACCACCAGACAAGAGCCCCATCTTTTGAAGGCCTGTCGTGCCTGTGATGCCAAAGGCACCCAGCTGCCGGCGGTATTCCTCATCCGTTCGGCCCGGATAAGTTTTAGCCATGAAAGTGACGGCGCTGGCGTCGAGGTCCAGGGCGTCGACGTGGTGCTGAGCAAAGTACCCGATGCGTAGGCGGGGGTTTTGGGAAATAAGACCGCTTGTCGGCTGCAGCTTGCCAATAAGAAGCTTGAGGATAGTTGTCTTACCCGCTCCGTTGGGCCCAACAATACCGATACGAGAGTCGAGCTGGACGTCGAGGTCGACGTTGCGAAGAAGGATCTTGTCTTTGGTGTAGCCGAATGTGACGCCAGACATCTGGATGATCGGCGGAGACATCTTTTCGACATCGGGAAACTTGAAGTGAACGCTGTATTCCGTCTCGGGCGGCTCCAGAACCGGCATGCGCTCAAGCTTCTTAATACGAGATTGGGCTTCGGACGACTTGGCGGCGTTGTATCGGAATTTGTCGATGAAAGCCTGGAGATGGGCACGCTGTGCCATCTGGTTCTCATACTCCCGCTTAGCTGTCTTCTTACGTTCTTCCTTTGTAGCATAGAAGGTGTCGAAGTTGGCGCCGCGGTAATAGTCGAGTCGTTGTGAGTGTTGGTGCACTATGTCAGTAGCAACCTCGTTGAGAAATGCTCTGTCGTGGGATACAACAAGGATGGTGTTGGGGTAGCCTTGCAGGTAATTCGAAAGGAAGGTAATCGAGGGGACGTCCAACATGTTGGACGGTTCGTCGAGAAGAAGCAGGTCAGGCTCGCAGAAGAGTGCACGGGCAAGGGCGAGACGCATCCTCCAACCACCGGAGAAGGTCTTGGTGGCGAATTGTTGCCTCTCGGGTGAGAAACCCAGACCGGCCAGAATGCTCGCAGCCCTCGACTCGGCCTTGTCAGACTCCATTTCGGCCAGTTTGGCTTGAATGTCTCCGAGACGCTGGTCCTGGGCTTCGCGGTCCTTGTCAAGCTTGGCAGCATCCGTCGATGTATCGGCCATTGACGCCCGTTGAGCTTCGATATCCGCCAGCTTTTGCGTGATTTCCTGGAGTCGAATTAGAAAACAATTTCAAGTTCGGGTCCCTGGGCTTGGAACTTACGGTTTGCTCTTTGAGCAACACCTTGCGCCAGACGTCGGCATCCAGGACGGCCTGAAGGGCGGGGGTATCATCACCAGTGATCTACAATTTTGTCAGCCATTGTCGGAGTAAGAGCGGTGTCCATGACATACCTCTTGTTCGACATGGAGAATAGAGATATGGGTTGGAATGGGCACTTCTCTCCTCGAGAGAGCCCTGAGCAGAGTCGATTTACCGATGCCGTTGTTACCAACCAAACCGTAACGGTGGCCATTGGAGAGAGTCAGCGTGGTGTCGGTCAATATCCTCAAGCCACCGATGGACACATCAATGTTGTCGATCTTGATATCCTTAGACTTGCCGCTCTGGCTTCCGAGCTGCAGGGGGTTGACGGCCATGTAAAACTCCTCGTACGACTCCGTGGTCTCGGGTTGGTTGAGCAGACGCGAAGCTTCATACTCCACGGTCTTGAAGGTCTTCTTGTTCTGCTTGGCCGCGATCTTGCGCTCGGCCTTTTCAAGCTTCTTCTTGTCGACCTTCGACTCGACCTTGCGGATGTTCGCCGACTCCAAGTCGACGGAGCCGGTCGCCACGGCAAGGGTTGAGGACATATTCCTCTGGGCGCTCACTTGAATGGTCTGGTCGAGACGCTTGACCTCCGGTCCTCTCCTCTCCTCACTGTTGCTGGCGGCTGCATACTTGTCAACCCACTTCTCCACCAAGCTCCGGATCTTATCATGAGTGGCGGTGCCATGGCTCCCCGATGCCGAAAGCAAGAGCTCTGTGATGGTAACAGCGGCCTCGTCGAGCGGGGACTGTCCGGCAGCTTCTTCATCACCAGCCCATGCGGTGGAGGCATGGGTCAGGTACCCGGCGGAGTACTCCGACAGTACCGGGTCGATGTTGGGCAGCACGGAGCGAATCTCGGCGTCCATGGCGGGCTTCTGAGATTTGGACTGAAGTGGGGTGAGGTGAAGGTCCAACTTTTCCAGCTGATTCTTCCGAAATAGGTGATCAAACCCCCGTTCAGTAATACTCCCCAGTCAGTGCCGTCTGCGATCTCGACCGAATCCGGGCGTGTAAGTCCAAGCTGTCGCTCTCCTCTGGTCCCCTGGGCTGCCGAGGGCTCTATCGCGGGGCAAATTTCCAAAGCTGGTCGTCAGAATGTGGCGGAAGCTACCGTCTCGTGGCAGCTGTACGACAGTTGGCAAAAGTGGGGCAGGACGTTCGAAGGTTTTGTATTCTAATTGGCTGGTGCGCGAAACGCCATGGTTCTTTCCCCTTTCATCCAAATCTTTTGCGTGAACCAATGGATGTCACAAGCCGAGACGTCTTCAACTCAACCTCAAACAGCAGCCATCATGTTAGGGCTGATTCTCGTCGTATGTTTTTAGAAATCGGTTGATCAAGCGCTTGTACCAAAGTATTTCTCCTTGACGTTTTTTGACTGCCCTGCGCTTTTCCTCTTGTTGGGAACGGATGCTTGTACTTTGCGAATGACCCCCGCCAGTGACCACCAACATCAACTGACAGGCAAAGGGCACTTCGCCTGGATGGCGCGACCGGAACGCGGCTCAATGCGAGAATCCCGCGCCCGCGTCGATGTGTTGCACCTCGCCAATCGGGACGCGCTTGTGCCCCCCCAAGACCCTCTCCGTCACCGAGAGGCCGCTTTATCGACCACAGCTTTGTCCAGAAGAGGGCATTCTGTTGGCCACTCGGCCTGCAACCATCTGCTACTCGTTTCAGCAACGAGGGCTAGTCGGCGAGGTTTCCTCGGACTCTTCTCGAACGGGACGCCGATTCGATCATTGCTCCATGCTGACCCCCTTTGCCATCTCGAGCCGTGCGATGGCCCACCAGCTCCCCGATTAGCCAGTCTCGCCAGTCCTTGAACAACTGCCTTTCCAATCCGGGGATGACACGACCTCAAGCTAGCGTTGGATGCGTGGCCGCAGCTATATGGCCGGTTGAGCTGATCATAGCGACCTTCAGCGAATGTTTCCGGCTCAAGCTGGGAAAGCTCAAACGAGGGTTCACAGCACCAGCTGGTTGCTGTGTGTATGTGTTCCGCGTGCAGAGACATGCTAGGCCAACTTGATGGCCGCATGCCTCTGCGCTGCTGGTTGCCTTATCCGCGAAAAGCTTCTTTCCGCTACAGCGGTCAGGACGGCAACATGTCCCCAGTCCCTCTGCCGAACTTGCCTCCGGCTATTCTCCTTCCCACGTGCAGCCCCGAACCTGCTGTGACGATGATCAATGGCAGTTGGGCTCAGACGTTCCCCCGCCCCATGTCCGATTTCTTGGTTGGGGCATCCCGCCGAGCCGGGTTTTGGAAAACCGATCTTTACGACCCTAGGCTTGGTCTCCGATGACAAGGACACCTCCATTTTCTTCCTTGGTGGGCTAAGCTATATATGGTTCATGTCAAGCATAACCGCTTAACATGGATCTTCATGTCTTTCTACGGATCTCATGGTCCTGCTCGGTTCTCGGTCTCGATGATACACGAAGCCAACCATCAAACCATCTGCTGTTTACGAAACTTTTTTCCATAGCTTGACATTACTCCGAGGCGTTGCCCAGCGACATCCGGTGTGATATTGAGGGCCATTCTGCATGTTCCCACTCCCCCCGACTGAGCCATGTTCTTCCAGAAACTGTGCGCTTGCAGGAGAGACGGGGCTGATCCCGGCCGGAAAAGCTCACTTTGTCTCCTATCAAAATAGCCGCTGTGAAACATGAAACAACATGGGGGGACAAAAGCTTTGTTTTCTAGCGCGATTTGCCGCGCACGAAGAAATTTCCATGTAGTTAGTTCCCCCCTCGCAACCGTCATGGAGATCGGGTTGTTTAACGGACGGGAGCATTGAACTTTTGCTAGCTGATGTAGAGTGCCGTCGACTTCCCTCGAGGCCTAGGCCGCTGTGGCTGAAGGGGATATCAATAACCCTGCCACCCGGCGGCTTACGGGCTGGCTCGGATCTCCAGTGACACCGCGTGGGCAATCGATATATCGTGCACATTGAAGGCGATGTGTGTAGCCATGAAATGCCGGCTGCACCAGCATCCACGCCTCCAGAACGCCACCAGACCATCACGGGACGCCTATGCAAGGGCACAAAACGCCGCATCTACATCCCGTAGATATAATGGGTGCGGTATGATCCCGAACGTGGCGTTAAAAGCGGTCTAGCTTGTGTCCTCTTTGTTCGGCTCATAGCCACCCGCCCTCTGGCTGAAAACACGCCCAAGGAACTGTTGCTCGCCGTTGTCGATCGACATCGTATCCGGGCACGGCAACACTTGCCCCAGACAAACATCGCACCGAATCCCCGAGACAACGCGTGTCCCTCATGTTGTCCGACATCCATGGTCTTTTTGCCTTGTCAGTTCTTTCCTAGCCTTGCCAACGTATGTTCCGCTCCTCTAGGAGGACCCGAAACAAAACAAAGAGGGACATATGGAAACAATCTTGACAGGGTGTCACAAATTACCTGGGGCAGCAGGCGTCCGCAATATGAAACCAGTTCGAGGAAACAATAACTCGTTCGAAGAGCAGGGAAAGGACAGGAAATATATTTGAAGAAGTCGAAACGACAGGCGTTGGGCTATTGTTAGTTTCAGTCTCGGGCCGTCTGCTGTTCACAGGAACACCTTCAAAGTCCCCTGAGTGGTATAATGGGAGTGCCGAGAGGTCTAGGAGAGGTGATCAAACATACATGTTTGCGCCCAACTTGGCTACAATTTACTCCGTCTTTTGAACCAACTTGATTCAAGTTTCTCCAAGACATCGAAAGTGCAATTATTCCGCGGCCTGTATGAGTGAGACAAGGCGGAAGAAAGAATCGGTGAGCAGCATCACGCGGCGCAGCACGGTACGGTATTTGAGACACGGCACACGGGGTGTGAGGAAAAAGGCTATGGGGGTCGATACCACCGGCCTATTTCTGACCTCGATGCCTATATTTTTTACATCAATTTACGGAGTACGTAAGGTACCCGCCGCCTAGTCGTTCCGAGCCCGTTCCTCGGTTGCAGTGCACTGCAGTCTGCAGCTGCAAGGTAATCCCCCCTGTTCCGCCCTGATTTACTGTATGTGCCATACAATGTACGTCTGTCTGTATTTGGCTGTATTTTCTTCCCGCCCCCTTTTCCACGGGCCGACGAGACTCTAGGACGGCACAGCTGCTGCGGCGTGTGACCTTTTGCTGCTGCGTTCCCGTCCCGTTTTACCCATGTTTGTGGGCTGGATGGTTACATACAAGTAGGGGTCCGATCGCCTGGTGGGCTTTTGGGAGATCTATTGTGATCCTGTTTTGGTGTGACTTCGAGCTTTCAAACGATCGGCTAATTAATGAGATCAAGAATATTTGTCGTTATTTGTCACACCTAAAACAGCGCTGCACTATGAGTAATCGGGACTCGGCAGCGTGACAAGCGGGACGAGACACCGGTCACCCAGTTTTACTACGTAGGTAACGCAGCGGTAGTACTCAGCGGTTTGGCGGTCGTACAGGGGCGTTGGCTGGTAGGCCTTGAGGCTTGCAAAAGTGCTGATTTGTTTGTGAAGGGCTTGGTTTGTTTTTGCATTTCCCTCGAGCATACACTGCGCCAATGTAGTGTAGTCCATCGTTCGTGTCATGCGACCACTCTGAATGGGTTCAGCCGGCGTGACGTGAAGACCATCACTGTATTTGAATCATTGGGAGGATATGATAATAGCTCGAGATTAAGGTTGGTTAAGAGTGGGCAAAAGCATCGCGGGTAGAAACGGTTGTCGAATCCTTTTCCGTCTTGATCCGCTGCTTTGCCCCCTTGCTTGCTTCACACTTGCTTTCTTGTCCTTCCTTGCTTGCCACGCTTGACAGCCTGTCCGTCATCCAAAAAAGCACACGAAAGGGCAAGGGCTTAAGCGTGATCTGAGACATGTGGAGGGAGGGAGGGGCAGTGTTCTTGTGGTTGGAAGGGTTTGTTAGTTTCCAATCCATTGTAAGAATTCCCGAACCCCACTAATATTGGCACCAGAAGAAGGCCGAGCAGGTAAGAAAGATTAAAATAAGGCAAGTGATGGATCAACCGGTGTCGTGTGGACAAAATGCGCCCCTTTTCCCCCCCTCCTTCCAGCTCGGCTTTGCCTACAGGACAGGAAAGATCGGTCATGTGCTTGTTATGCCTTCCGGACATATCCCGTTAATCCCCAAGCTTCTGGGGCCTGGTTTAGACCTGCGGTTGGCGATTTCGTTGGTCAATGTCTTTTCGTGACGATGTGGGGGATCCCAAGATCTTGGCCCCCGGTTTTTTTGTTCGATGTGAGATGCGCGCCGGCCCCAGGTGAGTTCGGCGTGCCCGCCCCCGGAATGCATATAGGATTGGGCGAGGGGGCTGAGCGGAGGGCTGGCCTCTGGGACTTTGATGTATTTACGAAGGCACCACTCGAACTTGCTGTTTCTGACAGTTCGAAAACCCCTCTGTGAGGGAGAGGCATATGCATATATGATATAAAGAGTTCGACAGTAGCTGGATGAGAAGGACTTGGAGAGGGATATGGAAAAGAACGCCAAAGGCCGCAGCGGGGCAATATCTCTGTGGGCGGGAACCACGGTTTACACCCGGTAAATGTTTGCTCGTCAGTCCGGTACGGCTCAATTCTGGAAACAAGACGCCGGGAGCGCGTCGATGGGCCCACCCCCGCGGGCCAGGTTTTATTTTAGGCCGAGCTTGTTCCCATGGTTCCGGCATTATACATCGACTCGGTTGATATAATAACAAGTCTCAGTTTTCCTCAGTTGGCGCAGGCTCATAATCCGGGCTAACCGCGGTTGGTGGAACTCGGCTCGCAGACAGCGCTCTGTGCTAGCCGTCCTGATCGTGAGTGACAACAAATTCGCACGATGTCTCCGGCGATGGGCTGAATGGACGACGTCATGTTGATCTGAGGGGAGGAGACAAATTGGCGGCCGATATTCGTCGACTGGCGAGACTGGGGCCACACGCACGAAAGAAGGTTGGATCTCGAATCTCAACACCTCCGCCACGAAACCGTGGCATCCAGCATCCACACGCGACCCCGGCCGGCCGATCGGTGACTGAGTTCTGTTTTTGGCCCTCTATTCGCCGATGCAAGCATGGCGAGGTCGTTTCGCGTTCCTGGAAACCATGCTGGGCATGCATGGTGGTGGACTTCTTGGCCGGTTCTCCCGCTCACTGTCCACTGAGAGGGCAGCTTTGTGTCGTGCCTGAGAAGGATTGGAGTGGGTCGGACACGGGTGGATCGTTTTAATTGCTCCTGGAGCCCCAGCTCCAACAGCGCAATAGGGCCATCTGCAGCCATCTCCCATCCCTGTGGCCGGCTGAAAGGGCTCGATGAAGCCAGGCGCCGGCGGGCGGATGTTGGGCCTGCGTTGCTACTGGCCCTGGAATGGTTTAGCTTGCGGATGCTTCTAGCTCTTTTCCAAACCGATTCTCGATCTTCTTGTTGCGCGGCGGCTTTTCGGCCGGCTCGGCCGGGGAATCCATGGACTGGAGTGTACAATACGGAGTATGAGCTCGACGAAGTTCATAAGACATGGAAACGTGCTGGAGACAGTCTCAGAGTGTAGTGTTGACATTTGCTACAGTGTGGACGAGGGGACGGGACGACAAAGCTCAGTCGGGAACCGGGCTCACCTACTGTTCCAAGGATGCCCCTCGCTGCTGCGTTCGCAGGTTCGGACGCTGCCGGGTTGGAGGCGCTTGGAATCTGCGCGGAACCATTGCATCGGTTGCGTGTTGGTTCGGCGATGCTGGACTACTGGCTATCCGTGGCTTTTGGCACTGGTCGGGCAAATTTTCTGCGGCAGGCTGACTCTCAAAGAATTGTTGCTTGGTTGTGGGCTCCCGCCCGCCTAATGCCCTGGGTATGCTGAGCAACATGGGAAGGTACGCACCACGCCGATGTAGTGTACGAATACATACTTCGTAGTGTACAAGCCTGCAACGCTCATCAATAGAAAGACGGGTTTGCAGCTTGTCAAATTGGAGGATGCGTCAGGTTGTACCCGGGCAAGCACGTTCCAAGGGATGAAGCGAGACTGCGAGAGAAAAATGTTGACGCCGAATTCCCCTGTCAGACCTCCGTGCACACACAAACCGTTGTTAGCGCGAAGCAGGTCTCGCTCTGGAAAGTCGCTTTGATACCCGAAAGAAGCGGCGATTCGAAGGTCACCTCGACACGGCCAATCCCAGTCGTTGTTCTCCAGAGCGACCAGGCCCAGCCAGGCCCCCAGCCGGAGTCCTCCCCTCCCCCTTGTCCCGCTGCCCAGAGCAAGGAGCCAAGGACACAACATGAAATGGAACCTCAGGTCGCGCTGCCCAGGGCGTCTCATCGGCCCATGTCCCAGCGCTCCACCCCGTCAGCAGCATGCCCCAGCCCTGAGCCGATGTGGAACTTCGAACTTCCATGTTGTTGCTCGTTCCTCTGTTCCCCTTGTAGGTTCCTCTGAAGCGCGAGAGGGGGATTGCCGCGCGCAGGAACTGACGGCCACAGTTTCCAAAGCAATTCCATTCTTTTCCTCCTTCCCCTCCATTTTCCCTTCTCTACCTGAATTTGGGGCGGTTTTCCTCTCTCCTCTGCTTCGACGGCATTGTTGGGGTGTCTCTCTTTTTTAGTTTGGTTTTGTTTGTGGTGACGGGCCACTGAACTTGCGCCTTTGCCTTTTCGCGTTGTCTAGTTGTTTTGTTCGGGGTTTGTTTTCTATCAAACGGGCATCCCAGTGGTCCTTCCTCGGGCTACGGCGAAGGAGAAACGAACGTTGTATGCCCTAGGCCTGTGGCCGCGGCCGTCTCGTCCCATCTCGACCGCGCCGCCAAATTCTCACCAATTGCAGCCCACCGCCGCGTGAGAAAAGAGCGAAAAGCCCGGCCCTCGTGGGTGCATCACGCTATTTCGACAGCCGTCACTAGCCTACACACATCCGCCCACATCGACACCGACCTCATCATTCCCGCCGATTGACCTGCAACTCCAGGCTGAGAGAGGACCGGAACTCCTCTCAAATCAGTTGTTTCCCACCCCATTTAAGACGACTTTTGGGGTACGGGCGCTTTTCCCCAGCCGATCGTTTTCGAGCGTGCCCCCCAAACCGGAACCCGACCGACTGCAAGAACGCGCCCGCGGCCTCTACACGCCTTCCGCGCCTTTTTTCGAGTCACCCACTTGCGGTCCCGACGATTTCTCCCTCTTTATGATGCCCTGACGATGCAAACCACGACCCTCACGTTTACCGATTCCCTCTTCGCCCCTCTTCCCCTCTGCGGCTCTTCATTGTCTGCATAACTGCCGCCAAAATGCAGGCTGTGCCGAGTGTAAGTGTTATCAAAAAACTCCCAATTCCGGGGCTTTGATGGGGAGCAAACCGAGAATACAAACGCCCTGCGTTTCGACTGTGACTGCTCTACTCACCGCCCGGTCGACACCCACAAAGTCTTGTCCTCATTTTGACGCGCTTGATTTACCTTGCTTTGACCTCTTATCCCTTGTTATTGCTCGATGAAGTTAGCTCCCAAAGGTTGTCTTGTTCAGGAAAGTGCTAATCATCTTCTGTCTGTAGCTCGTGGGAGCCGGCACTGCAACTGCCGCCGCCGCTGCCGGCCTGGTTTTTGGCCAACCTCCTGAAGCCGAAGCATCGTGGCCCGGCCCGGTCCAGCACAGATTTCCTACCGAGTACGACGGCTTCCGGCCCCAGTCCGGCCCTCGCCGTCCCAGTACCAGCGCGGTTTCGAACTATCATCCCTGTACGTCACCAGCTGAGGAGTTCCCGTACGCTTCTTTTCGCCCACAGCCCACTATCGATACAGCCCGCCCCCTTACTTCGAATCCGACGAGCCCGACGAGTCCAATCAGTCCGACCAACATCCTCCGACCCCTTACCGGATTCTCCATATCATCGCCCAAGTCGAGAAGTAGAAGGCAGTCTCTAGTACGGCCGGTGGATCTCACATCCCAACCCATTGCGGAGGATGGGAGAGACTCGGTGTCGTCCAGGGAGTCGTGGATACGGCGGTTATCGTCTCTCCGTCCAGCCTCCCAACACGGGAGCCAACGGTCGAGCCTGGGTCCTGATTCGTCCTCCATGACATTTTCACATGGTTCAGGCGTTCCGATGCTTGGACAGGCGCCCAGTGGCCGCTCATCACCTAACAAACTGGTCAAGAGGGCAACCTCGGGCCATAACAGTGGCGTGGATCACTCACGACGAGGCTCTATATCGCAGGTTTTGACACTTCGGAGGCCAGCAACCAGCCACCAACGGTTTGCGACAATCCAACAATCACAGACTAACGGTGTCGCGGCCGAGCCGCTCTCTGCGGGCGCGGCCACCTCCCTCGACAGCTACACCCCGTCACCGACGTCCGCGACCTTCCCCGCTCAAGCAGAGACCGGCGGGCAGACCCGGAAATGGACTTCCTTCTTCCACGCCCGGCGTTCTTTAACATCAGGACGCGACTTCTCTGGACTTCCAGGGGGTAGCGGCTCTTATCGCGATATCTTCCCCAAGAAGAAATTGTCGTTGACGAGGGGTAACATTTTCCGCGCGTATCTCACCAAGCCCGATCGCATCGCCGACATCTCTCCCCTCAAAGACGAGGCAGAAACCGATTCGGGCCGGGATGTGGCCGGTCAAACCCAGGGGAGCTCTTTACCTTCGCACGATACGTCCGATTCCGTCGACTCGACGGAGGAGCGGTCCCGAAGGAGATCAATGTCAATCCATTTCAACTCAGCCAGTAACTGGATTACAAGAACCGGGAGCACCCGCCTCACGCGACGGAACACGATCGGTACGAAATCTGGAGGCGGCCGTTTTGCGTCGTCTGATCCCGAGGCTGCGCCGCTTGACCAAGGCCCACCCCTGGTCAAGCAGGGACTCGAAGGAATCCATGCGCCACCTGATGTTCGAGAAAATCCTCAGCAAGCCGAGTACGAATCGACCCTAGCCGAGCCCGCTCGCACCCGCAAGCGGGACTCGTCTTCTTCCCCTTTACCTCCCTCGAGCCGGCCGTCTGGCCACGCTGTCGACCTCCCGCGCCTGGGGTCGGCGAGCCATTCGAGGCCTTTTCAAGGTCCAATCAATTATTCTCAAACCCCGTCAGTCGCTACCCACAGTCGTGGGCCGTCGGGTGAACGGTCTGTCACTCTTGCCGGCTCCGACGAATCGGCACCCGATTATGTGTTTGGGGACGATGAGGACACGGACTTCAGGAGCGACGGCATGTACGACTCTTTCCGCACCGGCGCGTCCTCCGGCCGTCTTAGGTCCGTCGAAACACCAGTTGAGTCTGCATTTGAAGACTCACCGCCTAGCACCGCAAACCATAACAGGAGCAAGCGGCTGTCGGTCCAGGAAATGCTTGGCTCTTGGGATGGCGAGACGAAGATTACCGAGGAGGACGAGAACGCTGATGCGCCCAGTCGGACCGTACCCTTGACAGAAAAGCCCCAATTTGTGGGGTCTCGAAGTCGAAAAGAGAGCAGATCCAAGCGTGATGCTCCTCGAGAGCTAACGTTGGTAAATCGCGAATTTGGCCGGCTATCATTTGATGACGATGACGACGATGATTGGGCGCGGGACGACGAGAATACCCTAAGCAACCACCTTTCGCCGCCGAGCTCGACCAATTCCCGTCGCGTTAGTCCCACCTTAAGGCAAACTCTTAGGAACGTCAGCGGTACCAGCAGCCTCGATTCCCAACAAGATAGCTTCAGCGAGCGCCCCAGGAGTAACATATTTGATTGGGCCGAACCCTCGGTGCATGATAAGTCTGAAACAGATCTCCCACGACCCAAGACGGTGCACGGAAAGCAGGAGCTGGACTTGAGAGGAGGCCGGGCCGCCAATAGGAAACCGCCGGGGGCTCTCCATGTCCGGAGCCAGAGTGTCCCTGTCGTTGTTCCTGATTTGTCGGACGGGTCGAAGCCACCTCCCAAGTTCGGCACCTGGGGGCTGGGCACGAAAACCGCCAGCGAGGATTGGGACGATGACTTTGAGTTTGAGGAAGATGAACCCGAGCTTTGCTCCCCTGGGGGTAAGGATTCAGCCACCAGTTTCTCGATGGTCGTCCCTGCTTCGATCCAGGCCACACAGCCGAGCGTAAGGGCGCATTCGGGCCACATTCGTGAATTCTCGTTGCTTGTCAACGACTTGAAGCGGTTGTTCCGTCACGGCAAAGATCTTGATATCTTGCAAGGGCCAATGGCAACCAAATGGGCCGAGGCTGAAAGCATTATCGCTCTAGCGTCTCCAGATGAAGAGGAGGAGGAGGATTTCTTGGGGCCGACAAAGCCCTCTGTCGAGCTTGACCGGTCCACGATCGATGATCGATTCATGGAGGGAGGGTTTGACGGTCCGTTGCTCGACCAGTTTGACGACTCCTTTGACTTCTCAGAACCCGAAATGTCCAAAACGGCGGTGATCCGGGAACGTCACAGCCCCCGACGTCGGTCTGTTTTCTCGCCCGAGGATGACATATTTGGGACCTGGTCCCTCAACGGGGAGACTTCAACTCCCGCACGCCTACAGACACCCAGCCGATGTTCAAGCGTGAGCCGAAATTCAACCGTCATATCGACCGTCATCGAAGCCATAAAGCAACAGCAGCAGAAATCCGACCGCATCAAAAGTCCCGCCCCCAAGTCTCCTGATACGAAGCTCTTCTTCGACACGAACAGCCTTCAAGAGTTAGTGAAGCGTGCCGGGCAGCTACGTGACTCACTTTCCGATGTAGTTCGGAAGGCGGAGCTCCTTACCCAGAGTCCCGCCGGGACACCACGACGAGAGCGGCTTTCGCGCCATCAGAACATCGACGGTAGCCCTGCCTTTACGCGTGTCTTTGTCGACCCTAGCTCCACCAGTCCCCCTGGGCGCCTGCCCAACAGCCACAGCACACCCTCAATTCTGAGCAAGGGATCGGTTGATTCGCCTCGAATGCAGATGATGACGGTCAATTAGATCGAACAAGCTTCTGCACGATGCCCGTGCCATTCCTATGGGGTTGGCGAGGCTCTGCTGAATCGACCCCACCACACCTGAACCGATTTGTATATGTACAACCACCCCCATTCCCGGTCACTCCTCTGATCAGGAACCATTACGTTGTTTTTCTTTTTTTGTGGCCTTTTTTCTTCGCATTACTTCTTGCATGGCATAGCATGGCATGAGATGATGTGGATTTGTGGTTTTGCATGAAGACAAGCCGACACGATCAGAGGGACATGGAGTGTGCCAGCCGACGAAGGGTGAAGCCGTCCGGCGAAGATGATAGCATACCATATCAGAGGGAGCCAACCCGGCGAGGTTGGGTTGACGGATGTAAAGAGGAATGCTGGGATGTGTGCCCACGGTTGGGGATGATGATGTAAGCGAGGAAACCGCTGATCAAGGAAGGAAAGGATTCCACAGCCATATTCCAGGCTGGGAGTTGGGACTATCATGTCGGGCACCTGGGAAAGTGAGTACCCGTCGGGCCTGACGGCGGGCTTTTGCGGGCTTTGTTTCGTCTTCTATTCTTCCTCTTGACTTTTTCTTCTACCTGGGAAGGGGAGTTCAGACTTGGGAGTCTGTCAACTGCGAGGGCCAACGCAGCATCACACTGTGTCTTGCTTTTTGCTTCTACACTTGTTCTCTTTTTTTTTTCTTCGCTTCTAGGTATGGACCGGCCGATAAAAAAATGTACGCACGTACGTACTACTTTACTTTTTACTGGGTTCACTGGGGGATCAGGTTGGGTTTCGGGTCGGGTCGGGTTAGTAAACTTGTGATAATGGGAGAGAGTGGATATGGCAAATGGAAATGGCAGTTGCATCTGGCAAATCGCACAATTAAGGAGCTGGAAAGTGAATGAGTGAGTGGCTTGATTGATATGATAGGGGGATGGGAATTGAAGAAGGGTATTTCTTAATGGAATTGTGAATGTTTCTTGGTTAGTAATTTACCTGTGAAACCTCAGCCGTTTGAGTTCTTCTCTCCAACTTTCCTGCACGCTGTCAGCCGTGGGGGTTTCCCGTTTTTCTGACGTATTTCTTTCCGGCGAGATGGGGTAGTTGACTGCAATCTCGCGCTTCTTTTCTCTAATCACATTTTTGTCTCTTCATTGTGGTTGGACACTTGACACGAATAACTCCGTTGACATGAATATTACTTATCTCTTTCCCCTTCTTCAGAGAGGGGGCTAGAGGAAATAGCCGGGTTGCCTTCCTATTTGATATCTTTTATAATTATTGCTAGTTTGAGGTTGGATCTCAGAAAGCTCAATAATGGCACATTTTCTCGCCTTTTGGCCAGACATATTCACAGAGTAAGACACTTTCTAGTCCGAGGTTAGGCCGAAACAAGAAAAGAGCAGAAGGCCGATAGGTACACAGGAAGTGTTGATAAAGAGGGGAGGTTCCGGGCAAGTGGGTTTATTCCCTCCTGTTCGTGGTTCCGACACGAGGAAAATACAGTGTAATAATAGATACTGAGGGGGGAGCCGCTCCGTTATTCTCCAGACAAGTTAAAGAATACAACAAATAAAATAATTCTATCTGTGATAGATGGCAATAGCCGTACCGAGCCTGAGTCCTACTTATTGGTTAGTTGAGGGAGGAGAGAACAGCAACTGGGTTGGTACTGGTAAATATCTCGTTATCACAAGTGGACAAGTATCAACCCTCGGGGCGTGTTTACGCATACAACAAATGGAGTATTTCTGCCCCCGGCAGATCCCAACAGCCGTACTAAGGAGTCCTATTTCATCAGTTGAAGAGAGAACAGCAACTGGTTTGATACTGGCAAAAATCACTCTTATCGCAAGTAAACAAGTATCACGCAAGGAGCACACAGCGATTGTTGACTCTCTTACTAATCATAGACGGCTGAGCATCATTAAACCTCCAGTCTACGCGCGCCGAGAATGAACAACGAACACGGCAAGACGAAGGGATCAAGACGAGATTGGAATTGAATATCGGATTCATAGCATCTTGATGCCCAAAGTACGCGCCCCAAAAGGTCCATATGTTTCATACCAGGTGGAAAGGCCGTCTCCATTGCCCTCTCTCGATGTCCAAGAGGGAACGTTGAAGAGCGATTCGCAAAGTGGGAAGGGGCAAATAACGGCACAAGGTGATGGCAGGACAGCGACGCTTGACAGGCAATGAAGCAAGATGGGGGGGATTGAGACACGACACGATACATAGATACGGTCACGGTTGGCAGAGTCAGATTTAAGATAACATGATATGAAACTCAGATTCTTTTGAACGATACCCATAAAACCATGATAAGTTTACACACAGGATTTGTTGGCCCGGTCAAAAGAGACAACAGGCAACGAAAAAAAAAACGAGATATCCACCCTTGGGAATCAGATACGAATATGGAAATAAAAGAACAGTCAATAGATGAAAAGGAAAACCCCTCTTCAAGTGTCCCTTGACACTGAAGGGTAATGTTTCATTCCAAGAAGCAAACAAAAGCATCTGATCGGAGAAGTTCACTCCTTCGCTCCGTGAGCGAGAGCAAGGTTCTTCCAGTGGTCACGCTCAGCCGTCAACTTCGAGATCTTCTCCTCCAGCTCGTCGAGACGCTGAGCCTTGCGCTCGCGCGACTTCCGAGCAGCCAAGGTGTTGCGCGCACGCTTCATGGCGATGACGTCGGAAGGATCCTCAACAATGATAGGAGGAAGAGGCTTATCACGACGGCGCGAGTTGACGCCAGCAATGGAAGACGGACGGCTGGAAGGGGAAGCGCCCGAGGACTTGCGACGGTGGCCCAAAGCTGAGGCCACCTCAAGGTCATCCGACTTGGTCGATGGCGAGTCTTCAGCCTCGACGGGCATCTCCGCGGCCTCCGGACGGGGGTTCGCCTGGGGGAAGAGAGGGAACCAAGCGTCGGTGGAGCCATTGTCAAAATCGCCGCTGCCAAAGCTGGGGGAGACATCGTAAGTGTCGCCGAACTCGGGAGACTCGTTGTAGATGGACGGCGAGGTCAAGGCCGTGAGAGCCGTAGAGTTGGGCGCCGACATGAACGGCTCCTGGATCAGAAGATCCTGAGGCGAGATCGTTCCGATGTTGGTTGCCGCGCTCGAAACGCTGCCGCTCAAGTCGAAGACGCTCGGCATAGCGGGCGAGGAGTACGCCGTGGTGGAAGCACCGCCCTCAAAGGCGGTGAATTCTTCCAAGTCAAGATCTGAGCGAAGATATGAGCTGCGCTGCCCGGTGTGAAGGAGATGCAGAGCAGGGTGGTGTTTACCTTGAATGTTCATCTTGCCCCGCTGGATGTTACCGGTACTTTGGGAAAACAGAGGGACAGGCGGGCGTGAAGGCCGGTTCTGCTTCTGAAGGTTCAAAGCGGCTGTCGATGATGGAGCGGATGAAGCGTAGAACTGATTTGGGTTCTGCGTGGTAGAACTAAACCGATTGGTGAAAGCCGAAGAAGTCGCTTGGTGCCCAGTAGCCTGGATGATGCTAGCAACTCGCTGGTTTTGCAGTGATGGCGATGTCGGTACCGGTTGTTGCGGAAACAACGGGTGGTTACGATGTTGCTGAGTTTGATTTACACCTCCTGTGGCGGAAGGTTGCTGGATACGGCGATTATGTTGACGTTGCTTGATCGGCTGATCGAACAAGACGAAGTCCTGTTGATGAAGCTGTAGATGCTGTTGTTGCTGTTGTTGCGCGGATGTTGCCGGCAGGCTCGAGGAACTGGAGGGAAGCCATGGTGACTGATGTGAATCCGTGGTGAAGACTGGAAAGTCTAGGCCGTGAATGGCGGCGGTGTTGTTCGAAGAACTTGAGCGCGAGCTGGGAAGCAGGGTGCTAAAGTTCAGTTCAACCTTTGCAGGTAGAGCTGAAGGGTTTGGTTGAGTGGGGAGACCGAAAATCTTTGGGGAAGAAATGTTGGCGACTCTGCAAATGCAAGTCGGGAGACTGGGGGAAGGGGACGCTTTAACGCATCTTGATGGTTGCCTTGTGTGTCTTGATTTTGTGTTTGTGTGGGAAGTTTGGGGTTGGAGGAGAGAGAAAAAAGGCAGCCAGAGAGTGGGCGAGTTGAAGACTTTTCAATCAGGCAGCGCTTGCGCACAGCAAGGCGCGCGAGGCCCTTGCGGGCAGGGCTTGCAGGCTGTGTGGCAATCTGATTGGCTGCTTGGGCCGGGCAGCCCCAAATGGAAAGTGTGAGTCACACTTCCCACGCGGCCACAATCCAGAAATTACCCCACATTTTCTACAAACAATGGGAAGGAGGGAGGGAATTGCTTGCGGAAAGCACTCACCAACATCGATACCTTGATTCAGGGTTGGTGTGGGAAGTAGCGTATTTTGGGGGCTCTCTATTACATGTTTACGCGTCCCGCTGTTGATGGTTTAATCCGCGTTGAAATGGAAGGCCGAGAGAAGTGTCGGTACCAATATCAAGACTTTACTGACAACCATTGTTGAGAACCTTTGTGCGTCCTAGATCTTCGGGTGCGGTTGAATTTTCTGTAGGGCTGCGCTGCTTGCGTCCTGGCTGTCGCAGCACAGCCCCACCCCTGTGCGTTCTTCCTCCAGCTGTCCAATCAGTTCTCCATCCCACACACAAGCGACCCACAGCTGTAATTCAAGTTGGAGGGGCAGAGGGGCAGAACGAGCATGTTCCGGTGGGCTTACGCCGACGGCGCGGAACCAGGCCTGCAAAGGGCGCGCGGTCTGCCATTTCCAAGCAAGGCATGACAGGGTTGTCGGACGGGGATTCGGTGCCTGTTGGGTGGGATTCGTGCATTCAACCTCCTCGGGCTGAACTTGCTCGGCCGAAGGAGAAGTCAACCTGGCTCGAGCCTGGCTCAAAATGTGTCCTCAACGATTTCAAGGAGAGTGTGAGGAGCAATGGACGCGCGGAGAGAAATGGTGCCAATTGATCCTTCAATCGGAGAGGCCACGACGCTTTTGGACCTTCCATCCTACCCCTCGGACACGCAAGGGCTTGCGAAGACCATCGATCCCTTGATGCGGGTGGGGTCCACTTTCCAGGAACGAGCACCTCCATAGGTTGCGCGAAACTTTTCATGGAGGTTCGGTGCCGACAAAATTCCTGTGACATTGGATGCTTTTAGTTGCCTCGGTTTCACAAGGCATGGCTTGGTCTCGGAACTCATGTCTGCGACTGGGAAATAGCCTCTGCTGGCCTGTGACCTTCCTTTGGAGCTTTGAGAATTCAGCAACCGAAGGTTTCAGGAGGCTTCTCGTGGTCCACCGGCAAGGCGGCTTGAGGTGAGTGGCGGAGCCAACAATTGAGCAAGGGAGTTTGGGGTCTGTCATGCAGGGAATTGGCGAAGCAGCAGGGTCTTCACACTTCAAGGCGCCAACCTAACCTCGACAAGGAGGAGGAAGAAGGAGCTCTGGACATAGTGTAGAAAGGGTTGGGGCAGAGATACGGATATCCCCTCTCATGTCATTTTTCTGGTCCTGAACGTCGACGAAGTTCACAGGAATTGTTCTTCCTTACCGCCGTGTCCGCGAGAGCTTCCCTCGACCCGGATGCCCGTCAGACATCGGCCCCTTCAAAATAAAGCTCCCTGCGGGATCCGGGCTGTCACATTTACATTTACAAATCCAACTCCCGTCCTCAAACCCGTCGAATCAAAGTGCTCAATTGGAAACCAACAATCGCGATGTTGCAATTGACTTTTTTGTGACTCACTCGCTTGCTGGGGGTCTTGATCCCTGCTCCAACCCCAGATCCTGGTGATGATCTGCATGAGAACCAACCCCACTATGGTCACCAACACCACACAAGCCGGAGTCTGATGAAAGTACACGATGAAGCAAGAAGGGGCACGGAGTTGTCAAGAATGGGTAATCCGGGGCCTGGAGCGAGGCCATGGCGGAGAGGTTACTTTGCATCCTCGCGGTGTGTCGACTTGAACCAAGACTTTTCTTTTGACATCACTCAAGGTTCAGTCTTCATCCCTTGTCCGTTTCGGGTTTTAAATCCTACATCTGGGTTTCTCTGGATATATCACAAGACAAACAAAGGAACAATCCAGAAAGTGCTAATAGGAAAAAAAGATAGCAAGTAGTAGAGGGAAAAAAGAAGTGACACATAAAATACAAAAAGCTCACACCGAGCGCTATCCCCATCCGGAAGGATAGCGGTCGGTGGTTACGATAAGTTCCCTCCGAAAAGAGTCTTTTACTTCGCTGGTCTCGGGAATCGAACCCGGGACCATTTCGATTTACGACGGAATTGGCGAGGCCAGCGCCCCTCCCAATACCGCTGAGCCAAACCAGTGTTTAGATTTCAATTAGGAGGAGATGGTGACCGGGCAAGGGCAGAATGGGGTTATATAGGGCGTGTGGGAGGGAAGGTGCGTGGACTTTTACAGCACGGGGATGAGCTCGGACTTTATATCGCCTCACAACCATTTGTCAATGGACCCAGGCACCCCGGGGTTTCACATCGGTACGGGCCGTGTGGCGACAAGGTCTGGGGGAACGGGAAGCAGGGCAGGAGGAGAGTGACTCACTCGTGATAGTAGTAGTGGATGGTCTCCGCTTTTCAGTTGACAAGAACACTTTTTGACGTGTCAAGGAGGGCTTGCGTTAAATCTCCAACCTCATCATACCCTGTGGAGGTATCCGGGGAATGTTAAATTCTTGCGTCGTAATGTCTGATGCCCAGGAAGAGAAGTGACTTAGAACGGCCCTAACTCCCAAGCTGAACCCAACGCCCGCTAATAAACACTAGATCGTGAAACTCCGTCTATCTATTCCCTCCTACCGATGCACCAGACCCTTCCCCAGGTCGACCTTCTTCAAAACTTCCATAAACGCCCAAGCCCAAGCCAGCCTCGTCAGATCCGGCCGTCAAGGTTTGCCGACCCCATCCTCTTCACCCTCGCTATCATGATTCGTAAACGCCCCATCAATAATCCGCTGGCAAAACGCATCCCACATGCGCACCCAGTCGGCCCGCAGGGCCTCCCGACGGCCCGGCTCATCCAGGCACGCATGCTTGATGCTCCATTCTGCAAGCTGCCGCAGGCCATGCAGCGTCATGTCGGGCTTCCCGGCCATGACTTGGTAGAAGTCGTGCGAGAGGCGGGAGCGGAACAGCGTCCCGTTGTCCGTGCTAATCGTGCATGGCACATTGTTCGCCAGCAAATTATACATCGCGTGCCCACTGATCCGCGGCGTCAACCCGAGAATCTCGTTGGAGATCGGGCAGACCTCGACACACACCCCTCGACGGCGCATCTCGTCCATGACGAACGGGTGACGTGGTAGGGCAAAGCCGTGGCCAATACGCCGCGCGCCGAGTAATAGCGCATCCAACAGGTTGCCGTCGGTGTCGGTGCCGATGTCGAGCGTCTCGCCGCAGTGAAAGAGGAAGGGAATTTCGACTTCCGCGGTCTTGCAGAGAGCTTGGAAGTGTAAAAATTGGGTGGTGAAGGCTTTGAGAGGTTTGCCTTTGCTTTCTTCACCGACAAGGTCAAAGCCTGGTGTTGTGTTCGTTAGCATCAGCCGGAAATTTGGGTGATGTGTCCTGGGCAGACTTACCGGCAATGTACGGCCCAAACCTCTTGTGCTTCTTGAACTGGAAGCACTGCATTAAGGCTTCGCCGACCAGCTTCTCACTAAACGACCGGGGAGTACAGTAGATGACTTTGAGACCCTTCAGCACTTGGTTTTGGTGCTTCTCCTGGAAAGCCTCGTACTCGCTGATGATGAGATCCATGATACCGACGTTGTCGATCCGTAGTGAGCCATCGTCCTTCCACACTTGGTTGGACGACATAAAGTTAGGCCGGATTTCGGCGTACTGGATTTTGTCGTCGACAAACTCGGCCAAACACTGCCGGGTGTATTCCCGGTAGGCGGTCTCGTAGTTGAAGAGGCCTTTCATCATTTGCGTACGGGCATTGAACTTTTCCCATGCCCTGTACATCAGCAGTCAGTAAACTTGCACGCTTTCCAGGACTTGGGTATTTTGATAAGAACGAACCCTTCGGCCGTTTGAAGCGGGTGGTGTGCTTCCTCCTCCTGGAAGACTAGCTTTCGTTCCAACCAATTATCAGCCTTCTCCTCCCCATCGGGATAGGCCGCCCTGAACGCACGAAATTGCATTACGTTCCCGCCCTGATAGTCCTTATCAAATGGACTCCTTTCCCCCCTTTCCATAACGGCTTCCGGGCTCATGATACTGAACTGAATGCGGCAGAGGTCAAACGCCTCGTCCCGGTTCAGGGGGATGTTGCTCCATATAAACATGCGGTCCATCTTCTGAGCAATGCCGAGGAGGACGCTCGGTGCCAGATTGGAGTTGAAGTGGATGTGTAGATGGGCGCCTTTGGGCATGTCGCGACACAGGGCGAACACTTGCGTTTGTTCAATCAACTCGGCATTGGAGAGAAAGTGGTCACCGTAGAACCGAGCGTGTTCCTGGCCACGATAGCCCTCCTTCTTGGGTGCCTTGTCGTAAAAGCGGGCGATGTCGTCCTTTTTGAGCTGCTGGAGCACCGCGTTCGCCGCAATCTCCTTCTCGCTGGCCTGCTTGGTGCACGCGGAATCGAAGCCTAGGGACCGCTCATACTCGAAGGCTTGCTGGCGTACGGTGCCGTATTCAAGGGCCTGACGCTCGGCGTACGCCGTCAACTGGCCGTCGAGCTTCTTGCTGACCTGGAAAAGTGTCCCGTCCGAAGGCTGAACAGTCTCATCTGCGGTGGCCCGGAATCCCCGCAGCTCGTTTTCGGTTACCCGAAGGGCCTCGTCAACGTCTGGCGCGGCAACATGATCGTGTTTTAGCCGTTTCGTTTTAGGAAGGTTCTGCTCTTTCACAGCATCACCACCACTACCCTTGGGCAAGCCGAGAGGACTGCTGCGGCACGGGTTAGCGATGTGATCGTTTGGGTGGTGTTGGCGGGGTGTCTTGACGTTGTTCGACTGCGTCGGTCCCTGAACTTTTTGAACATTGTGGCTGGAAGTGAGTAGGCTGGAGTGGTAGGGCGTGCTCATGTCGTGAGGGGGAAGATGGTAGACGAATGGTAGAAGAGACGCGCCGACGGGTGAATCAAATTGGCTGGAGACGGGAGTGTTGCTCGATGAAGTTGTGTGTGGTGTTGACAAAGTGAGATAGAGGGGTAGCGTTGTGTGTGTTGGGATGCGCCGAGCGAAACAGGTCGGCAAACAGGGTTCAAAAACTGGGAAACCGGAGACTGAACCAACGGCACATCGGTTCCTGACTATTTATTGAACCTACACGCCTTTGTCGCCATTGTGATGGGTCGCCCTGGCCCAACAACCCGTCACGCCGTTGTTGCGTCTGAAAACGCCGGCTCGGAGAGCCTGACTTTGCCCGCCGCTTCGGCGGCCTGTGGCTTTCCGGGGGTCCCTCGGAAGCCTCGCCAGGTGGCCGAACAAGGACTCACCCTTAGCGCCCACATGTCCGTGCACAATCAGACGGGATGCTCCACTCTTTTAGCCAAGGCTGATTTGGGGCCAGGTCGATCGATCTACAGTATGTGCATTTGCGCCAGATCCAACACAAACACAACACCACGTCGTAAAACCCCTGTGTCACGGATCACAGCCAACAATGAGGACCTCATTTGAGGCCGCCTGAGTATCTAGCCATGCCCGGATATCAAAACTTGGCCATGCTCTCTATGACACCATGTTTGGTACAGCCATCTCACATGAGCACCCCGTGCCACGCTTGCAGTCAGACCGGAGGCGCTGTGGTTTGTGGCGGCCGCCCGTGACTGCCAAACTGCACATGGGGACCACGTTTTTATGCCGAGTGTGCCAGCGCTTAATTCCACTAGCTAGATATCATCCGAACCCCGTCGCACCCGTCGTGCCCCCTGAGTGTGAGCCAACTATCTGCGTGACCGGGTGTCATTGTCGCGACCTTTAGGCCCGTGTGTCCGGTTGCCCCAATGTTAACTTCACTGGACGTCTATATAAACGGCAAATAAACACGGACTTGGCGTGAAATTCCGGAAATGGCACCCTGGCTAGGCGTGAACGGTCTCGGCGGTCTGGAGAGAGTGGATATTTCCGATGGCACTCGAGTTGGCTTTAAGGACAAGGAGTGAACGCCATTATTGGTTCCTTTGCTTTCCCCTTTCCCTCTCTTGAGACTTTTCTTTGGCGAGTCGGACTTGCAGGAGCTTGGCCATGCTTCGGATCTCAAAATCTGTCACAATACGTAGATACACTAACGGTGTATTCATGAGGAGCCGAAGGCGAGGCAGAATCAAGGGCGGCATTCTTTAGAAACTGCACGGGCATATGGTTTGGGATTTTCAACGAGACTCGGGATTGCTGTCGTGGGTAAGATTTTGGGGTCCATGGTTATTCTGCTACCTCTAGCAACCAGCAGCCGAGTTTATCAACACGGATTCAAGTCTGACCGTTGCTATGAGGGTTTGGGGCGGTATCTCTTGATGTGTGCCCCAACATCACTGAGATGACGACTCACAAGTCAAAGAAACGCAACACGCGCCGCAGTTTTGAGATGAAGTTGACGGCAGGGCTTGCAAAAGTTTCGTCTCAATGCCTATGATCATCTCGAAAATGGCTCAGTCTGTGTAGGTGCGTGTGTCGCTTTGAGATCTCACCGGGATCCCATTACTCGAATCTGCCTTACCGCTGAGCACACAAGATACCTGGCAAACCGCTCATATTAGTGCCTTTTAAGACGAAAGAGTCTCGCCGTTATCTAACTTAAGAGACTCGGGCTCGCAAAGTTGAAGAAGGGTCCAGTCAACCGAGAGTCTGGATTATGCAGCTGGTCAGAACTGACCACCCCCCTTGAAACCTTATTTTGATTCTGCTCAATCCTACCAGCCCTGTCCTCACTTGACGTTATTCCTATTTTAGACCTGACAGGAAAATACGAAGGATCCCCTATAATTTGGTCGGCCGGTACCCTCTCGTGAAGCAACACGATTACCTAGGCTGAATCTCACTCTCTCAAAAGAGACTAGTCTCGATGACTTGTCTTGGGCAGCAAAGTGCAGCTTAGGCACCGAAATTGTCTTCGTGTTAATTTTATTCAATGCCACTGAAAAGCTGGTGGATTATCGTTCAAGCCCCCATCGAAAACGCCATGAACGTTGAACCTGAGGGCCGTCACACTCGTGACTCAAATGGCGATGACCACGACTGTGAGACCAAACATGGTAACCACGATACTATCAAACCATCTTCACTCCGAGGATCCCACACATTCTCAGCATCAAAATCATCACAGTCTCCAGCCTATAAGCAACAAAATATCAACCATTAGATTCCGTGGTACCGGACATCCGAACTCAAGACCCTATCTGACCTTCCCTATTGGGTCAACACTACTCTTCCGTCATACAATACTCGCTCTGCAAAGACCTTGTGCAAATGCCTAAATCAAGCCACCCACTCCCCTGGGAAAACGATATAGTTCGTTTGCTCTCGCTAATGTAAGTGGGACTGTTTCCCAGTCGTGGTTTGCCAGTCAGCACAGCCCCAACGGCGGACTATAAGGCTGAGCGAGCGTCTAGAGAGTCATCAATATTAAGATGAGAAAGCAAATGCCCTAGACACAGGTTAAAGCGGTCTGCAAGTCCCGTCACAGCTGTCTTCGGGTTGGGACACTCTTCGCCTCGTAGGCGAGTGAGGTAGTACTCATAGATTACATTCGTATGGAGGGGAGACCCCCCGAGAATTGTAGTTAGATACAAACAGGTCCGGATGCCAGAAAACCTGGCATGTAAATACCGGACGAGAACAACTTATCACAAATTGCCCGAGACTCCATGCTAATATGCCATGTGTAAAAACCTGGCCAACTGACGCCGCCCACTTCCCACCACCACATGTGAATCACCCCCGATAAACCGCCCGTGCCGATGGCAACATAAAATTGCCGTCCTTTTCTCTAATTCCGCCCTCTTAAATGGCCAGGACCGCCACGATCGACCATGATAAATAAACAAGGAAACCCCCTCTCAGAGTTTAGTCATCGAACTTGATACCACCCACGGCAAAGGTATCAATTCTGCCGCCGCGGTAGCTACCCTTCTTCTTTTTGTTCTTCTCCTTGGTAAATCCCTTGCCGCGCGTGACGATCAGGTCTTCGTGGGCTTTACGGCCCCAGTCGTGCCCGGCAAAGGCATTGGACTGGAAGCGGGGATCGACTTCGAGGCTGCGGTCAATTCGCGAGAAGGGCTGGTTCAGCTTGCCGTTTCCATTGCCCTTGCCACGGTTGTTGGCCTTGAACGTAACTGGGTCCGGCGGGAGCGGAGCGAATGTGTCAACGGGGAAGACTTTGGGCGAGGAGCGGTCGAGTGTCGCTGAGGAGTCGGAAGCGGCTGGGGCGAAAGATTCGGTCTTGACGGCTTTGGTCTTGGTCTGTTTCTCTGAGTCCGAGTCTGAATCGGAGTCGGAGGACGACTCAGACGAAGAGCTGCTGGAGGAATCGGACTCTGAGCCCGAGTCGGGGAGAGGGACCTTAGCCGCCTCCTCAGCTTCGTCCTCGGAATCGGAATCAGAGTCGGAATCTGACTCAGAAGAAGACGAGTCTGATTCCGACGACTCAGAGGAAGAGGCATCCTTAACTTCTTTTTTCGCCTCGGCCTTCTTGGGCGCGGGCGCGGGCTCTTCTTCGGAGTCGGAGTCGGAGTCGGAATCGGAATCGGAGCTGGAATCGGACTCGGACTCGGAAGACGACGAGTCGGAGGATTCTGACGACGACGAATCCGCAGCGGGCGCGGCGGCGGTCTTTTGCTTCTTAAGGGCGGGAGCCTCCTCGTCGGAGCTCGAATCGGAATCGGAGTCAGAATCCGAAGAGTCGCTGCTCTCGGAAGCCGCCTTACGCTTGAGAGGGTTCACGGGAGTCTTCGGTGCGGGAGCGGGTTTCGCGGGCTTCTTCTCGTCTTCCTTGTCGCTGTCGCTGTCACTGTCGCTGCTCTCGCTTTCGCTCTCACTGCTGCTGCTGCTGCTGCTGCTGCTGCTCGAATCCGAGCTCGAAGCTTCCTCCCCAGCGGCGTCCTTCATTTCAACGTCGGCATCATCCTCACTCTCGCTGTCAGAGGAGTCCGAATCGCTGCTGCTCTCGCTGCTCTCGCTGCTCTCGTCATTGACGGCAGTGACTACCTCGGCGGCAACATTGGCGCCTTTTCCGGACGTCTCCCAGCTCTGAAAGACCGTGACAAGGGAGTGGTGGGCGGATTTGTCGCCCTTTTTCCAGCCTTTCTTAGCGCGCTGCTTCGAGAATTCACGGTGGGCGTCGGAGAAATCGTGATCGGAGAGGAATGATTCAACTAGGTCCATGAGCTGCGCCGGCGGCTCGGCGACGGGCCCGGTCGCTTTCTTAGACCCGCCGGTCTTCTGCTTCTTGGTTCCGACCATGGTGGGTGCTTCGTCGCGAGTGGTCGATTGCTGCGCGGTTGATGCAGTGTTATTGGAAAAAAGCCACGCTGGTGGAGCGGACATGGGGAGAAGAAAATTTTAAGAGCGAGGGCGCAAGGGGGGGAGAGTTAGCTCTTGCACAAATTGCGCAAAGCAAAGCGGTCGAATGACATCAAAAGGCAGTCGCGTGTGCTTCTTTTCCCAGGAAAATTCTGAGGATTTCCGCTTCTCCAATGCGCCTCACCGCCAAACTTTTTCGTTTTCTGCCGCATCTTGGTGGGGATGATATGGGCCCGCCCCACCTGGTTCCTGCATGCGGGCGGCTGGGGGGTTTTCACGGCCCGCCGTTCATCTGAACTCATTCTCACATTACTATGTAAAAGGACCAATTTATTACGCTGACAGTTACGGGTTTAGTTTCTTCCATTCTATTCACGGATCTTCTAGAAATAATATTATTTAGTTTAGCCCTAACGGCTTTGGGTTCTTAACCCAACCATCGTTTGGGGCAACACTTGCAAAGTCTTTGGAGCTATGTGTTCCCAAATTGCAACTGTCGTCGTGAAGATTTACCAAAGTCATCTCATGTCCCGACTGAAGTTTTGATCAATAGGGGCCTTACTTGCCCCTTGTTAGTTTTCTGATAGTTATCTAGGTACCTCTTTGATATATCTCATGCCCTGTAAATACTGCAATCAATGCCATCGCAGACAGAATCAACCGCCTTTATGACCTGCCTGCTGCCTTGCCGACAGCAAGCTCTCTCCCACACCTCTCCCAAACCTCCAGTCCCGTCAGCGCCGTGCTTCCAAACATCAATACTCCCACTATCCCCGGTGATAACGGCACCCAGCCCACCGCCGACCCAGGGACAGCGAGATCCATCATATCCGCCACCACTCTCCTCAAAACCTTCCGTTTCTTCTGCACCGATTTTACGCTGCCCTCTTTTCCCTTCCCGTCTCCGTCCTCCTTCCCACCACCCCCTCCCTCTTGCCCACTTGTCTCGCTAACCATCAATCTCACCACACCCCCCACAATCCCACACACCAAACTCACAAACCAAAACCGCTGCCCGTCCAACCCCATCTGCCTCACCGCCTCAGGCCCTCCCACCCACAACCCGACACCAGGCACGTCCAGCACCACCTCAGCAAACACGGCACTCTCGAGGAGAAGGTACATGCCGTTGAAGGCCTTGCTGCCAAAGTCTGTCCATCGGAGGAGGGTGTCTGCCAAGGAAGGCGTCGCGGTTGGTGCCGTAACGAAGATTGTCCAGGCAGAGGTGAAGCAGTCGAGGAAGCGGAAGAAGCGGAGGGGTTGGCGGAGTGTGGCGAGGCGTTTGCGGAGGTGGGTGAGGGTTGTTGTTATTGTCGGGGTGGTTGGTGAAATGAAGGACGTGGGTATCAGGAGGGATAGGAGTGGGAGGTGGTTGAAGCTTGTGGGTGCGAAGAGGAGGATGGTGATGAGGGATTGAATGAGGCGGAGGAGGCGCTCAATGCCGTCTGTGAGAGGATCGGGTTAGTGTTCCGTGTGTAGTTCTGATTGTGTTATAATTCTGATGACCGGGGGTAGATAGATTGTGACACGGAACCGGTTCTTCCAGACTTACAGGCATCAGTGCCGAATTTCACGAACTGCTTGAAGGCGCTGATACCAACCGCCATTTTGATTGATGGGCGGGTTAGCCGTTAAATCGTGTCCGACACGCAGGTGAAAAAAAATCCAGAAAAAATGAAGGTAGTCAAAAATTGACGTTGAGTCATTTGGCGAATCGAAGTGAAGGCCTTCAACGTTTGACAGTTCATGTTGCCATCGTACACAAGTTGTCAAAACACGCTCTGGAGCTGAAATGTTTTATCGTGCAACTCCCCCTGTATATGCCCCACTTTAAGCCAACACAACACTATCACAGGGACCTCAAGACGTGGCCCTCTCTTCATCTTCTCAGGGGTTCTCAACAACTAAAAAGTGAGACATAACGCGCATGATTTATCAAGCTCACTCCTGTGTAGGCCCTGCTACTTTGGATTCTGCCAATCCCGGGGACCACCACGCTCCATTGAAAATCCAGATCCCACTTCGCCAACGATGAACGACGGAAACGGTCATCATCCTCATTCTCAACCCGCCTTACACCTCTGCCGAGGTTAGTTACAAACCAGACAGACATGGGGGATGGGAAGAGGGTGAGTAGGACAATCAATTGTTGCCGTTGCCGATTATTTGACCCTATTCACTAAACAACCCTGCCTGGTTAAAAATTAATTTAACAGGCTTGGGCGGTGGCCAAACCTTCTTCTCCCTAACTCTCGGGTTTGTGAAGTAGAAGCTCTCGGGTTCGTCCACCCAACTACCCGGAATAGCCAAGGGCGGGTCTTCGATCAGCGTCCAGAACTCGCCGGCAAGCCTTTCGGGATCTGGGTGCCACTCCCATATGAGATTCCAATCTTCCGCTTTTGGGCCAAACGTGAACCCGTTTAATGACCTTTGCGGCGCGTAGAATATTCTCTCCTCGGGGCTTAGCAAAACTTCCCGTGGTTTCTGTGGAGAGGAGAGAACGCCTCGGCGATCGTAGTGCGCCTTTTCTGACTCCCCATATGCTTCTAGGTCCATTCCCCCGGCCGCAAGATCACTGACCCAGTTCTTCAGCAACTTGTCGTGGGCGATTCTCTGATCTTGATCCGGCGAAGTGTTAGATAATTTCTTGCGGACAGTGCCGGCCCAATTACATCTTCCGAGGGCGCATGCAAATGTCGCCAGTAGGCCGCTCATGGACCCCGTTTCGTGTAAAGAGGTGAAGTCAGGGGGCTTCACCACTGCTGCCACTCCCTGGATAATACCCTGTGCCGGGGGGCGCCCTTCAGTTTTCCCTGAGACATTCCACCAACGGTGCCATACGTAAAAGTAACAGTCTGTGGCCCATTGGAGGGCGCAAAACCCTAGAGACGGGATATAATGGAGAAGTTCCTCCCGCCGGAAATGGCCCGCCGGATGAAACAATCGGCCGAAGGCCCTACTGTATGGAAACCGGAGGCTATTGGTGTAGTGGGAGAGTACTGCGAGACGGTGTTCCAAGGGCCATTGATAAAAGTCCTGGAAGGTGGTAGAGACGAGCCAGTCAAAAGCCACGGGACTCCTTAGCATGATATCCGCCGTTTTTTTATCGGGCCATGATGTGACTTCGTCGTAGACGCCCTGGGACAAGAATAGCCGATGGACAAAAGGAAGGTCACTTCCCCAGTACCGTGACAAAGCATGGTGATACGCCGGGTGACCGTGCCCGTCCTCATGGTAGAGATCGAGGCCCATTCGGAGCAATGGTTCGACAAAGGCCGGCCGAGACTGCATGGCCCGCTAAACGCCATATTGTCAGAACATTATGGAGAAGATTGGGGGGGATTAGTCGTGAAGTTGCGTCCGCTTACATGAACAAGAGTCTCGCCATCTCCATTCACGCAATATGGCGTAGCTATCCCGTCGTCAAAGCTCTTCATCAACGACTCCCACGACCCCCGGAGCAAATTAAAAGGCACCGTAGGCTCCGTCCCCATAAGCCGGGTCGGCCCAAAAACACCCGGGGGCACCTCCCAAGTGGTGGGTGGAACGGTCACATAGTGCCTGAAAACAAACTTCCAGCCGCTGGTGTCTATCGAAAGCTGCAAATAGTAAATATTCTTACCCCGCAACCACTGCGGCGACATAGCCTTGGCTTGGTAGCCTTGACTGTTCGGTTAGAAGAAACCGGGTTGAACGATGGGGATGGTTTGAAAGATGGGGGCGGTATCCGGACATGTACAGGCAGACTCACAGGTTGTTTCCGGCACGCCGGATCGTGCCATTTGTTCCGCCGCTACCCAGGATTTCAACCCGAGAGATCCAAGCATACCAGAAAAGGGCTTGTACAAATCATCGCGGCGTACCACTTTTCTCCCGGCACGATCTTGATAGCTGAATGGCTCGACCTCGGCCGCCAGGTACCTCCCCTCCGCAACTATCGTGGCAAAGTCAACGGCTTCTCCCCACAAACCCGAATAATCCGTGGTGGTGGCGGTGTCGCAATTTTGAACCGCGCTGGGGACTCTGGCGGCTGCCAACTCAGGCTGTGATTTTTGAGCAGACCTGCCATCATTTTTACTTTCCATGGTGTTGGCAATGTTGTAACTTTGAAGCGCGCTGGTGAGTTTGGCGACTATCAACTCAGGCTGTCGTTTCTGAACAGACCTGTCATCATGGTTGTGGGTAAGCGGGTCACGTCTTAAGAACAACCCAACGTGTTTCCAACTCACATGAGATGGGTGTCCTTTACAAGCTCCAGATGGTCCCGCGCCTTCCGAAGTCGACGCTCATACCTATCCAGCACGTCCTTCTTCAACGCAACTTTCGTTCTCGCGATCAAGCCCTTCCTACGACTTCCTTTAACCGCCGATACCGCAGTTTCCGCTCGCAAGTCCTCAACCAAGCTCGCCAACTCAGCATGTGCATCGCGGAACTGCAGAATCACAAGCTGTTGCAAACCAGTCGAGACGTCCTCGGCATCCGTCAGGAGCTCGCCCTCGAAGGCGTCGACGAACGCGCCGGTAATCTCAAGTTCGGTGAGAAGTGTGTTGATCCTCTCGGGAACATCGCGTATTTCCCGCCAGAGCCGCGTGAGAGAACCGGCCAAGCTGGCGAGGGATTTGGTTGCTTGAACAACGGCGATGCTACTGCCGATGATGCCGATGACTTCGGCCATCGTGGTGGGTTAATAGGGGTCCCAACGGCTAAGAGACTTGGTCTGATCTGGCTGTTGGTGGACAAGCGTTGAACAACGACGAGCAGAAGCTGTCGGACGAGAGTGTAACAAGTTGGCCGGGGACGTTAAAAGTAATACAGGAAGGAGACGAGAACGAGCAAAAGGCAAGGAGACAAGTAGAGCGCAATAAAACCAAGCCTAGATCTAGACAGAGCAAAGGAGAAGACCCGACAAAGCAGGGGATGCAGCCATAGAGAAGGAAACACAACGACAAGGCTTTGAAGAAGAGGTCGACGAGAAGAGGTCGACGAGAAAAGGTCGACAAGAAAGGGGGCACACACACCTGGAGAAGCGAGTACAACCTATTCAGTCACTCCCGATGTCGCGAGGGGTCACCTACCCTACTTGAAGAGCTGAAGCTTGTGACAAGTAGACAAGGCTGCGACAGCGCCCCCTCCTCGCATCACCCACTTCCCATGCTGCGTTGTCCTATGACCCATGATGCAAGATGCAGAAGCAGCATCTGAGGCTGTGCAAAAAATTTATCTGTCCCGACTTCTAATAATTTGTATGCTTTGCACAGCGGTAAATCTAGGAGAGACTTGGAAGAGAATGGTTGGCCGGCCGCACTTCCCGTCCTGCATCTGGCGTTTCGCGGGTGTCTTTGAGGGGTTGCAGGGGACTATGCAAGGCAACCAACCGACAACCAACCTTTTTGCTGGGCGCCTATACACCCTTCTTTTCCTGTGTCAAGCAATCAAATCGTGCCACGCGAACCCACCTTTTCTCTTTCTCGCCCTCTCTCCAGGAGTCTTTTCGGGGAGGAACAACCGCCACCTAGACTGACAAAGTAAACGAAATCCACTCTCAAAAAGGGACAAGAAATGGGCGAATTAGGCTTATGTACAAAGGTACCAAAAGACTCACCCACATCTATCAAAACCGCCGCCAACACCCTTCACCACCATGACCAGATGCATTCAACCGTTTCCTTTCTACCCCCATTCTTTCCCGCTCTAGGCACTTCCTTTCCGTTCCCCCCCCTTTACATACCCGGTGAGACAAGCTTGCCCTGCAGCCGTGAGTCGTGGTTCCAGCCTCCAGCCAGGGCCTCGCCGCCAGTCTCCTGGGCAAACTTTTGCATGCGAGCCTCGAGCTCGGGGCGGAAGTGGCGGATCAGGCCCTGGATGGGCCAGGCGAAGGCCTCGCCGAGAGCTTGACATAGAGTTAGCGTGCTTATTCTATCCTAATAAACAAAGACAAAAAGCAAACGAGTAATCAATAATCTTGGGGAAACTCACCGCAAATGGTATGCCCCTCGACCTGCTTGGTCAGCTCCTGGAGCATATCAATCTCACGCTCGCGGCCCATGCCCTTCTCGAAGCGCTGCATGATTTGCTCCGTCCACTTACTGCCCTCGCGGCAGGGGGTGCACTGGCCGCAGGACTCGTGGCGGTAAAAGTGACTAAGACGGGAGATGGCGCGCACAACGTCGGTGCTCTTGTCCATGACGATGACGGCGGCGGTGCCGAGACCGGACTGGCTGTCCTTGAGGGCGTCAAAGTCCATCAGCTGGTTGTCGCAGATGTGCTTGGGCAGGATGGGCGTCGACGAGCCGCCGGGGATGACGGCTAGCAGGTTATCCCACCCGCCGCGAACGCCGCCGCAGTGCTTGTCGATTAGCTCGCGCATCGGGATGCTCATCTCCTCCTCGACGGTCACTGGGTTGTTGACGTGCCCGCTGATGCAGAAGAGCTTGGTGCCCTGGTTACGCTCGCGGCCGAAGCCGGCGAACCAGCTGCCCCCGCGCCGGCAGATGGTGGGCGCTACAGCGACGGTCTCGACGTTGGCCACGGTGGAGGGGCAGCCGAATAGGCCGACGGCCGCGGGGAAGGGCGGCTTGAGACGCGGCTTGCCCGGCTTGCCCTCAAGCGATTCGATCAGGCTGGTCTCCTCGCCGCAGACGTAGGCACCACCGCCGCGGTGGACGTAGACGTCGAAGTCGTAGCCGGAGCCGCAGGCGTTCTTACCGATCAGCCCGTCGGCGTAGGCCTCGTTGATGGCGTTCTGCAGCACGGCAGCCTCGTGGATAAATTCGCCGCGAATGTAGATGTAGGCGGCCGAGGCGTTCATGGCGCGGCCGGCGACGAGACAGCCCTCGACCAACTTGTGGGGGTCCTTGCGCATGATCTCGCGGTCCTTGCAGGTGCCGGGCTCACCCTCATCGGCGTTGACCACCAGGTACCTCGGCTTATCGTCCTTGTCCCAGTCTTTGAAATTCATAAAGGACTACCCGAAAGAGGTCAGGTTAGCCGGAAGCTCGCTGGAGCCATTCCACAAACAACTGGCGGCCCCGGTCTTGAATAACCCCACCACCACCAACATGGTAGGAATTGGGGGAGAAAAAAGAGTACGCACCCATTTCAAACCCGAAGGGAAACCAGCACCACCACGCCCGCGCAGACCCGAAGCCTTAATCTCGCCAATAATCCAGTCATGACCCTTGAGAATAATCTCCTTCGTCTTGTGCCAATCGCCCATCTTCTTCGCACTCTTCAGGTCAGGCGGGAAGCGCCCATACAGGTTCTGGAAGATGCGGTCCTGGTCGCGCAGGCCGCCGTAGGTGCGCACATTGGCGGCGTTGGCGTCCTGGACGGTGGCAAACGTCCGGCATTGCGCAGGCGACAATGTACTCGCAGAGGTCGTTGTCGTCGTCGCTGTGACTGATGGGGTTGTGGCCGCGGCCGCAGTAGCAGCAGCAACGGCGCTCGAGAGGGTCTTCTTAGCCGACGCCTTAGCCGGCGCGGCGGTGCGTGACAGCATGGCGATGGCGATAGGTGAATTTCGTCTCTCTCTGCTCTCGAGCGAGCAGAGGTGCGTGGGATGCCAATTGGCCTCGGCCGGGAGTTCGTTCTGCCGGGGGAGTCGGGGAGGGGTTGTCTATTTGTTCGTTTGGTGGGACCTGCGGGTGAGGTTGCAAGGTGCGTGCGCTGATTGAGCACCTTTCTTTGGAGGTTTGGATACAGCGAGCTTCTGATTGGCTGCGGCGTTACAAATTGTGGCGGTGCGCTTCGGGAATTGTGGCGTAATGGAGCTGTTTTGTGGCACAGTGTGGGGAAGCTTTGGAAGCTTGGGACTCGAGCATTTCTTTGTGCAACGCGTCTCACCTCCAACCCTCGCCAAAGTCGACGAACCCTGGCACTCCTGGAATGTCAACAATGTTTGACCGATCACCACTCCCACAACGACCACCATAACCTACGACCAAATTCCATTAAGGAATCAATCTACCTTCCAAAACCCACTCCCAACTCCACCATGACCACCCCCTAACACTCACAAGAGCTCCCCCCCAAAAGAACAAGAACAATGTCCAAACGACACTCCCTACACCCCGGCTCCTCATCCAACACCGCCGCACCGCCCAAGCCCCCGGTTCACCTCTCCTCCTCCCTAACCATCGCCGATTCCACCCTCCTCGCCGGTACGCACACCATCTCTCTCCACGGCGAAACCGTCATCCACCCGCGCGCCCGCATCGAATCCCACCTCGGCCGTGTGAGTGTCGGCCGGAAGTGTATTGTGCATGAGCGCGCTGTGTTGGGGGCTGCGCCTGTGTCTTCTTCCTCAGCAGCAGCTGCTGTTGTAAGGAGAGGAGGGGGTGGGGATGGTGCTAGTGGTGGTGATGGCGCGCCGGCTGGGGTGACGCTGGCAGATTATGTGACGGTGGAAGTGGCCGCGGTGATTGAGGCGGGCGAGACGGTGGTGGGCGAGGGGACAGTGGTTGGGGTTGGGTCGAGGGTCGGCGCGGGGGCTGTTATTGGGAAGGTGAGTTGCTACTAAGAAAGTCTTGACACGCCCAGTGGCTTGTTAGATGGATGGATAAATGCTGATTTAGTTGTATTCCTGGTGTCTAGCACTGCACGCTCACACCACACTCTGAGATCGCCGCCGGCGAGGTGGTGCCCGATTCTACAGTGGTTTACGCTAACGGGATGCGGAGGACCGACAAGCGCGGGGTGGCGGAATTGAAGAACAAGACCATGGCGCGGCAGATTGATATGCTGAGGCGGATGATACCGAGCAATCCGGCCAAGTTTGCTTGAGTTTGTTTCCATTTCCTTTCGGGTTCACTCATTTCTTTTCGGGTTCTTTGGTGGTGTTTAACTCCATCTAGTCTTCGTTCAAACCTAAAAGCGATCAAAAAACCTCCAGTTGCCATATGCCAGCCACAGCCACCCTTCGAAGAGAACGCCCACTAGTTTGTTGCAAAATACCCCGCCCGTTTTGCCGCCCTGCAAGGTCTCTGAAAGAAGCGACAAGCCGAAGGGCCAGAGTGATCAAGTTCCTGAGCCTCCCCAGCCTGCCTCATCAGACCAAAAGAGAAAGGCTCATCAGACAAAAGGCTCGGCAACCCCATCCAGTCTTGGCGAGACTCCATCGAGAGTTTGCGGCTGCAACTTTCGGCCCAGGGCTGATGATGACGCTTTAGATGAGGAGCCGGAAGATATCGTTGAAAAGGAACCACTGGCCAGCGGGGTCCTGGAAGAGCTGGAATATCTGCGAGAAAGGGAGTGGGTAGTCACCACCATCGACCTGTAAACAATCGCATACTATCAGTAACTGGATTCTCCCTCCTCTCATCCGATATCCCGCCCTCCGCGCTATGTTTATACATACCTTAAGGTCGCCGGTTACTAGGATGAGGATGCCGTTGTTCGGGCTAAGCTGCACATCAATCCGAAGCTCCTTGAGATTATGCTCCAACTTCTGGAAGGGAAGCTCCTACAATCACACCTCGTCAGCATTGCCCTAAGATTCACAACTCTACGACCAAAATAGCTCATCGGATGGACCAGTTTTGCTTACCACAAGCTTCTTAACAATTTCGGTGGTTCCAGTTTGGGGGGTTCCAGGTTCCTTGCCACCCGAAAACGTGAGCGTCGAGTTCTCGCGCTGTATCCCGTGGGCGCGTGGGTGATCAACAATTAGCTAACTCTTCTTGCTTTCACCGCCCTCGACTTCCCGCATTTGTAAACCCGGTTCGAACGGTCGCGCGACAGAAATAGGGTGGGGTTTGACATACATAGAGAGGGCCGAGCCTACTCCGATCGGTATCCAAGGTCGTGTAGTAGTGTTCGAGGAATTGGCCTGTGAGATGGCAGGGGGTTCGAGTCAGATGCCATTGTTCAATTCAAGCCTGGTTACTTTTTCTGCCCATATCCGTAGTCCAGGAGAACGCGTGTTCGAACATGCATTCCTGAGACCGTATAAAGCCTCCCTCCGCGCCCGGGACAAGTCGAAATGGGGATCGAACTCACTGACGACGCCCTGGACCTGCGCTATACAAATAACATGTCAGCATAGATCCCGATACGATCTTCAGGTTCTCCAGCGACTACGATGCATATCATCGGCCCTGGCTGCCACTGCCAGGCGGCACATGCCAGAACCGCCGACGCCAAAGACAACATCGCGGGGTAAACAGTCAAGCAAGCCCGTCGCGTTCCCCTGCACAACTTTTGCGCGCAACCCCGCCAGCAAATGGGCAAGGAAGGTCAAAGTGGCGCAAGAGGGGAAGGAAGAACATACGATTATCCATTTTGAATGGTGGGGGAACACGTATCGACTCAGAGAAAGGGGGACAAGCGGCGTCTCTCAGATGAAACTTCGAAGGGCGGCGATGGAAAACTTGGGTTGAAATGCGAGCTGAAGCTGGGCGGATGGAGCATTTAGTGGATTTGTATGGAACTTTGCGATCGCTACCCTACCGATCCCCGTCTGCCGGCTGCCTGCCCGACAACCAACCCAAAGAGCAGCCGGGCACGACAGCGCCCGGGAGGGGCATGGTTGCGGGGCTCAATGACTGAGTAAAAGGCATGGTGGGGTCGTTTTTCGCAATCCACCTAGGTGGACGGTGCAGTCCACTATAGGGACGGTGCAGTCCACTATAGGGACGGTGCAAAATCTGAACACAGCTCGAGGCAAGCAGACCAATCTTGGGTGTAAACTTGATCAATGGAAGCTCCTTCTACCCTGCTCACCATATACCAAAACTGGAGACAGCCATTGTAATGGCGGGCGCGGGTAGCTTCAAATGTAGGCACAGGTGCAGGTACAAGTAGGTACGATATTGGGGGGTCACGTGTTCTCATTATAGTTTTGTTGCGGTTGAATTTCATCATGTTTGTGGGTGATTTGGGGGGAATGTATCACGATTGTAATTGCCATCCTGGGAGTTATGTGAACCAATGAATGGAGTTACACGTCGCGATGTATGTTGGTTTGGTCTAAGGAGGTAGATAGGAGGAAGTTTGATTAAGCTCTCAAGTTTACAGCGGCTGCTTGGTACATACATACAGTACAAATAGCTGTGTTCAGATTTTGCACTGTCCTCCTAGCAGGCTGCAACCGTCCAGTCTTTCGGCCTCAGGCAGCAAGGAACAAGCCTGGCTGAAATGGTGGATCCGGCTCCAGTGCCCGACAACCTCAAATAGCACAAAGCTTTTGTTTGGTAGTTACCTCTCAAACGTGATACTGCACTGTTTACATACATTCCGTTTTCGGGTAATGTTTTACTGAATCTTTTGATATTAATCAGGCTCTCCATAAACTTGTCATTTTACATTGTTAATGTTTTCGCTCCAAGGCAAACTTACGGAATTCCTCAAATAGTAGTGACAATTGGCTCGTCAACTTAACCCTAACCCCAATCCTCGGCAGCCGAAGGGCGCATGGGTCCCAAAGCATACAAAAATAAATTTTGCAAGGCTGCAGATTTTTGTTTTTTCCTCTTCTTTTCTCCCCCAATGGTTGAGGGTGCGACCGACTTTCCTCAGTCACAACGACATCAAGTTTGGTTTGCTCCCTCCCCTTTGCCAATAACTTGAATTGTAAGCCAACGTATTTTTCTTGCCCCTCCCCTTTACTTTTCACCACAATGATGACACACACTTCTTAAGAACGGCCAACTGAATTTTCCATGTTGATCCTTTCAAATTATCAAGCTCAACAGTCTGACTACATTGCTTTTTTTCTTTCGACTTTTCTTCTTGCCCAGTCGGCCAATTTACAAAAAAAGCTAACCATTGAGCAGCCGGTTAGAAAACACTTGAGTCATTTTTGCGAGGTCTTGGGTTGCATGGGCATGGGCGTGGGCATTATTGGGTATGATATCAATGCTGTCCCACATTGGGCGACTGGCTCGCCTCCATTTTGTGGATGAAGGATCATCGCGAAAACCGTGTTTCCTTATCTACGGCCTCGTTGGTGTTTTATTATTAGTCCTGGGCCGAGTGCGGCGGTTTAGTTCGTCTACTTGCATTGGTTTCTGGATCAATGGGCGGTGGTACGGAGCCAATAACGTAAAAGAAGCAATTATTTTTCCACCCAATCTTCCCACCAAAGCCTGAATGTCCGTGACTTCCTCGGCAGCCTAATCCGCTATTTCTTTTTGTGATGGCGAATAGCTTCAACCCAACCGTCACCGCGCCCAATATCCCGTCACATGTCATACAGTCGTCTTGCCTACCGTGCCTTCATCACCGCCGTGACGTAACAATATCATCGAGGACAAGGGCTAGCCATGGTTACTTCTGGGGTTTGGTGTCTAACCCGGGGTGGTGAGACAATCAACGGAACACATCAACATTAACACACATAGTAGGAGAACCTCAAATGCACTCAGAGAAATAGGCACCTCCGAGCTAACGGCCATCGCCGCTGTCAAATACCCCTACTTTACTCGACCTGCGTACACACACAAGGTCACTATCAACCAACTATACACTACCCCCAAACAAGGCCCGTCCCGCCTGCACCACTTACCCCATTCATCAACCCAACATCAAAGGCGCAGGCGTGTAGACAGTGATAAGCAGGCATCAGGCGCGATCCAGACCGGCACGGCGCAGGAATTGTACGATTTTGTTCCCGTATAGTAAGAACGAAGATCGACAAATGTACCCGCCCCTTCTCCCCTCCATTCTCCCATGTTCAACTCAATCCCCCTAGTTCCGTCCCGTCCCGTTCTCCTCTTGTGACAAACACCAGAAACAACCTCGTCACCCAATTCATCCATCAACCTATCCATGTATCTAAGACCGCTCGCCCCCTAGATAACCCAGGGATTGACCAGAAAGACCAAGACCAGACAGAAAAGGTTGGATATATGGGCGGAGACGTGAATGCTCTTGTTGCGGTTTAGACCAACAAAATAAAGTAAAAAAAAGGAGGCCGAGGTGGAAGAGGAAGAGGAGGTGAAGCCAAGTATATCAACCCAACACACTCACTCCCTCTCCCCCATCAATATCCATCCATTTTCCTTTCTTCCCAACCAAAATTCCTTCTTTCCGGTTAAAAAAGATCTCAACACTGTTGTTGTCTGGGGGGTTGTTTGTTCAACGCCACGATCCTCCGTCTTCCGTTAAAAAAAACAAGCACAAAAACAAAACAAGACAAAAAAGAGGATATCCTTTCTTCTTACAACTCCTCCTCCTCCATCTTTACCGGCGGCGCATCAGCCCGCTCTTGATTCTGGCTTGCCTGAGCAGCCTGAGCCTTGGCGAGTATATCACCGAGCGCCGAGGGGAAATTGGTTCCTGCGCCTGAACCGCCGGGGCCTCCTCCGAGATCGCCGCCTCCAAGACCAACATCAGCACCCAGGCTAGGACGAGCCTTCTTGAGGGGACTACCAACAATGTTGGCGTCGTCTGCCAAGGATTTGCCAAAGATACCGGCCGTGCTGCCGAGGGGGGCCAGGCCGCCGGGCGTGGTCGCTTCGTTCGGGGGGGTTGTCACGCCGGCGGAGGGCGACTTGCGCGGGGTGGAAACGCCGTCCGGGTCGGCGGAGTGGGCGCGCTTAAGCTGGAAAGTGAAATCAAAACGTTAGCTCAGTAACCTCATGGCGAGCTATGAATAAGAACCCCCTAGAGTCGAAAACATACCCGAATACGGTTCACACTATCGGCAAGTTCGCTCGAGAACTGTGCGTCTTCAGGTTTGAGCTGAGACTTGTCGTCCTTACTGTCAACATCCTCCATCTTGATTAGAAGTTCATTTCCGCCCTCATCATCGTCGTCATCATCACTGTCGGCGTCCATGGCCCTGCTTCCTGCGGGGCCGTTGCTGCCCTTGCGTGTTTTGCGACTCCTCCCCGGTTGGCTTTCTCGATCGCGGAAGGTCGAGAAGCCCACAGTACCGCTGGTCTTGAGCGGTCCGAGACTCGAAAAGTCCACCTGGCCGGACCGCCGCTTCATGGCGGGGGAAGTGGTCTGGGGCTTGGGGGGGGCCATGACGCCCATCTTCTGGAGTTGGCCTGAACATGAATAAGTTAGCAAATCCCGTAGACACGCCTCAAATCAATACATTGGGCCTAGGTAGCTGTAGAACTTACGCTCGCCGCGGTAAAAGAAAGTAAATACAGCATACGGCTTGTCGGGACCGTCAATGCCAGTAACAGTTTGCGTGCTAATCGTCTTGGGGTCGAGCGTCTTCGGCTTCGCAAAGCTCGTCGTGTGCTCCACGTCGGCATCGATTCCGTTGGAGTCGCCCTTGCCCTCCTCCGCCTCGGAGTCGTCGTGGGCGTCAAATTGCGGCGAGTACTCGCCCTTCTTGATCTCGCCCGAAGCAATGACGCGAAACATGGCCACCTTGATCTGACCAGTGGCCTCAGGCGGCTCGTCGTCGTCGTCCGAGGAAGACAGAGAGTCCTCGTCAAAGATAGCCTCAACGGGTGAGCTCTCGTCGGCGCCGTAGCGGAGCGTACCCCGCGGCTTGTCGGAGGAGCCTTCGATATCCATGCTGCTGCTTCCGCCCTCGCCAGATTGTTGCTTTTGCCGTCTCCTGCGCTTCTCAAACTTTTGCCTCCGGCGCTCTAGCTTCTCAGCGGCATCATGTCCCTTAAGATCGAGGCCGTTCAGCCAGCGTTCGAGGCCGACCTCGCGGAAGAGGAACTCGCGCTCGGCCAGGCCACCGCCCTCGGCGTCGGGGACCTGCACCCAGCGACTGTTGACCCATGTTTCCTCGCCCGGGCGAAGCAGAGTGGCGACCTCCTCCTTGGCACGACCATCGAAGTAGATGTAGGCGGCGATGGTCTCGTTCTCGCTATTGGTCATGGGAATGTAGGGCGTGACGATGCCATGGTACTTGCCATGCTCGCCGGTGCTCGAGGGTAAGGGCCCAACGAGCTGGGGCTTCGGGTACGGGTTCGTCGGGCTCGTCTTAGGAGCCGAGTACGGTATCGCGAGACCCGGGGTGAGCAGGGTGATGGAGATGGCGAACTTGGCGGGCTCGGGTTTGTTGGAGTCGCCGGCGAGCTGGGGCTGCGGCACGGGAATGTACGAGTTGATCCGCGACACGCGGGACTGCTTCTGGATGCCGTGCTCGGGGAGCGGGTTGCCATTGGCGTGGATGCTCACCGCGATGCCCTTAAAGCAGGGCATGACGGCGGTTGAGTCTGTCTTGTCGCGCCGTAGGGCAGTGTGTCGTTGTTGTTATTGTTGTGCTGATGTTGTTGATTTTGCGGGCTGCGGTCGGACCCCACACTGCAGGTGTTCGGCAGCAGCTGCACGCTGTGATTTTCTTTGCTACCCCGCGCCGTGGGTTTCGGGTCGCGGGGGAAATAGGGGTGGACTGTATAATTTCGACGGCAGATCGCAGGCGGTAATGCCGTTCGTCGAGGTAGCGGCACAGTCGTCAAAAGGGTTGGTAGGTAGGCCGATGAGAGAGAGTGTGTGAGAAGGGAGACAAATCGGTTGGGAAATCTAGATTAGGAAAAAGTAAAGCGGCGGTGGGGGGTGAAGATAATGGAGAAGGCGGTCGCTGGGCGGGGGAAATAAGTCCTTGTAAAAGACCCGCCTATGACCCGTTGCAAGCACACCCTTTGTGAGTAGGTTTGGACCTCGAGGTCGCGTCAGGTTTCGTCACCGGTGAATTTCTTCTTGAGAAGAGGGGAAGGGAAGAGCCAAAAAAAAGCTACGAAAAAAGTTGACCCTCAGAGATGCTCGTTGGCAGGAAGGAAGCCCGAGGTGCACGGGATGTGCAGCGAAGCTAGCAGTGGATGCCCAGCAGGGGCTCGGAAAGGTTCCTCGGGGCTAATGGAGGTTCTGCGTTGGCAGCACGAGATTTACACAGTAACTTAGAGGGGTTGGGCCATGCAACGACAGGCGTCTGGCGCAGTGGCCGGGGGTGCGGTGAGGGGTCCTCCTGGGGCTTGCCAAGCTGCTTCGATCAAACGTTTTCTTTTGTTGTTTTGGAAGTTCCAGCGATCTCCGATTCAGATCGCCGGTGTGCTGGCGAGATGAACCGGCGAGCTAGTTATCTAATTGCCCCAGCTAGCCACTCAAAGAAAATCCAGGTCTCGAACCCCCCCTCCAAAAGAATTCAAGGCTGCCCGAGGCTGAGGCTGAAAGCTTGCGTGCAAAAGGGCGGTGCGGGAGCCGGAAATCAGATACAGGGAGTAGAAGCTTTCTTGCAGGTCCACGAGAGGTGGAGGTGCAGGTGAGAAGGTGACGGGCGCCCAATTCGGGCAATCTAGGTCAGGCTGTCCTCCACCTGCACTCTGGAAGGAACAACCGACCACGCACCTTCGTTATCAACGTGCTGTTTGCAGTGGCCGAGGGCTCCAGCCAGGGAGCTTCCTGCCTGTGGTGGCCAGCAGTGAGGTCAGTGGGGATCTGTCGCACGGGCCACGAGCCCCCCCTAACCCGTAGCGGGCTTGGACTGGGCCGTCTGGGGCCAGCGCAGTGTCCAGCACTGCTGCGACTTCGGGTTGCCCTGCAGTGAATGAGTTGGCAATGGCACGCCCTGTTCCTGGTGCCTGACATCCATTCCCGTCGACGGATTTGAGCGCACTCCTTCTCGGATCCTGCATGAAGAGGGCATGTCATCAATTCTTAGGCTGCAAAATGATCTTTCATTCGAGGCTAATGGCAGTAATGAAATGGAGAAATTGGATGGCTGCAGCGCTGAATCAATAACGTGGCAGTCCTGAGCCGACCTAACATGATCTTTACAGTATATGTACCCAGACAGATACCTCATCACCCTCATAAAACACATCAAGCATTCCTCTCTGTCATTCATCATTCCTCCGATGCCTCAGGCGTGGCAACAGTCCTCTTCCTAGCGCCCTCAGAACCGGCCTGCGCGCTGGAACTAGTCGCCACTCCCTCGTCTCTAGATTCCACACTCTCCTCGCGCTTCACCGATTTGCCTTTGCTTCTTCTCCTCTCAGGTACCTCCGTCTCGGCTTCGTCGTCCGCTTCAGTGCTGGTTTCGACCGGCGGCACGCTAGGGAGAATTGGGGTCGACTCGCCCTCGGTGTCCTCCTCTTTCTTAATATTCAGCCTCAGCCCTAATCCTCCCTCGTCCCGGTCGGTATCAGACGAAGGCGAGGAATCACTCTTGCGCCACCTCTTCGGGCCCCGCCACTTCCTCCCTAGGAGCTTATCGTTATCCGTCCGAACGGTATCGTCGTCGTCTTCCGCCTCCGAGTCCTCTTCAAAATCATAATCCTTCACCTCCTTCAAATTAATCCCCACCAGCAACACCGCCCCGCCCAGCACACCCACGCCGCCGATCCAGAAGGCCGCAGTAAACAACACAAACGCGGTGATCCGCCAGCGGTACATAAACCCGCGCAAGCCGCTCAGCCGCGCAGAGAGCGTCACCCGCACATCATACACCTGGATCCCCTGACCTCCTTGGATCTCCAGCAACAAGCTCTCTGGTAGTAGCCGGCGGCCTTCGTCACGGCGCGGTATAGTGAAGGAGAGGTCCTCCGCCATGGGGACCGTGAGATGTGTGGTAGATGCAGCATGCGGGGAGAGCACGTGGTAGACGAGGAAGAAGACCCTCGAGGCCAGCGAGGCGAGGGGGTCGATGTATGGCATCAGGGCCGGGCGGGTGCTGGTGTGGACGATGCTGTGTGATGTGAGGAAAGCAGGTAGGTCGAGACGGGTAGGCTGGAGTAGGGAGTCGAGCGTGTGCCAGGACGCGAAGGGTTCCCGATCGTAGATGGGTTTAGCAGGTGGGAGGTAAGGGAGGGTAGGCTTTAACTTGAGCTTAGTGCTGGGCACTACGCCGACAGTAGGGCCAGGCGAGAGGAGGTGCAAGGCCAGCATGAAGTTGCCACGCTCGAGGTTGGCCGGGGAGCGCGGGAGCGCAAGCGACACGGAGATGTCGTAGGACTGGCGGTTGAGGACGCCTTCGAGGGAGGCGATCCCAAACGGGTTCGGGCCGACGCTGTACGTCAGTCTCGTCAGTTTCTTCCCATTGAGTACCCAAGGAGGTAGGTAGCTCAGGTGAGTGAGCTTGGAGTATCCTACCCATATTGCAAATGGACCGGCACGGTCGTCTCCAGCTGTGGGAGATACCTGTAGTAGAGTGTAAAGTACCCGATGACGGCGGGCACATAGAGCAGCGTTCCAACTATAGCAAACAGGACGGTCCCGATGACTAGGCTCTGCACCCACTTCGAGGCAGCAATGCTCTGCGCGAAGAGGACTGCCCGACGGACAACATATTGCGCTCTGGCGGTCGCCCGTCCGGGGAGGGTCGCAACGATGTCTCTAGCCTCGTCTAGGGTGAGTGCCCGTGCCCGTGCGGATGTTAGCTGCTTGTTGAAGAGTTGTTTGCTAAACGAAGCCGAGGTACGGCTCTCGCTCCCAGAGTACAGAACATACCATTGCTGCTGCGTGCGAACAGACCGCCAGAAAAGCAGCCTTTGAACGCCAAATTACCAATCCATGAGCTAAGCAACCGCCGTGGTGGCTTGAGGGTGGGCGCTAAAAGGATCGGGTTAGAATCGTCGAGGTGGTGTTTGATCTGGAATGAAGTGGGGAGCTGCCCGGGAGCTTGGAGCTGGAGCTTGGGCATGCCAGCGGAGCGATGCGGGCCCTGATGTCATTCTTGGCATTCACCCAGAGGATAAAATAACGGACGGCATTGTATGTATCTTGTATACCTCCATACTAGGTAAGTAAAAATAGAGTTTCAACCAGACAATAATACAAGTAAATGGAAGGCTTCTACTCCGATGTGGTATGCATTGGTGGAATCTCTATGTCTCTCGATCATTACACCACATGAAAACGCTGATACTGCAAGACCTAGACAACTTCACTGCAGTAACGTACGCAACGTTAACCTGACAAACAGCCATCGTAACAAACATCAACATCAACATAAACATTGCTCGTAAACAAATTTAACGTACATAACCCACACACCCGATACGCTGAACAGGTAACTATCCCCAAACCGCCACGCCAAATCTGGGAGAGAGAAGTGAAAAAGGGAATGCGAAGAAGAGAAATGCGAGAAAAAAAGTAAAGAAAAAAGAGCAGAAAAATCAAACCAAATCAAATCCCGACAAAACCCCCCCTCCTCGCTTAACAACCTTCTCCATTTTCCCATCAATATCAACATCTCATCTGATCACATCCATCTCGTCATATCAACCCAACAACCCTAAACAAGCAAACTCCCGCTATGCAGCAGCACCCTCTTCCTTCTTCGCCCACACACAGTCCCAGTCGTAGTCCCTAGCCTAGCAAGGCTGCAAATAATTACTCGGGACCAGCCCGACCTGTCCACTGCCACCCTGCACCGTGGCCTCCCACCAGCCATCGTCTTGGTGCCGCAGGATCGCTAGGACATCGCCCTTGGTGAAACCGAGCTCTTCGGGGATAGCGGCCTGGTACATGTATAGTGCGCGGGCTATTTTTGTTGTTAGTTTATACACTCGCTACCTTTTCGTGATGACCAGCAGGGAGAAGGTAATGGGATGGGAAAGGGTCGAGAAATGGGGTCGAGAAAGGGGGACTCGAAAAAGAAAAAACTCACCAAAATGCAAAATCGCCCTCCCATCCCTGGTATACCGACTCGGATCAGCCGCCACACTCTTACTCCTAACCCTCGACCCAACCGGTCCCGCGCCCTCATACAAGCTCATCCCATTCGCCGGACCACTCCCACTCCCATTTCTTCCCCCATCTCCATTATGCACACTCCCATGCACACTCCCGTGTACGCTCCCACCACTCCCACGCATACTCATCGCCGTATTCGACCTCCCATGTCGTCCGCGCATGGAAGATCCATTACCGCCCGCACTGCTGTACCCATCGTCTTGCCCAGCATTGTTGTTGCTATAGTTGTTGCTGTCCCGGCCGCCACTACTCAAAGGCGCAGGCGCCAACTGCACAGCCATATTATGAATACTCTCCCGTCCCATGCTCATACTACTGCTCGGCCTCTGTCCATACCCACCGCCGGACTGCGACTGGTAGTGTCCGCCATGCTGCTGATGATGATCCTGTACCGACGTCCGTGGCGAATACGTACTCCCCGGCGCGGGACTCGCCGCATTCCTCGCGTACGGCGACGACGGAGGCACAGGTGACGCGGCCGACGCACGAGGGGAGTAAAGTGCCGGGCTGACGGAGCGAGCCATGGACGGTTCCTGGGTGTTATGGTTGCTGACACTGCCGCGCGGGCTGGGGTTATAATACGCATCTGATCCCCGTTTGGTAGGCGACCCAACGGCTGGTGAAGACGGTGACGCAAGGGAGAGTTGTGAGACGGACCCGCGATGACTGCCTGATGCGTACGGGGCAGCAGGCGCAGGGGAAACAGATCTGTGGCTGGCCGCGCTGCTGGCGCCGTTATTGGTACGACTGCTGTGGTTATGGTAGCGTGACCCGGGCCGGGGCGAGACACCCCTCGGCGGAGCGGGGGAGGTGGCTCGCGGGACATCACTGCTGTTGGCTCGGCTGGTGACTGGGCGAGTGCTGCTGCCTCCGCTGTTGTTGAATCCATTAGTGCTGCCTCCCGACCCGGGGCGGTCGCTGAGTGGACTGAAGAGACTGCGGGTTTGGGCCTGGAACTTGGACGAGGCTTCTTTCATGGCTTTGGAAGTGACTGCGGGGGGCGGGACGCCGAGGCGGGCGACTTGGATTTGCTGGTCGTAGGAGGGCGGGGGGGTTCCGCGTTTGGCGGCGGCTATGACGCTGTTGTCGTGTCGGTTATTCATGCTGTTGCGCGCGGTGCCCGGGGTAGGGGTGGAGATGCCGTGGTAATGATCGGCTGACATGCGCCCGTTTCTTCCTTCGTCTGCTCTACCACCGCCAGCATTTCCTGCTGCTCCGGCAGCGCCTCCAGCTCCGCCCGTTACGCTCTTCAGCTCGGCCAGGGCGAGCGCAATGGGATCGTCCTCGGGGGTATCCGGAGCCGCGGCCTGCTTCTTGCGGTCCGGGGTGTCCACGGCAAACACATTGTTGCCGACGTTGAGGGCCAGGCTGGCGTTGGCAGCGATAGGGTCGGGACTGGCGCTGCGGTGGTCTGGCCCGATGACATCGCGAGGTCCTGGGGCTGCGGCCAGCTGGGGCCGGTTTTGTACCGAGGACGGTGCCCACGTATTGCGGTGGCTGTTGACCGGGTTGTTGGCTTCCTTGGTGCTCTTGCGCCGGAACGGACTGTGGTTCTGGAAGAAGCCACTCTTCTTCTTGAGCACCTTTTTGTCGGGGGACGAAGCGGGGGAAGAGTCTTGCTGCTGCTGCTGTTGTTGCTGTTGCTGCAACTGCTGCTGCTGTGGCTGCTGTTGTTGACGATGCTGCAATTGCTGTTGCTGGGGCAACGATTGTTGTTGTTGATGTTGCAGCTGTTGGTTCTGACTTTGCTGTTGAATCTGCGGCGACTGCAACGGCTGGTGCTGCAATAGATGCTGCTCCTGCTTGACCGGCGACCCGGCACCGCCACCGGGCGGCTCCTGGCTCGAGAACGACGTCTCGCTGTGCGAGTCTCTGCTAGAGGGCCGTGCAGACGACGACGATGGCGCCGTGCTCAGGTCCGAGGCTGTCGGCCGGCACAGCATGGTCATGCCGTCCATCGGGTACGGGTCGTGCGGGACAGGGGCAAACTCGTTGGGATCGTACTCGATATTGTTGTTGTTATTAGCCTGTTGTTGATGCGGCTGCTGGAGTTGCTGCTGCTGATAACCCCTGGGAGCCTGGCTCCTCGACCGCTGGTGGTGTTTCTGGACCTGCGGCGGCTGCGGCTGCGGCTGCGGCTGCGGCGGTTGTTGCTGCTGTTGATGCTGAAGCTGGAGCTGCTGTTGCTGCTGCTGCAACTCCTGAGGGGGCGGAAGCGCAGGCACCTTGGACGGCGTCGCAGTCACCTCACGACCGCGCGGGGTCGTGGCATCACCCAGACCCAAATCCCGCGCTAGGGCCGAGTTGGGGTCGTGGTGCGACTCAAACATGGACGGCTGCGGCGACGACGAGCGGAAGGCCGGGTTGATGCTGCGCGGAAACTGGGCCACCGAGTAGTTGTCGTCTTCGGACACCTCCGACTGCGCGTCGACATCCCCGCGGCAGAAGTTGATGTACTTGGGGGGGTCCGGGATCTCCTGCCCTGTGCCGCGCTCCTTGATAAAAGTGAAGATGTCCTTCTCGACCTCCATCTTCTCCAGCGAAAGCCGGATCTTCTCGCACGACGAATCGTCGCTGACGCACACCGTCGACGCGATGTTGGTAAAGTTCCACATGCTGCTCTTGGTAAAGTCCAGCCGTTCCTCCTCGAGATCCTGGAACTTGTCCGCAGCGGCCTTCCACTCGCGGTTCCACCGCGCCGTGGTTTCTTCCAGCGCCTTAACCGCGGCCTCGTACTCGGTGTTGGACGTCGCCAAGCTGATCTGCGTCTTCTCCAGCTTGGCCTTGTTCTTGCGCTCCTCCTGGCCCATCACCATGTGGCCCTGCGCCAAGTACCCCTTGATCTTGAGGCACTCCTGTTCGTACCGGTCGCGCGTCTTGTTGACCTGCTGCGTCTGCTGGACTTTCGTCTTGAGCAGTTTTTCGACCGTGTTCTGCACGATCTTGCGCCGTTCCTTCATGGCCCCCGCGAACGCGGCCAGTGGCTCTTCCAGCTCGCTCTTCATCTGCGCTGCGACGTGCTGGTGCTGTTTCGCCATCGACTCAACCTCGCCGCGGACTATGTCAAGCGACGACTTGAGCGTGCCCGTTTCTTGTGAGCCAAGCGACTTGCGCGAGAGTGACATCAGCTTGCGCGCGTACTCGTCCTCGATCGATGCGCGGGCTGTTGTTATTGTTGTTTACATTAGCACTGACTAGGTCCCCCCCCGGGGAGTCTGTCTCCCTTTACAACAACAAAACAACCAAACACTCACCACCGTAAAAGGCGCGCAGCTCATCGCATGTCTGCTTCGCATTATGCATGCGCTCCAAGAGCGGCGGAACACCGGCATCGTCCTTTCCCCAGAAGTTATTCGCAACTATCCCGGTCAGTTAGTCAACCCTCCATTTTATGACACCGTCAATATCCCCCCGTTTCACACCGCGCACATACAGGAAAGGGCGACGGCCGGTGCGTCGGAGATGGTGGCCGGCATGGCGTCTGATAGAATCCCTCAGCACGGATGCGAAGACAATCGAAAAATACCAGACGAAGCGGAGCCGGGGGTGGTTGTTGTTGTTTTAAGAATCGCGGGGTGGATGACCCGGGGGAGGGGTGCTGAGTCCGTGTCCGGTCCGGTCCGTAAATCCCAATTGTTGACCGATTTTCTCTTCTCCCTGTCGATATTTGCTGGGAAATATCACCAAAATCTAGCAATTGGTGAAAAAAAAAAACACAAAATAACCACGCTCCGGCTAAAGAGGTTTGCAGGTTGCAAAAACAAAAAAATCAAGGTGGTTGTGTTGGTGGTGTGTGGGAAAATGAGTGTGCCAGTGAGGTGTGGAAAGGTCTGGGTCGGTTCAGACGTGGCACACTGGAGCTGGTCATGCAGGGCCGGCAGGCCTGCCAGGACAGTCCACACACACTGCAAGGAATTGTTGACGCTCCCTGGCTGAGCGCAGGGCGATTGGTTGCTAGGGGCAACTCGCCTTGCCGCTCGCCTGCAGCGGCTGCAACTTGGCAAGTGGTCCAATGTGAGCTGAGCGCGGGTGCCAAGCGCCGAGTGCCAAGTCTTTTGTCGGTGTCAGGTCCCGCATTTCTCATGCAGCCTCTTTCCGCTTGTTCCAGTGCAACCTTTTTCAACGCAGCTTTTTTTCCAGAATTGATTTGGCGTTGCATGTGTTCTGCGTCCTCTGTGTGGTAGTTATGCGGTCCATCTCGGGCTATCACTCTCGGAATTCAACCTCCCGAGAGAAGACAACAATTCCTCATCACAACGAGCCATTGACTCAATTAAACACCAAATTCCAATTGACATCACTCCATTAACGAGTTATCCGTCTCTCAATATGAGTTTGAGTCCTTATACCTCCTCAACTTCAACACATCACTCAACTTAAGCTTCCCCTTCGCGCCCCAGCCCGCCTGTCCACTTTCCACATCGGGTCTCACCGCAACGTACCTGTCCCACGCGCGAACGTGTCAGCGATTTTCAGAATCCCCACTTTATAATCAGACCTGGCTTCACAGCTGCACGACATGGCCGAGTCGGGACGAGCTCATGCCCCAGGGGTCACTGCGTATGTTTGAATACTGGGGGAATCACTTACCAACTCCATGCTCGCCGGTCCAGCTCAACGGCACTGATATGCCCCGCCCAGCTATCAAACACCAACCTCAGCGCCCCGAGTAATAACCCCAGATTCTCCTCTTTCTCTGCCTCCGTCTCCTTTATCGTCTTCACCTTTGGTTTCTTCGTACTCTTCTCCTCTGCCTCTGCCTCTCCTTCTCCCCCCACCTTCACAACCCCCCTCCCAAAACTCCTCAACAAATACCCCCTCGCCCCCTCCGGCCGATGAACCGGCATACCCACCACCTGCGCATTCTTCCTCCTCGCATCCTCCAAATCCAACCCCCACAACGCCTCCCCCCGATTAACCACCACTTCATCCCCGGTCTTCCGCAACCGTTCCGCCAGGGCGCCTGATACACAATCCTGCATCAATCGCCACCTGTCCGGTCCCAGCATCGTCCCGCCGAACCAGCGGGTTAGTACCACGAGTGTGTTATCGCCAGCACCGTGCTCGCGGAGGATGCGCAGGATGAGGTTGCCGCTGCCTGTTTCGCCGTCGTCGAAGGAGTCCTCGCGGATGCGGGTCGAAGTAGATCCAGAGCCGGAAGAGGGAGTGAAGAAGTTGGCGCGGGGCGGACAGATGCGGTAGGCCCAGGCGTTGTGGCTGGCCGTTTGGAGGTGGGGGATGTCGTGGAGGAGGGCGTCGATGAGGGCCTTGCGCTGGGAGGGGTCGGTGATGGTAGTGGCGCGGGCGATGAAGGTCGAGTCTTTGAGGGTGATGGGTTGGCTGGTGGACCAGGTGGGTTTGTGGGCTGTGATTGTTAGGGGGTTGTTGCTGGTGGGTGTAGTGATGTGTTGTTCGGTTTTGACTTGTGGTGATGTCACCGTTCTCGTCTCTGCTGCCGACCCTTCACCCCCCTGCCCCTCGCCTGTTGTAGCCGTATCCGTAGCCGTAGTCGTAGTGGCACTCTCCCTCCACTCATAACCCCCCCTCTTCAAAACCGCCACCTCCCTCCCCAACACCTTCACCCTCGGCTGGCCCTCCCCCCACCCTTCCTCCTCCGCACTCGGCCCCCGATTCAACCCCAAACTGACCGCCTTCGACCGCGAATTCGCGCTCACCACCGCCTGGCCCAGACTCAGCCGACTCGACAGCGGCTGGTCGGGCATCGTGTGCCGCAGCGCTTCCACGGCGAACGCGAGCACCAGCGGCGCGCGGTTGGTTTCGATTACGGTGTTGGCGATGCGTTCTTCGTCGAGACATAATGGTAGTTCGAGGGAGGCTTCGAATTCTTGCGGGGTGAGCTCGGCGGACCTGGGCATGAACGGGTTGGTGGTTGTCTTGGTCCGTTTGGGGGAGGTTACTGTGGCGGTTGAGTCTGGTGCTCCGCGTTTGGTGGATGTGGTGGATGCGGCCCGCTTGAGAGCTGCTTTGCAGGCGTTGTGAAGTGGCCGGGCGGCCTTGTCGTCTTTAAGAGCGGCTTGTACCGTTTCTAGGGGTGCTTCGGCGATTTGTTTGATGCTGTGATATGTGAGTACTTCATCTTGTCAACCAAAAAGAAATTAAATAAAATATAGAATTCTCTGTGTCCTACTCCATGCCTGATCCCTCTTTACCAATTCGACAGACACACCATAATAAGAACCTACTCACCTCTTGAGATCGGCCGTCTGGAGGGCCTTGACCTGGCCCATCGCCTGCAGCATGGGGGTCTTGCGGACGATGGTAATAAGCCGCAAGAGCTCTTGCAAGTCTTGCTGAGCTGACATATTCGTTATTTGTTCCCAAGAATCTGTACTGATGAAAAACAACGAGATTGATAGATGGGATGGGATAGAATTGATGTTGTGACACCGTGAACCGGTGGTTTGGGAACGACCGCGACACCCCTGTACCAGGTGCCTGCCAGTCCTTGGCACTCGCCGCGGCAGGCAATTGTGGGGTTGCCAGCCGTGAGGTCAAACATCGGCTCAGTTCATCCAAAAGTTTCACCCCACCAAGTTACTGGAAAGAGTCACTCTTAAATTCACAACAATCCAGGGGAAGCTTGATACCCCCGGACTATCCCAGCAACATGAAGAGGTGACATTAAACTCGCCAAAAACAAAACATTAGGCATCAATTGGACCAGATGCCCAGGATGATCCCCGCTCAAATACCACGGCGAGCATTGCTCGCTCGCCCGAGCTTCACTCCTATCAACAACTCCTCTTCCATATCCCGAGCTTTCACTCTCTCAACTCGACGCGGCGCCCGGCCCCAGCAGGCCATTAAGCTCCAAAACCCCTCAGCACGCCGTCCCCCACCAAATCAGCCACCACAACCATCACCATCACAAACCTCCAAGTCCTCCCCTAAAACCGACTCTCTCGCCAACCTCGTCAACGACAAGAAATGGCCCCTCTTCGGAGCCGGGCTCGCAGCCTTGGGGATAGGCCTCTACATCTCCCTCGTCATAACCACCACCCTCAAGGAGAAGAACTCTCCCCCGGCAACAAAAACACCACTTGATCCCACCCGAACTCCAACATCAACAACAACCACCACAACCCCAGAACCCATTCCCCTAGACCTCGGCCCAGCCCCATCCTCCCCGAACCTCCAACCGCCCCCCACAGGCCTCCCCTCAACCCTCGACACCACGACCCCCACAACCGCCGCCCAAACAGCCCTCGCCTTCGACCGCTCCCTCAACACCCCCGAATGGCTCGGTGGCATCACCACCCTGCGACGTCAACTCGCAGCCCGCGCCCGCGGCCACGTCCTCGAAGTAGCCGTCGGCACGGGCCGCAACCTGAGTTTTTACGACTGGAGCGAGGTCGTGTCTCAGTCCCAGGACGAGGACGAGGCGCGCACGGCGAGGGAGAGGGAGCGGGTTGTGAGGTTGTTGGATCGGCATCGGCTTGGGGGGCCTACGTTGCGGGAGCAGAAGGAGAGAGAAGCTGCTGGGGAGGGGGGGTTCGAGGTGGGGAGTGAGGAGGGGGAGGTGTTGAGTTATACGGGGTTGGATATTAGTGGGGATATGTTGGGGGTGGCGCGGGATCGGATTCGGGAGACGGTGCCGGGGTTGGTGAGGTTGATGAGGAAGAGAAGGTTGGAGGAGATGCCGAGGTTGTTGAAGACGGATGGGGTTGGGCCGGAGGGGTTGGCGGTGGTGGATGCTTTGGATGGGAGGGTGAGGTTGGTTTTGGGGGATGCTGTTAGGGGGTTTCCTGCTCCTCCGCGTCCTGCTCCTCCTCGTTCAGCTTCACAAACACCACAGACACGGACACAGACACAAAAACAACCCACAAAATACGACACAATAATCCAAACCTTCGGCCTCTGCAGCGTCCCTGACCCTACGACCCTCCTCGCTAACATGGCCTCCCACCTACAGCCCAACACAGGCCGCATCCTCCTGCTCGAGCACGGCCGCGGCACCTTCGACTGGATGAACCGGCGCCTCGACACGTCCGCCCCGCAGCACTTCCAAAAGTACGGCTGCTGGTGGAACCGCGACATCGAGAGGCTGGTGGCCGAGGCTGCTGAGAAGGTTCCCGGCTTGGAAGTTGTGCGGTTGGAGCGGCCGGGGTGGTTCCAGATGGGGACGACGTTGATGATTGAGTTGAGGGTGAATCGGGAGAAATAGATGAGATAGCACTGGGGTACCGATACAAGAGGCAAAGCTGGTGGGATTCAGTCAATGAATGTACGAATATTGAGATGGGCAGTTGTAGACGATACACGATACATTCCGTGTAAGAGAATTGCGAAGCTTGATAGCCGCGAGACCACGCTTATTTAACAAATTTTAACTTGGAAATGCGTTTTAGATGGGAGATTGATCGTAAATTTTAACCCGCCGGAATGCGCCCCAACAACCTCGTAGGGCCAGTCATCCTCTAGCTATGCAGCAAATGCCGCAAGCAACCTCAAGATCTCCTCTATGGGTCCTTGTCTGCGCCGCGCCTGTCCCATAAAACACATCGCTCCTGGCGCATACATACCGCCGCCAACCAACTCCAAGACAAGTACCATCGCCGAAAAAAGGGGTGGGCTGTGTAGTCGTACATCAAATACACGCCAGATCTCTTCGATCCAGACGGTCGGGCCTTATTCGGGCCTCTCTTTCCCCGTGAGCGAGTCATCAATCCTTTCCTTTTTCCCGTTCTCCTCATCGTTGTCTCCGAGCTTTTGTCATCCTTTTCCCCAGACCGCCCCCATAGCACCTAAGTCTCCGTTTTTTTCTACCGAGACATCAAACGAGGTGAGAGAAAACGAACAGAAAAGAAATAAGGAATAGAGGAGAGAGATGCTCAGAGGAAAAATAATTCGCAAGGCAAACCACCAACGATGCCACAATTGACCGCCAACCCTCCGTGTCCAGAACGCCATTTTGCAACCCACATCAGCTAAGTCATAAACGCCGTGAACCTAGCCTCGTCTATGGGATGACCTGGCCATGATGAAACCGTAAAGCACAATTTTGTCCGCCGACATAACAACATAAACACTGACAATATGAAAGACAAGAAGGAAAAACAAGAGGAAATTGACACAACACGTATCGCAAGCTGGTGGAACCACCCGTCCAGCCATCACCATCCTACAAAGTGCCACACTCCGGGTAGAGCACACCACAGTAGGGGTTAGACATACCTTGCAAGGGTCCTTGGTCAGGTCGGATCCCCGGCTCAGTAGTCATTCAACAACCCATCAAGCTCGTCGAGCTCAATGCTCTCGGGACTGCGATCCCACTCCAGCATACCCTCAAGTTTGGTCCAATTGTCGAGGTCGCCGTCTTTTCTCCCGAACTGGAGAGGCACGACTGACGGCCGAATCGCCGGACTAGAGACAAAAGCCGCCGAAAACGCGCTCACGGTGCCAAACAGCGAGCTCTCGTCTCTTTCGAGATCCATCAAGCTCGACGTCTGGTCGGCCGCGTGCGCGTTATTCGACGGGGCAGGATCGCCGTGGAGTTTCCTCCTTTGCAGGCCATCCGCCGTCTGAGTGAACTCCTTCTCGTCCTTCTCCAAGGGGGGCGACCCGGCACGGCCGTGACGACCGCTGTGCACCTGGCGCGGCACGTAGAACCCGCGCATGGAAAACGAGCCAATGGGTGTGCTGGGCATGGCGGCATCGTCATCCATGTCGTCGAACTCGGGGCTGGACAGGTCAACCTCGGGGCTGGGGCTGCGCTCGCGCTGCCTCTCCGAATCCGAGTCGTCAGCGGTCATGGACGGGGCGCTTGACGGGCTCGGGGAGGCCATAGTACGGCTATGCGCGAGCTGGCTCAATGGAGAGCCCTGCGTAGTGTCCGGCAGTGGCTGGTGCGCGCAGGTGGTGAGGTAAAAGTATGTGCGCCGGGGGTGAACCGTCTCAAGTTCCTTCGCCAACGGGCATCGCCCGGCTGAAGACCAATCAGACCTCTTCAGGTACGCAGCCAGGCGCGACGAGATGATGGCACACGGGTTCGCAGATCTGCACAAACATTGGTTAATCCTTCAGCTGCTCTTCGTTGGGAGCCAACTCGGGAACAAACTTACTGTTGAACGATCTTCAGTTGTGGCATCAGAATCGCAGCCAGCTCCTTTACCAGGTGCGGGCGATTCCCTGTGCTTTGCAGCTGGATGATGACCGCCTCAACGATCTCGTCATTGATGCTTTTCATGTCGATTGGTTCTGGGTCTGCGCTCTCCTCGTCGCCCATCTCGATGGAGGGGCGCTCGGCCGGGGGTGACGGTGGTGGCGTGTTATCGAACTTGGCATTGTTCTCGCGCTTCTTTGCCATGCGCCCGATTTGAGGCGCATCATCAGAGGACTCGCTGTACGTGCGCTTGAGCCGTTTTGTCGTTGGTTGGGGTTGTTTTGAGGGAGATGCAGGAGAAGCCATGGAGACGGGAGAGGTACTGCTTGAAGAGGCTCGACGATTCGCAGGCGCGCGGCCGGTATGAGACCCAGGAACGTGAATGCCCAGCGAATGCAGCGAGAGCGTCTTGTGACGGGTATTATACGGCCGCATGACTACCTAGGTATACTCGGAGACGGGAAACCAGGAGTAATAATAGGAGGTAAAAATATCAAACGGAAATGCGCCTGGTTTGCAAGTTGCGAGGGGGGAGGAGTCCCTGCTCTGGCTCTGGTCTCGGCTTTTCGGTGGGATGTTGGATCGCCAGGTCTAAATGGGGACAAACACCAATGCACGACTCGCGCCCGTTCAACACTGCACGACAAGCACGGAGGACCCGGGACAGGAAATGGAAAAAATCGTAATGGGAAATAATACGGAAAGAAAGAACCACTCCCGGAGATGATGATGGAGAAAGAGAAAAATAACAGCGAGACGGAGGGTTCGGGAATGGGCAGGGAAGCAGTGGGAGGAGGACCCTTCTCTTCCCAAGAAACTGCCGTCACTTTTTTTTCACCCTTGCCGTTTGGGCGGCTGGAGGGGGTGGCTGCCCGGGAACTGTTTGGGATGATGGAAGGGGCGACGGCTTCGATGCGCAAGAGTCCAGGCTACGGCTGCCAAGCCTCGACGACGGAAGTGGCAGAAGCCAATCACATTTCACGCTTACGACTGGGATGTCCTGGTCCCCCATCCTGAAAGGCGGTATGCCTCCACTTTCTAGAGTCGACTTCCCGATCTGTGTGGCTCCTCACCCACTTGTCCACTTGCCCCATGCAGAATTTGACTGAAGCGAGCTGCGTGCTGCGAGGAAGGCTCGAAGGCATGAAAAGCAGACATGCGAGGAAAGCTGCCTCGCACCGAGGAGACAACCTTCCGAGCGGAGACATCCCACTGATGCCCACATGCGCTGACCCACTCTAAATTTCTCTTGACACACGACATGTTCCGATTCTGGCCAGGAAAGAGCCAATCGACGTGGGCGCGGAACGGCCCAAAGTCGGCTGCGGGCAACAAGAACGCGTTGCTCTGTTTGCCGTCATGACTTTTGATGTTTTCTTTTTTCTTCTCTCCTTGTTTTGTTCCCGGTTTTTTAGCCTGTTAGTTTGGGCTGTGACCGATCAGTGACATCAACAACCCAACCCCCTCCCCCCCACCATCCATCACAAGTTGGAGGGGCCGAGGGGCCGTCACCGGTTGGTACAAACCAGCCGCGCCTTGGGCGCTGGGGTTCAAGGATAGGAAGTAGAGAAAGCTGGCGCGGCTCACCATTCCTGACCGCAGTTCGCAGTACGAATTGAGCGACGGCGCATGATCCGGTTCCGAGTCGACGAAGCGGGGTGTATTTCGGGATTCATCCCTTGAAGTCCCGCAATCCACCAGACGCCGCCTTCCCGAGGCTGTTGCTCCTCCTCCACCGGCTGGCTCACCGCCCAGCTGGCCCCCCTGGAACGTGGCGGCGAACTGGTTCCCCCGGCCACGAAACACCACGCGACAAATAAACGGCGACAATCCGCCGCGCTTTGAGACCGCCGCCACCTTTTTGATCTGCAAAATGACGATTACCCCGCTCTGAGAAAACCAGAACTTCCCTCGTTCTCTTGTCGCATTCAACTCTGGGGCGGTCGAAGCCCAAACAAAAAGGTCGCAAGACACCCGGGCTTCCCTCGTTCGCTTGGGCTTGTTTTTTTTTTTTTTTTTCTCCGTTCCAGCCGCGCTAAAGTTCCATGTTCATCATGTTCCCGTCCGGCCGTTGCCACGACCCACCTGCTGCAGCCTCTTCCCCTCCCCGCCCGACTAGTCCGCTTGCGGTTACCACATCTGAGAAAATGCCGCCAGCCAATTGAAACACTCATATTCCAGACGATTTCTTCTTTCGGCCGATGACCCGCTCAAGCAAGATCCCCGCTCGGACCCTGTGGACGCACGAGCTCGTCCCGTTTCACAGGACCCTTCTTTTCTTTTCCCAATGAAGAGCACATCGGCCCGGGCAGGCAGAAACCCTCCGCTGTCCCCCACGCCAGGACTCACCGCCCGCTTGTCTTTTTGTCACAAGCTCGTAACCTCGTAACCTCGTAAACCAATACAAACACCCGGATCTTGTCCCCATGGGCAGGAAGCTGGCTCGTCACGACGAGAGACATTGTTTGCAACGTGTGTTTTATCTTACCGGGTGGCTGCAGCATATCGACGATCCCACCCCTCTTGTCTTGTCGATGGATCAGATCTCAGAATGGTGTAACCGCGTGAGGGGCTGGAATTTCCCGCTAACAACTGACCACTTACACCATAAGGGCGACCACTCAGCACGGACATGCATGGACACGCAGCAGCCCCTCGGTCGATTCTTGCGTCCCGTGTAGATTGCGGTCAGTCAACCCGTCCGTCTCGACTCTTAGCCCCCCAGACTTGGGGTCGATCAGTTTGTTTGGCTGCACGACATCCATCTCGACTTTGCGCTTGCATCGATTCGCAAACGCCGAGAATTGCCTGGTCTGTGAGAGGTAGGCTTCATGCACGTTTCCGGCGCATGGTTTCTGAGCGCAGATTATTTCGGTGTGTGAACCAACCAAACCCGCAGCGTACAGCACAGTATCGGGAATTGTATCTTGGTGGTCGTTGCACCGTTTAATCTTGTTGGTGATGAGGAGGAAATATTAGATTTCAGCAATGGCGGACGAAACAAGGTGGGATGGAATCGCAATATTTCCAGACCACTCTGTTAATTAACAAAACCCCCTGGGCGGCGAGTTGGGCCGTAATATATCACGAACTACGTTCGTAATTTAGCCCAAATTTCCAAGCGACGTCCATTCTTACCACCGGTTCCAGTGTCACTAAAGAGCCGTTGTTACGAGGATAAGATGATGTCTTCCAAACCTCCCCATTCCAAAAAAAGAGGGGAAAAAAGGAAAAGAACATTCATACATGGAACCAAACAACAAACGCAACCAACCAACCAACAGACATACCATCCCACCACGATCTTTAAGTTAGAGACAATACAGACTCCATCAGCCAAGCCCATACCGAAAATTCCTCGAAAAAAGAAAGGAGGTTGATGGATGTACATCTGTCATGAATCATGCCACTGCTGCTCTCCTGATTTCGGATATCCCCTAACGACTGAACCCAGTCAATCCTCAGCTAACACAGCATGCATCCACATAACAACTCCTGTTTTCACGGCCTAATTAAACCTGAAGAGGACATGTAACGACCTGGGCCCTGATGCTCTACCCTACGATAAAGGGGGAAGTAAATACTATGGTTCAGAACCGTAACTGTGGGTGCTAATGAAGTATAAAAGGGGACCTTTGGAGACACAATGAAAGATTACTAAAAGGGACATGGTAAGAATACGCAATATGTTACACAAAAAGGACGGTCAATAGCAGGGAGGGCCCGGTTGCTTGGTCAGAGCTTAAGATCAACAAACGATAAAAGGTTACATCATTTTTCAGTACATATCGAGGCTGGGTAAACGCGGTAAGGCCATGGTCAGCTACACACCTAAAAGCGATGCGCGGGAAGATAACGCTATAGCCCATCAACATGTATCAGTTACCAAAGATGGTGAGCACGGCCAGTATCAGGGGGGAAAAGTGAATGTTGTGTTGTTCTTACACGGGCTTTAGCTATTATTCACATATCTCAATTTCCCAACAACTTACCATAAACCAAATAATTAAAAGACAAGTCACACTATTTCTCAACGTCATCAAATAAAACCCATTGTTTTCATACAATAACAAGAATACATACAAATGCCCATGTGCTGATCCGATCACCAGATCCATCGCATCAATAAGTCTGTCTCATGGTCCATAGTAAAAAAAGAAGGAAGCAAAAAATAAAAACGATGAGATGAGTGAACGTTTCTCTCTAAGCACAGCAGCCCGCACCGCCCTCCCCACCAACGCCGTTCCCATGATGTGTTGTCATCTAAAAGCGCATGCGCATCAAGAAGAGTAGCAGAAAATGGGAATCAGGGAAAAGAAAAGTTAAAACAAAAAACGAAAACGAAAACGCGGCGCTTCTTCATCGAGTACATGATCCTCCGGGATTAGGTTTTATATTCACATAGCCTTGTTATCGCTCAGCGATCCGGCGAGCCATTTCGAAAAAACCATTACCTCCCCGGGCATTTCGTATTTCCTGCCTGCCTGACTCGTCCCGTCTCATGCGTGCCTCATTATCCTTTGCTCGGCGCCGTTTTGTGTTCGTTGGTTTGGTAAGATGAGAGATAAATCATCAATCGTTTCACCTTCCCGTGTCGTTCATTGAACTGATTCACGGGATGAGGCTGTGGTATTTGTTTGCGGGATGCCATTCGTGTTTGTCTAAGCCGCCGGCCGGAGAAGCTCAGCGAACCGTTGAGCAACCTGTAATTCCAAGGGTTGATTAGTACTTGAAATGCGCTTCACCTTGAGAATGGTTGACATACCTCTGGCGACGACTTGATGAACGGCAAGTCAAAGAAGTGGAAGCTCTCGTTCTTGAGAAGTTCCAAGGTAGTGACCATCAGCCCCCACGGCTGCGGCCAGTACCCGATAACCCTCTCCAGCAGGATGCGTGTAATCTGTTGGCGAATATCCGTCTCCTCCGGGTCCGACATGTCCTGGCCGAAGAGTTCGACCAGCGCGTGGCTGAAGTAGTTTGTGGACGCGTTCGGGAACCGGAGCTCGTTGACCATGCTGTTGAGGAGGTAGTACCTCGCCTCAGGGGAGACCTCGGTCACGAGCATGTGCAGGGTTTTGGCGTCCGACGCCCCAGACACGAAAATCGGCGTCTCGCTCTTCGCGCTCGAGCGGGACACGGCGAAGTGGGCAAACTGCGCGATCACCGCGTCAACGACCCGTCGGTTCACGGCCATGGGGACGTAGCCAAAGCTGGATTCCTCCTGCTCAACCTTGTTGATAGCGTGGTTAATCTGGGCGATGGCATCTTCTGACGGGCCACTCTGCAGCGCGTGCTCGAGAATATCAAGCAGACCAATTTCCCGGAGAAGGCTGGCCGAATCGAACATCGTCGGGGCGGGCTCTCTCATCTCAGGAATCCGATCTGTCTTGAGCCCCGGTTGCGTGGGATCTGTTTGCTTGTCGAACGCAGCCGGTGTGGCGGTAAGAATGAAGTTGACAAGCTGCGTCACGTGCGGCGGCAGGCTTTGGCACAACTCGACGTGGTTTGCGGCGAGGTATTCAGGGAAGTCGTGATGGAGAACGGACAACAACCTCAACGCGCCATGGTACATGCCCTTGGCGAGGGTAGAAACGGAGAGTGGCTTCAACAGTTCGCCGAGGTGCACAAAGAACTGCGTGAGCAGCTTCGTGAATGGTGCCCATCCGGCTTCGTCGTGCAGCCGAAGGATGACGGGGAGGAAGCTGCGATGGATCAGGAGATCGGCCCAGGCGAAGGTGAAGCCGGGGTAAAGTGCCGGCCGGAGATCGTAGAGCCGGTTCGCGAAAGTCAGAATGATCTGCTGGTAATCCCGCTCGGCAAGATGGGGCGCGAGATCCGCCACCTCATGTAGGATGAGCGAGAAGAAACGGAAGAAGACGCGCTGGTTGAAACCATCTCCGCGCTTAAGGTGGTGGTTGTTCAACACCAACACGCCGAGGGACAGCACCGACCCCAAGAAAGCCACACTGCTGGAGTGTTCGCCATCTGTGTGCGATTTGACGAAGATCAAGATCATCCTGACCAGTGACTCGATGGGTTGGTACGCCTCAGTCAACCCGCCACCGGCTTGCAGGGTCTGCTCAAAGCGCTCCACGGATTTATCGAGGGCGTGGCGGGTGAAGAGGAGAAAGTCATCCTTGTTGCTGACGACGCCACGTGAGTGCATCTGCTGGACGAATATCATGGCTGACTTCTCGGTGGCAAAGCGGTTGTTGCACAGGTGAATCCACTCCTCAAACACATAGTCCATCTGGTCGAGCTGGATAGTATCGAGCTCTTGCTGGTTAAGATGAGGAGGCAGCTCCGGTGCCGGGGCGAGGATCTTGGACTTGAACCGTGCCGCGCCCGGAACATCCGGGTCCTCCGTGATCCATGACCATGCCTCTTCCAGGCTGCGCACGAAGTCGGCATAGAGCGCGAGCGGGCTGTCGTTCAGAAGGGTGAGGTCCATAAGTTGCTCGAGGAATGCGATGGTCCCTTCCTTCCTTTGTTGAAGAAGCTTGGCCGTAGCGGCATCGATGCTTCTCCAGTCGAGGAGGTCGGTCGGGAGCAGCGCGTTGATAAGGGGTAGGTTAAGAAACAGCTGTCCGGGCTGTTGGTGGAACAGCTGACGAATCTGCTCGCTGATGATGGGCCCGGCAATCTTGCGCAGTGTCTCGAGGACATGGACGAGGCACTCCAGCACCACATCGCCCTCGGGTTGGCGGAAAAGGAGCTGGGAGATCTGGTTAGCCGCGAATGCCGCGAACTCCTCTGACGTCTGTTGCGTCTTGATGATAAGTTGGACCAAGGCGTCAACGAGATCCAGAACCGGATGCGAGCGAGGAAGGTCGCTGAAGTGCTCCTCGGTAGCGCTTGCTGCCGCGTTGGTTAGTTGCTCGAGGAGCTTGGTCACTCTCTCGGCAATGCTCCTCGAGTCAATCTGGTTGATGCCCGTCTGTCGGCCATTAGTGAGCCCCGCGTGGGCTTGGGGGTAGTGCTGGAGCTGCACTCCCAGGTGAGGCATCGCCGGGGTCTCGGCAGGAGTTGGGATGTTGCTGACGGCACTGAACTGTTCACCGAGGGCCTCGTTTGCGATGGACCTAGCATCAGACGCAGACGGTGCATGCGATGGCCCTGATGACGTGGGGGCTACCCTCGACTGACGGACGAAATCGTCGTAAATCGCCATCTGCTCGGCGTTGAGGCCAGAGAGACTGGGCTGCAGCTTAAACGGATGGGGAATAGTCATTGCCCAGCGGCTCAAGCCATGGTCCATGTAGGGATCCGAGGGCCGCTGGAGGCGATGACGGCGCCGTGCCTCCAGCTCGGGCTCTATCAAGTCTTCGATTTCTGGAATGGCGCGCTCTTCGGCGCACTTCTCAATGATGCTCGAGGCCAAGTCCAGGTTCGAGTTCACACATAGCATGATGATGCCCTCGGGGAGCCCCTGGGGCAGATCTGCAGAGAGGTTGCGCAGATAGTTGGCAAGATTTGCGCGCAGCGGCTCCTTGGACGTGACCAACGCCAGGCTGCCGGCAGTCGACTTGACCATGTTAATGGCAGCCGTCCGCACCTTGCTCTCGTCGGGCTCGGTAGCAAAGTCCTTGCGGACCATCTGGTGGGTGGAAATTGCCGCGATAGTAACGGACCGATCAACGACGGGCTGGATAATATCCTGCAACGCGCGTGTCAAGGCTTGCCGCACAATCTCGTGCAACTTCGCGGCACTGACGACCTCTGTCTGAGGAACCGACAGGTCGGGGCCAAGATCTGGGATGGTGAATGCTGGGTGCGACGAGAGGGGCGCGTTGACGCCGGGCATGCCATTGAGGGACAGGCTCTCGAAATTCTCAAGGACCTCAGGCCCAAGAATATCGCCCATCTCCTGAATAGGAACCCGGTTCAGGATCTCGCCCGAGGGCTCGATAGCCTTATGATCAAGGTTGAGGCCTTTGCAGAGCACCTCGATCTCGAACTTAAGGTTCAGCTTCAGTTCAGCATTATGATAGAGCTCAATCAGCAGATGAATAATATCCATCAACCAAGGATTGGGCGGTCGGAATACGTTGGATGAAGCGCCTTGGATGAGAACTTTGCACACGAAGGGAATCACGACAATGAGCCGCTTGGTGTCGTGCGCCTCGATTAGAAGCTGTTTGAAGGCGATGTGCTTGTGTCTGATCGGTTTGTCGCGTGCCAGGGTAAGAAGCCCCAACCAGCCTCCAAGGTTCTTGAGATGCGTCCGTTCGGTTGAGTTCTGCATGGTCCCTTCTGAGTTCAACATGCGCGAGACACTAATGTAAGTCTCTCGCTGGACTTCAGCCCACAGCGCCTTGTCCTCAAACTGCTTGACGAGCTCCAGGTACACATGGTGGTAATTTGGTTGCATCTTGGCACGCTCCTCTACTAGATGACTAGCAAACCATTGCTGATGTTTGGCTTCGAGCATCTCGCGGATCTCCTTGAACATGGACTGAAGGGTCGTATCAGTGAGGTTGTTGAGCACGAATTGGATTTTTCCCTGGTCGTCTTCGTCGGGGTCCTCAAATGCGGTACCCGGGACAATAGGATCCACGTTGATCGAGGCGAACGGGGGCGGGTGTTGTTCTGCCGCCAAACTATCCTCGAGGTTGCCGTTGGTCAGCGCATCGTGGCCGACGATCCCCGAGTTGGCCAAGCTCGCGCCATTACGACTCCGCGCAAGTTCTTCATCATGCTCTCGCACCACCTCCTCCGCCTTTTTCCACGCTTCGGTGCCTTGCAAGCCGGGAATCTGGAGAAGTTGCGCGCAGAAGCCTGGCCACTCGCGGAGGCGACCGAAAAGCTGCATGAGCGCTTGAAGTCCAAATTTGTACATGGACTCGTCGGGATGGTGGTCTCGAACAGCCTCAAGGATCATACCCAACCCGATTTGGAGGGGGAGGTCGGAGATCAACTTGTGTGAAATGATGCCGCCAAAGAGCACCGCGGTCGTAGCCAACGCCTCCAGAGGGTAGTCGACATAATGCGCGTACTCGTCGAACAGGCCGTGTATCATACACGCAAAGATGTCTTGGTCCAGGGGGTCACGCGAGCGTTTGTACCGCTCCAAGATGTCGACGACGTTGCGGACTTGAATCTCGTCACCGTACATCTTCTTGTAGTGTTCCTCCATCTTGGCGTTGGCCGCGAGCGGGAGAGCGTTCCCTTCACGGCCGTTCTCGTCGATAATGTCGTCAAACCCTTCACCGTAGTTGATCAACCTCGGATAGACGGTGATGCATGTCCGTTGGACCACAATGAGCTCTTGCATGGGCGTTTTGGGCAAGTACCCCTCCAAGATCTGCAGCAGTGCATGGACGGTTCGGACTTGCAGAGTTGTGCTCGCCTTGGCGGGGGATTGGCCTTCCGGAGGACGCTGGTACTGAAGTTCAAAATTGGCTTTGATGAGCAAGAATTGCAGCAATGCCCTGGCCATCTCGGAGCCCCTGTCGAGGTTTCTCTGATTCCATTGCTGCAAATCGAGGTACCCTTCGGCGTGGGCGAGGGCTGTCAGGTCAAGGCCAAAACCAATGGGTAGGTACACGAGCTCATCGAGCCAGTTCTGACGAACGGCATGCTCGAAGATTAACGGAAGACTGATGGGCTTCAGAGCATGCGCATCGATGAGCCGTTGTTTAACCCATTCCTTGTCCCGCCTCCAGAGGCTGTCCATGACGAAGTCAGCCTCGGGCGACCTGGTCAGGAAGTTGTCGAATAGGGACACTAATGTATCCTCGGCCATGCTCGGCCACGGCTTCGGCACCCCAAACGCTGAGACAACGAAAATGGCCAGGTTGAGAACGACCACATCTTGAAAGAGGCGCTTCGCTTCGATGCTTTGCGAGGCGTGCATCGAGTGTAGCGCCACGTTGAAAACGGCAGAGAGGGCCGCTTCGGAGACCAAAGGATGTTTCACAGCGTATGCTGCCGTTTCCCGTATCGGTGTGGGAGACTGCGAGTATTCTTGGACCGTGAATGTTGGCTTCAAGCCCGGAATTGTCGTGGCATCGAGCTGCTCCGGTTTCAACGACGCAAAGGCGCAGATGAAGGATAGCTGAGTCTCCGGGTTCTCCCACTCGCCGCCCCACAAGCGTTGGATATTGAACTCAGTGCTGTCTTCTTGTGCGATCGGCAACAAGGCATTGTATAAGCGTAAGAACTGGGATGACGTGACCCGGGCGCCGCCGTTATCGAAGGCCGACACCACGTCCTGCCACCTAAAGCTATCAGGCAGAATTCGCCTGAGGGAAGCTACGAGAACGGACGGGTTGTGGCGTGGAGTCAGGCTGATGGTCGTGTACATCAGTGAAATTGCTACTTGGTCCTCGCTGAGCTGAATCGTCTTCGGCCGGTTTTGGAGATAGTTGGTGCATGTCTCCTCGTCGAGCGTAAACGAAGCACCGGTGCGGTGGATGTAAAGCGTGAGGGCATTGACTCCTTTGTCGGCCAGCATTCGCAAGAGATCAAGAGCGGCAAGCACCTGTGACGGGGGCGGCTTGGCGTCTGGAGACTGGGCGTATCTATGTTGTACTTTGTGTTCCAGTTCCCGCTTTGCGGCTGCGTTAAAGTTCGGCGGGTGGACCTGGATAAAGCGGTCGACGAGCTCAGCGACAAAATCGGGTTCGAGTTTCGGGTGCTCTCCGTTCGACCGGCTCAAGATGTTAACGAAAGTGGGGAAGTTCGTGGAAAGGATAGCATCGGCTACGTGGAAGATACGCTGGTCAGCAGGTAGTCATAACAGCCGGTCGGCCTATGGTAGCGGGGGAGTTGGTCGTGCCGCGTGCGGCAGGCGGTCCCGATGGTCGTCCACTCACCCCGGGTCTTCAAATCTGATCGCGAGCCCAGTTTGAAGGCGAGTGCCAACAATGTCTTCTGGAGAGCGTCTAGCTGAAAGTGTTCCATGAAGGTGGAAAGGTCAAAGTTGTGGAAAACATCCTCAGTTCCGGTTTCGATAGCCTCTGCGATTTTCCTGGCCTGGGGGAATTCAAGGGATATCTTCCGCATCTCGGCTACTAGCAGGTGGTGGTTCCCTGGGTTCGGCCCCGGCCTGCTCTGGCCGGGGAATATCTGGGAAGCATTTGCGGCCACCAGTCGGGCGAAGTATCTGGTATACACCTCCATGCCGTTTTCATCGAGCAGCTAGAGCGAGATCCGAACGTCAGCAACTAAGGTAGCTCAAAGGGAGAGAGGTTGATAGCTTCGCCGTCCGGGGGTGACAAGACAAGTGGGGCGGCAGAGGAAGGTGGAGGATTGAGGCTGCAACGAAGCCAACATGACACATGCCACACCCACACGCGACATGGTGTTGTTCACATTACCTTTCGCAGGGACTCAATTTGTGACTCCCACTTGTGGGGATCGTCCTTGTCCTCCTTGATGGTACTTAGCAGCAGGTAGACCTGGGCGACTGCGATCTTGGTCAGGGAGTTGGACCCAGTGGGGCTGCTGGTGCTGGGGCTGGCGGCCGCACTCAGCGCACTCAGCGCGCCGGCGTGAGACGGATGAGGAGAATGGGCGGTGCCAGTGGAGATGGGCTGCGCTACTGGGCTCGGCGAGAAGGTTCCCAGTCTGGGTTGGGAGACCATGGATTACCAGGACGTGGAGGGGGAGCGGAAGGGTAAGACTGCTATCCCCTGCCGGACAGAGCCACTTCCTCTCTCTGTATTCGGGGTGGAATTGTGCACGAGGCGCGGGACAGGGACGGACTTGTGCCTGGTCGCGGGGAAATCGACGAAATCGGGTGCGGGCGATGTTTCGGCGGCGGGTTGCGGGCGTCGGCGACGAAACGGACAGGTCGAGGTGTCGGTCGGTCCGTAGGCGACGGGGAGCGGGCGAGCGATCACGGGTTTCGATGGATTGGTTCAAGGTTGGGTGCTTGAATTTGAGTGGTGCAGGAAGGCCTTTTTTGGCGTCTGAGGTGCGGAAAGAAATGGGTCGCTGGAGCTCCCGACTTGGCTGGGCTGTGTGGTGGGCTAGGGTCTGTGCTTCTATGCTGTTTCGCTGTGTTCTGGCATTTGCATTCTTTGGAAGTGGCCGCTGCCTCAAGAATGCGGTGCACAGACCAAATGTGGGTGGGATAGGCACAGGCTCGCTAGGCTCGAGCGACGCTGCGCGCAGCTTCCTTTACAAAATAACTTGAGACTTGATATTTCGAATTTATCTGACTATCTATCTGCCTGGTAGATTTGATGTCAATAATTTCATCCATTCTGCCTGGGATGGCAGGGCGCTGGATGAAACTTCATATTGCGCAACGTACGCCCCACCAAAGATTCGAGGACAATGGATGGAATGCCTCCTGGAGCTTAGTACATAGTAACTAACTAACGAATCTAGTTTCCAGTTTACAACGTCGAGTTACGCAGGGATCCATTTTACCATACCGCACGACATTGAGCTCACTGGGCTCCTAGACGTCGATCTTTTTATCATGAACTATTTACGCCTTTCTATTGCATCTCTACGTAAGGTAACAAAGCTAAGTAAGCAAAATAGTTGACAGCATGTTTTCTAGGACTCGTAATTGACTTTTCTGTTCGCCGGCTTGACCCCTCCACACGAGGAGGATGATTCGTCGTTGAGACAGTCTCAATGGTCCTGTGATGAAGAAAGCGGCTGCCCGACCGAGCTGCTTGCCCAGCTTGCCCAGCTCGTTTGCAGGAGCACTTGGTCTCGGCAGGCTGACAAGACAGAAGCAGAAAGGCACTGGATCGCCCTGTAGCCTTCCATCAAGCTGCTGGTTTAATTTAGCGCACCCCATTTTGGACTCTGAGCTCCGGACCTCAGCCAATGGAGAGAGCCCATGTTCGAATCCTTGACCCCCCCAAGACCCATGATCACTCCTCCAAATCTCGCTGCGAGCAGCGCGGCCCGGCATGGCCTCAACCGCGACCGCCGCCTTGCCGCGTGCTGCCGTGTGCTGCAGCTGGGGGATTGCCCTTGGCGACCGGGGGAAACTTTCGGCAGACCAACGCGCGGAGGAAGTCACTTGGACAGTTTCTTCCTTTGCTCTTCTCGACTCCGTAAATACACATCCTTAGTTGCTTTGTTTTGATCAGGACGGAGCTTGCTCCCTCGCGCTCGACCTCGCCCGCAGAGCTTCGAGCCGGCACAGCCAACCCGCCAACGGGATTTGATGGAAGAAGACAACAATCCCAGCCATTCGGCCGGGAAGGGTCAGGCTCCTCCATCAGCAGCAGAGACGCCGCAACCACTGACAGGGGATGCCCTTGCTGCTGCCACTGCTGCTGCTGCCGCTGCTCATATCGAAGTCCGAGATTTTTCTGTGCCTCGCCTCTCTGAAGATGGGACTGTACCTAGAGAGCAAGGAGGCGAGTCCCAGGAGGCTCTAGGTCACTTGCCCCCCACGCTACCCGCCGCTGCAGACCCAGGCCCCGGGTTCGTTGGCGTCGACGGCGACGTAGGTGGCACCGGCCATAATGAAACGGAGGTCGATGTTATTGCTGTGCCCTGCCCAGGTGCTGATCCGGTCAACACCTGGACGTATTCTCAAGATCTTTGGCCCGAAACGGATATTCCAGGCGAGGTTGGGTCGCGCACCTCGCTACGTATCCGTGGCCCATGGGTTACGAAGAATCTGAGGCGGGCAGCCAGCATTGCGCGGGTCTTCCTTTACAGGCACCGCGAACTGGAAGATGGCATGTCATTGGAGTCTTTGGCCAAAGACCTGTTGGACCAGGTTGAACAGATGCGGAAGGGAGTGGTGGGTTTATCCGGCCATTTTTGGATTGTCTCAATGAACCACTGAGCGAACTGACACGCTTGCCCAGGTTGCCCGTCCTCTGTTCTTCATCGGCCATAGCATTGGCGGTTTGGTCATAAAGTACGCGTTGGCCAACGCACACCGTTCGGGACGGTACCAGGCTATCGTCGATAACTGTCATGGAGTGACCTTCTTTGGTGAGACGACCCTCTGCACGGTTTAAACTCTCCCGGGGCTAACCCCTTAAAAGGCACGCCACACCAAGGTTCGAGTTACATGTCCATGTCGAATCTCAAAGAGAGTATCCGAGATCTTCTCCACCTTCAGTCAACGCTTCCCCAGTCACTAACCGATGAGATCAACGTCCGCAACTTGAATCTCGTTGGACTACACGATCAGTTCGTCGACATGGCGAGCGAGTTCCGTCTTTGGTCATTTTACGAAACACGAGAGTCAATGCTCTCTGGTGCCGCTGCCGGCTTTTCTGACGAGGTCCAATTTGGGGCTCCTTTGGTATCCGTCAAGTCTGCCCTGCTGGACGTCTGGCAGGAAGACGTCTACGCGGTGGACAGTGATCATGCCCATCTTGCTGCGTTCGGGCCAAACAATGTGCGCATTATGGATTCCTATCTCGACGAGTTCGCCCGGGCCATTGAGAAGGCAGCAAGGCTGAATCAGGCCTACCGACACACCCCGCTGCATGTGCGGTCTCTGGTCAAAGTCGAGATCATCGGCTTTTACGAAGACCCGGACACCATGGAGCCAACGCCCGGACAACAGGGTTGCGGAGAGCCGGGGTCTGTTATCCGGCTGTATTCTATCAAGTATCCCTTCAAAGAATTTCTTAAGAACGGACCAGACCGCTGTTTGAGCGAACGGCTTCATGGGGGACTCAAGAAACGGTCGAGCCGTCGCGGAGTTGGCGTTGCCCCCAAGGCATCCGCTTCGAGTAAGGAGCCACAGTGGGAAGGCACCGGCCTCGGCCTTTCTTCCGATGCTGCGGAGACGTCACAGGGTTCTGGAGGGCTTGTATCGTCTCCTGAAATTGTCATCACGTCCGCGTCCGCACAAGAGAGACCGCCGTTGCTCAGGGTGCCGGCGCAGTCGGAACCGTCATTCCGGCCTCCGAGCCCCGAGAGCAATGCTAGTGTCAGCACCACCATGTCGGACCCGGTCCTGCCGTTGTCGTACGGTGGAGAGTTTGCTGGGGAGGATGCACATACCATCGATTTATTAGCACAACAACAGGCAAAACTCCTGCTGAAACAGCATGGGCTCACGGCCAACGTTGGCTTTTCCCGGCCGACGCAGTCTCGGAGAAAGTTTATGTGGGTGCACATACCCTTCAACAATCCCGTTTGGGTCAAGGTAGGGGATATTTCAGGAGCCGCGGTGTGATACCCCTTGTGCGCCAATGCTAAGGATCTGTTTCATAGGAAGTCTTTGCCACATTGGGAAGAACCCAGGGGCTAGATTTCTCACGACTTTTTGACTACGACAATTGGGTATCCAAACAGGTACAGAATCGCAATTCCGACTCGCAACCGGCGTATCTCAAGGCCATATGCAAGTATCTCTCGGCCGCAGACCGGCTAGCGTCGCCGCGCGTCCCTTCGCCCTTGTTTGGGCCCGTCAACCTTGGCATTACGCCCAACTGTCTCTATCTTTACCTTCCGTACCTCCACTTCGACACATATCAGAGCATGATTAGACGGAGGAAACTGATCGCGAAGCGTCGAAGCCACGGGAGAGCCAAGCCGGTCCCCCAATGGGTCGAGCAAGAAACCCTTGAGCTCAAGATGATTTGGGACTACATCGGATTCGACCCTCCCCTGAACTGCCGCCGGACCCTGGACCAGTTTGGGCACCACTCTCTCAGGGACACCAACTCTCGGGATGATGATCAGATGTTGTACAAACTTACCAAGAAAGACTCACCGGTGCCTTGGGGCTTGTCCAAGACTGGTGATACAGAGCACCCTCCGGCGGGGTACTCAATGTCGTCAATGAAGGGATCATCATCAACTATTTATGAAGGCGCCGATGAGTCCGGCGTCGAAGGTGGGGCTCATTTGAAAGATGGCCATGTCTTGGTAGTCGATCAATTATGGCTCTGGTCGGTTGACATGAGTGAGCTTTCTCTTCTTTTATTTTCTTTTTCCCTGTTTTCTCTACTGCTGCGGATCATGAGTTGCAAATACTAACTGGCACCAGCGACTCTCGTGACATTCTTTTCGAAGCGAGAATCGAACCCCACAGAAGGGACACTTTTCCAGCAGGCGGACCTACGCAGTAGCATATACAACGAGCTGAACGGGGATCTCACAGGAAGGACGGAGAACACGCTGGACTTGGCAGCGTTGATCGTGTGGCACTCCGTCACGGTCCTTCTCGATAGGTCCACACACCCCGATCTAGAGATCTTCCGCATCTTTGACGAGGCTATTGGGATGCTCGTATGTTCTGCAACAGCCATTGCCACCATGAGAATTCCCTTCGCTGACTCGGTGACTCTTCTAGGCCGAACGAATGACGCTAAATATGAAGCAATTCAGGATCAACGCACTGGACATGGAGGCGGATGACGATGACGATGATGAGGACTCTGATGATTCGGACGCTGAAGGGGAAAGCCCCGCGGCGATTAAGAAACGCCACAGGCGCGAGCTCGAGCGGTCCGAACGTGAGAATAGGGAAAATACATCGGCTCTGCTGGAACTCCGTGACCTCGAGGACGAGTTGTCGACACTGCAAAAGCTGTTCGAGATGCAGGACTCAACGGTCCGCCAGATGAAGGAGATCTACACTAGCAAGGAATTCAACGAGATGACCAAGGCTGGGCAGGATCACCTGGATGAGGCGCTCGAATACCTTGACGACTTCAAGCAGCAAACTACCGAGATGCTCAAGCGGGTAGAGACCACGAGGAACGATGTAAGCTCACCCTTCCCAAGTTTCGACCACACCGTCCCTTAACAAGACGGAATGTTAACCTCGCCACAGTACGAAAAAATGCTAGAGATGGTCCAACGCCAAGCCCAAGTCGACGAAGTTCGCTGGTCACGCCTACAAGCCGAGCTCGCCTCCAGCCAAAACCTCTCGGTGATGATCTTCACCACTTTCACCGTCATCTTCCTCCCCCTAACCTTCTTCACGGGCCTCTTCGGCATGAACACAATCGAATGGCAAGACGAGCGGATCCCCAGCCTCAAGCAAATCGGCGCCATCTCCTTACCCGCATCCGCCTTACTCATCGTGGTCTCCCTCGTCGCCGCCTTCAGCTGGCGTGTGCAGAGCGCGTTCAAAGCGACGTACCGCGGCTTGCGCACCTCGTGGAAAGTTATCAAGGGCGCCTACGCGGACCGGTTGGAGCCGGAGTCACGGAAGGAGGCGAAGCGCATGCGGAGGGAGGAGAAGAAGAGACGGCAGAAGGAGGCGAAGATGGCACAGGATGATGAGAGTTATGATTTCTGGGCCATGGTGAAGAGGCAGCAGAGGGCGGTGAGATACCAGATTCCAGAGCAGAATGTTAGTGGGTTGACGCCGGCGAATGTTTACTTGAGGAGGTAATCAGGTAATCGATGAGCATGGGATATGTACTCGTCCTGTAATGTTGGATATGTGGCGGAATTCTTGTCCACTTGAATTGATGTGGTTATGACATAGTCAAAGGACAATGGGTTGGGACCAGACGTTCTTCGTCATTTCTTCGTTTCTTGAATTTTTTATGTTGAACCATACTTTTGTACAACACAACCCGCTTGACTTATTCCTCTCGGATTGTGGAACGAGAAGTTGAAGACACCATGGACACCTTACCGAGGCCTCTTCCACCGCTTAACCCACCCGAGCTCGGCTTTCCTCGGGTAAGCGGGGACCAGCTCACGGCTCAGAAGCTCCGCTTCGGCGGGCGCACGGACCAACTTTCAAATGCCAAAAAGTCAATTGGCGGGCCACCGGTGGTGAAAAACGTCATTTTTTGGAAACTCGGGAAGACTCACTCACACACAAATCCACACCCCGGATCAACAGAAACAAAGTGGAGGGATAACGGGGCCCTGAACTCGTGACACAAGTGTTATATTAGCGTGGACGACGAAGTTGGCCCCTGGAAATTGTTGTGGTACTGTACACAACACATCAACCCCTCCATCGCGGGGTGGTCAATCCCTCTCGCTCCTTTTGTCCCTCTTGTTTCTTTTCGTCTCCTGTCCTCGCCCTGTCTAAGTGCAGCCAGCAACCATGTCGGTTTCAGCACGTCTCACAACTGGCCTTTGCCGAAGGGCCGCGGCATGCCCCGGATCAACAACACCAATAACACGACTCCAACATACCTCCGGCGTTCGGAATCTATCCCTGGCCTCCCGCGGCCGGTTACGGCCCACCACCAATGTGCGTGCGATCAATAGCCGGAGCGCATTCCTTGCCGCACGAACAACAACAGCAACACCAAGGAGGTGTTTGTCCACCACACCAGCCCGACAATACGCCGAAGCAGACGAATCTTTCGACCCAGCCACCATCGACCGCGAAAGCGACGAAGTCGACGTCTGCATCATCGGCGGTGGGCCCGCGGGCCTGTCAGCCGCCATCCGACTGAAGCAGCTCGCCAACGCGGCCGGGAATGAGGACTTCCGGGTGCTGCTGCTGGAGAAGGCCGGGGAGGTCGGGGCGCATATTCTCTCAGGCGCTGTCATCCAGCCGACGGCGATTAACGAGCTGATTCCGGAGTGGCTTGATGAGGCGAACGAGAACCGGTTCACGGGGGCGACGCCCGCGGGCAAGGATAGCATGCGGTTTCTGACGAAGAGCATGTCGATTCCGCTGCCGACGCCGCCGCAGATGCATAACCATGGGAATTATATTGTTAGCTTGAACGAGTTTACGAAATGGCTGGGGGAACGCGCTGAGGAAGTTGGTGTGGAGGTGTATCCTGGGTTTGCTGCTAGCGAGGTGCTTTACCAGCCGGATGGGAGCGTCAAGGGCGTGGCGACCAATGATCTGGGTATTGCGCGGTCTGGGAAACCGAAGGATACGTTTGAGCGGGGGATGGAGTTCCACGCGCGGGTGACGCTCTTTGGTGAGGGATGCCACGGCAGCTTGAGCAAGCAGGTGATCAAGAAGTTCGACTTGCGCAGCGAGTCCCAGCACCAGACGTATGCGCTGGGGATTAAGGAGGTTTGGGAGGTACAGCCGGAGAAGTTCAAGAAAGGCGAGATCACCCATTCGATGGGGTGGCCGTTACCATATGACACCTACGGCGGCGCTTGGATGTACCACTTCGGTGACAACCTGGTTAGCATTGGGCAGGTGGTTGCGCTCGATTATCCCAACCCGTGGCTGTCGCCCTACGGCGAGTTCCAAAAGCTCAAGCAGCACCCGCTGTACCGCGACGTGCTGGAAGGTGGCAAGTGCATCTCATACGGCGCGCGCGCGCTCATCGAGGGAGGGTTCCAGTCGATCCCTAAGACCGCCTTCCCCGGCGGTGCCTTGATTGGCGACTCGGCCGGGTTCGTCAACGTCCCCAAGATCAAGGGCACACACAACGCGATGAAGTCGGGCATGCTGGCGGCGGAGGCCGCCTGGGAAGCACTGCGGGAGAGCTCTGACGATGGCTCCGTCTTCCTGTACGCATACGAGGATGCCCTGCGCCGATCGTCGATCTGGGAAGAGCTCGGCGAAGTCCGCAACATGCGGCCCTCTTTCCACACCAAACTCGGCCTTTACGGTGGCATGCTCTACTCCGGGCTCGAGGCCTTCATCCTCAAGGGCCGCGTGCCGTGGACACTGCGCCACAAGACCACCGACCATGAGGCGACCAAACGGGCCGATCAGTCCAAGAAGATCGAATACCCCAAGCCCGATGGCAAGCTTACGTTTGACATCCTGACCAGCGTCTCGCGCACGGGGACGAACCACGAGGAGGACCAGCCGGTGCATCTGCAGGTCAAGGACTGGGACAAGCACACAGCCGAGACCTGGCCGGCGTTTAAGGGCCTGGAGAACCGGTTCTGCCCGGCGGGTGTGTATGAGTATGTTGAGGACGCCTCCAAGCCAGAGGGCGTGCGGTTTCAGATCAATGCGCAAAAGTGAGTCTCTCGAACCACCCCTGGGCCACTAACGAAGTCTTCGTAACTGACAAACCCCCGTGTTAGCTGCATCCATTGCAAGACTTGCGACATCAAAGCCCCCAACCAAGACATCAACTGGCAGGTACCCCAGGGCGGCGAAGGTCCCAAGTATTACATGACCTGAGGGGGCAGTTGGCGTGAGTGCTTCTAGTTAGTGACCTTTATTCATTGGTCCTTAACATGTACATACCAAACGGCGTACATCGGGAAGGTAAAAAAAGAGAGGGCAATCGTGGCGGTGGTGCTTTGAGGCGACACCGATTCAACACTATTTTGAGCATTGTACGTAGGGCGATTATGCATATATCCGATATCCGTTGAGTTTGCAGGCGTTAGAAGTTGGCTTCCGAGTTGGCAAGAATGTTTGTTTGGTCATGAGGATGTTCAAGGCTGCCACGAGCCTTGGGCCGAATGCGTTGGTTTGTTTGGTCGGAGACTTCTTCAAACGCCGGAAAAGGAAATTGCTGGGAAGTGCTGGACAAAGGACAGACCTCGTTGGACAGCAGGCCGTTCCCGCAACTTCAGCCTGGCCCAAGGCCAGGTGGGCGAGAAAGTCCGTTGCGCAACTCATTCCGGGCGGGTGGTAAGATACGGATAGTCACTTCAAGGCCAAGGGGGAAACTTCCTGTGTTTGCAGCACTAAGTTCCAGTGGAGGATTTCGAGCGGCACGCTCTGGCGCGTTCTCCTGTTGCAGTGCCATCGTTCAGCAGTTTTTTCTCGCATTTGCAATCTTCGCCCAGCCGTGTGCCGCAACCGGCGAGAATGAAGCACAAGGCGAACGCGTCGCAATTGAGGGCGCGCCCATGGGACGGGAAATGAAGACAAGCAGGGTGGACCAATCAGCTTCTGGTCCGCGCAAGTCGCCATCTCCTTCCAACAGATGGCGACCAGGAAGGGCTCGTCGCCGAGCGCGATGCAACGGATGCCTGGCAGGTCCTTCGTGACCTTGCCGTTCTTTCTGAGGCGATTGTGATAACCTTTTCATGTCAACAGCCGTTGACGCTTTGCGCATCGTGGCTTCATGCCTCATCAGTTCAGGCATGATTTTCGTTGAGGGCTTGAAGCGCGGGACATGCGATCCCCGCACCTGAAGCGCTGCGGCACTTCAGCACTTTATGCAACCCTGCGGCTGACAATGTGGAGGGCCTGTTGGGCCGGCGTGTTGGGGAGGAGAAACGGCCGCCGCTGTTGTGCGAAGGAGGGGCGTTGGGCAGAAGGGAACGCGACACGGGAAAACAACACCCAACCGACCGCTTGCCATCTGCGGTTTCCTTTGCATGGCCAGCGGGTTTGAACAAAGAAAGCATCATTTCCATCCGTTTGGTTTGCGATGCGGCAGCGGCTAACCGCGGTGCGGGTGTTGCTTTCTTCGTCGTTCAAAGCCAGATCTCAGGAGGGGGGTAAATGAGTCATTGGCAAGGCTGGAGGGAGGGTGAGGAGAGGTGGTGAGCCAACTGAGAGGCAAGTCCTGCACGGGCGGGCAACTCCCTGTTTCCGCCCCCTTCCATGTACCGGTACCTCTGTCCCGGGGGTGGCGCTTGACACACTCATACCCTGGCAAACAGGGCACGGCCGCCATGCACTCAGTTAAGGGAGGGGCTGCTGCGACACGCCAGATATTGATGAGAAATGCGTCAGATATTTATCGAGACGTAAACCGACGATTGAGTTCGCGCAAGGCCTACGATGCGGTGGCCTTTTGGTGCTCGGAGATAGTCTGGCGTCCGCGGTGGAGAGACGGGAAGCGGGTCCAAGTCAGCCAGCTGGGCAATTGCGATTTTGTCCAACGCAACTGGCCCGAGGTCGGCCAAGCTTGCGAACTGGCAGGGTGGGACCGAGGAAAGATATCGAGAAGCGCAGCTCCAGTGTCCTAGCACTACCGCAGCTTTTGGCCTGCCATGTCTTTCAGAAGTTAGTTCTTGGGCGGCCACCGTCTCTGGTATTACCGTGGAGTTCATCTTGCGTTATTGGCACAGAACCGGGTGTGGCACAGATGTGGTTGATGTGGCTAGTGGCCTCAGCATGGTGAGGAAGCGCTCCTGGCTGCGTCAGTGTGGCGCATCAGCGGAATATCGTCGTGCAGGAATATCAGGTGGGTTCCTGAGGGATGGAGGTTGAAATATTTTGATAGAGCCATAATTCTCTGTCCCCTCTCGTTGGAAGAAGCAGCGCTCGCCCAACCCGAAGTGTCGTGGGACCTTTTGATGCGAAAGCGGCCATTACTCCTGTCACTTGAGCTCTAGCTCCAGCCTGGGGTTGATATGTTTGTTTACCGTCGGCTCTTTTCCTCGTCGAGTGTCGTGCGGAACGTTGCTGGGCCGTCAATTTCGGAGGTTTCGTTGTCGAGCCGGACAGACTATTGTGATGTAGATCGATAACCAGCCTGGATTAAGGAAGCGGCGATAGTGGTATGGAGGACCGAAGGACGGGAACCTGGGGGGTGAAACCTTGCCGCCTGGCGATAGAATTTTTTTCCGGGTCGCTGGTTGTTCTATCAACAAAAAGAGCAAAGAAAATGTTGACTCAGGTTGAGCTGCAATGGAAAGCACACAAAGAACTGCACATTCTCATGGCTAAACCAAGATGTCAGGTCGGTGTTTCAGAGCGCTTGAATGTTGCGTGCTGAGTTTCTGGTTGGAATGGCGGGTTGGTCTGGTTTTGGTGGGAGTGTCAGAAATCCTGGCGGCCTGAGCGCGAAGGGCGGGCCTGGCGCGGGTTGCACAGAGGTACCGGTACCTGAGAAAATCTGCAGGGGTCATTTAGGGGGCGGGCGCAGGTTTGCAGCTTTGATTGGATAAGAGTGAGATAAAATCCTGCGCTCCTGCTTTTGATTCGCCGCACTGAGCCCTTGCCAAACACGAAAGCGCCAAAGACCCACCGCCACAGGACTAGCGTGGTTGCCTCAGGCTCCAATTTCCATTCCAGCAAAAATTATAAGAAGGTCGCGGCTCCCCCCATTTGTTTTGCGCTCGCGCGGAAGTCCCCAACCGGCCGTTGCTACCTGCCTCTGGCCACCAAATTTTTTGACCCACACCCCCTTACCTCGCCGCTCCCCACTTTTTCCACAAACGACCTTGACGTCGGCCGTTGCTTGTCATCCTCAAGACATCTAACGGTACTCTCGATACTTTTCTGCGTTGTGTGGGCGCAACCCCTCATTCATTTAGAGTCGGGGATTAATCCGTCGATCCAGAGACAGACGACCGTTCCCTCGCTTCTGGACGAGGGCCTGCCGTCACTTGAGTCCCGTTGACCTTCAAGGAAACCGCCGTCTGTCACGAATCGACCCTTTAATCGTCGAGGGTAATAGAAGATCCGTTTGCACAAGTCACAGTGCACCTTGCTATTCTCTTCCCGAGGAAGATCCATCTTGCCGTGAGTTGAAGTGTTGGCAAGTCAGCCTCCGCGCGCCGTGTGCTACATCCTCGCCTCGGCCCGTTGCCGTCGTCCTCGTCGATCTTCCGAGTCCGGGCATCCGCCGGCAACCAAGAGCAGCAATCGCCTCGGCAGCAGTCTCTGAAACTTATTCAACTGGGTTGTTGATCGTTGTTTGAGATCTCGACTGTATTCGAGGGTGTTTGTTTGGCGAACAGCAGTTCGGGGGACACATTAGGTTGTTCATCTCCCACATCTGGTATGTGAATCCCCTGCTTCATCTCATCTTTGTATGCCATCACCACCACAACACAACTGTTCCACCTCACCGCCTGGGGCATCACTCTTCCTCACATCTGACGCACGGACCACCACCGCGTTCGACCCAAACCCAAATTTGCAGTTTCCTTCCTACCCAGCTTTCAAGTCGCCGACTTTCTATTTACCAAAATCCCCAAATCCCAATTTTCCCCGGATTTCTGCCACTACTCAAAGTTGGCGTGTTTGCATTTATCCTCCCTCAGTCTCGATCTAACGGTCTTGTCACCTGTAGATTTGTTCGCGCAAGCAAAACAAAACTTCAAACCCGAGTGTCTTGGTTTTATCATCGCGCAAGATGGAGGCCATTCATACTCATCCTTCCAACGCCGCCCAGGCCAAGGCTTTCACCGCGCCCGGCTCGCTTTCGTTTCCCGGCGGCGCCAATGAGTTCTCGAATTCGGCGGCTCAGGCCAATGGTGCGGCCACCAACGGTGCTCAGCAGCAGGGCGTTCAAGCCACGAGCGGTACTGGGGTGACTCCCGCGACCCCCGCTGCGACGCCCGGAGCTGGTCCTACGGGCCCGAGTGGCATCACGCCCACGCTCCAGTAAGGCTACCTGGCGTTACACCAGCAGGTTCAAGATTTCGTATGCTGACCCAATCAGGAACATCGTCGCCACGGTCAATTTGGACTGCCGTTTGGACCTGAAGACGATTGCGCTTCATGCCCGCAATGCGGAGGTACGTGTTGAGCCAGAAACCCGCTGCGCCCTGTTTCTCAAGTGAGATGACGGGGCTGGTCATGGTTTCTGTTTTCAACCGTGTTTTGGCAAGCATGTTCTGACCGGAAACAGTACAACCCCAAGCGTTTCGCTGCGGTTATCATGCGTATTCGCGAGCCCAAGACCACTGCCCTGATCTTCGCCTCTGGTAAGATGGTCGTGACCGGTGCCAAGTCGGAGGATGATTCGAAGCTTGCGTCGCGCAAGTACGCCCGCATCATCCAAAAGCTCGGTTTCAACGCCAAGTTCACCGATTTCAAAATCCAGAACATCGTCGGTTCTTGTGACATCAAGTTCCCCATTCGTCTGGAGGGTCTTGCCTCGAAGCATCACAACTTCAGCTCTTACGAGCCTGAGCTCTTCCCTGGTCTTATCTACCGCATGATCAAGCCGAAGATTGTCCTGCTCATCTTCGTCAGCGGCAAGATTGTTCTCACTGGCGCCAAAGTGCGCGAGGAGATCTATCAAGCCTTCGAGATGATCTATCCGGTGCTGCAAGGTTTGTTCCCAAATCATGGCTCTCGTGAAGCGCAATGCATGCTGACTCTTGGACAGACTTCCGCAAGGTTTAAGCCGATGGTATTTGTGCACCTCCGGGCCAACTTTGGCGCCGAGGCCCACACGTCCATCGCAACAAATTTGCGACATACTTCATCCCTGTCAACGATTGTACAACTACACCCACTATGCGGCCATGATTTCACGAAACAAATCATACTCGCCAAAAAAAAAGCTCGACTGGCTGCCTTCTGGCACTCGGTCGTCTGTATCAGTTTATTTGCGATTCGTTTTTTTTTCCTTTTGCTACGTCACAGCATTGCATCGGCGTTCACGGAACGGAGGCGGCGGAATATTAAAGCAGGGTTCCTTCCGCACCGCCATTACACCGCGGAAAACCCCTCCCCCGAGTATTTTTGGAGCTGGCGCGCTCCGTCTCGCGGGACATTAGTACCCATAGAAAGATTGCGCCTCACAGGCGGGCCGCGACGAGCGAAAACCTCGCGCGCCCTTTTTTTGCCTGCCCCCTAATGAGCTTGTGGCCCGACACCTCTTGGGGTGTCTTCCACGCAGCCTTAGAGAAGGAAGTTTCTGAGGAAACGGGTGGGAAGACTGGGGTATTGCACCGGGGTAAAGAAGTATGATGCATGGCTGGGAAGCCAACATGTTCACTGCAACCGCTCTGCCTTTGTTCTTTGTTTGTCGGCATGACTGCGTGGTTCTCGCGCTTTCATCCAGCTGGCAATATTTCAAAGGACGGAGGTAACCACACGTTTGCAGGAGAGGGTATTGTCTGAACACCATTAAAAACAAAAAAAGAAAAAAACGCAGGGCAATGCCATAGGTCAGGCGAAGCGGATTTTGTCCGCGAACCTTGCATCTGGGCAGAGACGGATGATGGCATTCGCCTGAAATGCTCTATCGCTGCGTTTCCCTCCCTTTGCGCATACTGGTTCATGACTCTGCTTACGCCGGGTCAATTTACCAAGTTCCGTCAAAAGGATCGGTCGCTCATGGCGTTTTCAGTCGTGGTTTATGCTGCCATTCAATACCATCATCAACTGATTAAAAACTTGTTCTCTCTTGTGCGGATGTTATCATGTGGCTGTAAAAAGGGTAGCATACCTCGTGTGTGCCCCTCTTAAGCATTTTGCTCTCTCGTTCGATTCCTTCATGACTTCTGCCCTTCCTCACCTAGCGCCTCATCCAAAACCACTCCCCGAGCACCCTCTCCTCTTGTTCCATCCTCCGTAAACGCTGCTGCTGCCCACGCTGCTGCGGTGACCGAGTCCTTAACCTTCCACTCCCACTTGCCACGAAACTCAACCGGGCAGTTACCCGCGATGCAGTCGGCAATCTTGTCGCCGATGACAGGTAGGAACTTGAAGGCGTGACCGCTGTCACCCGTGGCCACGAAGAGTCCACGCCAGTGCGGGTGATAGTCGATGAGGAAATCGGCGTCCGGGGTGTCTGAGTACCAGCAGAGGCGGGTTTTGATGAAGGGACGGGTGTGCAGCGACGGAGGCTCCGGGAGCATATCCCGTAGCGCGCTGCGGAGGTCGGCGGCTGCGGAGGCGGGGATGGTGGTGGAGGGGTGGGTGAGGCTTGTTCGGGGGAGGGAGACTGTGATGGGCGTCGTTGGCGGTGGTGTGTTTGGAGAGAGAGGTAACGGCGGTGTTGTGAGGGTTATCGGGTTGATGTAGCCGGTGGCGTGGCGGGCGACTTTGAGAACGCGGTCGGTCGGTGGGATGATGAAGAGTCCTGTGGACAGGTTGAGGATAACGGGCATGTTGGCGAGCGCCTGTTGCTCTCCCTCGGTGATCTCAAGGTAGCCGAGGACCTGACCCGTGGCGATGGCCTGTCCGGCTAGGTCGACTAAACCGCCGGTCCACGCACCGGCTGCAACGACAACGAGTTCTGCGGATAGGATACCGCCGTCTGCGAGACGGGCGCCTGTGACGCTGGTCGTGTTGTGTTCCAAGGAGACGACCGTGCCGGGGACGAAGTTGATACGGCCGGTCTGCTTGGCCTGGTCGTAGAGCCACGCCATGGCGGCGGCCGCGTTGCCCCAGCCGCTGCTGTTGTTGATGTAGCCCCATGATCCAGAAGTGCCTCGAGTTCCCAAAACCTCTCGGATGGCTTCTGGGTCGGGGAGCTCCCGAACACGGTTGGCGAGATCGGGGTATTTAGAAGCCAGCGACAGGACGTTGGCCCAGCTGAGGCGAGCGTAGTCCAAGCCCGTCAGCTTAGGTTTCACACCCTCGCCGGCGGAGCCCGTATCTGGCGCAGGTGGCGCAGCGTCGGCTACCAAAAGCAAGCCAGATTCACGATAGCGGCCCTGCGCGCCCGGATCCGTGGGCTGGTCCCGCTTACGCCATTGCACCAGGGCCTCGTCGCCGAGTGAGGTGTATGCTGAATCAGCGTAGTCGGCCCTGATGATTCGGCTGGTGTCGACGCTCGCAGCGTCGGGTGAAGGGAAAGCCCCTGGTTGAGAGGGGTCTGATCTGTCGACCACGGTTATGGAGCAATGAGAGAAGGCATCTCGACGGGCGAGAGCGAGGGCGGTGGTCAGGCCAAAGACACCGGAGCCCACGACAAGAATGGAGGAAGGGGGAGAGAAAGGCACTTGCGAAGGAGAAGAAGCAGGAAGGGGATCAGAAGAGGAAGAAGAAGAAGCAGCCATTGAGAACGGAACGGTAAAACAATTTCCGGAATTAGACAGGGTTTCAGGCGCGGAGCGGAAGTGGCCGGCCCAATCGAGGGAAATAACCAGGGTCCGTGTCAAAGGTCTCAAAAAATGGCCGGTATGCACGGTCAGGCACGCCAGTGGGCGAGTGATTGCCTGCTGTGTGTGGTGTAACTACCGGTTTTCGAAGCGCGAGTGACACTTGTGGACGGTTTGCTCAGAGCCTGCTGAGTGAGAAAGACCGGGTTCGTGGCGTATAGGTAGTAAGGGGACAAGTTTTATACGGGAGTAAGTGTGGAGGCGGAGAACCGTCTCAGGATCAATTGCATTTATTAAGTCGGCGGGGACTGCGGACACTGGTTATGGAGTCGGGCCACGCCCTTCGCTGGATGGACGGGCATCACGGAGAGTTATCCGTAGTTCGGAAAGTTGAGCCGTTGACCCGAGGATGGCTGATCAACGCGGAAGATGGAAGAGAGGACACGGAGAGGGAGGAAGAGAAGTGAAGCGAATCATGATGCATACTCGACCGACCATCCGCAGCACAACAACAACTAGTTGGAACGATGTCTCAAGTCTTGAAAGGGGGAGAAGTGAATGCAACTTGTGACACGCTGGGGTAAGGAACATGCAAGATGGAGAAGAGTGGAGGTTGTGTTCCATTCGGGGGGAAGTCCGTTGGTTGGTGAAGAGCCCACACTGTCTGCCTGGCCGGTCTGACAACCGCACAGCTGTGGTCAGGTGGAGCTTGGCCGTCAACAGCTGGTAGACTCGCAGGCTCAAGCTGCTGGTTGAACGCGCCCGTTTCTTTTTGCCTTTTATAGATTTGCTCCGCCGGCAGGCATGATGCACCGCTCTATTTTATGTATCCTAAGTGCCGCCAAATGGAGTGAGCCAGCTCGTATTGTGCAGGCTTGATGGGAGGATGTTGGGCCACATCGTAATTTACTATGTAACTAAGGTCCGAGCTGTCGAGGCCGTGAGGAAACCAAAGCACCGGTCCGGGGCCTGCGCTTTAGTGCACGGACCACATTTATGCTTGATTGTTGAACTCGAGCTTGCGAAGCAGAGCCCGGACCAAACACGGAGGGACGCGTCGCAAACATCACCAGCGATTGGGGCCGTAAACCAACATGCGCAGCTACGATTCACGTCCTTCCGAAGATGTCGTCGTCCAAGAAGATTGCCGAATTCCCTGATGTCGAGGCGAAACTCCAGAAACTCAGCAAACAGTCAGTCTTCGAGAAGCAAAAAGCAGAAGCCGAAGCGAAGCGCCGCAGAGAAGCCGCAGAGACCGCCGCTGTCTACGAGGACTTTGTCAAGAGCTTTGCACACGACGACGAAGACGATTCTGGCCGCGGGCCTCGCCATACCCCTTCGAAGATCGGTAATGGCCCACCCGAGCGGGCATTTGGGGGCGGAGGCACCCCGTTTGGAGGAGGCACGGGCAAGAGACACTTTGGTATCCCATCTGGCGGATCATTGAAGAGTGGCCCAGGAAGCTTGGGGCCCGCGCCGCCATCGCTTGCCAAAAAGAGGTCATACCAAGGGTTTCAACGAGACACCGATGCGGGCCGCGGGAGGCTTGGATTTGAAGACAATGATAGGGATTCGTCTGCTTTGCCTGTCTCCAAGGCGTTCCATGTGAGCGATGACGAAGCGGATGCAGCGACTGGCGACCGGGCCGAAGAAAAAGCCACATCGAAACCAACCCTTCGGCTCGCAAATTTGCCACCCGGTACATCTCCTGCCGTCGTCAAGGCACTCATCCCAGCGTCGCTGACCGTCGAGAATGTCAAGTTCGCCCCGCCGTCAGGGCCGAGCGGCACGGAAAGGAAATCGACCGTCGCCATTGTGACCTTATCAAAAGAGACGCCAGCGACCGAAATCGATAATGCAGTGAGCGCTCTGCAGAACCGGTACCTGGGTTTTGGCTTCTTCTTGAACCTCCATCGACATCTCTCTTCCGCTGCGATCTCGTCTGGACTTGCTCCATTGCAGAGTTCGGCGGTCATATCCTATCCCTTTGGAGCAAAAAAGATCGAGGAGGGCCCCCGGAGACCGGCTCATCAGCCCATGGGCCATGGCCGAGCGTACGCACCCCCATCGTCTTATGGGCCTCCTATGGGCGGACCGCTTAACAGGTCGGGCATCCTCCATGTCCCGGTCCGTCCCCCGCGAGACATCAAACAACTACGGATGATCCATAAGGTTGCCGAATCGGTATTGGAACACGGTCCGGAGTTTGAGGCTCTCCTCATGTCCCGCCCAGATGTCCAGCGAGATGAAAAGTGGGCGTGGATATGGGACGCCCGCAGCGAAGGGGGGGTTTGGTATCGGTGGAGATTGTGGGAAATCGTCACGGGAGCACAATCGGTCAAAGGTCGAGCGGAATACATCCCGCTTTTCGAGGGCAGCAACGCGTGGAAGAAACCAGAGCGGAGACTGGCATACGAATACACAACGAACGTTGACGAATTCGTTTCCGATTCGGATTACAATTCTTCTGAAGAAGACGACTTTGAAGAGGAGCAGGCTCGGCAAGGCGACGGCGCTGATCAAGAAGACACGTTTTTGAGCCCGATCGAGAAAGCCAAGCTGGCTCATTTCCTCGGCCGGCTGCCCACGACGCTCTCAAAGATCCGGAAAGGAGACATTGCCAGAATAACGGCATTTGCCATTACCCACGCCAGTCGTGGCGCCGACGAGATCGTCGACATGATCGTTTCAAATGTGGAGCATCCGTTCGCCCACACAGCGGCGAACCCGGAGCACAATCAACGAGGGGCTAAGGAAGGTAAAGAGGACGACTCTCGGAACGCCTCGCCAGCCCCAGAAGACAAAGCTGCTTCTGATGCGCCCGATTGGAGCGCAGCGCGGCTCCTCGGCCTCTATGTAATCAGCGACATACTTTCCTCCTCATCTACTAGCGGGATTCGTCACGCGTGGCGCTATCGCCAGCTGTTCGAGGCCTCATTGCGCAGTTATAAGACTTTTGAGACGTTGGGATTGATGGCGGACAAGCTCAATTGGGGCCGCCTCCGGGCCGACAAGTGGAAGCGCAGCGTCGGCCTTGTGCTGAGCCTGTGGGAAGGTTGGTGTGTGTTCCCCGTCGAGACACACGAGGCATTCGTTGCCAGCTTCGAAAACCCGCCCGCACTGAAAAAGGAGGCCGACGGGGCCGAGACCGAACGCAAGGCCGGCCGGTGGAAGACGGTGGACGCCGCGCCCGCGGATGCAGGCAACACAAGCGGGTTCCTACCCGTCTCGACGAAGCCAAATGTCGACGACGAGCCTGTGGACGGTTACGATGAGGTTGTCTTGTACCTGGATGAAGACGCCGGCGAAGTTGACCCGGTTCGCCTACAGTACCTGGCGAATCTAGACGACGCCTTTTCCGACCTGGACCTTGACGGTGAAGCAGACGATGAGCAGACCGCGACCGAAACCGCTTCGGAACAGCCGGCACAAACCCTGGCCCGGGAGCAAGGCAAGCTCAAAAGCGGGGGCTTCTCGCTGTCAGCCCCCAAGCCGGCTCCAATGAAGAAGCGAATGCGCGCGATGGACATGTTTGCAGAGTCAAACTCGGATGAGGATGAATAGGGCATATCGGAATGAACAGGCAGAGTAGTTCCACCAGCCGAAAATCCCTCTTGAAATGCGCGATCTGTTGTTAGTTTTGCCCACAAGCACTGGTTGCCGAACCCCCGAAAAGATGGGAGGTTAGGAAAGACAGACGTTGGCGTCGGCAATGTCACCCACCCGCTCGGCTTTTTAGCCCGTCCAAACGCCGCCGCATCGCTGCAGAACGTACCAGGCGCTTTTACCCAAGGCTCGGTTCAGCCTGCTTGCAGCGAACCCAAGCACCCGGCGCGGGTGATGCTACCTCGCCTCGGGACTTTTGTGGTCTGCGGAAAACGAGCAACTGGCCGATCCATACCCCCTCCAGCACCGGCTCTGCTTGGTATTCTCATAACTCCATCGATGAACCGGGACCGGCGTGGCGGTTGGGGTGCTGAACCCAGGGCGTGGCTAGCGTTGGTCCTTGACCTTTCCTGTGAGAAAGCCGCTCATAGAAGCGTTCCAATGACACACCTAAACCCCAGGCTGACATGGATTCAGACAGGCCCTCGACGCGAGGTGTGGTGTCTTCCCCCCCACTATCACCAAATAACCGTTCTAAAAATTATTGCAAAGTGCGCGGGGGGGAAGGGGGGAGGAGCTTCCGTCAAATACTAATTCAGCGTAATGTTGCCCGTTTTGGTGGACCCTTTGCTTGTATTGGTCTTGAGCAGCTCAAGGCCGTTGGTGAAGCAGTTCGCAGGCGTCGAGTTGCTTGGAGACAAGTTTAAGTGAAACTCACACATCCGTGCCATAATTAAAGAGAAAAATAAAAGTTTGAGAACTCGAAATCTTCAAGATTTCGGTTATCGATATCCTAGTGTACTTCTCAGCTTTAATATGCCCCGTGCTGGGACCTGTAAAGTTGTGTTATTTTGGTTGTCCTGTGAATGTTTGTCCAGAGTAAAGTCCGTGACAGCTCGGGTCGAGAACGCTTCGGTCTCACCCAATTGGCCTCCAAATGTGCATCCCACGCGGCAAAGCATGGCATGGGCCCAGGAGCTCGGTCGATTTTCTTGAAGCAACATTTCCACAGCCAATAGAAACTTGCTCAGTTTCTCCGACCTGCCCAAACGCCGTTCCCCACCTTCCCACTCCTGCGTCCCTGCAGGGCATTTGCTCATGGCCAAACCAGGCAAAGCGCCTTGGAGCTCGAGGCATCACACCATCCACGTCAAAGGAAACGAGAAGGCAAGTGGGAGGAACCTCACAACCATTTTCACTTCGACCCCGCGGTTGCAAGAACAAAGAGGGCAAGGTTTTCGAACAACAACAGAGTCCGACTGTGATCGATCATCGAGTCTTCGGCCCCCCCATTTCCCAAGTTTCCGACGTTTTGCGCTCGCCTTCCCCGCCCGTGCCTCACCCTGAAAGCCAGCCAGCCAACAGACGTTCCAAAGTTTTGCGCTTGCAGCCGCACCGCCATCGCCGTCTTTTACGAACTCCGTTCCTGCGTGCACGGAGCCGGCTTGAGGTGGCCGGACCATCTCACTTCACCAACGTCTGTGGATCGATTCCCATCTATCGGCAGGAGGATTTCGGACCGCTCGGCTTCCCCTTACCCGTCTTTTGATCGTGCCCGTTAGTGAGCCGCTCATCGACACCCTGGGCTGCCGGTATCCCACCTCGCATTCTACATCCAGCTCCGGTTCTTACCTGCGTCTTTTCGACTGGGACAGGCAAGGCAGACGCACACAGCACACGGCCCTGGACTGATGGCCAATCCTCGGTTCTTCCCTTCTTCACCTCCTCTCATATCCCGCCAGGGCTCTCCCGGCTTTCTGGCCAAGGATTGAATACACTTTCTAGGCCAGCCTCAAGCTCTGTCTATCAGCCTCAAGCATTGGTGTCCGCCCTATTCTCTTTTCTCTTTCACGGCGTGTGGGCCGACAGCCTACCTCGGAAGTTGAATTTTAGCATACTTGAAAAGTTCGCTCTCTCTATCTGGATTCTGTCGGTATTTTGTCCTCGTGGGTAAATTATCAAAATTTGCCCCCGAAGTATCTCCATCAACCAAGCGTCAACACAACTGTATCTGGCTGCAGTTCAGCACCAAGCTACAGGTTCTGGGACGACGCCCAGTGCGTGTTGCGTCAGTCGGATCTCATACAGCAACGGTTTTCAACTCTAGGACGCGCGCGGGGGTGCATGCACAATACTTAGGAAACTTGCTCAACTTGCTCATCCAACCACCTGCAGCGGCTTGTGACCCTCGACCTGAAGGGCTCCCGATACACTCATCGAGTCAACTTGGATCTTCCCACCAAACACGCGGGCAGCCACTCCCCTCCCGGAGAAGATCCGCATCGCCAGCGGCTCTCTCCCCTTGTCCACACGCGTAACGCGGTCTCCCGGTTCCCGCGTCGACCGGATAGCTCCGGCCTTCTGTGCTGGAGCACATCATTCGTCATCAGCGGCTACCAACTAAACTAAGACATTGTCTTATTATCTCTCAAGATGCCGATTATCAACGGCCAGAAGATGGCCTGGTATGTCCTTTATTTCCTTAAGACCCCCCACCATCTACTATCTACCCCATGCTCTCCTGGTCACCATCCTTCCACCGGCTCTTGCCCCCCTGGGAAGCTATCATGCTACAACTTCAAGGCCCCTCTTCAATGTTATCGTAGGGTCACTAAGGGAATGCTGCTAACCTCTTGTCCATCAGCGCGCCATGCATTCGTGGCCATCGCTCGACAAAATGCAACCACTTCTACGAGCGGGTGATGGTTCCAGTCCGGAAACCCGGCCGCCCGCTCAGTACTTGCCCCTGCCCCCCCGGCCGACCATGCTCATGCGGTGGAGTTCGCGTAGCTATTCCGAAGCATCAGAAGTGCGGGTGCCCGACCGGATCGGAAGAGACCGAGGAGCATGAGAAGGAACATTTCCCGAGTGAGGCTCCCTTATCCCCGTCGAAGCCTTCATTTCGAGCTGGGAAATCGAATGGCGTCTCCAAAGCGAGCAGCCGGAAGCAGTCGTTCGATCCCGCCAATTTGGAGAGGATGGACCCGAGATCAATCAATTTGATTACTGCTACAAACGGCAACGGGATCCCAAACGGGGCCATCAATGGGCACGGTAACGGAATCCCGCTCGCGACTAGTCCGATCCTCCAAGCTTCACATTCCGACCTGGCCGGATTCGGCTCAAGCATTCGGGTCGTACCGGCTGGTCCCAGCAGCGCATTTGCATCCCCTAACCCAAACTTCGTCTCACCAATGCCGTACAACATGGGTTTCCAGTACGGCCAACCGGGCCCGCCTCCACACGGCATCAAACTAGAAGATGGACTCTACCCTGCCCCCAATGGTGGCTTTGCCGCGGCAATACCGGCCACCTCTTTCCTCAACGGAAACCAAACCGCGCATGTTCTGGGCAACGGCGGCCAGACAGCAATCTCCATTCCGAAGGCCAACGGCAACTCTACAAATGGCGGAAGCTGTTGTGGCGGAAAGGCACCGAAACCGGCTCCAGCAGCAACTTCGCCTCCTCCTCCGGCCTTAGTCCCACATGGAGTTCCTGTATCTCAGCCCGGATATGTACATCAATTTCCTCCGCAGCCACGGACCACATCTCCGGTGGTAAACAGCTGTTGTGCGAATAAGGCCCAGCCGCCCGCCCCACCCGCAAACACCGACGCAACACCGCTTCCAGTCTATAACCAACCCTACATGCCGCAATTTCAATATCAAACGGTTTTCAGGTATCCAGGGGATTATGGATCTTGGCAACACCCCATCGACCCTGTCATCTGGCAACAGGTCGCGTCACAGACGAATGCGCCCGTCCACCCGCCCATGTCCCCCACCACGAACGGCGACAAGAAGGCGGATGACGGCCCGAGTCATCAATGCCACTGCGGGGAGGGATGCCAGTGTGTCGGCTGCCTGGCGCATCCTTTCAATGCCCAGATGTTCCAGTACGTCAACAACGCCTACAATGGAAGCACCGGAAACAGTCCTACCGGGGCGGAACATGCGAAGGGAGCCCCGCAGGGTCCTACCGTGGCGACTGGGCAGGATTCACCTGCCGAAGCGCCCACTCCGGCGACCAGCGAAGGGTCTCCCGGCCGGGAGGAGCAGTCCCTCTCGACGATGGACTACTTTTTCGTCAATTTACCGATTTCGGGACTCTGCGAGGGTCAATTGGAGTCGTGCCCATGCGGAGACAGCTGCGATTGCCCCGGTTGTTTGGTCCATAGCATTCCGCTGAACCAGGGGTAGGATCTCTTTTCAGCATGATGATGGGCAAAACACGGATGGTCGCTTTTTGGAAGTGTGGCTTGGGAAAATCGGAAAGGAGGGAAATCGCAGGAATTGTACGAGCTACAAAGCTGTTGAACGACTCGTTGTGAAGTTACGAATCATGTATTGCTAGTTACTCCCCTCTTGCTCGACGCTACGGCTCGGCGGCGTTTGTTTGATTTAGGCGATCATTATAAGATACCCATTGTAGGGCGATGGCAGCGGCGACTGTTGGAAGGACCGAAATATGAGGCAAGTAAAAGGTGTGTGGCAGGCAGTAGGGAAATACAACGGCTGCTCTCGGATCAAAAACCAGAAAGGTCCTCAATACAGTCCGGAAGTTAGCGTTAACTATGAATGCCAGCCATCCGGTGGTCAAGGGAATGGAATACCGAAATGGCCCGTGCTTGCGCTGTGGTAATTCACCAAAATGCTGTTAATTACCTTGTAATTACACCACGGCTGAAAGGCGTGCCATCGCCCCGCCAACTCTGGGAGTTGTCCATTCGCGCATCCACTCATTTCGTTGAAACCTTTCTCAGTCCATCATCAAATGCAGCTTCATCGCCGAAGAAGCATTAGATGGTCATATAATACAAAATAACTAAGCGAGAATTTCCAAGTTCGTATTCGAGAATACTGTGTTATGATCAGCTTGAAACTTGATCGAGAATCATTTTTAGCTTAGTTTATTATTCTCGCCATTCCAAAATATCCGACAGAGTGGCTTGATATCTTTTCATCCCTTTTAATTCTTGGGTGATTCAACATCAGCAACGCCACCACGGCACACCTAGGACCGGTTCCGTCACCCAAAAAGAAGAGCTCATCATACAACAAACATGCCAACATCACGATCACCAGGCCCAAACAGACAGGGCCATCGCCCTGGACCAGGCCGTGATGAACGGGATCCTGGGACCCGGCGGAGTTCAAGATCTCCACGAGGGACTCCAGAAGGAGAGAAGTATCGCCGGCGGGAGCAGCGGAGTGGGCACGATGGAAGACGGGACGGCGGTGTGAGAGAGGATAGCTGGGCCGTGGAGTCGGATGAGAGATTGCCGAAGCGAAGGCGAGTGGATGATATGGAGGCGTCGCCTCGTGATGAAGAGCGAGGTGTCAATCGCCGGCATCGTGATGATCATCATCGTCATCATCATTCTCATCGCCATCGTGACGAACGACGGGATGATGGCCATCGTCATCGGGACAGGCACCATACGACGGCACGCGATGAAGCAGCGAGGGACTCAAAACAAGAGGAGACTCGGTCATCCGCACGCAGCAACCATACCAGCCTCCCATTCGAAGCACGCCAGCTCTCGCGCAGTGATCTCACCGCCTTTCGGCCGCTACTAGCGTACTACCTTGATCTGCAGAAGCAGCTGGATATGGTTGAGCTGGAGGAGGCCGAGGTCCGTGGGCGGTGGAAGAGTTTTATGGGGAAGTGGAATCGGGGGGAGCTCGCGGAGGGATGGTATGATCCGGAGATTTTTCAGCGTGCGGCTGCTGAGTATGAGGGGATGCCTGCTCCGACGACGGCGACGACCACCACGACTACGACGAAAGCGAGGCCGACTGCGGGTTCGCGGGATTTTTCGGAGGCTGAACAGCTGCTTGCTAAACTACGCCGGGAAGGGCAACAAAATGCACAGGGCGGGGGTACTGGTGATGAGACGGGCGACAATGACAACGACAACGACGACGACGAAGACGACGACTACGGCCCCTTACTCCCCGGCCAACAAGAACATCTCCCCCGCGCATCATCATCAACCGCCACATCCACCCGAGCCCCAGGCCCCTCCATCCCCACCCACGCCGACCTCGAGCTACACGACGAAGCCCTCGCAGCCGACCGCGCCGACGCCCTCACCACGCACCGTCTCGCCCGCCACGCCCACCGCCAGGAACAGAAAGCCCTCCTCGAGGAATCCCTCCCACCGCGCGCCGACGCCGGCACGCGTGAGCGACGCCTGGAAAAACGCCGCGAACTCAACGAGAAACTACGCGGGTTCCGTGATCGCTCGCCGGGGGGTGGTGCGGCGGAGGTGGGGGATGCGGAGCTTATGGGGGGTGGTGGTGGTGAAGGAGGTGGAGGAGGAGAATCGCTGGCGGATTATAAGGCTATGTTAAAGCAGCGGGAGGAGAAGAAGGCTGAGAGGGTGAGTCGACGGGAAGCGGAGGAACGGGCGAGGAGGGCGGAGAGGGAGGAGAGGGTGCGTGGGTATCGGGAGAGGGAGGAGAAGGTGGTGGAGGCGTTGAGGGAGTTGGCGAGGGCCAGGTTTGGGGTGCCATAGAGGGGGTATGCATGAAATGGGTGGGTAATAATGCTGTGTATTTGGGGGTGCTGAGGGACTGAAATAATACGGAATGGTTTCAAGTACGATGGCGTGTTGATGGGGGCAAACATTGTATAAATTCCTATGAACTGGCATTTTTTGGTGTTTATTGGAACAAAATACACATTCGACCTTACCCTCTCGAAGTCACAACCGTACAGAACATGTCTTTCCATTTTCCTCAACTTACCTCATGTTACAGCGTAGCGTGGGGGGCGGTCCAAGTTTTTTTCGGCTCCACTTTGCATGCATCGAGACTCACTTTTTCGGATTCTCACCCATGAATAACTCATTTATTACGGTTTTTTTTTTCATCTCAAACCACAAGGTCGGACAACATATTCAAAAAGACCACACAAAAATGACATCCACAATGGTCCGGTCAGATCCTGAATCTGATGTTGACGCCGTCGATGTCGACCTTTTTGCCGACCCGGAAGACTACTATCCACCCACCCCCCCGCCGACAACACAAACGTATACTACGACTAAGGGGGAGATTATTACCCTTCATTTAGTAGGCCGTGCGTAGTTTGCTGTCTTCTGTTCTAACTCATTCTCGAAAGATGATATTCATCTATCTCTCCTCGCTCAACCCATTTTCTCTATTCTCTCTCACCCTGCCCACCTCTTTTCCAACATGCCATGCCATATTAAACCCTAAAACAACAACCCCTCCATACCCCCTTCTCCAATCCCAATTCCCCTTTTCAAACCCCCCAAAATATTAACACAACCCCCCAGAATCCCCCACAGAAGCCCACCACCTCTGGAACGGCGCCCGCATCATGGCCTCCCACTTCGAAGCCAACCCCTCGCTAGTCCACAACCGCACCGTCCTCGAGCTCGGCGCCGGAGCCGGCCTCCCCGCCATCGTCGCCGCCACACTAGGCGCCCGCCGCGTGGTAGTCACCGATTACCCGGACCCCGACCTCGTCGAGACCATGTGGCGGAATGTGAGGGGGTGTGCTTTGATTCCCGGGGTACGGGGGACGGCGAACGGGGAGGAGGATGGGGAGGATGGGGGACCGGAGAATATTGTAGTGGATGGGTTGGTGTGGGGGGCGAATAGTGGGAAAGTGCTGAAGCATTTGGGGGAGAAGGGGAAGGAGGAAGGGTTTGATGTGTTGATTTTGGCGGATTTGTTGTTTCGGCATACGGAGCATGGGAATATGCTCAAGACGGTGCGGGAGACGATGAAGAAGAGCCGGGAGAGCAAGGCGTTTGTGGTATTTACTAGTTACCGGCCTTGGCTGCAGCATAAGGATCTCAAGTTCTTTGACTTAGCGCGGGAGGAAGGGTTTGTGGTGGAGAAGGTGTTGGAGAAGAAGATGGATAAGCCATTGTTTGAGAAGGACCCTGGGGATGTGGACATCTTGAAGACGGTGACGGGGTGGGAGTTGAGGTGGCCGGAGGAGGTGCTGCACCAAAATGGGAGGTAGTTAGGGGGGAGACAAAAAAGAAAGACAAAAGTTCAGGGGAGATATAAATTATCATTATAGCCAAATGGGCTTGGGTATCACAACGCTGCTTCCGGCCGTTTCCAAATATCCACAAAACACAACGAATCCAACCCGGGTCCGCATCGCCCCTTATTCTTGCACCTCCACATGACGCAAACTGGGCGGCCGGCTCGAGTACATTGGGGGCTGTTCCGGAGCCCGCCATCCGTCTGACACCACATACCCGTACCTCTCGAGGCCGATGGATGATGTCGTCTCCATCGAGGCCCGGCTCCGTAAGCTTTGGCTGGACCGACGCCTGGATGGATCTGGGCGCTCCTGAGCTGGCTCGGGGACCACGGAATGATAGGATGGTGGTGGTGAATGCCGCCGCGATGGCGTGACTGGTGAGTCCGGCACTTCGCGGCGAGCGGGCTCTGAGATGCCCTGCTCGATGTCATGAGGAGGCTCAACTTTTGCCGCCACGGTGCAAGAATCCCGCTTCGCACGCCGAGCGGTCGTCACAGCGGTCACAAAGTAAGAGAGTCTGTCCTGTGTTAGTCGTGCCCATCCCTACAAACCTCACTGTTGGGATACATGGGGAAACATACACAATAAGCCCACCGAGCCCAAATACAACATCCAGTGACTGGCAAACAAAACGGTGGCTCGAGCGGTAGTGACTCCCACCCTCGCCATAATGGAACATGTCGCGCAAATCGAATTCTACGGACCGGTGTCAGTGAAACGTGTCAACTGACGGGAACAAACAAAGAACGTACCGGCTATGGGGGAAGCGCCGTGACAAAACCCCTCATGGCTGGTGTCAAGCATGACCAGCATGCTCAGCAGGGTCATCATTGCGCATCCATCGGCGAAGACGGCTACCAAGCTGGTGAAGGGACGTTTCGTTGCCTTGAGCAGCCGAAGCAGCCATGGCACAACTAGGGCACCGGCGTGGTAGATGAGGGTCATAGAAGCCTAGATCATGAGTGTGTTAGAAATCTGTTGTGTTGCCTGGTGGTACGTGATAATAACCCCTCCCGGGGCGTGTGTTCTACCGTACCTGCATCCGAATCCAGCGCATCATTCGCCGCTCGTGATGTGTGCGCCCCTGACCATCCTGATGGAAGTAACCTGATCGCCACAGGCCGTGGAGTGAGTAGTAGGCGAATGCGAAATATGTGAACTGAAGCAGCCGGAGGGCGGTTAGGAAGATGGCGGACCAGTCCCGGGGACACCGGGAGCATTTTTCATTGTTGGAGCTGGCCCCGTTGTCGTCGGTTTCCAACCCGTTATGGCATGGGGCAAGTCGCCGTGGACGCCGGAAAAAGGACCTGAACCCGGGCATCGTGAATGTTATTTACTAACGAGCGGAGACAAGAGGTCTCGACGGTTGTCTGGAGGCTCGGTGGTGTTCTCGAACTCAGCCAGCAACCAGTTGGGTCCAGTTGTCGAGACTTCTCTCCCGTCTGTTTGGCAGGGTTCAGGCAGACGGACAAACCAGGCTGTTGTGTGTGGGCGAGCGCTTGGGGCAGGGCGGGTGAAAAGGGTCTCACAAGACCCTTCTCTCTGTTTCCAGTCCCAAACAACCACTTGGCCTCGGCGCGCCAGCCAACCAGAGCCGGATTTGTATCACTGAAACTTGGTCCCGAGGGGTCGCAATAGGGCAAGCAGCGAGAAACACGGGCACCGCATCCATTGAAAAGATGACTGGAACCCCCTTCGAGCCTGCCGGGGCCTTCCGTGACAGGGATGCCTAGGGCTGCGCCTCCAAGCAGCCGCCAGAAAGGCACGCCGATTTGTCCGGGATGTGCCGATTACGCGTCCTCTCGTTTCCCTTGGCGGAAGGTGGGGCGGGTTCTGGCTCTGTCTTGGGCAAGTGCAACCCTCAAAGAAGCGCTCTTCTCTCCTCCAAACTGCCCCTTCCCCTGGAAATATTCGGCGTTGTTTGTGGAAGTTGCGTTGAGGGGCACAGGACCGTTCCTGACCGTCCCCATTTTATCTCCGCGCTAAGTTGTGTATCAGGTTGATTCCCCTCGGCTGTCTCGATGAGGCTTTCGTGATAGGTGAAGCCGCCGTTGGGCAGCCCAGCCCAACCAAAGGCCAATCCAATCATCGTCAATCCCAACTTGCCCTGCTATCAGTCAGTCTTGCTTGCCTGTTTTGTCTCGTCTGTCGGTCAGCGAGAATCCCGATGCCGCCATTCACGCCCCGCTTATCGCTGTGCCCCGAATGGTAAGGTCCTGATATCGTGGGGTGGTCGTCTGCCGCTTGGCCGTCCAGGAACGGCTTGGGGAGCGACCTCGCTGGTCGGACGCCCAGGGACACCAGGAACACAGCCCCAACCTCCCGCGCCCATCTCATCCTCAGCCGCACGGCAAAGGAAAGTTGCCCACAGCACTTTACTCACGCGCCGGGGGAATGCAGGCGCAGGCCCGGGGAAAAAATATCCACTCGGCGGTTGGCTTGAATCTTCTCCATCCGCTTCCTTCCTTGATCCGTTGTTTTTTTGTTTCCCCTGAGACTCAACTATCGAAAGGGCAAGATTATATTTCGCGTCTGTTGTGAGAATATCAGTAGCCTCTCCCCATCAGCCACTTCCTTGAGGAAGTTGGTATTAAGCATAGGAATCGACAATGGGGTGGAACATTTCACAATGGCTGGCTTTTGCCCGCGCGATCCAGATGCTGGGCGCGCTCATCGCAGTTGGCTCTTTCGGCTATGTGACTGTCCGACTAAACAATACAACCCACGGCGTGTCGAAGCAGACCATGGTGTTGGAAATGCTGGTATGATATCCGTTCCTTCGAGCCGCCTTTCTTTTCTCGGCTGACATTGACCTTCATTCTTGTTAGGCCTGCTTCCTGCTCGGCTACTCCATCCTGTCCATCGTCCTTCAACACACCGGCCGGCGGTCGAAGAAGACCCGTTGGTTGACCTTTACCGTTTTTTTTGACGTGTTCCTGAGTACTATCCTGCTCGGCATCATCAATGTCCTTGCCCGGGGCGGCCTGCCGATGCATTGCGCCGGCATGACACGGCCAGACCGTCAGTTATTGCCAACCCAGACCACTCCATAAACTCCCCTCCTGGTTACTAACGTTGTCCGCAGTCGACCCTACTATCGTGCCGTTGCCCGGCTTTACCACGATTGGTTTTAGCGACGAGGGGCCGGGCCGACGAGGTGAACTCGATGATCTGTGTCAATATGTAACACCATACTACGCCGTCGCCAATTTCCTCATGTCCGTGAATCTCCGGCCCTCCGACCCACCCGCCATTCCCTCCTTTCACTCTGCTAACCACCCTACAGCTTTACTTATATGTTTACTATTACCGCAACGGTGCTCCGAATCTTGGAATCGAAATACACGAAGAACACAAAGGTCAACGAGATGCTCGACTCGCTAGAACGATCGGGAGATGTCAGCATGAAGATTATGGAGCCACCATCGCCTCTGGAAGAACTGCCTCGACCGAACTTCGCCCCACCACCCAGCGAGGGTATCATGACCCGCACGGCTTCTCTCCGCAGCACCTTCACTGCCGCAACTTCGGTGGCCCCCACGCACACGGGCGGCTCCGGCGTCTCCGTCATCCCCCGTCGACCGATCGGTGGTTCCGCGCCACCCGCTCTCCCACGGCGGCCCATCCCCCCACCAGCCTCGCCATCCTCATCCCGCACCGCCGCAAACCCGGGAACAGGATTTGTCCCTGTCCCTCTCGACGACGACGACAGTGCGGAAGCGGCTCTTGTATCCGACGGCATGCGGCACCAACCGCCTCCTCAGCTCCAAAACCAACATCAACGCATTCCGTCCCGCGATTATCACGCCCCCTTCCCTCGGATGCCAATGCTCACAGAAGAAGATCAGTCCGCCGACGCCGCACTTGTATCAGATGGCATGCAACCTGGGGACCACACGTTACCGCCATATCACCCGGGGAATCGCCGTATGTCGGGCCATGGGGGAGATAACGACACGCGGTTGAGTGGTTATGTGAAGGGGCAAACAAGGGCACAGAATATGAAAGATTCAGGGGGATACTGATCTGCGGGCCAGGGGCGACAAACAGGGTGACTGCTAATAATATGCATGCGGTATGCTCGCGGAGGAGGCATAATGGGAGGCTGGTTGGCTGGAAGCATGGGCTGGGTGGGATTGGGGCACGGCGTTATGATACCACATTACATTGTTCGGCGTTTTTGGATGACTCAACAGGACAGCGCGAGGCGAAGGAACTATTGGCTGGAACAGGATTGGAAATGGTGTTTGGATCCCGGTATTTATGGCTGGCTTATACGTGTGCAGCTAGGTATGTAAGGGCTACAGGCATAGCATGGGCATCAGTCTTCTGTCCAGTTCAAAATCATGGACAAAATCAACATGTTCAAGCACTTATCTACCCGTACCCAAACTTGAGAGACAATACTCGACGAGGTGTTTTGGCCTTATGGCCTTCTTTTGTTTGCTCCCCTGATGAGCTAACGTTACCCGGCCGCCGTTTCAAGACCGGGAGTTAAAAAGAGTGTGGTTAATTGTAGCACGCGAGACTAATTACCCTGTCGGGTCCTACGGCCCTAGTTTCGTCCAAGGCTGTGTACCTTGTGATCGATCGTCTTTATCCTGGCATCGTACATCCTTAGCATGTATCACAAAAGGGAAACACCCCGATATGTACCATGATGTATGTGTCACGAACGTGTAACTAACGAAACAAGTTCGATCTCAGAACAGCCGGAGGATGGATAGCCTTATGGATGAGACATCGACGTTCCTTGAGAGGTGGTTTGTTCATCCACTTTATTGTATAACAGGACATACGAAGCAAGAAAGAATAGATTCCGTCCGCAACCCGAAAACTCCTAGTACACCGTTCCTAACATCCATGCCGTGTCTTTCCTAAATCTTACCCTGTCCCGTAATTGCAACCGTCCAACTTTGCGAGTCATCCCCATCATACCTAACAAACCCAATAACCTTTTTCCAAACGGGTACGGTACAGTACAGTACCGTACAGCACCTCTACCACCGCCTCCCATACACCTCATGCTCCTTCTTCTTCACCCCCCCCCCGCGCTTCATACTCCCAATATCCCCCACCACAACCGGATTCTCATCCAACCCATTCGGATCCACCCCACCCAGCGACGACTTGGTATCATGCTTGAACAAATCCAAAATCTCCTGCAGCCCCAATTTCAACTGCCCCTTCTTCCCCTTCCGCGTGCCACCTTCAATCGTAGCCTCCGCCAGCTTCCGCTTCTTATCCTGCAGTCCCAAAATCCGCGCCTCAACGGTCCCGGCCACGGTGAGTTTGTAGATGACGACGTCGACAGTCTGCGTGAGACGGTGCACGCGGTCGATGGCCTGTTCCTCGACGAAGGGGTTCCAGAAGGGCTCGACGATGACGACGCGCGTGGCGGCGGTTAGGTTGAGGCCGAGGGAGCCGCATTTGAGGGAGCACAGGAGGATGCGGGTGTGGGGGTCGGTGCGCAGGGCGTGGAGGGCGGCTTCGCGGGCGTCATTGGGCATTTTACCGTCGTAGCGGACGGCTTTGAGGCCTGGTTGGGCGCGGAGGAAGGGCTCGATTAGGTCGAGCATGGAGGTGAATTGGGAGAAGACGATGAATTTGTGCTCGGCGGCTTCTTTGCGGAGGATGGAGAGGAGCTCGCGGATTTTGGCTGAGATCATGATGGTGTGGTGGCCCGAATCGGGGTTGGTTCTGCTGCTGCGATTGTTGTTGGTTTTGGAGGAGGCGGACTTTGCCCCACGGCGACGGACAGGGAGGTCGTCGTCTTCCGAGTCGGAGTTGGTGGCGGAGAGAAGCTTAGACTCGGAGATGCCTTCGTCGTCGTCGCCCTCGTCTGACGACCCACGCCCGTTGTTGGAAGGGGATCGTTTGGATACGACCTGTGAGCTGAGTTTGGAGACGGATACGAACGTCTCGTCGTCCGTGTCAGAGCCGGACTCTTCCTGCTCGCCTTCGTGTACGTCCTCATCCTTGACGATGAAGCTGTCCAGCTGACTCCCCTCTTCCTCTTCCGAAGAGTGATCTGAATCGTCGGAGGCAATGTCCTCACCGCCGCCCTCAGCATTTTCATCGTCTTCGCCCCCGGCTACGCCGAGGCGGAGAGACCCACGCTGGTCTTCACCAACCAGCCAGCTCCCTTCATCTTCTTCATCATCGCTGTCAGTGATAATCCTGCGGCCCTTGGGCTTCCGCTTTGCCATCTTCTCGATCTGGATCTCTTCGTTCACCACACTGACTCTCCTGCCGTCCTTCTTAGGCTTCTTCCGGCTAGGGCTTTCGTCGTTGACCTTGCGCAGGCTCTCGACGCACTCGGTACAGCGTAGCAAACCGGCAGCCGCCGCCTTTTTATCCAGGTCATTCAAGCACATCTCGCACTGCTTTGTCTGGATGCCCATTCCCCCGAACGCATCGGCCAAATCATCCAAGTCGTCTGAAGTGGCCGCCTTGAGCTGTGGCACAGTCTCGGCGGCAAGGGCCTCGCTGTCCTTTTCAATCTTCGTTTCCGACAGACGGGGGTGGTTACAAGCCTGACGTAGGCGCAATAGAAGCACGAGGGCATTGGCGTAGTTGACTTTGCCCTTCATCATCCTCTCAAGACTCTTGTCGGCGCGCTCCTCAAGCTGGTCGTAAAACTCGCGCTCGGCCTCGGAGAACTCTGTTTCGACCGTGACGACCTTGCGCTGGGTGACTTTGAAGGCGGGCTTGGGCACGTCTTCTTCGTCCCGGCCTTCCTTCTTCGCCTTCTCCTTAGCCGCGTCGAGTGCCTTTTTGCCGCCTGCTACTAAAGCACCTTCTTCCTTGAGGATGTCCTTGGTCCGCCGTTTCATGAAGAGACGCAACAGACTGTGTAGCCGCCGGATGGCAATGTGGCCCTTGCCGCTCTTCATTGGGGCGTCGATGTTGGCTCTCCATTCGGCGAGGTCGTCGTAAGGAGGGATCCGGAGGAAGTTGACAAGCGACTGGAGCTCGTCAAGGTTGTTCTGCATGGGCGTGCCGGTAAGGCACCAGCGGTACTCGGATCGAAGGGCACAGCACGCCTTTGTACCTTTGGCGTTGCGGTTCTTGATACTGTGTGCCTCGTCCAAGATGACCCGGAACCAGTGGACGCCAAAACAGCCTACTTGTGGGCTCTTTGCAGGGTCTGAGTGGCTGTTCCCATGCTCAGACACCAGAATCTGATATGTGGTGATGACCACATCGTATTTGGCGAGGAGCTTGGGGTCTTTGAGCCGCTGCGGCCCGTGGTGCACGTAGACGCGGAGTTCATGTCCTTTAGACACTTTGTCCTTGATCTCGGCCTCCCACTGCCGAATGAGAGCGAGTGGCGCCACTACAAGCGTTGCCCTCGTCATTTGGCTGAAGTGCTTTTTCCACCCTTCGTCCTCGGGCTTGGGCATGGGGTTGCTGACGATGAGCGAGATGCTCTGCAGCGTCTTTCCAAGACCCATATCGTCTGCGAGAATGCCCCCCTTGGTCACCTTCCCCTTCTTTTGCTGCAGGACTTCACGCCCACGCATCCATCTCACCCCTTCCACCTGGTGAGGAAGCAATTTGACTTTGATCCCTTCCAAAGTCCCGTCCTCAATCGTCTCTGCTTTTGGTTTCTCTGTCTTCTCCTCGGCCTTCTCTTCGGTCTTGCCGACTTCTTCTTCCTCCTCTTCCTCCTCGTCCTCCATGCTGCCCTCAAGCAAAGCTTTCAAGTCAGCAGAAGCCTTGTTCGGATCTGTGTAGAAGACCTGATCCCCGTATGACCCCGCAGGCTGAGTGTATTGATAGGCCGGCTGGGCGTCCGCACCCAAGGAGCTGAACATCTGCAAGGGCGGTCCCTTTTTGGGCTCGTTTTTCGGCTTCAGAGGACCTGAACTCCTATACATGCCGCTGTGAAACTCTGGCCGGGTCTTGCGCTGGATAAAGACATGGCTGTTATCCTTTTTCTGTTGTTGACCGAAACGTGGGGTCAGCTGGGTTGGATGGCCGAAACTTGGCTTTGGGGTCGCAGCCGCCGGCGTTTGGATCGTGGGTATTGGGCTATCCGTCAGGTCGACCGGATTGCTCGGCTTGCTGGGTAGCTTGTGCGGCGTTTGAACGCCTTGATGAAGAGACAGATTTGCCGCTTGGGAACTGACGAGTTCCAGATCATCGTCGCTAAAGGATTCCTTCCGAAGCCGTGCCATCTTGTCTGGGCTTGGTTCGTAACCAGATCCTGCAAATACGTTTTCGTGAGAGGACGATGGAGAGTAGCTAATGGTTGTGGCCCGGACGAGGTCGTGGAAGCTTTGACGGAGCTCTGCGCGAGACTTCCGAGGTTTAGTGTGGGTTCCACTGCCGCCGTTCGAATTGTTGGGTCGTGAAAACTGCGGCTTGTTGTCAGATGACAGGTTGTTTTGCGGTTGGATGGCAAAGTTGGAGCCCGGCTTCCTGCGTTGAGGCCAGTGTTTGTCAGTTTCGTTTTTCCCGTTGCTCGGGGCTGTTGTAAATGTTGTTGACTCGGGCATACCGCATCGATGGGGCCCTTGAATGGTGCTAATTCGGCCAAAACTCGGATGAAAAGTTTGTTCCAACCAATTACTAGCAAGCGTTTCCCAAAGGCTGTTCTTCGGAAAGCGGGAACCTGCTGTCTCGCGGGGTTTGTTGCTTCGTTTGCTCGTTGTTTCTGGCAGTGTTTACAAAGGTGCCGAGCTCGGCCTGGGCTCCAAGGCAACCACGCGGCGACCCACTTTAAATTACCCCTCCATGGTGGTTGCCCCGCGCCATCAATTAACATAATTCACGAGGCTTCAGATATCCATCAAAGAATTTCGCCCTTAGGGAAGAGAGAAATCAAAGTACAAAAACAAAAAAAAATAAAATTCCTGTACCCACCATTTCACTACGGTCCCTGGTTTCATCAACTCACAACAGCGTGGTCGCTAGGTTTATGGGCCGGCCTTACAAGCAATTCTCAACACCGTGAACACAGCTCTTGTCTTACAGCGAGTGACAAGGTATATTCGTCTTAGCTTTGGATCTCCACCACGCTACAAAACATACCTGAAGTAGGGGTTTTCAACGTCTGTGAGATCCTGGAAGGCTAGCTTCGCCCGTTCTGTCTCATCCTCGACCGTGGCCGACTTCTTCTTGTTAGCTGCCGCCAGAACAAGATACAGCGCCGCTGATGCGACTATGCAAATTATGTAGCTAGCACCGTGTTAGTGTGTTGTTTAGAGGGGGTGGGCTTAACCAAAGCATTGAGGATGACTTACCAAATGATCAACCCCAACCACAGCTCGGGGTAGTGCTGCGCCTTGGTCTGTGACTTGACAAGTTGTGGTCCGACAATGTTGCCCACGCAGTATGCAGCAAAGATAGTTGCCGCCATAAAGCTCTTCTTGGTGTGGCCCGCAACATTGGACATGCCAACCGTGATGATGAGGCTGACGGTGCCGCCAAAGAAGCCCGTGATGGAGTAGCCAACGACAGGCGCCGCGGCATGGTAGGTCCATTCGCTCTTCCAGATGATGGCGCAGCCCGCGATGACTGGGAGACAAGTGAGGATGAGCATGATGAGGCGGATGTTGGGGATTTTGGACCCGAGGTAGCCCGTTAGGAGGATGACGATGAAGCAGAGCCCGCCGAGTGGGAACTGGAAGACGATCGAGTCGAGGGTGTTCCATCCGAATGTTGACACGATCAGGGGGCCGAACCCGCTGACGGCACCGTTCATAGTGTATCTACATCAGTTCATGTCAGTGTGAGTTCTTCAAGGGGTTAGCAACGAAGGGGTATGGTTCTTACGCAGAAGCCATCATGACGAAAATCAGGTACGTCTTGACATCAAAAAACGACTCCCGGATCTGGCTCATCTTGATCTTGGTACACCGAACCCCCGTCTGGCTGTACCTCAATCTCTCCACGGCCGCAAAGCGCTCCTCTTCCGTCAGAAACCAGGCCGTGACGGGCGAGTTGGGCATCGCGAAGCAATATCCCCCAAACAACACCGTCAACGACCCAGCCAACAAGTAAATATACTGCCAGCTCTTCAACCCACCCCCCTGAATCTGCGCAAACCCATAGTTCAACGCACCGCCAATAATAGTAAACAACCCCGTACTACTAAACCACCAACTCTGCCTCAAACTCTGCTCTTGCTGCGTATAATACCCCGCCACAATACACATAAACCCCGTCGGTATAATACTCTCCACAAACCCCAGAAAGAACCTCTGCGCATACAGCCCCTGGTACGACGTGACCACCGCCGTGAGCATGCACACCCCGCCCCAGAGCACCACGACCACGCCGAGCACGCGGCCAATGGGCAGGCGCTGCAGCGCAAAGGACATGGGGTACAGCCCGGCCAGCATGCCGAAGTAGAAGAGTGAGGTCGCCCAGGAGAGGCGCGAGGTGTCGACTGTTGGCGGGGTGGTGGTTGCCTCGGTGATGACGGTGAGGGCGAGGTCCGCGGTCATGCCGAAGAGCGCGGCGGAACCGAGGATGGCTTTGTCGTAGTAGACGATTCCGTCTGATGGGGTGGTTAGCGGGTTGCATCTCCGATTTGGTCTCCTTTTTATTTTTATTTTTTTGTTTTATGGGTAGTGTTGTTGAACTGGGAAGTTAAACTTACAACCCACGATCATAGAGGGGATGAGAAACCAGTCAATTTTGCGGACTGCTCGCGCAACGACAGCTGGGTCGACGGCATGCTCCTGCTCGCCAACCATGGCGATGGCCTCATCCTTGGCAGACACACTCGCTTCATCGTTTCCAAGGCTGTCATCGACTGGTGCAGACACAGGCGCATGTGCCGTTGCCGCCTCGAGGTCCCGGTTCACGACCGGGTCGCCCTTTTCGGTTGCCATGATGCTACCATTAAAGACATGAAAGAGGAGAAGAAAGAAAAGAGAGATGCAAATATTCCCTCGTGTAGTCTGCGACGGCTGGTCTCGTCACACCTTTCCTATCAGCCTCGTCGCATTCCACACATGGCTAACAGGGAACAGGGGGGGCGCGTGGGAAAAGTTTAAACTATTTGTGGCGATAGTCCGGTATCGCAAAGGTCTACAATTTGTTGGTGAGTAACCCCATTCCGGGTCCAGGATGGGGGCGTGGGGGTGGACAAGCGGCATAAGGCTTTTAGCTCGACGAAAACAGATTTTTTTTACTCAAGAATGCTAGGCTTAAAATTGATCCTGACGATTCTGAGGAGGAGGGAAAATTGTTGAGAAGCTTGCAGCTTTGCCGAGGATAGCCGCGTATTCCTAGAAGAAAAAGAATCTCGAAAACCTAAGCAACAGCTGGGGCTGTAACCGTGGGACAAGCCTCTTCTAGGTGTCCCGAGCTGAATGAAGCTCCCTTTGCATTCTATAACATATCCTTGGCGCCTTACTCATCGCCTTGTCTTGGGTAGGAATCGGTATACGGGTCGAATCCCATCTTTCGCTTCGCTTCGCTCCTCATCTGCCAGTGTGCTTCGCCATGCAAACCCGTCGTTGATGTCTCTTCCAGGAAGAACATCAGGATATGGTCGGGGATTGCTAGGTGCGGAGTCTGCTGGAACTCTTGCAGGCTGGTGAGGCGGATCAGCATCTCTAGGAGGGAGAGAGAAGATGTGATGGACCCGAATGGAGATCTCGTCACGTAGGATTCAGCCAGTGCCTGCTGGGGTTGTTGAAGGTCCGTCGTGGCCGGGTGTGAGAGGTCGTGAGGTGGAAAGTCGGACTGGAGGGAGATCCGTTGCATTTGAGTCTCAAGACCGGCGTCAACAGAGGTCTTGTTGTTGGAGTCCAGATTGTTGGCTGTGAGTGCCCGATGAGATGCACCATTTGTCTCGCTTTCGCCGTCACTCTCATCCTCATCCTCGACCTCGTCATCCTCATCGTCGCTACCCTCCTCCTCCACGTAAACCTCTAGCGCCAGCCATTCTTGATCGAAATGCGGGGGCAGCTGTGTTGGTCGGATGTCATCCATCGGAGACTGGGTAGAGTGTTCCGTCTCCTCCCACAACTGTCGATCAACATCATCTTGGTCGTCTGAATCATCAAAGTCGTCTGTAGTATCGGTTGGTCGGGATTCTTCCTCCTCTTGCTGCTCCGGGTTGTCAAACCACTCCTGCCGCATTTTGATGGGGCATTTTGCGCTGGGATCCCGCTTGAGAAGTAGGACCGGGTTATTGTTCCTCTCGTCGCCGTTTCCGACGTTGAGAATACTGCCAGTATCCGTGTAGAAGATCTTGGAAATCTGGTGTATTGGAATCGACTCCCGGATCCCAGCCATCGGGATGCCGTCATAAGGCTGCGGCTTCGATCCATCCCCGTCATGAAGTCTGGTGTCATCCAAGTCCTCGATGATTTCTAGATGGTACGAATATCCATCCAGGGGCTCGGTAATTGGGGCGGCCGTTTTCCGCGACCCGTCGGAACGACCCGGCTGGTAACCCTTCGTCGGATCATATTCACAGCTTGTAGGGATTCGACACAGCCGGACTCTAGATTTGTGCATGACCTCCTGCCAAATCGGCTTCCTCTCCCCAGCACCGAGTCCGTACGGAGTAGCTGTCTCAGAGTGACCGAGGAACAGCATATACAAGGACAGTGTGAAGGACGATCCAACCTGCATCGGCCGTCTCGGGTCCATCGAAAAGTGCGCATCTGCAAAGGAGAGCAAAGCACTAGCTTGCATCATCCTCGAGGGCGAAATGCCGGGCGTCAAGCTAGTCGACATCCTTTCTCCCGATACGGTGATGGCAAATTGGAGCAGCGGAATGTCCCGGTCAATTCTCTCCAGAAGATTCTTGATATCCCGAACAATGAGCATCAGCTCATCGCCGTGTGCCTCTGATGGTGAAGTATCCCCATTGTTGCGAGGCCCTCTGTCTCGGTGTGTTTCCGTTTCCTCAACAGTGGCCGCAGTATGGAGCCGCTTCCCAAGCCTAATTATGTCCCGGTGAAGGGATTTAGCGAGGGGCACTGCGGCTTCAAGGAATGCATTCCCTCGGCTAGATCTATAAAGAACATTAGTATTTTTCGCTATTTATAGTTGAGCACCTGACACAAATCTTGGGGGCCAGGGAGGAGGGGGGTGTTGGCGTACTTAAACTCGATGAGGTCGAGAGCCGGAGAAAGGATCTATTCGGTGAGACCAGTGAGTCAACAACTAGATGGGGGGGTGAATGACAAACCTTGATTTTACTGTCTAGCACCCTTTGAAGAGCCCTAAGCTCAGAGCGGATGGCCTTGTCATTAACCGATTTTAGCAGTCGGGCACATTGTTGCACTGCATATTTTGAAGTGAGGGCGATGCCAGATCTGACGGCGAAGTTAAAGGTCTGGGCCCCAAGCGTTTGCAAGAGTGCATCCATATTCTCTCAGCACGTCCATTATGATGTTTAGAGTGGCAGACGGACGTGTGGTTGAAAAGAGTTGGAGGCGGTGACTCAAGCCACGAATTCATTGGAACAGGTTGACTGTTTGTCCGGTGCATCACGCGATAGCCACTTTCACTGGAAGAACGCGTCTCTTCAGGCAGTCGGGCCCTATTAGGCACCTGCGCGGGCCTTGTTCACTGGAGTCATTTTGCACACTGTGCATAGGGCTGTTTCCGGAAGCCCCGCAGTTGCTCTTACAGCGATGGAAAACACCGCGAAGCAAGGGGCTAGATGGACAGTGCGCTCATGATATCGCACGGTACGTCCAAACCCTCTTCCCCGCCATGAATGGTGGGGCAACAAATCTTCCTGGTTTCCATCCTACCGTTGATGAAGCCCTTGTGCTCTCGTTTTCCATCGGTCTGGGTGATTACTTTTTTATCACTGCGTTTCAGCCCATTGTCGACGACAGGAAATATAGAAGACAGTAGGCCCAGTTCGTCCGCCCATACTGAGCACTGAGACGCTCCCTATTCCTTTGACTGACACTTATCGCTCAAAGGCCAGTCGCGCTAAGGAGCAAGTACCCGCGAACGAACCCGATTGCGACCAATCCTAGCGAAAATGTCTAACGTCCAGGACTCATGGGAGGACGACCCGTCCGCTCAGGATGAGAACCTGGCTCGCCAGGCCCAGCAGCAGATGCACATTGGCGGACAGCAAGCCCAGGGAGGTTTCCGTGCCGGTGCTGCTTCCTTCCAGCCCACCGCGCAGACATTCCAACCCGGCCAGGGATTCGGCGACGGCGGCAACTACGGACAATACCAGCAGCAGCAGCCGTACTATGGCGGTCAGGGGTACTACCCGCAATACGGGGGCCAACAGAACTTCGGTCAGTACGGCCAACAACAAGGCTATGGGGGTGTCTACGGCGGCCAAGGTGGCTACAACCAGCAGCAACAACAGCAGCAGCAGCAATACGGTAAGGATGCCTGGGTGCCGCTGGTGATCGTGAGTATCGGGGCTCAGACTGATAGGAACGATAGGACAGTGGCAAGGCTACCAACAGCAACAGCAATTCCAACAACCCCAACAGAATCAAGCGCAGCAGGCGCCGAAGCCCACACCCACTATTGCGAAGCGACCGACCGATGCCGCCTCAGGGACTGCCGGACCGAAGCCTACTGTTGCCAAGGAGGGTGGTGCCAAGGTTCTAAGCATTGGAGGCGATGCGCCGAAGCCGACCGTTGCTAAGGAGGGTGGCGCAAAGGTTCTCAGCATCGGCGGCGATGCGCCGAAGCCCAAGGCCAAGGTTCTGTCCATTGGTGGGAGCGCTCCTGCCAAGGAAGAGCCGAAGAAGGACGAGACCAAGAAGGTGGAGGCTAAGAAGGAGGGCACCGTGGAGGCGGCCGCCAAGGTGACGGCGTCCAAGGCCATCGACAAGACAGACTCCAAGGCAGGCAGCGGCAAGACCTCACCCACCCCGTCCTCCGGTCGGTCCAGCCCATCCCGCGCCGGTGCCAAAGCGGCCGCTCGTGATGCCGATGCGGTCGAGAAGGAGCAATCAGCCGACGTTGACGATGCAACGCTCAAGGAAATCTACGGCAAGGAGCACGTCAACATCATCTTCATTGGTCACGTCGATGCTGGAAAGAGTACGCTTGGTGGCTCCATCTTGTATGTCACCGGCATGGTGGACCAACGAACGTTGGACAAGTACAAGAGGGAGGCTAAGGAGCTGGGTCGTGAGACCTGGTATCTCTCATGGGCACTCGATCTGACCAACGAAGAACGCGCCAAGGGCAAGACGGTCGAAGTCGGCCGTGGCTTCTTTGAGACGGATAAGCGCAAATACAGTATCCTCGACGCACCAGGGCACAAAAATTACGTCCCTCACATGATTGGCGGTGCTTCCCAGGCCGATGTTGGTATTCTCGTCATCAGTGCGCGGAAGGGCGAGTACGAGACCGGGTTCGAGAAGGGGGGCCAAACCCGTGAGCACGCCATGCTGGCCAAGACGCAGGGTGTGAACAAGCTGGTGGTGGTCATCAACAAGATGGACGACCCGACCGTCAACTGGTCGCAGGAGCGGTACACCGAGTGCACAACCAAGCTACAGCAGTTCTTGAAGGGCACGGGATACAACCTCAAGACCGATGTCTTCTTCATGCCCATTGCCGCCCAGCAGACCCAAGGTATCAAGGACCGAGTGCCTAAGGACAAGTGCCCGTGGTACGATGGCCCGTCGCTGCTCGAGTACCTCGACGGCATGTCGACCCTGGAGCGCAAGGTCAATGCGCCGTTCATGATGGCGGTTTCTGGCAAGTACCGTGACATGGGCACCATGATTGAGGGCAAGATTGAGGCGGGCGTGATCAAGAAGGGCATGAGCGTGATCATGATGCCCAACAAGCAGACGATCGATGTGGCGGCGGTCTATGGCGAGACTGAAGACGAGACGTCCATCGCCCAGTGCGGTGACCAGGTGCGCCTCCGTCTCCGCGGCATCGAAGAGGAAGAGATTCTCCCGGGCTTTGTGCTCTGCTCCCCCAAGCGCTTGGTGCATAACGTGGCCCAGTTCGAGGCGCAGATTCGCATCCTGGACCTCAAGAGCATTTTGACGGCCGGCTTCAACTGCGTGCTGCACGTCCATGCCGCCATCGAGGAGGTTACTTTTGCATCGCTCCTCCACAAGCTCCAAAAGGGCACCAACCGGAAGAGCAAGCTCCCGCCATCGCATGCCAAGAGGGGCGACAGCATCATCGCTATCTTGCAGGTGACAGGTGGCGCTGGCTCTGTGTGCGTGGAGAGGTTTGAGGATTACCCGCAGATGGGCCGTTTCACCTTGCGTGATCAAGTAAGTTGTCATATTTTAGTGACTAGCTAGCTCTGACCGCTGGGTTGCTGAGTAATAACTAACCATCTCATAGGGACAAACAATTGCCATTGGCAAAATCACGCGCCTCATTCACGATATTGCTTAAAATATTGGTTGGGATACCATCTGGTCTGCGGTGTTTTAAGTATTTCGATAGATTTACTATATTGGCGCCAAATTTGTCTTGCTTGTAAAGTGATCTCTCGGTCAATGATCAAGATGTTCCATATCTGTCTCTTTGGCTTCACCCCCTTTTTAAAATGTGATTGGGGGAGTCTCGACGTGAAGACTTCGCGACCCATGGCCCTACGCCCTACGCCCTAATGTCATTTTCTTCACAATCGAAATATTTGTCAACTGCCATGTGCTCCCGCCGTTTCAGGCCCGGGAATAATGTGCTGGAAAGCTACCTCCATCCATGTCGGCTTACTCCTAGATCCATCAAGAAGCCATTTGAGCGGGGCAGGGCGGGGCACAGAGAGGAATTTCTAGAGTCGACGGTCACATCGAGGGCGCTAGCCTCCAGACCTTGACTTTTGACATTTATAAGCCATCGTGAGAAAAGAATTATTTCTAATACAATACGATGTGAGTTATCCTTGTTCTGCGATCGTCGGACATTAGATATCAATCCGGAGATAGTTAGGGGATGGAGATCTCGAAGACGGCATTAAAGACGATCTCGATGGCCGTCACTTTTACCCCTTTTTCAATCGTTCATGAATGTTCATGTCAGAGACCGAAGGCTCACTCAAAATATTTGGTTCCGACTGTATTCCTAACTAACTTGGAAGAATCTGCTAGAACAGAAATCGTGTTATACGTCTACCCTTTATCTTGACATCATGGCGACTCCCAATCCCACACCCGCCAGCAATGTCGAAGGCCTCTTTTCAGTCAAAGGCATCGTAGCCCTCATCACAGGCGGCGGTTCAGGTACGTAACAAAGAAACGAGACAACGATTGCCTTAACCACTACCCTTTACCTCCCCACTTCATCTATCCTCTCACAAACCATCCAAAATCGATCAACCATAGATGTACTAAAACACCAACCCAGGCATCGGCCTCATGATGGCCCGCGCCCTCGCCTCCGCCGGCGCCACCCGCGTCTACATCGTCGGCCGCCGCCTCGACGTCCTCCAGGCCGCAGCAGCCTCCATCAACCCGTCGGTCGTCGTGCCCCTCTACTGCGACGTCACCTCCAAGGTCTCGCTCGAAGCCGCGGTGTCTGTCGTCGAGAAGGATGTCGGCCGGCTGAATCTGCTGGTGTGTAATGCTGGTATCGGCGGGCCGCAGGTCAAGGTTAAGCCGAAGGCTGGTGAGGGTGAAGAAAACTTGGAGGAATGGCGGGATGCGCAGTTGGCGGTGCGGGTTGAGGATTTCACGCAGACGTTTGCGGTGAACTCGACGAGTGTGTGGTACACGGCTATGGCCTTTCTGAAGCTGCTTGATGCGGGGAACAAGGCTGGCGCTGATGAGGGTGCCGGGTGGGGGCCCAAGGTGAATGGGGTGCCGAGCCAGGTGGTGGTGACGAGCAGTATTGGCGCGTTTAATAAGGCTGCGCCCGGTGGGTGGGCGTATGGGCCGAGTAAGGCGGCGGCTACGCATATTGCGAAGATGTTGAGTAATGTGTTGCCGACTTGGAATATTCGGTAAGTTTACTTTTTCTTTTGCTAACTCGATTTACGCCTCGGGCAAAGGTGAAGATTGCTAATGAGGGCCATGTAGGGCTAACTGTCTCTGTCCCGGATGTGAGTAACCCCCGTTTTATATGTGACGCTTGAGTCTATAGCTAACTAACATCTCTCAGTGTTCCCAAGCGAAATGGCTGCCCCCATCGTCAAGGCAGCTGGCGGGTCCATGGAAGCCGGCGCGACCATCCCTCTTGACAAGAGTGTCGTGCCCCTTGGTCGGATGGGCGACGAGTCCGACATGGCTGGCCAGATGCTGTATCTTGCCTCGCGAGCTGGGGCTTACCTCAATGGTAATGTGATTGTGGCGGATGGTGGGCGTTTGGGAACGTTTCCCAGTACGGGATATTAAGTGCTTCCATGTGGTGAAGGGAATGGTAACCAAGTGGGGTTAGGAGATGTATACATTTTAGATATCTGAAGCATAATTCTACGGCCCCATCTTTTTGTTATCTTGTTGATGTTTTTATATGCGAACTAGCACTCGATTTACAGCCACGCAGCTATCAGATCGCTAGGGTGACTACATATGCAGCCCACACTGCTTGCTGTTAAGGTCGAGAAGCCAGTGTCACAAAATAACCAAAACGAACCAGAAATTTGGGTCATTTTGGGGGGCCAAATTATTGTTTGTTCCATGGCATCTTTAAGATTATATGAGCATCTTCAAAAATTAGGACTAGTTCATCAGTAATTAAGGTTACAATTGGTTATCATTTGCTATTCCGACTGTTTTTAGGGTGCTTTCAGGTCGTTGTTCTCATGACAATCCCCTCATCGGCTAACCCCTGTCTACTCACTCGAGAAATACGCAGCGGGCGGCACAGGATGGGTCGTTCATGACGTCACTGCTTCGGGAACCTTGTGTACATAGTACACTCACGTGGTGATCCCGAGTCCCAGATGAATATTCAAAAGCATTTCGACCCAAGGTCTCAAGGAGGAATTGGACAGCGTGATGCTTTTTTCTCAATGTCATTCCGTGCTTCCGTCCCAGCGTGGTTGAGCCAGCTTGAAGCCCTTGGTTCACAAACCATTGGATGCACCCCGCAATTCCACGGCGGGTCGGTCAGGGGATGGGAACGAGGCTTCAGACCCACTTGCCAACATCGTGTAAGTCAACGACGGACGCAACCTCACAGGCATCAGTTTGGCCTGTTAGTGAAATTGGAAACCGATGCTCAGAGTTGACCGCGCTGGAATTGCAACAATGTGGTGGGATTTGGAAGACCAAGAATCAAACCAGAAGCTCATTCAAACACCTTCCACAGCGCCACATTGACAAAACAAGCCATGGCGGGGCAGAGCATTACTCAATGGGTGAATAGGAAGAGTCGGCAAAGCCACAATGCAGTGTTGTCCGAGACGTCTATTAGCCAGAAGTGCGGGAATTCCCCAACTTGAGATCTACGGATTGCCGTGGATGGGCGGTCCTGGGTTGGCCAAAGCCATCGAGAGGGAGGGGTAAGTCGGCAAGAATAGGAGCGAAAACAGCAAGAGCAGCTGGAGCTCTCTCTGAGACAAGCTCGAGGCAGGTACCTAGCTCTGAGCACCCCTCCTTCCCGGCCACATTGGCCTACGGTTATCCGCTTGCCGTGGACCTGCCAAGCTCTTCGTGTCCAGTTCGTGAGCGAGGATTTCTCACATTATGCTACTAGGAGCGTGTTGGAACGATTCTGGGACGGTTTGATCCGGTTCATAGCGTTATCCGGTGTCGATGGTAAAGATCAAACACGACCGGACTAATGCGGTGCCATCAACACGCCCTTCTAGTGCCAATGTAAAACAACGGTGCATACATATTGAGCAAATTGCCTTCATTACTTACTTTCAACACGTTCGCGCCGGGGACCCAGCTCGGGACGCACTCGTGTAAGAACTCGAAGGGATCGTGGATGGTGACTTGTGAATAAAACGGGTCTGGAGTTGCATCATTCTCACGAAGCACTGCATATTGCTGTGGACCTCTGGGCAGTGACTGCCCGGGTAAGAACGGTCACTTAATCACACATTGATTTTCAATGGGATTCCACCTGCAGAGACGGGAGACAGGAACACAAAGGGAGCTCGGGAGGGGTCTGGGCAAGCCCGAGGAAGGGAGTACGACCCCTCACTCGCTGGGAAGCACATGAGATGAACCTGCCGTATGTAACTTGGGACGGGAAAATCATCGAGCAGGTCACCCGCCAGAAATATCCAACCTAAAAGCAGGGACTTTGCTTGACGTCCGTGGCGGCTGGCTGGCAACCCTTTTGACCGGTTCAAGGCAACTTTGACCTCGGCCATTCTGATCCCGTTTTCTTTTCCTCCTCCATCCTAACTTATTTAACCGCATCACTTATTCATCTGCTCCCCGCCACCCTCAGACCCTAACCTACACTTGGTTCTCTAGGAACCTACCATAGGCCCCTCTCCAATCTACTTTATTTATCTAGCATCTCCTCTTCACCTCCCCATCCCTGTTGTCTTTCCCTTTATACGAAACATACGTCTGCCCTGCGACTCGAGTTGCGAACTCCCCGAGCACGCGACCCCGCAAACGCCCGAGACCTCCATCGGTTACCCCAAACCCAAACCACCCACGTCACAGAGGGTATCAAACCCTAGCGACAGTACAAACGCGCGCTGCGAGGCTGCGCGATTGAAAATATCTCGATAAAAGGAAAGGAAAGGTTCTATCCTTTGAAAAAGTAAGTTTCTACTCTCCCGTTTTGATTTCGGGATCCAAGAACATCATGAGAGGACAAGCTCCCGTCTTTCATCCCCATCTCCGGGCGGCTTTCCCCAGAACCCCGTCGCGTGCGCCGGGAACTTGGAGAAACCGCCTGAAAGCCCCACAGTGGACGCCCCGCTGCGATTGCCGAATCACACGGACACCCTTCCAGAACCACAAAGGACGCCCACTGAACCGACCGCGACCCCACCGGCTTGAAGCCTCCCGGCGTTCCTAACTTTTCCGAAGCCCCTTCCTTAGGCCGTTTTGTTTCCCGGCCTCGAGTATGGGGATGGAAACCAACCTCTCCGACGCTAAGCCGTCTGTTGGGTTGTTTCTATTTTCTGGTTGAGGTTGAGGACCGGGTTCAAGGGAGTGCTGTCAGTGGAGCAAGGGTTCCGCGCACCGCTATTATTTAATCCCTGGGATGGAAACCCGGACGGCATCAATGCCGGCCACCGAGCTCCCGGACCATGGGGACTTCCGGGATGAGGCGCTATGTTTCAACGACTTCCTCCCTACCTACCGACCCCCGGCCCGGCCGGGGGGGAAAACCCACATTCAAAAGCCGATGTTAAAGCGAGCAAAAGGCTAACACGTTGTTTTCTGGATTTTGATAGGCGCGAGATCCCAGCACGTTGAGCGTTGAGAGAGACACGAAAAGTGCTGAGGCTGTCCTACCGAAAAAAAAGAAAAGAAAAGGACTGGAGCGGTCAGCTGTTCCGTCCTCTCGGGTTTGGACCTCTAAACAATTAGACGTCCTTCAAAGTCAAAGAATACCTCTCATCACCCATCATGTCCGGCACAATCAAGCAGGCGGCCGAAGCAGCGCGATCTAGAGGAAACGAGATGATGGGGACGGCCAAGAACGTTAAGAACGACGGCGCCGCCGTCGCCAACAACTTTCTGCACACACCCTTCATGCGAACCGCTTTACCCTTCATCAATGGCGGCATCAGCGGCATGGTGGCCACGACAGTGATCCAACCCGTCGACATGATCAAGGTGCGCATCCAACTAGCCGGTGAGGGCAGCGCAGCTGGGCCCAAGCCGACGCCACTCTCCGTAACCCGCGAGATCCTCGCCAGTGGCAAGGCCCTCGACCTCTACACCGGCCTCTCCGCGGGTCTCCTACGCCAGGCGGTTTACACCACCGCCCGCCTTGGTTTTTTCGACACCTTCATGGGACGCCTCAGCGCGCGCGCCAAATCCAACGGAGCCAGCGTTGGCTTCAAGGAGCGCGCAACAGCTGGTCTGTCGGCGGGTGGGCTTGCGGCCATGATCGGCAACCCGGCGGACCTAGCGCTGATCCGCATGCAGAGCGACGGGCTCAAGCCAGTAGCTGAACGCAAGAATTACAAGTCCGTCGTGGATGCGTTGACGTCGATCGCACGAGCCGAGGGCGTGGGTGCGTTGTGGGCGGGCGCCGCGCCGACGGTGGTGCGCGCAATGGCGTTGAACTTTGGCCAGCTCGCTTTCTTCAGTGAGGCCAAGGCACAGTTGAAGGAGCGCACCAACCTGACGTCCAACGGTGTCACACTGAGCGCCAGCGCCGTGGCAGGTTTCTTTGCCAGCTTCTTCTCGCTGCCGTTCGACTTTGTCAAGACACGGTTGCAGAAGCAGAGTCGCGGGCCTGATGGCAAGTTGCCGTACACCGGTATGGCGGATTGCTTTGCCAAGGTGGCCAAGCAAGAGGGTGTCCTCAGGTTCTATCGCGGGTTTGGGACGTATTATGTGCGCATTGCGCCGCATGCGTAAGTTGACTCCCGTGCCTTGATGCTTGTTCTGAATTTGTTGAGGGTGGACTGCGTGTGATGAAAAATGACGCTGACCTCCTTTTTCCTGCAGGATGGTGACGTTGATCGTGGCCGACTACCTCGGGTTCATTACTCGATAAACTGATGACGCCTTTTTTAGGATTCGTCTGTTATTCAATAGCTTTTTTTTGGTTATGGGTTACTGGTCAAGTTGTATGTGCGGTATCGCTTCGTCTTTATGAGCGGTGTTTGGGTACGGTTTCTTTGGTTACGTCGAGTATGGGCACGGAATTTCTTTGTAATCGGTTCAAGTATTGGTATACCATAGGTCCTGTGAATGAGATAGCCCAGCGATGGCCGGGCAAACGTCCTAGCGGTGCTGGGAGGCTGTATTCATCCGCTTCTTGCTGCAGGTGTTTTGAGGGTTCTTTGCATTTTCAGTTTGGCTCATCTCGTCGGAACATAGAAAATAAATATGGGGCTGTACTCATAGATCTCTTTATTGATTGGCCTGCCTTCTCCAAACTCGGCAGAATAATTTTCCGTCAGCCAATAGAATTGCACAAAAGTGAATGGTGCTCCCGGCCCACCCCCGCAAACTCGGGACAGAGCCACTGAAACTGCAAGGCTGATGGTTCCAGGGGGATGCGATTCGGGCGACAGTGGAGACCACTCTGAACAGCAACCTGCCTTATCAAAACCAAAGCAGCAGTGCTAGGACATTCTGTCCTCCTCTTCTTTCTTTCCCCTTTTATGTCGAAGATGTGACAGGAAGCCGGCCATGGATGCGGACTGGGACGAGGTATGTTTACTGTTTCTGCTTGCCGTTTTTTCCCCTGGGTTGGATTGCAATTGGGGATCTTGGCAATTCGAACGAGGGGCAGTCAATGACGGGAGCTTCTCCGTGTGCCGCCATAGACGCGTAACCCCGCGATGGTGTAGGCTTTTTCGAGAGAGGGTCCAAGGCTGACTCAATTCCTCACCTTTCTCCCTCTCTCGTCCACCGTTTACCCTAACGGCCGGGCTTCCTCTGCAACATACATACCTGTCTATGACTGGCGCACAGCTTAGCTAACCGTGTGATGCCACCACCCCCGAGCAGGTCACCCGCATCGCCTTCCCGGCGCCCGGCTCCAATGACTTCCCCCGACCAGCCACTACGCTAGCCTTTGACACGATTGCCGAGTTATTATGGGCGGGAAACGACCGAGTACGTTCTTCTGTCTGGGGGGAATAGACCGCAACGCCGCCCACGGGGGTGGCTTTGGTTGGAGATGTGGGTGGGAAGGTGGGAAGGTGCTGGAGGAGGACATTGTTGTTTTTGTCTGACCAACCGTTGCTCCTTACTAGGGCCGCGTGGTCTCGTTCTACGGCCGCGAACTACAACGGTACACCGCATTCAAGATACACCCTTCCGGTGAGGGACCGGTGCGACAATTCCTGTTCCATGACAAGGGCATTATTGCTCTCGGCACGAGGAGCGTGCATATGGCTATGCGAAGGGGGCCGGCACTATGGAATATCCGGTATGGTGGTGATGACTCTAAACGGTTCAATAGGGGGATGTTGGTGCTGTCGGGGATGTGCTGACGGATGGGGCTAGGCACGACGACATGAGAGACTTGCAGTGCATGAGCTTCACCTCGAAGGGTGCTTCCGAGATCGTCGTTGCTGGCTTTCAAAACACCATGTTTGTCATTGACGTGATCAAGGGGGAGATTGTCAAGCAGGTGGGTTCCCCTTTTTTCGTTCTGAGTTGGCCGCTTGTGGCTTACAACAAGAGCAAGGTTCCTACAGAACATTACTACACCATCATGAAAAAGAGCAAGTATATATGCGCCGCGACTAGGAATGGCAGCGTTCATCTACTTGACCCAATAACCTTCCACATCGTCCGGAGCTGGCAGGCCCACGCCTCCTACATCAACGACATGGACGCCCAGAACGATTTTATTGTTACTTGCGGTGGCTCACTCAAACAGCAGGCCGCCCAAGCATACATGCTCGACCCGTACGTCAACGTCTTCGACTTGAAGAACATGGTTTCAATGAAGCCTATGCCGTTTCCACCCTTGGCCGCCCACGTGCGGCTGCACCCACGGATGCTTACCACCAGCATCGTGGCCTCTCAACACGGCCAGATGCACGTTGTTGATATTATGAACCCCAACACCAGTAATGTAAGGTACGCGAACGTGATGTCGGTCATCAGCCTCTTTGAGATGGCGCCATCGGGCGAGGCGCTTGCCATGGCCGACAACGAGTGCAACATCCACCTCTGGGGTTCACCCTCCAAACTCCACTTTACCGACATGGCGATACCAATCGATATGCCCAAGGCCGAAGAGTCCGCCCCGATGCTCGATTGGTCTCCAGATACGTATGCAATTGCCCGTTTCCTCGGATCTGTGTGTGTGTTAGGTAACCGCTGACACTCGTCGACAGCCCCCTGAGCTCCGTCGGAATGCCCTACTATCGGGAGCAACTGTTCTCCGCCTGGCCCGCCGATATCATCTCTGACGTCGGCGGCCCGCCCGTGCAGCTTGACCCGGCTCTTCTGTCCACCCTCAAGCAGACTGAATGGGGGTTGTATGGGAGAAACACTCGTGGGCTACGACGCAATCAGGTTGAAGACACGAGGGTGAATATGAAGCCATCTTTACAACCGCCCAAATTCCTGAGTGAGAAGGCGCGCGAATCGGCCTTGTCTTACACTACCACACCAGAACTCAAGCCGGAGCAATTGGCGGAACCGCCGCCGTCTAACGAACTCGACAGTCTCAAGCCAGAAGCGCCGGCCATGTACCGGAATCTGGAGATCAAGTACAGCAAGTTTGGGGTGGACGACTTTGACTTTGGATACTACAATAAGACGCAGTATGCGGGTCTCGAGAACCACATCCCGAACTCGTACGCCAACTCTCTCCTGCAGCTCATGCACTACACACCGCTCTTGCGGAATCTGGCGCTCCAGCATGCCGCGACGGCGTGTGTGAGCGACTTGTGCTTGTTGTGCGAACTCGGGTTTGTTTTCGACATGTTGGAGAAGGCGGAGGGTTCCACATGCCAGGCAACAAACTTGTTCAAGGCTTTAGGTGCTACGCCTCAAGGTATGTCTTCGTATCTTTTTTTTTTTTTGCCTTTATTCTCAAAGACAGTCGTAACTATTTCGAACTGGATGAAACTAACAGTATGAAGCTGCTCCCCTCGGGCTGCTGGAAGAGGAGACGCACGTGCCGTCACTCTCGACAATGTCCCAAGGCCTAAGCCGATTTCTGTTCGACAGGATTAACCATGAGTACCGGAGCATCCCTCCGGTCTCAACCAGACTCGAACAAATGCTGTTCCAACTTCCCCAACCGCCCACTGCGGACGACTTGGCGTCCCGCGTTCTGGCCACATCCGCCGTGGTCACCATCAAGTGCATGAACTGCCGGAGCGAGACTACGCGCCCCGGCACCGCGCAGGTGAATGATTTGATGTATCCTCCACCCAAAGGCGCCGTAAGAGGTGGCAGGGCACACAAAACCATCTTTTCTCAGGCACTCAAGATGGGTGTTGAGAGGGAAACGGCGTCCAAGGGATGGTGCAGTCGGTGTCAGCGGTACCAGAACCTGCAGATGCGCAAGACAATACACAGCATCCCGGCGGTTCTGGCTGTGAATACGGCGATATCCACGCAGGAGCATCGGCGGCTGTGGGCGTCGCCAGGGTGGTTACCGGAGGAGATTGGGGTGATCGTGGACCAGGGCCAGTTCTTTTGCTTTGAGGGCGAGGACCTGAAGCTCCATCTCCAAAGGGGCATCCACAATATCACGGTGTATTCCTTGGTCGGGATGGTGGTCAATATTGAGAGCAGCGCGCCCCAGAAGACGCATCTAGTGGGAATTATCAACGGTAAGTTCGCTTGGAGAAACAAGAGGTGATAATACGATTCACTAACGGTTTCAGTGGCACATGCCGAGCCTACACCGCCGGCCGAGAGCAAGTGGCACTTGTTCAATGATTTCTCGGTGCGGCCAATCTCAGCTACGGAAGCCCTGACCTTCAACGCGACGTGGAAGATGCCCTCTATCCTGCTGTACCAGGTCAAAGCGGCCAACAACACGACGAACACGGACTGGAAGACCCAGCTCGACACGTCGATCCTGTATCAGGATCGGACACCCCACTCGGACGCGAAGACTTATCGGGTGCTCGAACAACCGGGCGAGCGCCCCGGCCCTGACACGATTATCGGACTCGACACAGAATTCGTGTCGTTGAAACAACCCGAAATCCAGATGAACTCGGACGGCGAGCGGGAGACCATCCGGCCCATGTCGCACGCTCTGGCGCGAGTATCCGTCGTCCGCGGCCAAGGCGAGCACGAAGGCGAGGCCTTCATCGACGACTACATCGCCATCCGCGAGCCAGTCGTCGACTACCTCACCCTATACTCCGGTATCACAGCTGGGGACCTCGACCCGCGCACCACCAGACACAACCTGGTAACCCTCAAAATAGCCTACAAAAAACTCTGGGTCCTCCTAAACCTAGGCTGCAAATTCCTCGGCCACGGCCTGCGGCAAGACTTCCGCGTGATCAACATCCAAGTCCCACAGGCGCAAGTAATCGACACAATCCAGGTGTTCTACCTCAAGTCACGTCTGCGCAAGCTCTCCCTCGCTTTCCTTGCATGGTATCTCCTCAAAGAAGACATCCAGCTCGAGACGCACGACTCTATCGAAGACGCGCGCACAGCCCTCAAACTGTACCGGAAATACCTCGAGTTTGACGACGCGGGGATCCTTGAGGCCATGTTGGATGATATCTACAAGGCGGGGCGGGCGACCAATTTTAAACCGCCCCGGAAGGAGGACCAAGTGATTCAGCGGACGGATACGCCACCTGTTACGGCGCCGGCGGAGGGGACGGGGGGTGTGGAGGGGAATGGTGGTGGTGATGGGGGTGAGGCTGTTCCCCCGGAGCCTGTTACACCGGCTGGTAAGGCGGTTGGGCTGGCGGGCGCGGGTGGGACGCCGTTTGGGGTGGTGAATGTGTTTACGCCGGGGAAGGGGTCACCTTTGCCGAAGTAGGGTTGACTGTCAGGTCGTGGGAAGTGGAAATGATGGAAGGATGGAAAGGATAGATGTGCGTTTTGGTGAAGCGAGCAGGCAGCGAGTTTTTACTTTACGATAAAAATGGAACGAGTTTTCTTAAGTCACTGGGAAGGGCCTTTCTCCGTACGGTATAACTGATGTTCTTGGCCGTAAGACTTGATTGTTCGGGCAGATTCGAGTGCTGGAAGGGCCGGGCCGGGGTAACCATCTCTGTAACCATCCATGTAACCATCGATCATCAACTTACTGGTACGAAGTACAATGGCTCTTTCAGACACGGGAATCACCCACCCATAGGTATCCATACACCCATACGAATAGGTGGGCAGTTCCTTGATGGGTATGGTTGGGTTATGGGTTATGGGTAGGAACCCAGCTTCTTGGGTTCGGGTTAGGTTAGACCCATCTATAGTATCGGTTGTTGATTTGGCTAGATGGTTACCCGGAGTCATTAGGTAGTGTAAATTCAGTGGTGATGATCGAACATAAGGCGTTGAACCCAGCGCACCTATCTATAAGGTGGTTACAGCGATGGTTACAGTTCGGTTACATTACAACCCGACCATTACCCATATTTCTGGGTATCTCTGGATCCAACCCATATGGGTACCCAAATGGGTTACGGGTTCCTAGCTCCACGGGAGGTACCCACGGGTAATTTCCACGTCTCGGGCGGGCAAATGGTGGACTTCCGAGCTTACCCCTTTTCTAGCGGTGTTGCGTTCAATAATCTTTCTTTTTCAGCAGCAAAACTACCTACCCTTGCTACCTTAACCTCTTACACAACCCTCAGTAACTTTCTCCTTCAGGGCTGTATTACTCCGGGAGAGGTTAGGGAAGTCGAGAAGTGAGAACTGACGTCTGATTCGCCGATGTAACGTCTGGTTACAGTGACTGGAAGACGGGCACTTAGTAATAATACAATTAGCGGATCAGGGACGCGTGTAACTTTGATTAAAAGGGGTCAGGTGAGAGGTCGACAGTGATTCGGTCTTGGTGAATATGAACCCTCACCTTCACATCACAACCACGCATTTCAGGGGTTGATTGATGGGTGTTCAAGCTGGGAATTTCCGAATAAAACAAACGGATTCCGCTTGTGTTTGAAGAGCACTCGAATATTATTTTATTGTTTTATTTCCACCCTAATCTTCATTCAAATTCCACGGTTCTTACACTCCGGCACTTACTTCAATAATCGAAACACACCTCTTATACCCCTAAAATGCCCTCCCTCCTAACCCTCGCAACCACCCTCGCGGCCGAGCACCCCACAACCGTCACAACCATCACCCTCCTCCTCACAACCTACTTCCTCCTCTACCGATGGCAGCTGGTCAAAACCCACCCTGACGAGCCACCCATCGTCCCGTCTGCGATTCCGTTCGTGGGCCATGTTTTGGGAATGGCCATTTTCGGAGGGCGATATGTCAAGAATCTGGGGTATGCCCCCCCCTTTTTTCTCCAAAACAGAGACAGGAATACTGACACATCTCCAGCCTCAAACAAAAATCCCACCCCCTCTTCACCCTCCCTCTCCCCCGTTCCCGCCTCTACATAGTCACCGACCCAGCCCTAGCAACCTCCGTCCAGCGCGCGGCCCGTACCCTATCTTTTACCCCTCTCGTCCCCCGCATCACCCAGCGCGTGCTGGGCCTGGACGACGCTACTGTGGCTATCGTCCAGCGGGATCTGGATCCGGGTCCTGGGATGCCAAGGGGGTTTTTGGCCGATGTGCATGACCTTGTGTATGGTGCGTTGGGGCCGGGGGAGGAATTGGCGGGGTTGAGTTTAGGGGTCGCGGAGGGGTTGGCGAGGGTGGTTGAGGGGTTCGTGAAGGAGACTTTCCCTTCGTCGATTCCATCCGCTGAGGAAGAAAAGGGGGATAGGGATCCCGGGGTGGTGCTGGATCTGATGCAGTGGATACGGCATTTTGTGACGGTGGCCACGGCGGAGTTGTTGTATGGCGAGGAGAACCCGATTGCGCTGGACCCTGGGTTGGAAGCGGCGTTTTGGGATTTTGATCATGGGTTGGGGTCACTGTTGATGGGGGTGTGGCCGACTGTGACGGCAAGGCGGGCGTACCGCGGGCGAGAAGCGTTGGTGGCTGCGTTGGAGAGGTATCTGCTCGAGGGGAAGTATCTGGAGAAAGAAGGACGGAAAGGGGCGGCCGGGATTGTGCAGCGGCGGATCGAGATTGCGCTGCGGCATGGGTGGACGATGCGGGCGGTCGCGCGGTCGGAGCTGTCGTTTTTGTTCGCGGGGATTGTGAATACCGCGACGACAACGTTTTGGATGGTCCTGTACCTGTTTGCGGACACAACTACGGGTGATGATAACCTTCTCTCGGCCGTTCGTGCCGAACTCAACCTCAACACCATCGCCAACACCACTAGCAACGAAAATACCACCAACTCAGGGACCAACACAGAAACCAACACCCCCACAATCTCCCTAACCACCCTCAAAACCGCCTCCCCAACCCTAAACGCGCTCTTCCGCGAAGCCCTCCGCCACAACTCCGACACCTACTCCACGCGCCTCGTCACCGAATCAACCACCCTCTCCGCCCCATCATCATCATCCTCCCCCAGCTCAGACTATATCTACCAAACCCAATACCACCTCACGGCGCAAAGCGTCGTCCAAATCTCAGGCGGCACCATCCACAATGACCCACGGATCTGGGGGGATGATGTACGTGCCTTTCGGCCGGGGCGGTTTTTACCACCGTCTTCTTCTATTTCCGGTAGCGGGAATGGGAATGGGAATGGGAATGGGAATGGAAACGGGCCCGAAAAGCAAATCCACCCCGCCTCCTTCCGCGCCTTCGGCGGGGGTAAAACGCTCTGTCCAGGCCGACACTTTGCGACGGCCACGATCCAGGCGTTTGTGGCTGTGATCGCGGGGACGTTTGAGATAGAGGGGGCCGACACAAACAAGATTGTGGTGCCCGGGAAGGAAGACGGGGTGTTGCCTGTGCATGTGTTGGAGCCGAAGAGGCCGGTGATGGTGAAGGTGAGGGTAAGGAAGGGGATGAGGAGGAGGGGGTGGGGGCTTGTTGCTTAGTTTGTTGGTCTGGGGTCTGTATGTCGACGTATGGAGGGGAGTTGTGTGATGAGGCTGCTTTTTGTTGGGAGTCTACGATAGTGGAGTATTTGTTGGGAATCTCTGGTACTGGAAGTTGCAGGTATCTCAGGGAAGGTACGATGTGGGTAAGGGGGACTAGACCGGATAATGCGAGAGGTCTTTAATAGGGGTCTACTGTAATGTCACATACGTACCATACATACATACACACACTTACACACGCACGAGAAAGACGAGTCAACGTGATTTAACTACCTACAATACACACCATACAAGACAACCTTGTTACAAATACCCGGCCATGACACTTAACCACCGCATCCTACAGTCTTCCACCTCCAACCATCCAGTCTCCCACTAGCCATTCTGCCCTTGACATCGTCCAGTCCTCTGCTCAGTCTGTTATTGTCCAGTCCTCTGCTCAGTCTGTTATTGTCCAGTCCTCTGCACAGTCCACCCACCCTCACTCCCTTTCCATTCCTTTCCTTCCCTCGTAATACAACCTCCCGATAAAAGCGTCCAACCCAAAACCAGATCCACCCAGCCCATTACCCATTTCCCCTACCCATTTCTCATATCTCTCCTCAAGAAGTGCTTAACGAATCCCCTCCAAAGCCTGCGCCCTCACATACCTCCCCCTCACATCCCCCGGCAACAGCCCAAACAACCTCGCATCCCCCCCGCGACACCGAATCAACTCCTCCGCCATATCCGCAATCGCCGCCTCCTGCCTGATATCCCCATGCGTCTCCGCGCGCAATGCGACCAGCCCGTCGAGTAGTTGTTCGTCGAATTTGTCTACTACTCTCACCCTTCCTTTCCCACCCTTCCCGGTAGTAGTAGCAGGACCATTCTGGGGAGATTGGACCCGAGCCATGGGGAATAACAAGAACACCACCGCGCCACCGCTCTTCCACCCTGGAATCCGATCCCGGACTTTGTACAACAGCTGTGCGAAACGGAACAACCGGGTGTAAGACCGCGCAATGACCAGGTCTGGACCAACACGGTGGACAAATGCCGCGTGGGCTTCGACATAGTTCTCAGCCCAGACAAGTGCCAAAAACTCATGCTGTGAGGCGCCGCGGGCGCGGAAGTCGAGGGCTTTGGCTTCCCAGATCCAGGGCGGGGGGACGCCGAGGGTGAGGAGGGCTGTGAATGTGTTTTCTTTGTTTCCGTCGCCGTTGGTTTTGTTGTTGCTGGGAATATTCCGCGGCGGAGCGCTGATACGATGGGCATGTCTCCCAAGATGGTCCCGCACAGCCGCCTCGCGCGAGGCAGCATCAGACAACTGCAGCAGCACAAATGTAGCCGGGACCCAGTGGCAGTGCGGGTGGACCGTCAACGCCGAAGCGAAAGACAGCGATGCCATGTCGAGTTTCTCCGCAGCGTCCTGGCCGAAGGAGACTTTGCCCGTGGCGTAGATGGCGCGGGTCATGAGCCAGCCGAGCCGGGGGCTGTCGGCCCAGTCGAAGTCTTGCGTGGCGAATGCTTTGAGGAGGGACCAGAGTCTGCTGTCGGGTTCGGGTTCGCGGCCTTGTTCGATGTCGGCTTGGAATGAACGGACGGCTTCGGCTACGTTGGTAGTTGATGTTGTGGAGCCGGTGGTGTAGAACAGACGTAGACCGAACGACCGCATCCAGTCCAGCCCAAAGCGCCCCGAGATAGTAAACGAGTCCACCCGGTTCTCGATCGGCACGTTCTTGACCCCAACGCAGACGCTCGCGTTACCGGCCAGCAACTCATACAGCGCGCGAATCGCCGGCGAGAACTCGGCCAGCACATTCGACTCGCGCCAGTCCGACAGCTGCGCCTTGATATCCTTGTTCTGTAAACCGATATTCGACACCAGAGTGGCGAGACGGAAGTTGCCCGCGGCAAGTAGATGGCCGCACGCATCGCCCACGCGATTACCCGCGAGCGCGAGGATTGCTTTCTCCTCAAACCCCAGCCCTGGCTGCGCCAGCGCGCGGTCGGTGGCCTCCGACACCAACTGTCGCCAGAACGCGGGCAGCTTAGACCCGTTTTCGTCGAACAGCAGCGAGGCTAGGTCCCAAGCTACATCCCCCTGGGCCAGGTCGCGGAACTCCTGGTTAGCGTTGACGTTAACCACCTGGTGCTGACCGTCCCAAACCGCCACGCTGTCGATGTAGTGCTGAAGACGAGCCAAGTTCTCAGGCGACGCAGCCGACGATTTCTCGGTGGGAGATGCCAAGTTGTCGCCATCGACAGGCTGCAGGCTAGGCTCGCCGAGGTGAGCAGTGACGAGGAGCTCGTTGGGACCCCAGTTGGTGCGCGGAATGGTGGGGCCCTCCTCCGGGTGATCAACCTTGGGACGTTGCTGGTAAGGCCACTAGAAGCAGAAAAAACAATCTTAGTATATGTATTCACAAAGTTACATAAGGGTACGGGTACAGAAAGGTCCAACACCAGAGCAGAACCTGGTAGAACGCTAAATAAAAAGAACAGGAAACAGGAAACAGGAAACAAAAACAATGTCCCCCTTCCCCCGTAACACACAAAACTTGCAAGACCAAGACCAAGCAAGACCAAGAAGCTCAAGAGGGGAAAACTAGTAGGAGGCGAGCGGGACACCAACCTTCACGAAACCCTTCGCCGGCGACGACTGCTGCTGGTGCTGCTTCTGCTGCGGCGACGGAACAGGCCCCTTCGCCTGCTCAAAAAGAGACTTCATCAAATCGATACTCGTAGCAAACCCCGCGCCATCCGGCACAACAGGTGCCGCATTCCTCCTCTGTCGGGCAGCAGTAGGGCTGCCCTGATCCTGGCCCTTCTCCTTGTTATTATCATCAATATCATCCCAGACCGCTCCCGACTCATTGAGCGCGCGCAACGTCGCCCGATCCACCGTCCTGGGCGCCCGCACGCTCGCCTGCAAGATCTGCGTCCAATCGTCTCCACCCGTCACCTCAATCCGCGTCGGCGCATGCGACTTTTTGAACGCCCGCATGCGCGCCCTCATGATGCCAGCAGGGACCTGTGCCTCGTAGTAGCTGTCGTTGGGGTAGTCGTAGGCTTCGTTGTTGTTGTAATAGCCGGCATCGTCGACGACGGATCCCTGCTGAGACCCCTCTTCATAGGCTTCGAGCTGGTAATCATCGGGTCCGTCAGCCATGCTTTCATCTTCAGGCCATTCCCGCGAGGGCAGCGGGGCATCGGCATCTTGGGGCTCAGGCGACAGCGTACCCTGACGTTGATGTTGACGCGAAAAACCGGCGTCCGCATGGGGAGCCTCTTCAATGTCCGACAGCGCGGCATCGTCGTCGTCGAAAGCGCCCGGGACCGCGCGCCGGCTACGCTTGAACTCGAATGTGTCGTCGGGGTTGGAAGGGGAACTAGAGTCCTTCTTGACTACAACATCAGATACGGCCGGGGCCGCGCGGGAGAGCAGTTGTTGCTTGCGGACGCGGACGCGAGCGCCGACGGACTCGGCTTCGGTCTCGTCATCGTCATCGTCATCGTCGTCACCTAGACCGTAGGTTGTGAAATGCTCCACTGAGAATGTCCAGACACCCATCTCCTTATCGTAGCTGACAAACTTGGTGTCGGGAATGGCCGTCTTGAGACGCTCAATGTGGCGCTCGAGGCGGCGACCCACGGTGGCGAGACCACCACGTGGGTACGAGTGCTCCAGCGAGATGACGGCCGGGACGTTCAGGCCCTTGCCGACGGGGGGTTTCTTAGCCGCGACGGGATAGACGGTGGCCGAGCGGGGCACCAGGATGACGATGTTGTCAAACAGCTCATCGAGGTTGATGTTGCTGAGGTCGACGGGGACCTGGAACGCAACACTGCCGACCTTCTCGCGGCCGACGATGAAGCCCGGAACGCGCTGGCGCTGGACCCGGTTCATGGCCCGGAGATCCTCTAGCGGAGGCGATGTCCAGTAGCCGCCCGGTTCGACCGAGGACGAACCGTTACCAGACTGCTTCTCGGTGCGCACAGCAACCGGCGACTCCTCCTCGGGAACGATGGCCAGCTCATTACCCTTGACCGGTTCAACCTGCGCAGCGGCAGCCGTAACCGTGACAGAGGGCGACTTGGCGCCATTCATGCCGTTAGTGCCGTTAGTGCTGCTGGTGCCATTAGACTTGGTTTGCTGCTCGTCGGTGCCGGAGTTGTTGCTGCTGTTCTCCAGCGTGCCGGCAGGTCGTGTGGTGGGAGTCGATGCCTCGGTGCTGGTATCGAAGCTCACGCGCTTCGTCAGCTTGCGTGGGCCACTGGCATCCTCAATAGCCAGCTTCTCCGGGGTCGGCGACACAAACAGGTCGTTCCGCACCTCCTTGTTGATAATCAGCTTCTTGTGGCCGCTACCGTTACCCAGGCGAGAGGCCGAGCTGGCCGAGAAGGCACCCGGCTGGAGAATACTGTCCTCGACGCTGAAGCTGCGCCGCAGGTTGCTGGCCGAGATGCTCTTGCTCAGGCCGCGGTTGGCGTTGCCCGCGAGAAGGAGACTCTGCGAGAACCCGCCGGGTGTGCTGGACGCGCTCGACGGGCTGGCTGGCGACCCGTACGCGCTGTAGGAGAACCCGTACCCGCGCTTCTGCGGCGTAGCCAGGCGCGAGGCGTTGGCCGGGCTCAACTTGTACATGGGCAGAATCGACCGGCTCTTCACCTTGGACTTGCCCGACAGCGGTGTCGCCAACGGGCCTGGGTTCTGCACCTTGTCGTCCGGAAGCCCCGAGAAGAGCGTAGCGGCGCCATACGCAGAGATGTCGTGGATACTAGCGTTGAACGCCTGCTGCTGCGCCTGCTGGCCCTGCGAGGCCCCGAGGAGAGAGTTGCCCAACTGCGGCTGCTGCTGGTTGTTGGTGGTCCCGAACAAACCACCGCCCTGCTGCTGTTGCTGCTGCTGTGCGGGCTGGCCACCAAAGAGACCGCCACCCCCAGTCGTCGAGCCGCCGAACAGAGACGGCTTGGCTTGCGTGCTCTGACCAAGTCCGCCGAAGAGACCACCACCCTGCTGTTGGGGTTGCTGCGTTTGGGTGTTACCACCAAGGCCGCCAAAGAGTCCACCACCAGTCGCGCCGGCCTGGTTCGTGGCACCACCGCCAAACAGACCACCACCAGTGGCCGCCGGCTTGTTTCCTCCGAAGAGGCCGCCCCCTGCGTTTTGTGCCGTGTTTGCTGCACCAAAGCCGGCCGTAGCGCCAGTGTTAGCACCACCACCAAAGAGACCACCGCCGGGTGTCGCGTTCGTCGTGGCCGTGCCACCGAAAAGGCCGCCGGCGGGCTTCTGTTGTTGCTGTGCCTGGTTCCCAAACAAGCCGCCGCCACCTGCGTTTTGGGTCTGCGCTCCGAAACCACCACCTCCACCAAATGCTGAGTTAGCAGGTTGCTGCTGCTGTTGTTGCTGCTGTTGTTGGCCTCCAAACAGACCGCCACCAGCTGTGTTGTTTTGATTGGCGTTTCCGAACAGGCCACCACCGCCCGATGCAGCGTTGCCGCCGAGTCCGCCAAAGCCGCCGGACGTCGTGCCAAGGGTATTCCCGCCGAATGCGTTGCCCGTGGTAGCACCAGTGGTGCCAGCGCCGGTGTTGCCAAAGCTAAAGCCGCCGGGTTTGGCAGCAGTGTTGTTGTTGTTTCCGAACAAGCCACCCCCCGCGGCGTTGTTGTTGGCGCCAAAGCCGGCGTTCCCAGTAGTAGCACCACCACCAAACGCATTCGAGGCAGCACCACCACCACCAAAGAGTCCACCGCCGGTCTGAGCAGGCTGGGCAGCTGGGGTATTCCCAAATAGCCCACCACCAGCGGGCTTGTTGCCGAAGAGGCCGCCTCCTCCAGAGGCCGCACCGAAGCCGCCCGCTGCGTTGTTGTTGGCCGCGCCAAACCCACCCGCCGCTTGCTGGTTGTTGTTCCCAAACACACCACCACCAGCAGCGTTAGCACCAAACCCAGCGTTGCCCTGGTTAGCCCCGAAAGCATTGCCTCCAGCGCCAAAGTTGGTGCCTCCAAACGCCCCGGTGCCACCGGTACCTCCGGTCTTCCTGCCTTGGCGGTAGTCTGCTAGCCTAAGCTCGTCCGCCGAGAATTTCTTGTAGGCGTCCATGAAGAGGATGTTCTGATACGAGTTGCTCTGCGTGCTGCTGGTGGGCTCCTTCTCCACTGTCGCGGCGAACGGGACACCGCCCGTGCCGGGAGGGTCGCCGACGTTGGTACCGATGCCCGGGTTGGCCGAAGCGCCAAAGCCACCTGCACCAGCGTTGCCCCCACCAAACATACCACTATTGGTAGTGGTACCAAATCCTGCGTTACCGGCGCCAAAGCCAGTCGTGGCCGGTTTCGCAGCACCGAAGAGGGAGTTAGTAGCACCGCCGCCGAAGGGCGTGCTCGGGTTGTTATTTGCTGCGCCAAATCCACCGCCGAATCCTCCGGCGTTTGCTGTCGCTGTCGTGGCTCCGCTGCCGAAGAGTCCTCCTGGTGTAGCGCTACTAGTAGTCGGTGTGCCGAAGGCAGGTTTGGCCCCAAAACCACCGGCCCCGAAGCCGCCTGCGTTGCCTCCCCCAAACCCAGCATTGCCGCCACCGCCAAACACGCCTCCAGTGGTATTTGCGTTGTTTGCTGCGCCGAATGCATTGTTGCCAGTGGAGCCGAACCCTATGTAAAAGGTTAGTTCCTTGTCGTACTCACGAGCGAAGAAAGATCGCTTTGGGGAGGGGCGAGATGTCGTTCAAAAGCAGCGGATAGAAAAAGAGAAAAAGAGACATACCTGGCGTCGCGGTTGTATTACCAAATCCACCAAACCCGCCGGCTTGATTGTTGTTATTGTTGTTTTGGCCGAAGCCGCCGCCGCCGCCAAACCCGAACGCCATGGTTGGCGATGATTATGGGGGTGGTTGACGGATGACGGAGAAAAAATCGAAAACGAAATCGATGTCGGGCCGGGAGGTTGAAAAAATAGGCGCGAGGGCGATCCCGCGTGGCGCGTGGCGCGTGAAAACCCCGAACCTTAATCGGTTCCTTTGCGGAATTGAAAGAAAGAACAAGCTGGGGAAATGAAAGAATTAAACTTAAAGCTCGCCCACGGGTCGCGCGGCAGAATGGTTGCGCTGGGAACGGCACCGCGTTGTTTCCCCTGCAAAAGTTTGTTCGGTCGCGACGAAGGCGAAAGTTGTCAGCTCGCGAAAGGTGACTGGCGGCCCGGGCTTCCCCTTGAGCTTGCCCAACGATGTGGTCCAAGCTCAAATTACCGGCCAATGAGATCACGCAGTGACTTTTTGGGGGGTAAGAGGGAGGGTCGATCGCGAAAAAGCAGTGGCAGGGCGGGAAACGGTTCCAAGCACAGCACAGACCAAGCGAAACCAACAAGATGGAACCTCGCAGTCACTTCACGTTTGCAGCAGAGAAAGGTTTCTGGTGGGCAGGCAGACGGTCAAGCTCTGGGATTGTCAAGGAGCTTTTATGTACCAGGTTCCTAGCTACGTAATGTGTGGTGCAGAGTTACAAAAGGATGGCAAGAATGGACAAGCAACCTGGACCGGCCCTGAGGGCGTGCCCACGGTATTTAAGCGCCAGCCTGACTGCGAGCAGGCCGCCAAAAGCGGTCACGTGGGCCCGCGACCGCGACCAGCTGATTAATGTTCGCTGTCTGCCTTGCAGGAATGCGCAAATCGGAAAGCCACCACAAGCGCCCTGGATGCCCTCTCTGTTCTCGGCAAGAATTCGCAGCTGTCAGTGGGCAGACCACTGTCGAGTCACAGCTAAGGTTGCACGGCAAGACGCCTACCTCAACACTCGTGTCCAACACCCACAGCAGAACGAAATTTGCAGTGCACAACGATATATATTTCTTTCCTCCCAGAGTTCCTAGCTAGTTTCGATAATTTTCACCGCCCCCCTTTTCTGCTTTTGGCCGTTGTGATCCATGCCGCTCGCCGGTTCAAGTAGTCATCGCTAAAGTTGTCAGGAAACTAACTATAAACGATGCTTATTGCTGTATATGTGTATATCTAAGCAACGTAGCTGTCAATATCTAAGTGGCTGATGATTACCCCCTGTATCTCTCACATACGCCCACACATGTCAAAAATAATGAGAACCCGAGGGAGTTCAAACAAGTTTTTACCTTGTGTTTTAGTCATCTGCTGGTTGTCATGAATTATTACCATTTTACTGGTGAATTTATAAATTTCCAACTAAACCACGACACATACATAGTAATACAAATCTTAGACTCAACATTCTAGGCTTTGTTGTAGAACTACGCCATTTTTTCTTTTCCCTTCTTCTTTTCTCTCTCCCCTGTGCTCTGCCAACCTCTGACGACCACTAACAGATGTACCCAACGTAACCCGGACCCGTGTCTACACTGGTCGGCGGAGACGATCCAGCAGACACAAGACAACAGTGACCTGGTCCCCTTTTTGGAATGATTCGGGTCGCATCGTCTATTTCACGATCAATACCAGGACAACTCTTGGATTAGAGAATCCACGGAACGGTATACCATGGTATCCCTCGCTCATGAGTTCCAAAAAACTTTCTTCAAACCCCTTAAAAGGCGTCTTTTGTAATTTGTACATTTTCAACCTATCTGCATAAAAACACCGCCGGCTTCCACAAAACAAAAAGATTCGGCCAGACCGGAAGAAAAAAAAAAGAAGGCAGTTTAGGTTGCTGTTGTAAAAAAGTGACCAGGACGCAGGATGAGATGAAACTTTCTTAGGTTCAACCTGCCAACACCGGCAAAACCGAGAGACAAAAAGAAGTAAGTACCTAGGTAGTAGGGCCTTGAACGGAGAAGAAGAGGCCGCCCTACACCATACCGCACTGCACCAACTAGGTCGGCTGGCACACAGACACTAGCCTTTGCGACCTCCTTCCTACGGGCTGAGTTATCTTTGAAAACCCCGTGGAACCAATCCTTAAACCCGCCAGACTTGTTTTCTCCGACCAACGAAACCATTCTATCAGTGCACTTGGAAATCTGGATCAAATACACCGCCTCCTTACCCCCCCTTCCATCCACTACAACCCTTCTTCAGACCTTCGCTATCCCGTAATTGTCTCTGCCCGCGCCATCTTCAACCCTCCAGTTCCTTAAAACTGAATCAAATCCCCCTGACCTCCCTGCTGCTGCTGCTGTCCAGCACCCCCACCCCTCGCCGCAAACGGGTTGTTCACCCCAGCTGGGCCTGTCGCAGCGGGCAATTGTTGGCCGCCCTGCTGTTGCTGCTGCGGGTATGAGACAGACGGCATACCGGTGAACTGCTGCCGCAGGAAGGGGTTATTGCCGGTGGCATCGGCGTTGATGCGGTTGAGGTTGGCGCCGGCGCTGTTGACAAACACGCCTGGGGCGGTGTGCTGGGCGGGGATACGCAGGTTGCCGGTGTTGCCGAAGGTGTCGAGACCATCGCCAGTAGCGAGGAGGGCGTTGAGGCGGGCTTCGTGCTCGGACATTTCTTTTTGCGGTTGTTGCTGCTGTTGAGGTTGTTGTTGCTGCGGTTGGGGCTGTTGTTGGAAATTGCCGCCGAAGGGGGAGGAGGACTGCTGTTGCTGGGGTTGGAAGGTAGCGAGCGTCTTTTGCTCTGGGAGGCTGCCGAGCGGGTTTGCTGATTGGGGCTTGTATCCCGTCGATGGGCGTTGGGCGAAGGGGTTGTTGGAGCCAGTTGGCGTGGGCTTGAGCGACTGCGGGCTGCTGTTGTTGCTGGCCCAGGGGTTGTTACTACCGGGTTGCAGACCCGGCTCCTGGGCCTGAGGCTGGAGGAACTGTTGTGGTTGCTGTTGCTGCTGCTGAAGGTAAGGATTGTAGCCAGTAGGTTGGGGTTGGAAGGTTTGCTGGATCTGGGGCTGCTGTTGCTGCTGCTGGCCGAATGGATCGAAGGCTCCTTGTGGTTGGCCAAATCCGTTGCTATAGCCGTTCGGGTAGCCGGTCGGTTGCGCCTGGAAACCCGTATAAGCATTGTTCACGTAGCCCGTTGGCTGCGCTTGCATCTGGCTCTGATCGATCGGGTTCGCAAAGAAATCGACCGCGCTTCCTTGCTGGTAGCCCTGGTTGAAACCGGTGAACTGGGGCTGGCTGGTCTGAGAAGGTTCGCTCGTGTCGAACAGAACGCTCGCGTTGCTCTCCTCAAGCTCCCGCCGACGCCTCTCTTCCTCCTCTTGGCTGAGCTTAATGGCCTTTGCCAAGTCGTCGTCGTCGATGTCGGCCGCCCGGCTCTCCCGTTTTTTCCTGTCTTCTTCCTCTTGGTGCTTGCTAGCTTCAATGGCTAGTCGGTACTCTGCGTCCTCTTCTTCGTTCTGCGGCCGGTTGCGCTGCCGTGACTGTTCCGCTCGGCCACCATGGCTCTGTTGAGGCGCGAATTCCTCCAAACCATTGACACGCGACTTCCACGACTTCCTATCGGTTCGTTCGGCTCGCAGCCTCTCCTCGTCCAGAATCAAGGAGGTGAGTTCCTTTGCCGCAACACGAACTGACGTAACACACATGGTTAGCTGGTTTGTCCCTTTCCACGCGTCTAGCAGAAGCTAACGGAATCTTGAGGTAACCCACCATTCTGACCAACGTCTCTACCATCCTCATCGATGTATTGGAACTCGCGCAGCGTCTTGATGATGAATATGTTTTGCTTGGACCAAGTGACGACCAGTTCCGACCCTTCGTGCAAGCAGTAGTCGAGAACTTTGAGCGCCTTCAACACGTGCCGCCAGTTCTTGCCCTTGTCGTTGAGACGTTTATCGATCATATCCATAATCTCGTAGAACTCGGTTGATCTAAGCAGCAAGGCGGAGATGTTAGCATACATTGGGTTCCACAAACCACGGCAGTGGACGCCGCGCGCAACCATGACGCCCCTCGAATGCGTCCCGAGGTACATGCATGCCAACTTACGAGTTAAAGGTCATCTGAGCGACCTCGCTCATCTGCGTCCCCGTCGGGCCCCATGGATCATTGCTTGTCGCTGTACGTCCGCGCCGTCAGTAAAAAGCCCTCGTCTTGTTGACGCGCTGGATAAGAAATCCGGGTTTGTGGCTGCGGGGTGCTGTTGCGGCGGCACAGCGCAGCCGGGGGGAGTTCGCGCAATCATTTGCGAAACGTGACAGACTGATGACCCACCATCGCGCACTTTGATCTGGACATTGGAATAGCCCTTAGTGACATTCTTGACACTACGAATGACTTTCGACATGTTGACGCCGGTTGGGGGGGTTGGCGCGAGAGCCGCTGCGATCGGACTTGCGGTGGACGGTGACGGTGGCGGTGTTGTGCGGTGGCTAAAAGGGGAACGTCGGCCGGGAGCGTCGCAAAGAATGGAGATCTAGGTGCAGTGGAGGTGCGCTTGCGTTGCGTTGCGTGTTGCTGTGCTCGGCGGTTGGGGCGGCGTCCCGCTCTTTACTCGGCGACCTTTGTCTTCAGAGGCCGCGTGCCACTGGGGCCCGCAGCAGATGTTCTCGTGGTGGGTGACTTATGGACTGAAATGTGATTCGTTTATAGACAGCTTGAAGAATAGATGCAATATAAGAATTGAATGGAATTGGTAGTAGGGTTGGCGGAAGCTTTATATGTTCGCAACTTAGGTTCTTAGGAGCTGATGTGATGTTGCTTTGAAGGGCCGAAGACAATACGACTAAGAACCTTAGTTGGCGAAAATGAGGGGGGAAAGTTCGCACACAAGGCACCGCTGGAGTCGGGCGCAAATTGGTGTGTTCCGAGGTGGATCGACACTGGATGATTTAACACAACGAAGGGGTTCAGTGGAAGGCGAATTTGAGAAGGAAAGGGGCGTCGAGACAAGTTGCAAGGGGTGTTGGTCAACCGGGACTCTCCCAATGTTCGCTCCTGGAGTATTAAGCAAAATATTTCCGAGAATGCAGCTTTATTTCGGCTGCGGGGGGCGACCCTGGAATTCCCGTTTCCCTGTCCAACTGTGCAACTTGGAATGCTCACGAGAGTGTGGCGCGGAGCTGAGAGACCTGACGAGAGCTGTCGCCAAGCCTTCCAGAAGGGAGCCCCGCTGGCGGGCTAAGCCGTTCCTGGCAGATACGCCCTGCAAGAGAGCTGGACTTCACGCTGCCCGACACAGAACGCGCGTGGATGACGTATGGCCTCAAGGTTTTCGAAGCCGGAAGATGGCACCCACTGTCTGAAAATCTCACCACCAATCATGTATGAACGAGAAATAAGCTGCCCGTGACACGAAAGGAACTTAGGCGCGAGTCTGGCCTGCGGCCCAGGCCAAAGCTAATTAGACCGATATCAATTTTTGGAATTTACTCCCATAACTAGCCTCGCTCACCCGTACCTAAAGTTGATAAGATACGGAGGGAGTTGGACGGCAACAGAGGCAACGGTACAGTATATTCAGACATTTGAAACGGAGGAAAGACACGGGGTCATCGTCCGGTGTATCATGCCGCAAAGAAAAAAAAATAATTGGCGAGGTACAAAAAGACCCGAAATGCCTCTCCCCCTTCCGTAAACCCCAACGCCCCAAAGCAACCAAGGGACAACGCCGATGCCTGTGGTATCTTGTTTGCCGCACCGCCCGACCCAAAAGAACGCGATATCCTCACGCGTCAACGTCTCCTTCCGCATCCTGCATTTCCACGTCCGCATTCTCCTTCTCAACACTGGACCCCAAGCCCTTTGACCCATCCCGTAGCCCGGGGGACTGCACCTGCACGGTGTCCATAACATCAATGCCCTCTCTACCCTCTTTCTTGTTCGAGGACGAGAGGGCCGCGAGCCTGGCACGCTCAGCGATCCACGCCGGGGGAAGGCCCGGGCCACTAGCGGCGTTCCCATAATCGCTCTTCTTCGTGCCCTTTGGCCACCGGCCCGGTCCACGGCCAGTGCCGCCCGGCTTGCGCTTGTTGCTACTTGTGCTGGTCCTGGCCCGAGAGGACGAAGCGGTGGACCGACGGGTGCTGGTGGGGCGTCGGGGCTTGGGGGGTCGCGGCACACTGCTGGCGGTGCGGACTGGAGGTGGTCGGGGGATGATACTGCGGGTGCGGTCGGTTCGGCGGCCGTTGACGGGCGGCACGACTTCGAATCGCGTCGCGGGGACGTCTTTGTATTGGTCAATCCAACTCTTTTCCGTTGGTTTCGCCGATTCCGAGTTGGATTGGGGGTTGGGTGACATTTTCGTGTCTTCCGCATCGGCGAGACTACCGGCCGATTCAGCCACCCCGTTGGTGAGGCCGTCGGTATTGGTGCCCGTTGTCTCGACGGGGTCGGTCATCTCGTTGCCATCATCAGGCTCGGTGGACTTCATCACTTCAACTTCGGGAGAGGTCTTTTCCTCGGCGGGGGTGTCGGGCTGACCCGTGGGATCCGCTCCGTTGACGTGGGACGCTTCTGGCGGGACGACTGGTTTTGTTTCCTCGTCTTCTTCCCTCGGGGCAATAGCATTTAAAGCCGGGCCCAACTCGAAATTTGTTGCGTTGCTCCTGCCCATAACGTATGGCGTCCACGTCAAGGCTCTCTCGTTGAGCTGCACGTACTTCTTTGCCTCCCATTTTGCGACGTATTCACGACAGTACTGGAAGTCCACGCGGAAAGCGTAGAGCTGGGTTTGCGGGTCGCGGACCAAGCACCTGAGCCCTTCGAGCGCGGATATCACGTCGTCAGGTGTCAGGCCTGTGTCGTCGGAGATCTTCTTGATGCTGAGGCCGGTCTTCCCGGATCGTTCCTCGGAGGATTGGCGCAAGAGGTATCGGCACATTATCAGCCGCCAGTAGTTGCGATATGAAACCAACCCCATGTCCGAAAGAGGCTTTTCTGGAGATCCCGTCTTCTTCTCCACCCGGGTGAGAAGGTAGGAAAAGTCGATCAGCAGATTACCGTATCCTTTGCGTTGATGAATGGGGAGTGTGAGGATGCAAGATACGTTGTTTTGACTGCTTGCACGTTTCTCCTTCGAGAAGTACCCGACAAAGTGGTAGCCCATATCGTCATACTCGCATAAAACGTAGAACAGGAACGGCTCAACGTCGTAGTAGAGTGTTTTGGATCCCAGAAAAAGCTTAGCCAGAAGACAGAGGTTCTGGCAGTAAACAGGGTTCTTGCGGCCGTCCACCTCAAAGACAGATACGGAACCATGTCTGTAAATCTCGTCTCCTGGAGGATGCTTGGCAGGGCACTTGAGTTTGTGCCGCCAAGCCACATAGTCCGAGTTCATGTACTTGAGGCAGAACTCGCAGATATACAGCACACGGTTCCTGCTATACTCCTCTGGGTATGGAGCCGCGTACCAGGTATCGATCTCCCAGCCGCCGAATTCGATGCATTCGATTTGACTGGCCGGGCCGGACGCCTTCTTGGACTTTTTGGTGGGAGCTTCAACTTCGGCCTGCATTGTGAGCAATCGTTGCCGCCACTCCTCCTCCGCTTTTTGCTTGGCTTCATCGAAGCGCCGTCGATCATCTGTGCCCGGCATCGTTTTTGAGGTGTCAGCCTCCCCTTCGGTCAGGATCCCGCCGTATGGCTTGCCCTTCAGCTCGTCAGTCTCCTTATCGTAAAACGAGTAGAACGGCTGTGAGTAGGCACTGGGTGTAAACGGTGTCGCGATCGCGCTCAAGGGCAAAGGTACGACGCGCGTTGATTCGCTCCTCGATGCTCGCCTTCGGGGCCGATGGGAGCGTTTCTTCGGCCCTTTTGGTCTTCGGGATAAGATTTGGCGGAGCTCAGAAGAGTTGACTCGTAACCTCATCAATATGCTGTTACGGGTTCTCTTCACGATGGACGCAGGTTGTGTTGTGGTTAACTTTAGACGCAGGGACCGCGAGACTGGTCTTGAGGAGCTTTCTTGCGTTGTCGCTGCTTCGTCGTTACTCTGGTCACCATCGGTATTCCTGAGCCGCTTGTGGAGGGCCATGATGCTCTCATCCGCTTCCACAGAAGATGACTTGCGTTTCCTGAGCACACGAGATCCATCCGTAGGGTCTTCGTCGTGAATGGAGTTGTTGGACAGATGGGAGTCGGGGTTGGTGGGACTTGTATGGGAGGAGAGGAGGTCCCGGGCGGCTTTTGGCGCCGTGGAGCGACGGGTAGCCGGGCCAACGTCTTCGTCGTTTATCCCATTCATGTCGACTTCTAAGTCGCCAACGACATCCGAGTCAGAATCATCAGCGCATCGAGGACACGTCCAAGCGTCGGAGCCTAATGATGTCAGTGATGAGAAGGAAAAGAGGTCGTATGGAGGGACAAAGGCTTACCATCTTCACTTGACAAAGCGTCTTGTTCTCGGGCGCAGTATGGATGTGCTGGGCTGTGTTAGTTCGACGCTCAGTTTAATGTGATTCAGCAAAGGGGATCCCTGGCATACCATTATCACCGCATTTCCTGCAAGCCAAGAATGCTTCAAACTCATCGCCTGGGTCGTTTTCTTCGTCTCGTTTGCAAAATATGCAATGGCCAGCGGCATTTTCAAGCTCGTCGTCCTCAGCATCATCATTGTCGGCAGCATCCCATTCCGCCTCGCCCTCAGATTCCGCCTCGCTGACGCTGGCTAAACTCGCCGACTCCTCGCCGCTGTCATCCTCATCGTCGGTCTCGCCGGGCCGAATTTTGACTGCACCAACGCCTTCATCTTCGTCCTCTTCATCCTCTTCTTCCTCGCCATCGGGAGCATCGACCATGCTGTCAGATCGGTGACGTGGGTGGTGAGCGTCGTTATCTAGCTCCTCGTCGTCTTCGCCTTCGGCATCCTCATCAAAATTATCGCCATCCTCGTCCTCCCCAGAAGCATCAGAGTCGCTATGTTCTGAGTCATCCTCGCCGTGTGCATCCTCCTCGTCATACTCTTCCTCGTTTCCCTCATCTTCATCCATATCCTCGTCCCCATCGTCATCCGTGGACCCAAGCCCAACATCAATGTGACTTTGCGACGCGAACGCGCTTTCGTCGCCCATCTCCACGTCACCGTCGACGCTGTCGTGCGCTTGATCAGCATTATGGTCCGACTGCATGGCTCTTTGCTGCAACTCCTCCTCCATGAGTTGCGCCTCCGCCATTTTTGTACTGTTATTGCCCAGCTCGTCTGGGGAACAGCGAGGCGCCGGCCACGACGTTTGGCGCGCCTCGTCAAGCGTCGGGGCAGCTGGCGCCGCTCATATCAGGAAAATAACGTAAAAGGTCGGATCGGGTATTGCTCATGCCCCGCGCATGGCTGTAGGGGTAAAACAACGGAGTTCGCGTCGGTTGGGGAGGTCGGAATCGAAGCGCAAAGCCCTCGGTGATGCGCGGCGTACGAAAGGGGTGCGCGACGCGCCGATCACAGGTTCGGCGGGATGGGTATTGACGGGTTGAGAACCTCGTGTTACGCGGCGGTGAAAAAGACACGTGAATATCGCGGTATTTTGGAGATGGCATCAATTGACGGCGTACGAATCTTAAATTTCATGTGTTTTGCCTCGCTCGTTCGGTGCGTCGCAGTTGCCAGTTCGCGAGCCGCCCTTGCGAGGTTGCAGCTGGGGGGACGTAAAGCTTAGTCACGAGTTTGATGGCGTTCAACATACAAAGGTCCGAGCTTCAACCGGGGGTTGAAGTGGGGCAATCTAATTGGTGCCTGAGGCGTCGAACCTCGAATGCTGAGCTATTCGCCAACTTGGAGCAGCATCCACGGTTCCCTCGATAGGACAGAGCTCACAGCTTCTTCGGTGTTTTGCTCAAAACGGGGAACCAAGGCTTCGTGTACGCATACAATCCTACTGGTGTTCGCATTACTCTCAACTGACTCAATCCAATAGGCCGAAAATACCGCCGCAATGCCCGTTCCTTTCGAAAGCTTGATTCCCTATGGCATCATCGTCGTGGTACGCTCCAACGGGACCGTTGCGCGGGCCGACAGCAATCGCTGACCAAATTCCAGATGTTCGGGGTGTCGGGCGCTGGATTAAACAAGATCAAAAACATGCAGAGCGGTGGCAAGAGGCACAGGTGGTCAATTGACCAGTGGGACAAGGTACGGCTGAGGATTAACGGGAACGAGTAACTGGCCTGGACTATCGCTGACCCTCTTCTAGCAAAGTACGACGACGCCTCCCGATCCGAACGAACTAGCGTGTGGTACTGACAGTATCATAGTGATGGATCGCGACAGGAGACTCACCGGGTATTTGAGAGGGCAAACAGACAATCCGATAGCGCCGCCAGGATTTGAATTAAACAACCCTTGGCGAGTATGTGATCCAACAAAGTCCTGCGGGGATAGCAGAAGCTTACGTTGTTCTAGGTTGAGAGGAGGATGTCATAGGAACCAAAACCGAGAAGAGCCACGGGAACGGCCGTACATAGGACACCACCCAACATTCAATTCACAACGTTCTTCAACACGGTGTGCCTGTACGTGAGGCAGCTTTATATTTGTATCTGCGCACGGTTCTTATTTAGGCCGTCTAAGAGAGTGCACGCCTGGCATGTGGCCTGACTCGACATATAACCGCAGCGCTCACAATTCCCCAGCACTTGGCCACCCACAGCACCCGTGGCACTGTTGCCATTCCTCGTTGGGAGACCCCACTGTTGCTTCTCCGGCCCCGTCTTCTTGCCCTCGGAAATTACTTTGGCGACGTCGATTTCGAACTTCTCGTGTACCTCATTATCCCTCAGCTGCTTATCCATGGCAGCCATCTCATTTCCTGGTGTCCGCCCGTTTTGTGAGCCGCATCCGCCGACGTCGTCTTCGGCTAACGCTATTGGGGCTGCGTTCTTCTGTTCTTTGCACGAACAGGAAGACGATGTGTCTCTCGGGACAAGCCTGGCCATATCCTCTCCACTGCGGACAATGTCTAGAATGGCAGTAGCGCGTACCCGCTCGAGCTGCTTGATGAGACTCCTGGCGCTTCCACGGAATGCCTCTGGGCTGTATATGCATTCTGTGCTGAAGTAATCGAGCTTTTTATGATGGGCATAGAGCACGATCTCCTTCTCGTACGAGTATTTGAGCGGCTTGCTTCTCTTGACCTCAGATCGGCTGTCCCCTGTCACGATACTGGTGCTTCGTGAGAGACGAGCTAGATCTCCTCGGAGGAGGTTCATGAGAACCGTCTCAGCGATATCGTCGGCGTTGTGGCCAGTTACAACATGCTTTATGCCGAGCATCTTGGAGCCACGATCGAGCGCCTGCCGGCGAAATACGCCGCAGTATGTGCAGTTCCCCTTCTTGCCAATCGTAGCCACGACTTGGTCCATTGTCCAACCGTACAACTCATCGTAACCGACAACCTTCAATGGCATGTCGTATTGCACAGCGTTCCGTTTGACCGTCTCCAACGAGTCATCTCGATATCCTTTGATGCCTTCGTCTATGCTCAGGAGAACTAGTTCAAGTCCATAGTCGTACCGCTCGTTCAAAATCTTCAAGACCGACGCTAGAACCGTTGAATCCTTCCCGCCAGACGCGCCTATCGCAACCTTCTCGCCCCGGTGAAATAATCGTGAGGATATGATGGTGTGGTGGACTTCCTCCTCAAAAACCTTGATGAAACAAGCCTTGCAAAGCTTAGCGTGGTTCTTTGGTCGCTTGATGAGCGCCCGCTCGGTGTTGCAGTTGGCGCAAAGGGCGGGGGCCATGGTGAAGGAGAGTCTCGACAACGCCGATTTCGTGTCGTCTAGTAACTGAAATTTTAATCCAATCTCTAATTTACAGATTTCTTTGTTTGGGGCGGCCGTTCTCAAAAGATATCTCAAAGCACACGGCGTTTGACTCAAAAGGTCCAGGCCAAGACCGATCCCATGGTGGGGGAGAGTTGGACCCACCATCGGCGCCGAAGATTCCCCGCTTGTGCCCTGGTGGTCCAAGCGTTTACTCATCCACAACCTTCTTTTCTTTTGCTGCATCACCAAAATTTCCTTCTGCAGAATTATTCTCGACAACAAGCTCCGGTCCTGAGCATCGCCAACCGACAAAATGGTAAGCACTTGATGACGAAAATAACGCCTGCAAGGCATCTCATGATGCATACTTGCATTCTGCACTCAATGATTTCTCGAAATCTGCGAGTTGCATGAATTTCCGCCTGCTGGTTGCAAAACCGCAGGTGATGAATGGCTTGAGCTGGTTCGCAGTGCGCAGAAATGCCACTCAACCACTCTTTAGAGTTCAGAAGATAACAGTCAATGGAAAACATTTACTGATGTCTCCTCCTCAATGATAGCCTCCTAAGTCTGGTAAGAAGGCCGCGCCGGCCCCCTTCCCCCAGGGGAAGGCTGGTTCCAAGAAGGCCCCTAAGGTGAGTCGCTTTTACCCTAGACCCCCCTACCAGAGCCGCCCGAGCTGACGTGCCTTCAGAACCCTCTCATCGAGAAGCGGTCCCGCAACTTCGGCATCGGTCAGGACATCCAGCCCAAGCGCAACCTCTCGCGCATGGTTAAGTGGCCGGAGTATGTCCGTCTTCAACGCCAGAAGAAGATCCTCAACCTCCGCCTGAAGGTCCCCCCTGCGATTGCCCAGTTCCAGCAGGTCCTCGACAAAAACACCGCTGCGCAGGCTTTCAAGCTCCTGAACAAGTACCGCCCTGAGAGCAAGACCGAGAAGAAGGAGCGTCTGCTGAAGGAGGCTACCGCCATCAAGGAGGGTAAGAAGAAGGAGGACGTCAGCAAGAAGCCCTACGTCGTCAAGTACGGTCTTAACCACGTCGTTGGCTTGATTGAGAACAAGAAGGCTTCGCTCGTCCTCATCCCCAACGATGTCGACCCCATTGAGCTTGTCATCTTCCTCCCCGCTCTTTGCCGCAAGATGGGCGTCCCTTACGCCATCATCAAGGGCAAGGCCCGTCTCGGCACTGTCGTTCACAAGAAGGTTAGTTTTCTATGGGTTGCACTCCGCAGCATGCGGTAGAATGAAGCAGAAAAGCTAACAACCAATGCTTAGACTGCCGCCGTCCTCGCTATCACCGAGGTCCGCTCCGAGGACAAGACTGAGCTGTCCAAGCTCGTCTCCGCTGTCAAGGAGGGCTACATCGAGAAGAACGAGGAGGCCCGCAAGAAGTGGGGTGGTGGCATCATGGGTGCCAAGGCCCAGAAGCGCATCGAGAAGCGCCAGAAGGCCATCGAGAACGCCATCAAGGTGTAAAGAAGCATTACAATGGTCGGATGGGCGGGGCTGCACTTACGAATGGCGTACGGGAATACCAAAACCAGATCAGGGTGAAATAAACTGCTTACCGCCGTCACACACGGGCGTTGATACCAGGTTTTGTTTTCGGGTTCATGGCTATTGCTTTTTTTTCGGTCGGGACAGCTCAATGAATCATGGATGTCACCAATGCAAGAGCTCCGAGTCCCATGTGTTGTGATTGCCATGAAGTGTCCCTCCGACTTCCTACCGTTTCAGAATGGTTCCCAGTTTTATTCCTGAATTTAACCAGCATAACAGAGACAGGCGCGGAACGGGCTGGACTTAATCCGTACCAATTCGTGGGGTCGGGCTTGTTCCGCCCATGGCCGGCCCGATCTTTACGTAGTCCCACCATCTCGGGACGGCATGCAACATAAGTGCAGGATCGTCGGCGCCTACCCGCGACCGCCAAGTCGGTACTGACGGATATGGCCAACCACCACCATCTGACACCGACATAAATTGAGGAAGCGGGAAACATGCAACATGGACATCCTTACCTTCTTCGTTCAGCGCAAGGCACTCAGCTGGTTGACTTTTAGGCTCGGAAACTTTTGGATTGATTTGAAGCTTCCTAAGCTTAACTCACAATGAGTAGTTACGAATGCGACTATAGTGGATAACAGGACGCACCATCCCCCAAGACTCAAATAACCATCCGAAGGTACCTAATATCTCACCCTTTCCAGCTCAGCCAAGTCGACACCTCAGAGATGAGCGTCTCGAGGTTTCACCTGACATAAAACTTCTCCCCGGTGTGATCCCCGGACCTATAACGAACGGATAATAGACGGGGGAGGGGGGGGGGCTTGGGAAAGGTCTATGGATTTGATGCACAGCCTTTCCCCCATTTGAGACACGGCTGAGGGAAAGGCTGCGAGCGGCGCCCCGGACTCCGACTCGGCGTTGACGGTGATCGTGTCGCACAGGGGTTGTTCAGTTGCCTGGCTGTCTTATCTCCCCGGAGGAGCCGGATCTACCCAACACCGAACTAATCCGTTGACGCAGCGAGGATGGGATGGGATGGCAGGTCTTCGCGGGTTCGTGTCCTTGGGGGTGTTGCTTGTGTCGATGTTTATGAGGACCGCATGTCCCATGTTTTCTCCCACAAGCGGTGTTCCGTCGTTCTCTCTCTTCCACCTTTTTGATCTCCTTTCCGAACAAAAGTCCCCGAGTCCAACTCGATCGTTATCTTGTGATCTTTCGGCGTGATTGCTTTGTACAACCTAGGATTCGCTCACCCACCACTTGACTTACACCAACAACGCCACACACCTCCGGTACCCCCCTTTTAAGTACCGACAAAAGTCTCACTCACTTTCGGTTCTCCGCACTCTCGAGTTCTCCTCGGAGGATTTACTCCCCTCTTTATCATACACCGTTTTCTGCTGTCCGGTTATAAAACACCAAAAACGGATATAAAAGGTTGGAAATCCCGCGATACACCCCCCTCCCCCCTCCCCCATCCTGATGCGGGGTTCCCTGCTGACAAGTGGTGTGCGTGTGTACCAGGGATTCACACCATTTCGAGACGGGCTTAGACAACGTTCACCAACATAGCTGGACGCACGAGCAGGGTTGAGAAAATCGCGCGTTGCATTAGTTTGAGCTGTACTTAAACGCCGGGTTTATCACGTTGTTGTGGGTAACGGGTGATTATTTACTTGGTCTTGTTTTGCAACTGCTCAATTCAGCGTCGCTGGTTATCTATTTTATTGAGATAGGGATATAATGGCCCAAGGTGAGTGGAATGCTAGTCTTGCAATGGCATACTATAGTGTACACATACAACGGGATATGTCTTACTGACGCTTAGTAGACGACAGCTTCCTCTACGCTTTGAGCTCGAACAACGCCTGGGCAGGCTACAAAGCCCACCAAAACCCAGCCTTCTTCCCCAAGCTCGCAAGCGGCCAGACGCCACAGATCCGTAAGTCACACTTGCCCCCTTTTACCCCCCCCCTTATTCTTCCAACCAACTAACACCCTCCCCCAGTCTGGCTCGGCTGCTCCGACTCGCGCTGCCCCGAAACTACCATCCTCGGCCTCCAACCCGGCGACGTCTTCGTGCACCGCAACATCGCCAACATCATCTCCCCAACCGACATCAACACGTCCTCGGTAATCGAGTATGCCGTCTCCCACCTGCGTGTGCGCCACATCGTGCTGTGCGGGCACTCAGCCTGCGGCGGGGCCGCCGCGGCGCTCTCGCAGAAACGTATTGGTGGCGTGCTGGATACCTGGTTGACGCCGCTGCGGGCGGTGCTGGCGACGCATGCTGAGGAGCTGGAGAAGGTCGGGGAGGAGGATGGGAAACGGGCGACTCGGTTGGCGGAGCTGAATGTGCAGGCGGGCGTGGCGGTGTTGATGGCGAATGCGGTGGTGCAGGAGGCGATTCAGGAAAGGGGTTTGCAGGTGCATGGTTGTTTGTTTGATCTGGCGAGTGGGAGGGTTAGGGACTTAGGATTTGGGACTAAGGGGGCGAGGATAGTTGGTGGTGGTGTCAATGGGTCTGTGGGGGAGGTTAGAGGACGGCATGCGCAGTTGGTGTTTAGGGGTGCTAATGCCTCGATGACGGTACGATGATAGAGGGATCGGGTGCGGGATATTGTTGGCGAGGCAGTGTGTTTTCCGTCTTGTTCGCGTTTGTTCTATCGTTGTAGTTAACTAGCGTTGCGGAGAGGGTCCTGTGTGTTTGATCGGAAGGGAGTCAAGGCTAAAGCAAGCTTGTTTTGTCGGTTCGATATAATTCTATGATGGCTTGTTCAAATCGCAATGGTATCCAAAATATGCCCACTTTCCTTCACAACCCTGTGCTGACCAGATCGGCCTCGTCCCACCCCAAAATATCCTCGGGGCCGGCCATACCTGCCCATATTTCGTCCGTGAACTCTTCAGGTGGGTCAGGCAGGGACTCCGAGTTCGGGGCGTTATTGTGCTCATGGCACCGAGTGCCTTCGGGCGCGGCCGGGTGTTCATTAGAGAAGTTTGCGTCGAGATACCAGCTCTTGAACCATCTCAGCTTTTTCCAGTAACCTAGCACCGCTGGCCCAGCCTTGTCATTCGCCAACTCCATATCCGCCAATGCCCTGGTCAGTTTCCCAGATCCGTGCATCTCGACGACTTGCATCTCCCGATACGAGCTCCCGCCAGCAATCAACCCCCAACCATCTTCCCCACTAAGCCCTGGTGACGAAAGGTCAGAGCCTTCCGTCCCGGTCCGTCGGTCACTGTCTTCCTGCAGAGCCAGGTACGAATCCTTAAACAGGTCACACAACCCATCGATCATACCTTCAGCATCAACGACAGACCGAGCAGCAGCCGTATCCCAGTCTGGGTCGTCGTTAAGCGACAGCAATAGATGGCGAAGGGTTAACAAGGCTATGCCAAGACTGCAGGTAGTCATGACAGGACAAGTCGTGGCTAAGTCGAGTGGGGGTATGGCAAGATAAGAGCGGATGGTGCCGACACAGGCGGTTAGACAAGTACGGAGCGCGGTGGCGCGGTTAAAGTGGTTGATGTCATGAAGGTGATTCGGGACGGTGGTCGTGGTGGTCGCGACGTGCTGATGGATAGCAGTATGGGTAAAACGGACGATGCGACTTTGAGCATAAATTGTCCAGAGAACGACTAGTGGTGTGAGGGGGGTTAGCGTGGGTGTGCTTGAGGAGGGAGGCGTAGGACCTTACCATCATTCCTTATAGAATTGGGCAGGGAGCGGCCGATCACCTCGAGCTCTTCAATAGCCGAAGTTATGGCCATGTAAGTTGTGTCATCAAAGGCTCTGGGCGGACCAAAGGAGTTTTCTGGCGCTGGAAACGCGATGCCCCAGCGGGCATTTAATGCCTGGAGCCGGATGAGCGCTGCAAGGTACACATCCGAAGGCTCGTCTTGGAGCTGGGCAAGACGGTCACACCGCTCAGACATGTAGGGCGTGAAGGTCAGCACGGCAGATTGGCGCAGGATCGGGGCCATGCTGGTGGGTTGGTCAATAGATATTGCGGCACGAAAGGGTTGGATGGGAGCTTACATGGTACATATGTAGAAACACCCAAGAGCGGCCCTCTGTTCTTGCAGAGAATGCTGTCCCTGTGCTTTCCTCAGAGGTTCTGCGAATCGGCTGGATGGTTTTGGCGTTAATGGTGCTGGGGCCAGGTCTAACCCTAGGTCGGCAACCAGAGCTATCGCGAGTTGTATGATGTCTGTCCCCCTATGACCCGCGCACAAGTAGTAGTGCCCCCTGTTGCATTGTCCGCGTTAGCCACCACGTCCCATTACGATGCATAACTGCCGTGAGGATGAGTAGGTGGGCAGTCTTACCAGGCAGCGAAGACTAAAATTGCTTGGAGCAGTTCTAGAGACTGTTGCTCTTTTTGCACCATCTCCTGGCCTAGATATTGACGGAACCACCGGTGGAAGGCCGATCGGTCCAGGTGAGGTGGGGGTGCCACGGCGTAGGCAATGGTGGAAAAGAGGAACTGTTGGTGCGGTGAGAGTTGATGCGAGAGCCATGATGCAGGGAGGGGCACGAAAGGAAACTTCGGGACGAATTTCTGACGGTATTCTTGAAGAATGTGTTCGGCAGCCTCGTGGCTGAGGACGTGGTCTGTGAAAGTTGGTAGTTCCTGGGGTGACGGCAATTCACATGGTGACGGGGAGCGCCGTACCGAGTGATGGTGAGGGTCGGGGTCGATACCACGGAAGAGTATCATCGGAGCCCCTTTTGGGCTAGTATCTCCGGCAGACGGAGCGGGGCCGGGAGCAGGACCGGAATCCGGAGCCAGGTGGGCAGCCGGAACCGGGGCCTCGGGTGGAGTTTCGGCCGAAGCAACAGAGAGAGAACCGGGCAGTCCGACGCCATTGGTGGCGAGGAGCGACACCAGGCTCTCGAGCTTTTGTTCGAGCTGGCTAACTCGGTCCCTAGCATGGAGATCTGTTGTCTCAGAATGCACGATTCCAGACACTTGTGATGCGACTCAACTTACACTTTGGTTATCCTTCGGGAGCCCGGGCGCGGCCCACGCTTGGCCGGTTCAGTCACCCAGCATCGGAGATTCAACCGGGAACATCGGATGCAGACGGGTTTGTTTGTAACGGTTGCCGCTGCCTCGGTGTCGTCCGGCCAGTCGCACCGCAGCTTGGACTTGGCGCAGTTAAAGCAGGCTCGCATCGTCGCGCTAGCTGTTTGCTATTTCTGCATGCTTGAATGATTCGAGGAGTTATTGACTGCCTCGGCGAAATGCCAAACATGCGACGGTGGGTTTATGGAGCAGGAGCAAGTGAGCGGGAGCAGAACAGGGTTGACGGGGGAATTGAGAAACCCCGATTACCGAGCAAAGGCGGCTGTGGTTCGCGGGCGGTTTCTTCCTCCAGCGCTCCTTTCCTATTCTGCCCTCACAGAAGAAAGCGGCCCGGAAGGGCGCACAACCAGCTGAAAACAAGCACCGGTCGAATCATAGCGGGCGTAGAGGCAATCTAGCAACGGTAGCGGCAGGAGCGGTCCTGCAGCGATTCCCCAACCCGAGCGGTTTCGCGAGATTTCCGCTCTCCTTGTCTCGTCACAACTTCGCCCACCCACCACAAAAGCCAACCATCATAAGACATCACTTCGCCAACCAACCCAATTCGCTCTTGGCAGAATCAAGGCATTCCACTCAACGAACGCATTGAGGACAAACCAGGTTTCTCCGGCCTCAGACTGCGTAGACCTTCGGCGTGGAACGTCAGGAAACCGGTGCACGTGATCGAGGAATCGGAGTTGATGTTTCATTGCTCCTAGCCCCATGTATTGATACTCCGTAATTACGGAACTTTCAACCCCCACAATCCAGTATTATAGCAGGTCCCGTCACTTGAATTGGTAAACGGAAAAAGAACGTCACTGTTCAAGAAGGCATCAATTTGCTGCCGCAATCGACGGTTCGGCTTTTACTGTAGTGATGAATTTAGTGGCGCGGCACAGCGGTCAGCACCTGCCTTCTCAGGCACGTCCTTCGTCAAAATTTGGTATTCGAACGACACCTCAATAAATGTTAGCAACGCTGCAACATCGTACGTGCTGGACGTAATTATCGGCACTCTTCAAGTGTTGGGATAATGAGAGTAAATAATTCACGGCCCCGGTCGAGGTTTGGTTTGTTTCTAGCAATAATTATCATTATCATTTGCAATACCTTACTCGGGAATGTCTGCCAGCTTTCTTCATTCATGGCTACCCGGGCGGAAATAACATGAGGATCACCAATTATCCTTCAGTTTCTGCCCCAATGACGCTATTTACTTCACCTTCACAGTCAATACCCACCAAACTACTGAAATCAAAAACCTCATTTTCACGTTGTTCAGTCCTCATGAACCCGCCGGAGTTATTAATGGTGGCTTTGTATCGGCTGCGTGACTGAGATGTTGCGAGAGGCGGAGGAGTTTGTTGATTCCGGGTTGAGAAACAGGGACGATGCGATTTCTTCCCTGGTGGGGGAGAACACACCATGTTGAATGAATAGTTGACACTGGCGCAAAAGCCAAATGTTGAAACGTCGGGGCGCTGGTCTTCCGGCTTCTTGAAGTCCCGCTAACCACACGCCAGCCCGTTTTCAATACCCCATATTGACTACCTGCCTTGGCCCAGTTCAATTTGGTGTCTCATGGGGTACGTAGGTAACCATTCTCGAATCGTTTATTTAAGCCTGGCCTTTTATCACAGATATTATTGTGATCCTAGATACAACCTTATAGCCCAGCTTAAATACTAGTATAACCAGCTATACAAAATGAAGCCTTTAATGATCCTAAAAAATCTTATACTATTCCTGACTTGCGTTGTAATTGAGCTCGATGGTGACCTCCCACTACTTATAATTAACATTAGTTTCTGGTCACGTTAACCAGCTGTCAATACCTCAACATAGTCCTCAAATTCAAACCCCTGACCAATGACAGCGACCTCATTCCCGCGGACAAACAAAATGTCACCTTTGCGAGTGGCGGCCATACGCAAATTTCTCTGTTGGCTCTGCCACTCGGATGGGATGGGAAAGTGCCGCAAATAACTTCCATACTTGGACCCAAACTCACTCACATCAACGGAGCTGACCCAATGTTCGGAGTCCAGGAACAACAGCCTTGAGCCGTAGCTGCCGATCACATGTTTGACCTTCTTACTGAGCTCTCTGAATTCGTCAATGGGCGTGAGGAAGCTGCCGTGCGAGCTGGGCGGAAGAAGCTCAAAGACTATGACATCTGTCGTGGTGTCCTGGAACATTGGAGAGAGCTCTACGATCAGGAACTTGCCCTGTGAGAGGGAAAAAACACTCTTGACTCGCCGGGGTTGGATCTGCGGCGTCTGGTTCTCGGGCGTCAGGTGCAAATTGACTGACCTCGTCACGCGACTTTCCGATGACTCCCATTCAAACACTGTCGCTGTTTTTTTCGTTATCAATAGGCGGTGTGGTGAGCTTCCCGGCTGGTTGACCCAGCAGAACGAAGGAGGAGGCTGCCATGTCTGCGTACTGACCAACTGACCGGTACTCAAATTCCAGATGGTATTTGAGTTCTCGGTCAACACTAACAAGAGGTCGTTGGATGGATTTAGCAGAAGTTGTAGAATGACGGAGTCGGCTCTCTTGTCCAAACGCTTGGTCGTGGCCTTCCATCCGAGCTCGGCGTTTGGGAGAAGGGCAACGACCATGAAGCGGCACACAGTATCGGCGGAACCAAAGTGTGCGCTGTTGCGTGCCCCAGACCGCGGCACGCACGGAGTTCTTGAAGCCGTGCCGGTACAAAACCTTCCGCTGCTCGCCAGTCGAGGTTTCGAAGAGACAAACCGAGCCGTCGAATCGGCCGACAAAGAAGTATTGGTCGGAATCGGCTAGCTCGAGACTAGTGATATTGACATCGTTGCTATCAATGCCCTTGACAATAGGCTCCCAATCAGCTGGCTCCGTCGACGACTCGTCCCGCCGTGCCATACCTAACAAGACAGCCGGCTCCCAGACGTTGCACTGCGTCCCGCGGATGTCTATAAATCGCAGGTTGTCAGCGGTGAACGAGAGCCCACGAATGCCGTAATCCACGGCATTCACTTGGTAGAGGAGGCGGAGGGTATCGAATTCCAAGAGTTGCACCATGCCGTTCGAATTTCCTGTGACCAGCGTCATACCATCTGGGCTACAAGCCACAGAGTGCGCGTTCGCCTCGACCGAAACGAGCAGCCTGAGTTCCTCGTACTCAAAGAGGCACAGATCACCGTCTTCATAGGCCACCGCAAGTTTCGGGTTGTCTCTTTTCGTGTTGAAGACGAGCGAGATGGGCGAAAGATCTGACCCGAGCTTCTGGGTCGTGGGGTCCCCGTCACGGCTGACGAGACCATGGAAGAGGTCATCTTCCAGGTCGTAGAGGCAGATGGGGCGGCCCCGGTACAGAACCCCGAGAAGTGATCTGTTAGGGCTGAGCGCGGCCGCGGTGGGTGGACGGCGCCAGGCCCCTTCATCGGGAAACGACATCGTTTTGCTCCAGTTCACCTTCTTTTCGGCCTCTCCCGACCGCATACTCCAGGAGGTGAACGTGTGGGTCTTGTCCGCAATCATGACCGTTTTGCCGTCTTCTGTGATGTCCAAGCTCATAATGTCATGATCCAGCTTGGCGGTCCAGCACACAAAACCGCTATAGACTTCCCATATTTTGACGTCTTGCCGGCCGGCGGAGACGACGTGGGTGCTGAGCCTATCGAACCCAAGGTGATACACAGGGCTTCCGTGGTCGAGAGTTTTCCAGGGTAGGTATGTGCTGTTGTGGTACAAGGTGATGGATCCAGATCGGTAACCAATGGCAAAGAAGGTGTCGCCGCATGTGACGGCCGAAGTGTGTACGTTGCGGGTATCGATACAGGCCATGCGATCGTTCCAGCCCTCGTCCTTGAGACCGCGGACGGCGATTCGGCCGAACTTGGAGGCAGCGGTCGTAGCGACAACGGCTGAGGACTTGGGGCAGAAGGGCGGGATGAGCCAGTAGATGCCCCAGGGACACGCCAGCAAGTTGGGGCCGAAGCCAGCAACGATGCGGTGGAGGTCAATCACCCAGTTTCGGGTGCTGTCGACAAATTCACCGAGCGGTGACGAGCTTTGGATGTGCCACTGGAGGTACGGGTTCATCGAGTTGGCCGTCCGCGTCAGGACCGACAGGTTGCCCGCCGACGCAACATACTCAATCCAGGACAGGACGTTGGCGCCGAGAAAGCTATGAAGCAAGTTGCTCAACACCGTGTTGGCGGAGGTCGCATGTCGCAGGTGCTCGGCGAATTCGATACAGGCATATCCCGCAAAAGGGAGGCGAGTGTCGGATGATGGTGTTTATTGCTGTTGTTGTTGCTTTTGCATCGCTCGCCGACCTCGTGGCAGCTTCATCTGCTTCGAACAGAGGAATTTGAGACAGCTTGTCCCCAGGCGCACATGGCCAAGCTTCTCGTCGATGCGAAATTCAGACTGGACCTGGTCGTTCGTCAGGAAGGTCTTCGCCGTGAGGTGCACAATCATTACCCTCCCGGTTTTGTCAATGTGAATGAGTTGTGCACACAGCGACGCGATGGCCGCCTCGAGCTCGGGTACCTCATCGTCTAGGTCCAAATTTAGCGCCTCCCACAGCTCGACTGCGCTTAAGGGCCGGACAGCACAGATGATCCATGTGAGGATGGTTCGGGCGAGGTCTCGGCCCGGTTTCGGTCGCGAGGACATGATGGCGAGCGCCCGCAAGTAAAGGGGGTCCAATCCTGGGGGAACGTCATCTAAGATGCGCTGGACCTCACCAACAGTCCAGGCGGATGCAAGCTCGTCGAGAACGGTGCGGGCCCATAGAAAGCAGCCCTCGCTCTTGTCGAGAAGGCGGTCACTGAAGGCGTCTTTTTGCTTTTCACCCCCGACGTGAAATTTGTGTCGGTTTCCATCGAGATAGAGTTGGATATCGGCCTTGGTGTTTTCGAACGAGATCTCATTGGCATAGACAGCAATGGTGGCAGCGGGATTTCGTCGCAGGTCGGTGAACATTTGAGTGATCTCGGTGAGCTTCCGACTGGTGATCAAGATGCGGATACGGGCGTGCGGCTCTATGGACGCCAGGGACCCAACGAGAAGCTCGAAATCGGAACACTCATCTAACGCATCGATCACCCAATAATGGACCGTGGTAGGCGTTTGGTTGTTGCAAATGATGGGCCACACCAGCTTCCGCCAGATGGCCTTGCTGTCGTCCTTGTTGAAGCTCACGGCTCTGTCTATTATGGCCAGGAGCTGTTGACGTACTTGTGCATTTCGCAGGGCCATTTGATACAATAGGAACCGCAGGAGCCCGCTGACGGTGGACTTGTCCTTGTCCCCATGACGGAAAAAGTAGTAGCTGCAGTCGAGACTCATCGCCGTGAGAGAACTGATCACGTATCCGCAGAGCACGGATTTGCCGGTGGCCGGGTTCGCAGACATCCAGTATACAACGGATGCATAATTAGTCAGAATTGGGATTTGCCCATCTCTGGAACGTCTTCTCTTCAGCAAGCCACTCGCAAGAGCCGGCCATCCTGGCCTCCTCAACGTCCTTAAGATCGTCCTCCGGTTGCGATGGCATTACAAGGAAGCTCTCGACCTGCCGCATGGCTCTCCAGGTCTCTTGTGCGCTTCCCGTCGACAGCCTCTCCAGAATGGTTTTTGTAATGTTTCGTAGCGCTTCACGAACCGCTGTGTAGTTTGGGTCGGTTCGCGACTCGAACTTGCAGACTTGTCTGTGGTTGGCATCGAGCATGGCGTGTCGCTCATTCGGATATCCGAAAACGGCGGAACCCTTCGTGACAATGATTTCAGAGCGAAGGTAGAGCTCGGTGGGCCGCGACTCGTAGAAGGAGAAGAGTGAGATATCGGGCGCATAGTGGCGAAACGAGTCGTTAAGTAGCTCGAGGAGTTCGCTCTGGCGGGAGAGGTTTGATATGAAGGAACGAGGGAACCGCGTAGCCGACGCACGGAGGATGTTGTTCAGCGTCTGTGCGAGATCGGTTCCCCTGTGCGGAGTGGCTAGGAAAACCATGGCTTCCATACGTTTCGCTAGGTTTGCGGAGAATTGGTCCTGTCGGGCAAGCACGTAGGCCTGCTTGACCACCAGACCACCCATGCTGTGGGCAACAAAAACAATTGGCGTCGTTCCCGGACTTGCTATATGAGGAGAATTTAGGAGCCTTTCTAGCAGCTGATGAGCAAAATCGAGAAGGTTGATAGTAGGAGCGGCGGTTGTGGACTGCCAGTCAGCATCATAGCCATAAGAATGGATGCGAACATTGCCGAACCCTGCTTCTCGTGGCAGCCACGCTTTAAGCTAGAAATGTGATTCATCCTTAGAGAAGGACCAGGTCTTGGTGCTCCCCCCCCGAGGCCGTGAACGAAGACGAGAACGACCAGCGGCTCGGTAGGGGAACAGAGAAGGTTCAGCCCGAGGCTACCGTGAGTATCAACCCATGGCTGCTGCGGGCTGGAGCGTCGTCGCAACCTGAGACGTTGAAGGAAGCTCGGGAAGCGCGAATGTTTTACACTTTGGATCCGGCTTGGGCCCAGCTACAAGAGTCAGCAGGTAATAGTTCAAGGCCTCCTAGTATAGCGTGGAGGAATTGAAGTTACTGAACTTAAATATCCCATACCGAACTGGACTCTGGAAAGGCACTGTGGGCCGGATCCCGCGAGTTTAGTATGACATTACGAGTCCAAAACATGTTCCTTGTTCGTAGCTGAGGATCTCCGACCAAGCCCCGAGGGCAATTCACCGGCTCTGGCTCTATGGGTTTCGAGAGAAACAACCAAGACGGGACCTCGAAGCTGGGGCCTTTGACACAGAACCACAAAGTTGCGCTAGTGTGTCACCTTGCTTGTGTGCGCGCCTACACGCGCATACATCGGGAGTACTATGTAGGGTAACTGGCCGGAAACGGGGTAAACATCATGGGAACCCGTTTGCACGGAAGGACCTAGTTACGTGGCATTTGGGGCTCACTGCTAGACAGAGTTTCGGGACAGATGCACGTGATTGCTACAGAAAATTATGTAAGTGTAAGAGTTTTGGAATCGCGCGAGGTTATGTAGCTAGGTTCTGTATTTACGTTTCGCCACGTAATTAAGGCGTACAATAATAAATACGGCGAGTGATGACAGAAAATAATTCCCGACCCATTGCCATGCTCTGAGTCTCAGACCACCTCACATTGATTGCACTTGGCTGACCCCCCTTTCACCCCTTGCTAGTATCATGAAGCATCATCACAAGTACCGGCCACCGCAAGACCCGGCGCATATTTCTCTAGAAGGTACCTCGGGTTTTCACGGATTCTAGCGACGTCAGTGACTCAGTTTGACTGATAGTCGGATTTCCACAAAGTTTGGGCTACTCACTCTTCACGGAACCAATCTCCGTTGTGGCACGCCGCTGCATGCATCACCGTACACGTGCTGTAAAGCTTCTGGCGATCGTAGAACTGCTCTACAGGCTCGCTGGCGCCCATCTGAGCTAGATACTCGCTCACGTAGGCACCGGACCCGACAACCGAGAGTGGGTGAGGCCTCCATATCGCGATTTCCATCTCGTAGTGGGCGTAGTGGGCGCTAGCATCGAAAATGTAGATTTCGCCGGTCTTGGAATCGGTCCCGATGTTACCGCCCCATAGGTCTGGATTTTCCAGGTGTTGGTCAGAATCAGGTAAGGGCCCGTGGCCTGGTTGCTGCCGTCGGATTCATAAATCAGGGAGTTTTACGTACCTTCGTGAATTAGTGACGGTTTGATTGGTCGCCCATCAGCTTCTAGCGGCCCCAACACCTGAGGCACGACATGTGTTATGGCCAACTCGACGAGTCGTCTAAGATCCTTCCTGGTGCCGTTGACCTTCTGATCCAACGCCAGCGACCTCCGAAAGATCTGAACGAAATAGTCGGACCAGCTGGCATTCCATGTCGTCTCCAGCGAGAGGTTTCCTCTCAATGGTTTGAGATGGAAACCAAACATCCCATTGGGCGATATGCTGGCTTGTGAAGCGCAACAAGTTTCTTACAGAGATGAACAGGGTCTGGTTTCTGGTTTTTGAACTCGATGAAATTGCACAGGTAGTAATAGGTCTTCGGGCTGGAGACTGTGAGTTGTCCTCAGCTGTGCGGCTTGGGAACCAAATCTGGGGCGGCTTTGTACAGCTCGTTCATGGAGTGGAACTCTCCTTCTAGCATGGCCCGTCCTTGATCATACTCGGCGCACTGCGAGTCTTCATGTCAGCATGAGAGAGAGGTTTCTTGCGGTGTCATGGTGCAGGAAATTGTAACCACCTTGAGGAAATAAGATTTGGCTGGCCGCTCTCAAGAATCGCATCGATTCTCGCCGCCACAGTCCAGTCAGACGCTCCGTAGCGGTTGCAAGACAGGATCACAGTCCCGGGAGAAAACTCTGTTTGTATCAGCCCGAGTGCCGCTGGGGGGGATAGGGAGAGGAGGCCAAAGTAAGATTCCATACAAACCGTCAATGACGACCTGGTCCAACGGAAAGTCTCCTTCCACAACCTTACCGCCGCTGGAGCCCGGAGTGGCCTGCGGAACGGACCCGAGGAACTTGGGAGGAATTTCCCACGTTTCCTCCTCCGCCATGATGTACAGTACCAGCTAGTGGTTATTGCGATGCTCTGGCGGCGAGCTCCCCGCCGCCGCTCCCAAGCGTTCCCGCGCTTGATTTCGGCGCAACTACCGGGTTTGTTTTTTGCGTGCGTGCGTTGCGTGCGTGTATTGCGGCACGTGCGATAGCGGGAGTGAAGTAGGAAACAGAAAGACGTCGTCAGGTGCTTTGCACTTTGCAGCGGTGACTCCAGTGAGTTTTCAGCACGAATAGTACTCAAATGTATTTTATTATGAAGACGTTGATGATGGGCCTTTGAGGCGATGGTATTTAAGTTTAGACCTTGGGGTACAGTACAGAATATGAACGGATTACGGTATCACCTGCAGGTCTGCACTGCACACTCGGGCAGGTACCTACCTACCTATCTCACTGTGGCCAAAAAAAAGCGGCGGACCAAGTCCCTGGATAAAGTACTTTTTTTTCTACAAGAGTGGAAAAAAGACCACAGAGAATAAATCAATCAAAATCTGTTAAGATTTAATCGAATGCCAATGGATTGGACTTAAGGCATCTGTTTTGATCTGCCGCTTTTTTTTGGCCGCAGCGAGCCTAGGTAGGGAGCATGCCTTTTGATCTTTAGTAGACGCGCCCGCCTTGGTGTTTTTACTCCCCCAAACCAACATAGAACAGACATCAAAACACATAAGTTCGACGGCTTGTCCGTAGTTTTGGACACTTTCTGTACTTTCGGGCACGACTATGCCTCCAGACCCGGGCCCGTAACCAAAAAAGTGATCGATTCGACCGAGCCCCGGTCTGTGGAACCATACTGTCAAACGCACTTTCCGGTCACAGTTTCACAACAGCTACCAGGCTACCCTGAAAAGGGTGCATCCGTGGAACTGATAATTGGGTGGGCTGGGGATTGCGTATCAAGAAATCCGAGCTGGTCGGTATTAATTAGGCTTGGGTAGTGCAATCGGGTGGATCTGAGAGGCTAGCTACGGAGTATTTACCAAGCTAATTAATAGTAATGGCATCGTGTCAAAGGGATTTGGGCCCGGGACAACTCGAGTTCGCGAAGCAGGCGACAATTAAAGAGTATACGTTAGGTCTGTATCGTAGCACACTTCCGAGGGATCTTAGGAAGATCCCGAGAGCATTTTAAATTCTCAACATACCTAGTCTTCAAGTAGTTTTAAAGCTTGAAAAAGAACATTGTTGACGTTTTTAGCATGAATTCTTGGCTCTTGATCAGAAAATTTGGACGGAGGACCATTTTCCTTTGCCAAGGATTATTTTCTGTGCGGAGAGCGAGTATGATTGTTGGACGGATAGAACGGACTGGGTTTGGAGCGAGGGGTCATTAATTAGCTCGGTATGTAAGCCAGAAATGTAATTACCTAGGTAGGTAGGTCCCATTTCAAGATCACTCCTAGGTGTGTTGTAGGAAGTAACCTTACCTAGGTACTCTCCTACTCAATTTACACACATCGAGGGCATACAACTCCTCAAGTACCGACATGTACATACATATAAGTACTTCATGGGTTTCGGCTCCACCTCTCACGGCTCGGGGTGAAAGAAATAACTAATGTCGAAGATGGAAAATTGGCACTCCAAGCCAGGACACATAAGCTTTCGCGGGTTTCATGCTAGGTTTACTGCACGTTAAATCCCCTTGGCTGGCTGGCTGGTGGCTGCAGCAACCCGGTCCCGGAGTGCCGGTTACAGTCCATACCGAAGTAGACAATTCAGAAGATTTAGTATGATTACTATACATGGGGGTGCGGAGTTGTTGAGAAGCAATGAGAGCATTCATGGTTGTGAAATTGTTGAGGAATCCTACTCTCCTAGGCATCTTTTAGACATACATGTGTGGAGTGTGCGATAGACTCTCAGCGTTGTTCAGTCCACTTGGCCACCACTGCACATAGCCGTTTGACTTAGGAAAGTTCTGTCGCCCATGAGGTTACGAAACGCACCACCAAAGACCCGTCGTTGAGATGCTCCCAAACAAAGAAATCAAATTCCTCCTCTAGTGATTGCACCAAGGTCGCTGGAAGGATGACAAACACCTGGTTAGACTCCGTCGCTTGCCATAGCCGATACCCCGGCGTGGAAGGCAAATTGACGCCGGAGCAAATCCAGGCGGCTTTCGACCGAAGCTCGTTGTTCGCCTACCAGCCCAAACCCAAGTTGGTGTTCATCTCAAACGCGACCAAAGTCGGCACCGTGTACACCAAGAGTGAGCTGGAAGCTGTCGCCGCTGTCTGCCAGAAACTCAACCTCCTCCTGCCTATGGATGGCGCCCGCCTCGGGGCTGCCCTAGCATTGACCAAGAATGACATGACGCTGCAGGACATCTACCGGCTCACGGATGTTTTCTGGATCGGGGGCACCAAGAACGGGGCACTGCTGGGTGAGGCCATTGTCATCAAAGACCCGGTCGTTGGGGCCGACTTTCCCTATCACATGAAGCAGCGGGGGATGCTCCTAACCAAGGGTAGACTGCTCGGCATCCAGTTCAACACGCTGTTGCGGGACGATCGCCTGTTCTATCTTGCGCGTCATGCCAACGAGGCTGCGGCGGAGATGTCTAGCGCCCTAGTGGGCATGGGTTCGACGAGAATCTTGTGCCCAGTGGCTCCAACACAACCACCTTCCTTTCCCACAATGTGTCCCGGTTCTGCGGCGATGACTGCTTCGTGCGGGCGGAGAAGGCTCGCAATTGACAAGAGGTTCGCTCCCGTGCCACCAGGGGTGAAGTAAAACGTGGCGGCATCACTACCAATGAGCTGCCGAATTGTGTTTCGCGCCTCCTCAGAAAACTCGTCGTCGCCGTATGCGTGTTGCTGGGAGAGATTGGTGCGAGTGAGAGCCGCTAGGATGTCGGGATGAGCACCCTCGCTGTAGTCATCATGGAAGCTGTAACTGATTGCCTTCCGCATTATCTTTTTCTAGTCGACGACCGACTCGAAAATTCTGTCGTGGCGGGGGTGTGTGGTGACAGTGGTGTTTGTATGACAGCACGTGCACTGCTGAATGAAGTTGTTCAAGGTAAACCGTAATTACAATGAAGGCCAAGGAGAGGGCATGTGCATGCGAGAATGGGAGGGAATGAACTGCCCAGTATCGATGATATTTCTCTGGGTATCGTCGCTCGTATCACGGCAGTGATACGCCTTAGCCTTGAACGGCAGGTACGGTGGTGTGTACTGTGTAGGGCTCACTGTGCAACCTTTAGGTCACAGGTGGATTGAATTTGGGCTCAGATGCACTTGGTCTCTACAGATGATCAACTCATCGGGTTGGCAACTGCAAAGACAATGCGATAAATTGCGGTTTGCACTCGAAATCGCACTCCAAATCTGAAAACTCAGAAACATATTGCTTGATTTTCCCGGGCAATTATTCAGCATGGCACGGGTAAAGCGGCTAGTGGTAGCATTGATGCCGGCTTACTTTACTAGATTCATCGGTAGTGGTACTAAGATGAGGCCCAAATTTATTGACCATTGTCTTAGTCTGTATCGAGGGTCTTAGGCTCTCGTGGGTGTGTAGTTAGAGATGAACTCAAGGTAATCCAGTCACAGAACCTAAATTCTACTCTCTCTCTCCATAACTGGGGGGTTATCAGTTTCGCCTTTCCGAGAAATCGCGTACTCCTCCTCCCAGCCGTCATACCCTTTTGGATACTTCTGGATCAGTTGTTGTATCGTCCTCATGGCACTAACCTGAATGTTAGCGCATGCCCGTCATTTTCAGCGCTGGGGTTAACTTACTCTCGTCTGAAACGAAGAGAAGAGCTGTATGTAATAGACGAGTGCAAGTCATATCGGCTGCCGGAAGTGGAATGTGAGCAAGATGCCTTGGTGTATCAACGGCCCCAGGTGATGTGGTGGTAACTTACATCGAGTATAACGCATCGCGGTCGTCTTGATCTTCTTTTGGTTCTGAGCTGGGAAAGTGGTCGGAGTATGCTTTGCGGTAAGGTTTGCCAAACCGATCCGAAGGGCCCTCCAGGTTCCGATCTCATCTGCGATTCAAGAATGTCAGCATTTTCTGAGCATCGCTGACGTCTGAAAATGCCTATAGCACGTACATTCATGATGCGCCCAAAACACACACGCGTCGAACACGATGGGCTTCCCAGTCGCTGTGTCGGTGCAGCAGTTCCCATACCACAAATCTCCGTGGATCAAGACGTGCGTAATAGAGTTCAGAATAGTGAGCGGTCTCAGGAGGCGAGGGATCACCCTATCGTACAGCTGCGGGACTTCTGGCAATTCTGCGGCCGGGGTCAGAGGGAAGGTGTCAGTCACCCAAACCCATATAAACCCAAACCCATATGGGTACCCAATGGTAATTATGGGTTGCATTTGGTTTTTACCTACGCGGGTACCCACGGGTAATTTCCGTGGAAACACTCGTGGTGTAAGGGACCGAACTCATGACTTGATGCTGTTGTTCCTTCCTGACAATCCGCACGACTAGGATTCTTCAATTACTTGTTGTAAGTCAGTCCTTTCAGGTTCCGTCGAGGCAATTACATATCAATATGTGAGACTCTCTTCGTATTTTCCAATAATTAGGCAAACCACATCTGGGGTCCCAGATTCTCGATATCTGTCAACATCCCTAGCCTAAGCAGCGAGCTTCGATGTCTGGTTTTCCGGGGCCACGGACCCTCGGTCACTCCACGTGGGGCACAATTATCGGGTGAGGGGATAGTTGTCAAATGTTCTACATTGATGGACGTTCTCGATTCGATCATGTCCGCAGCGCTGTTTTGGACGGGGAAACAGGCTGTGTAAGGCGGGGGTCTCCGGTATTTGTCGCACGTCTTATAGCAGACTAATATGTTCACTAAGCACAAGTTTTGACCTGTGAGTACACCGTACCTACCTAGGTACCTACCTACCTTAGGTATCTAAGTGGGTCCGTGTGTGAGAGCCATGCCCGGCCAGCCTCGGCTTTAGTGGGGTCCGTGGTGGGGTATTTCTCTCCGAACCGGCTCCGAGCCCGGCACACCCACCGGGCATCCCATCCGATCATCGAGTACGAGTCTCTCTCTCCCACTCTTCACCACCACTATGTACTGACTCACCAACCTTCCCCAACCCTCCTTTAGGATCCCCAACCCCAACTTCACCTCCCCCATCGCCTCCCATCATGACCCTCACAGTCCTAACCGACGACCAAATCCGCTCGGTACTCGAAAATCTCACACCCGGAGAACTGAACGGCTTCCGCGATGCCCTTGTCTCAGCCCTGCGCGAGTATTCCGCCAGCAGCGGGAAGATCCCGGACGAGCCTACATCTGTGCACCAACCCGAGCGTATCTCCGTGCACAGCGCCGCGACTGGAGCCACCACGCTGTTTATGCCGTCGTGCAATTCCGCAGGGCACGGTGTCAAAGGTATTCTTCATCCCATCTCCATCCCATATCATTATTCTTCATCCATATCCCGACATATTGACCCAGAAGAACTGACACCAACCCCTAAATAGTCGTCTCCCTCACATCAGCCAGCACCACAACACAACCAGCAGGAGCACCAGCAAAACCAACCATCCGCCCCACAGGCGCCATAACCCTCTTCACGCCCCACGGAAGTCCCCTCGGTATCCTCCATGCAAGCTCCCTCACAGCCTTCCGCACCGCCCTGGCCTCTCTTACCCTCATCCAGCAGCGAGTCCCCCCTTCAGCAACCGGCTTGAGGCTTGTCCTCTTCGGCTGTGGGGAACAGGCGTATTGGCATGCGCGTCTGACACTCTTGGCTTGTTCCTCCGGCCCTGGCGGGCCAGGGGTCGAGAGCGTGGTGTTTGTGAATCGGCGGGAGAGCCCGGCGTGTGGGGAGATACGGGCGCGGTTTGGGAAGTTGAAGGAGCAGGGATCGGGGGATGGTGGTGGGAGTGGGCAAAGTGTGGCGGAACGGGAAGGGTGGGGTGGGTGTGTGGTGAGTGTGTTGACGCCAGAAGTGGAAGGGGGAGAGTACAAGGGGAAATGGGAGGGGGCGTTGCGTGAGGCGGATGTGGTGGTGTGTTGTACGCCGTCGACGAGGGCGCTCTTTGATACGGCTGTGTTGGATGGGGATAAGAGGAAGGGGAAGTTGGTGGTGGCGATTGGGAGTTATACACCTGAGATGAGGGAGTTACCGGCCGAGCTGGTTGAGCGAAGCCTTGGAAAGGGGGATGGGGATGGGGAGTCAGGTGTAATTGTGGTGGATACGAGAGAAGGGGCGTTGAAGGAGGCCGGTGAGTTGATTGCGGCTGGGGCACAGCCGGAACAGTTGATCGAGTAAGTGGTGTCCCTCTTTTTGTCTGTTTGTGTTGTGAGATGTTTCTAGGCAGAAAGTTGAAAGAATGGCTAATACGGTACCATAGACTGGGGGAGATTGCCACACTCGCCAGCGAGGACAACACGATGGCTGGAAGCGGGGACCATGGTCTGTCTCAAAGGCTCCAGAAGGGGAACGTCATCTACAAAAGTGTTGGACTGGGCTTGATGGATCTGTCCGTTGGGCTCCATATTGTTGAGTTTGCGAAGCAAAAAGGTATTGGGACACACGTTCAGGGATTTTAGACCACAGTCAGAGGTTTGGTGCACTTGATCGTAGAAGGAATATAGTAGGAACCGCATATACCGGTATCTAGGTTTCGTTGAAGTTTTGCTTCTTCTTCCTCGTTCTTGAAGTTCTTGCCCTTTTCGAACCCCCCCCCCTCTAGCCTTCCTTCCTTTCCCTTACCAGTCGCCCTCAGCACAGTACCTTCCTAAAATATAAACTGGTACGGACCCTCATAAATTAACAGGTACATACATGTAGTTACTGTACTGTATGTACATACCTGCACAACTCAACACTAGGACCACGGCGCGCGCACAACCTCGTCGTTCATCCTCCCCCGAGTTCTTGATTTCCTCGGGCCCGTTTGAGGGCCCCGAAAGCCTTTTCACAACCGATCATAACGCCGACATCCCGCCCGACCCGACGCGAAGTCCTTCATTGCCCTGTATCGTAGGCAACGTAGTCAACAAACCAACCCGAAGAGGCAGACCACCACCATCACCACCTATCATCTACCACGAGACCCAAAATACCAACCCACAACACAACACCACAACAACCCACGCAAAATGCCCCCCCTCCAACCCCTCCTCCTCCTCCACGCCCTCATCGAAACCCCCGCGTCCCTCACCTTCCTCCACTCCCCAGACTCCCAACTCTCCCACGCCTCGCCTGACGCCCGGCTAATCCTACAGAGCTACGGCGGCCTGCTGTTCGCAACCAACCTTTTGGCTTTGGCTATCGTGCGGTATGAGGACGGGGCTGGGATCGGGGACGAATTGGGGTTTGGTGGTGGAAATGGAAGTGGGACGCGGTTGAAGGCTCTGGCGTGTTTGTGTTTTGCGGTGTATCATGTGTGGCCGGCTAAGAGGGCGTTGGTGAGGATAGTGATGGAAGGGAAGGGTGGCGGTGGTGGGAAGGGGGGGAAGAAGGTGTTGGGTGGACCGAAGGTGCATCTTGTAGTGCATGTTGTTATGTTTGGGTTGTTGTTAGGGGGTGGGGTGCTTGGATTGTTAGAAGGGTGATGAGGGAGACGGAAGCAATTATAGGGTTAGTCGTGTGATATCCAATTGCTCGCATTAACTGGCATTTGAATCGAGCACGCAGAATGCTACAATTAGTTTCTAAACAGCCGAAGCCCTTCCTCCTCAACATCAACACCACCCATCTCTTCATCCGAGACACCGTCCTCATCCTCGCGCAGCTCCATCTTCTGCCCAAACAACGTCCCAAACAGGCGATCGATCGCGTGATCCTCCCACGACCGCCGGTCCTCGGGCGCCATAAAGTTCTGCAGCTTCTCATGCACCGTGTACCGCAGCTTGCGCCCTTTGCTCGCCCGTCGGTCCACCGTTTTCCTTGTCTTGGTCTCCTTGAGCGCCGCCCACCGCACCGTCGCCACGGAATCGCCCGGCGCCCCGGAGTCGCTGCTCCGCTGGTCGACCAACTCCTTGAGCAAGAGCTGGTAGAAGTCGGCATCGTCGTAGATTTCGGGGTCCTCGTCTACTTTCTTGGCTGCTTGTACCGGTGCGCAGGAACGTGGTGTCCGCGCGCGTTTGACCAGGCGTTCTGAGCTGAGCAGTTGCTCGTCCAGCGCTGATACCAATGTCTGGGCTTCCGCGTTGACGAGTTTCCGCGTTGGTAAGGCGGCGTTGCTCTTCTTGACCCTTTCGGACCATTTGTCAAGCACTTTGCGGCGATGGGAGTGCGATGCGGCTTCCACCGCTTGCATGCTCTCCCAGATCTGCTCGCTCGGCGTGCTGGCGTCGATTTCACGTTTCCGCTTGTCGCCAATCTTCGCTTTGCTGCTCTCTGGCATAAATGTGTGTCGAACACTGTCGATTGTGTTCCAGAGTTTGACGGCTGCTTCCTCGGCAGCCTCGTACGCTTGTGTTTCTTTTTTCTTGCTCTTCTTGTTGCTGTTGCTGTCGTCGACCACGCTGAACGAGTTGGCCGCTACCAGCGCTTTCTGTAGTCGAATACGCAGGTTGAGAATGGAGTCGAATGCACGCCGTTGGGCGCGTACAGCGACGCCCTTTTCTGCGTCTGCCTTCGCAGCTTGTGACATAGCTGCTACGATGCTCTTGTGTCCTTCGGTCGCCATCTTTCGGAGCTGAGCCCGTTCGTCATTCGGGTCTTCCGATCCGGCTTCGTCCTCGCCGTCATCTTCGTCGTCCTCGTCCTCGTCCTCGTCCTCGTCATCTTCTTCTTGCTCTTCATCTTCTTCACTGTTCTCCTCATCGTCCACCACAAAGCCATCATCCTCGTCCTCATCCTCCTCATCGTCTTCGTCTTCATCCTCTTCACCATCGTCATCCTCGCCAGACAACTCAGCTTCCATATCAAAAAGCTGTGCGCCGTCCTCGTCCACTTCAGAGCCCTCCTCAGATGCCCCTAGCTCCACACCATCCTCTTCACCCTCGTCCTCCTCTTCCTCGCCCTCCGAAGACGACATAAAGTCCGCCGCGGTCGCCCGCTTTTTAATCCTCCCATTCACCTCAGTTTTAGGTTTTGATTTCCCGCCGGAGACCAGTTTCTTGAGATGTTCGTCATCGCTTTCGCAGAATGCATTTTCGCTGCTGATTTCTTCGTCATCCACCACATTATCGGCTTCGAGGTCGGCAGTTTCTGGATCGTCAAATTCTTCTTCGCTGTCGCTGTCCTCCCCTCCTTCTACATCTTCATCGCTGCTGTCTTCTAGTGCTGCCCGGCTCACACGTGACCCTCGATACTCTGGTCCTAGGGAGACGGCGTCTTTCTGGCGGAGCTTGCTTTTCCTAGACGGGGGTTAGACAAACAATGCGGTTGGAAAAAACGTTGCGCAAATGATCGCGTACCCGACGGCAACGTAGTGTTCCGTGCCAGCGTTCTCGTCGGCCGAATCCTCGCTTCCATTGTCGTCGTCGCTATCGGGGATTTCGTTTTCGATGTCGAAGTCTGGGGGACACAATTGTCAATGGAATTTGTGCATATGCCAATGTCAACGAATTACCTACCCTTAGCGATCTTCTCCTCGAACTCATCGAACCGCCGGGCCCGGCCTTTACGCGCTGTCGGCATGATGTGCGATTTGTCCCTTTTCGTTGTTTTCTCGTAGAAGAGACGGATCTTGTCGCACCCCACATGGAAATTTTTGGGCGATTGGACCCAAGGATTGATCGGAAATTTTGGCGGTGGCTAGCGGCAGAAAAGTGTTGTGGCATGTCTTTGGGGACGTCAGTTACAGGGGTACTCCCCACAGCGGAAGCTGTGAGTGAGTTCCATCTGCAGTTTGCCATTGGTTTTCAACATCATCGGTCGACTTGTATGGTTGCAGCATGTGAGCTTGAATTTCAGAACTTTGTTTCTTAACATAATCTAAGCAAAAAACAATGTCCATATTTACCATCCCCAGGTAACCGGCCCATCATGAAATCACATATATCTCGCCGGCTTTTTCACACCACCAGGGCACTCTGCCATGAGAACCCTCTTGTAAATCCCCCTCTGCCTTCTTTCCCCCATACCTCCCATATCTAAACACAACCCCCCAGGGCCTCCCCCAGAAAGGCAGCATCCCCCGTTTCCAACGCGGTCTCCCCACCAAACGCCCCATCCGCGGCGCCGCGCACATCCTCGCCGTCTCCTCCGCCAAAGGGGGCGTAGGCAAATCCACCATCGCCGCCAACCTGGCTCTAGCCTTCGCCCGCCTCGGCCTCCGCTCAGGTATCCTCGACACCGACATCTTCGGCCCATCCATCCCCACGCTGTTTAACCTAGCCGGCATCGAACCGCGCCTGCACCCGGCCACCAACCAGTTACTCCCGCTGACCAATTATGGCGTGCGCACTATGTCGCTGGGGTATTTGCAGCCGGACGAGGCGGCGCCTGTGGTGTGGCGCGGGCCGATGTTGTTGAAAGCGGTGCAGCAGTTGTTGCATGAGGTAGATTGGACGGGGGGTGATGGTGGAGGTGGGGTTGATGTGTTGGTGTTGGATTTGCCGCCGGGGACGGGGGATGTGCAGTTGAGTATTGCGCAGCAGGTACCGGTGGACGGGGCGGTGGTGGTGACGACGCCGCATGTGTTGGCGGTTAAGGATGCGATCAAAGGGGTGGGCATGTTTGGGAAGGTTGGGATTCCGGTGATGGGCTTGGTGCAGAATATGGGGGTATTTGCGTGTCCGTGCTGTGGTGAGAAAACGGCCGTGTTTGGGGGGAATGAGAAGGTACTTAAGATGTGCGAGGAGCAAAGTATTGAGATGCTTGGGGATGTGCCATTACATCCGAGTATTGGAGAGGATGGGAGTCGCGGAAAGCCAACGGTGGTAGCCGAGCCCGAGTCTCCAAGGGCGGCTGTATTTATGGATGTTGCGCGGAAACTGGCGGGGAAAATGGGATTGGAGGTCAGTTAACAGAGGAATCAAACATACCAGGCGCTATTTAGTGAGGACAGGGTATATTCTTTCAGCCCGGAGGCCGAATCGCCTCAAGCATCGTTTGCTAATAAAAAGCCGTGGTTTACTTTGGCACAGAAATAGATGGGTAAAAGTAGCGTAGCTGGCACGATGAGTCCAGGGTATCTCATTATAAGTATATCAAAGCTACCTATTCATTGCACTTCCTTAAATAGCGCCCGCAGGCGATTGACAGAGGTATCGCTGTAGCGCAAGCGCAAAGCTAGCTGATGGAATTTGAGACCACGTTAGCCTCCATATGTAAACGAGAGTAGCTGGGGATGGAGGAATCGTAAACCGGGATCATCCAGCGGAAGCTCCAGCCTATCCCACAGTCCGCTGAAAACAGGACACCACCGTGTGGTAGGGTCGCTGCAGTGCGAACCGTTCGGTCTTGCGTTGAGTTGTGACGATGCTCTGAGAGAAAGAAAGGTCACGTTAGTCTAATCTAGATCTTCATTTGGCTGGTATACGTGGCGGCTGCGGGTAGGATCTTTCCGCATGGTCTGGCCAGAGCCGGTGAAGCCGACTGTTGATGGGTTAGCATGCAAGTTAGATTCGAAACGGTCGGCGGATTTCTTACCTCGTCCATGGAAACCCTCTGGTGTGCGAAACATGCTCTCCTTTTTCGCTCCCTTGCCAAACTTCCCTTTCGTAGAAAACTCTTGCCACTTGTTCTTGCCCTTCTCAAGCTCCTTGGTGGCCTTGATTTTTTTGAACTTCGGTTTCGGCTTCTCATCGTCGCCCTCTGCCCCCGCCTTATTTGCCGCCTGCGCTTGTGGGTACATATCGGCGGCCGCAGACATCACGATGCCGTTGTTGGCTGGAGTTGGGGCGATTGAAGATGGGGTATCGGTAGACGTTGGAGTGGATGCTGTGGCCGAACCGCCAACGGCGGTCGAGTTGGTTGAAGCAGAGGTGCCATCAGCCTTGCGCTTCTGTGCAACGGGGCGAATATCCTTAGCACGAAGGGTCTCGACAGTATCATAGCTCTTGAACTTGACCGTGTAAATGGGCGCCGTGGACGAACCAGTCACCGCGGTGATACGCGCTGGATAGAAACCCTTGTCCCCCGAGAGCCATTTCGCCATGACACTGTCGTTAACCTGATATGCAATGATTTCGGGTTCTTTCTCCTTCTCCCTTTCCTTCTCCTCTGCTGACGCAGCTTTCTTAAATGCTGGGTGATTCTCGCGAGACCACTTTGGCTCGGCGGGCGGCGGTGATGGCGCCTTCTTCGGCGCTGCAGGCTCGCTCTTAGGTTTCAGTTCGGCGAGCGAAACATCGAGAAGTTGGATCATCTGCTCCAACTCAGCCTTGAGTCCTTGCAGTTCGGCATTGTCGGGGTCATCTCGGAGGGATACGGCAACCAGTTCGAGCTAGACGAGGGTCAGTTTAAGACAGTAGATGATGGACGTGTTTCTTGCTCCATGACGCACCTGGCTCTCATACTCCTTGCGGTCTGCCTCGAGTTGCGCGCTCATCTCAGCACAGGGGTCGTTCTATGACAATCTTTCAAAATGTCGAAAATGGGGAGGTGGTCGGATCGGTTGTGGTTAGGAAGTACGCGGCTGAATGAGGGGGTTCGTGGAAGATGGAATTCAAGCGCCTTTTGAACCTCTTCAGCCCGTCGCTAAGGTTCTCTAAGGAAGGGGCCGCACGGGCCAAATGTGGTGGCGCTGTAAATTACGGGTCCAATACGCGTGATTTCCATGTTTGGTATTACCTAATTGTCCTCAAATCACCAATATCCGTGAATATTAACATTAAACCGCTCGGTTCTCAAAACCTACCCAATTCTTGTTCCCCTCAGCTGACGGACCTATAGTACTGCGGCTCAACCCGTGCCTCGTCTTTTACTCCGAAGCCTTGCGAAGCAGTTCTCATGCGACTTCAATCAACCTAATTGGCTCAGTAGTTCTCAACTCCACGACTCAGCAGATTAAGCTCCTCGTGTAAATATAAACATTCTTTGATTCACACGCGACGCGGAAGAATTTAGTACCTCGGCGTCCTGCCTCCCCCCAAACATTAGACACGTGGTGTAAGAGGTACAAGCGTCCCGAGAAAAGCAGGCAGAGCAACATTGAAACTTCGGCGACCCCCTCACCTTGATTCTCGCTTCATCTTTCGCTGCCACGTGAAACCGGTTCCCCGGAAGAAAGCCATGTGGATTGTGGAGGTCGGTCTCACTGCGGCCGATGGTTCTGGCTTTGGGTGTGGTGTGGGTGTCAATTGAGCCGCTCCACCAATCAACGGTCAGACCTTCCAAGCTTCCGTCACCGCTTTGGTGCTCGGTCGGTCGGCGGTTGAACACGGGCCATCGGGGAAGTGGAGGTCGTCGGGGGCTTTTGAACAGGACCGATTTCAGAATTGACTTTTCTTAAGCAAACAAGTCACCTCTCTTGCTTCATCGTGTTACATCCATCGCGGCGGCTCTACAACCCTTATCTCAATTGGCAGCACAGGCTTCGCGGTCAAGCCTATACTTTCGGATTGCGGCTTCGTGATTCCCTTACTCCCGCGGCGAACCCCCACCTTTTCGCGTTTGTCAATGACGAATTAAACGTTGCGCTCCCACTCAACGGTTTGTTCGCCCCTCGGCCGCAAACGGTTCGGCTCGATTTGACTATCGGGGAACACACCTTGTCTTTCGCCTCGCTTCGCCTGTCTACGAGCCAACAGTCGGTTTGTAAGCTCACAATTCCACGGCAGACGACCCCGTGCCACAGCGGCACTCCAGCGGCGTTGTTCGGGCAAGGAATATTGTGATTAGGGAGAAATAGGGCGCACAAGAGACACACCATCAGCCTGTCATGGCGAGGGACAGTGACGGCGACGGGTTGGGCGCCAACCAATCAAAAAAGCCACCCGCCGCCTGGGTTGACTTCGACGAACCACAGCAGCAGCCTCCGCAGCAGCATCACCGAGTAAAGAGCCAGAGGCACATGGTTGGCGGTGCTGCAGGAGGGCGTCTTCATGCGCGGATCCCCTCATCGAAAGGTTTCCCAAAACATCACACGACAGCCACCGCAAAGACGAATCGCAAGCACGGATCCCTCTCCCCCGAACGCGGAACTGGCGCTGCTCTGGCGTCTCATCACCACCGTCGCGCGACCTCGGAATTGAAATTGTCGACACGCGACCCGTCGTCAACCAATTTGAAGAACACATCCTCGACCAACCTCAAAAAGAACACATCACAAACCAACCTGCTGAAGCGAAATCGCTCGCACGCCGAGGTCACCAAAAGGACAAAGTCCGCCACGAATCTCCAGCGATCACTCTCCAATCCGGCAGTCCACAAGTTACGGTCTTCTGGAACTGCCAAGGTCCAATTCAATCTCGCTGACGACGACGACCAGGACGAGGCCCAGGACGACGAAGACGAGTGGGTGGATGCCAGCTCATCTGCCTCACCTCTCCTCTCTCGACGCGGCTCAGCTGTCAGCTCTGCGCACACGGCCAACCCAACCGACGACGAGGAAGACTCGGTCGTCGGATCGCCGACGCCCCGCGCTGAAGTCCATCGGACTTTGAGTAACGGAGCACAGAGTGAGGCACACATTGACGCGCGTACCAGCACTCACGACGCGCCACAAAGCACCGACGGCAGCCTGCCTCGCAACAAATCTAACTACCTCACGTCTCGAATCCTCTCCCGAACCTCATCACACGGCGCACCGCCCATGATGTCTGCCGAAACCGCGTCTGCCCGACCGCCATCGATACGGCAGCAGTCACCGCCCGACTCGAGCCCTAGTCCAGCACAATACCTCTCGAATACTCCAGGTACCGCTGGATCTTCCCAGGTCCGACCGGGTAGCAGTGGCAAGGCAGAGCTCACTTCCAGATTTGTAGGGAATAACAGCCAGGAGCCCGGTTCTGGGATAGCGGGCGAGTCATTTATCCTAGCTGCCAACAGAGGTGGTCTTTCCCGGGCCGCGTTGAACGGGACGGATGATGTTAGTGTACCCAAACGGCGGCAGTCACTCGGCGCGTTGTCACAAGCCCGAGGCATCGATGCTATCAACGCACGTCGGGCAGCGGCAGCAGCGGCCGGGGATGGGAGCGACGACGATGATGACGAAGAAGAGCTCACCACGCGGAGAACTCGCTCCCGGCGGAGCGGTGACTACGCTGCGCCCCGCGAGATGAACCGAACTCAACAGAAGTTGAACCTCCAGCGCGCCAGTTCCAGCCTCGAGCCAACACAGGCACGTCCCGGCATTGGAATGGGAATAGGCCCATCAGGCGTCGCGGCCGGCGCCGTGGGAGGTTCGAGCTCGTACGACTCCAGAGACCCGCGGGTAACCAAGACCTTGGAGCGGACCGGCATGGAGTACCTCACTGTGCGCCGCCACCTCAACCCCGTGGCCCGGTCGATCGCCCGCGTGATGCAGCTTCCGGGGTTCGATAATAGCCGCCGCATTCCGCGCCCAGGCACCGCCTCGTCCTACCACGTCTCACGCCTGTCTGAACAGGTACCGGTGACGCGCAGCTCCAGCATGACCGACCTCATCAATGGCCACGGCCACAACGGCGGACACACGAACGGGGATAGGAATGGACGACGGCCTCCTACCCCTAGGAGCGGCGGTGGTGGAAGCGTCTTTTCAACCCTGCAAAGTGCAAGCTCGAGTCTAGGAACCGATGGTGAAAATGACGAGGACGTTCCAACCCGGATCCATGAACGACCCGGCCTGCCCAGACACAACCATGTTCTTCGCAATGGTCATGGTCCTAACAGTCATCACGCCCACAACGGACACAACGGTCATAACGGACACAACGGTCATAACGGACACAACGGTCATAACGGACACAATGGCCACGGACTGAGCGGGTCGAGTTTGGTAGATGGCGCCGAGGATGCCGGCACAGTGGCGCTACTCCGGATGATGTGGGAGAAGAACGTGGACCTGAGCGCAAGCCAAGATTAGAAGGATTGGCCGCAAGCTCGGGAGGGATTGTACAGGGTGCAAAGGGAGGACAGCCAGCGGAATGATAGAAGAGGAACCAGGCCGGGGTTACTACAGAGGCTTTTCACGGCCCCATCGTTCCGTAGCGAAGGAGCTCGACCAAGACAAGCCGGAGATCACGGCCTCGACGGGGCGGGGGAAATCGCTCGTCCCACCCTGTTTCGCCAGGGGCCCTGGTTACCAAGAGCAAGAGCAAGAAGACCACCAGAACCAGCGGCTTCGGCACCGGCAACCCCACCGCGGACGGATTCCAGCCGTGGATCTGGCCTCTTCTCGACGGTGAGATCGGCACTGGCATACTCGACCATTGCGCCTCAAAACATCCCGACGACAGAGACTGCTACTGGGGCTACCGAGGATGATGACCCGAACGAGCCACCTGCGAGTTTGCTCGTTGAGAGGATCGATCGCCGTTGACCTGGTTCTGACCTTCATCCGCTAGTTTTTGGAAGGAGTTATCAGGTTATCTTGTCGCAGACGGGGTGAAGGGATGCGGGGCGAGGCGTTCGGGCGGATTTCCTGCCGGGTAGTCACCGCTTTTGTTATTCTTAGTCAACAATTTAAAGTTTTTAAGGGTTTCTCACAAAGGGAAGAGAGAAAAGTTCACAATCAACCCGGAAGGGGTGTTGTGGAAAGGAGTCTGGAGCAGAGGAGAACCGGAGTTTTTATTTTCATGATGATGACTTTTAGAGTGCGCCCACCATTCAACTGTCGAGCGGTCTACTGATATCATACAAGCGTTAATTCACTTATTTTTTTAACGGCAACGTAGTCCTCAGATCTCGCAATGTGACCACTGTTGGTAAATCGGAACGAAAGCAGGATTCTTCTCGAGGCATGAAGTCCGTGGTGTTTGGGGTCATTAGATAAGATAACATTAGTATCATCGTACGAACACCACTTCAAACAAGAAAAATCAGAACACAGATTTCGCTCTCCATATCGCTCAATTAGAGTCATATCATCGGTTTCAGCCTATGAATTTCCCACCAGCCGACCGGGCGTGCATTGCTCTAAATAAAAATACAGCGCGCCATCATGCCATTAATAGGAATAGACAAAAGAAAAAGGTATACAAAAAAGCCTTCCCCCCACTACGCTTTTTATCATCCATCCATCCCTTTCACAAACTAAATTCGCATTTACTCGGCAACCCAGACGGCCGCCATACCCATCCCAGTGCCGACACACATGGACGTGACACCAACCTGCTTGCCCGTCCTCTTCAGCTCATACAGCAGCGTCGACACCTGGCGGGCACCAGTGCAGCCAAGCGGGTGACCAAACGCGATGGCACCGCCCTTGGGGTTGATCTTCTCCAGCGGCAGGCCCAGCTCGTTGGCACACCAGAGGCACTGGCTGGCGAACGCCTCGTTGATCTCAAAGATGTCGACGTCGTCCTTGTTGATCCCCGTGAGCTCAAAGACCTTGGGGATGGCCTTCCAGGGGCCCACGCCCATGAGGAGAGGGGGAACGCCGACGATGGAAGCGGCGACGAACTTGCCGAGGATGGGCTGGCCGAGCTTCTCGGCGGTGGAGCGCTTCATCATCAGCACGGCGGCGGCGCCGTCGCTGACCTGCGAGGCGTTGCCGGCGTGGATGGAGCCGTCCTTGGCGAAGGCCGGGCGGATCTTGCCGAGGGACTCGGCGGTCACGCCCGCGCGGACGCCGTCGTCCTTGTCAACGGTGATCTCCTTGGTCTCGCCGGACTTGGGGTCCTCGAACTTGACCGTGAGGGGGTGGATCTCTTCCTTGAAGAGACCCTTGGCCTGGGCCTCGCCGGCCTTCTTGAACGAGTCAGCCGCGAAGGCGTCCTGGCTGGCGCGGGTGATGTTGCGCGCCTTGGCCATGTCCTCGGAGAGGACACCCATGGGGACCTTGCAGTTGGCGGCCTCGGTGTGGGCCTCGAAGGCCTCGGAGAACTCGGAGACGGCGCCCGGGCCGTACTGGGTGGACATGCTCTCGACACCGGCGCCGATGCCGACCTCAATCATGCCGCTGCGGATCTGGTTGGCGATGTCGACGCAGGCCTGGAGGCCGGACGAGCACTGGCGGTTCAGGGTGCGGACGGCGGTCGAGTCGGGGAAGCCGGCGACGAGCGCAGCAGCCCGCATCTCAGTGGCACCACCGCCGGGGGCCAGGACGGTGCCGACTACAACATCCTCGACGAGGGCCGGGTCGATCTTGGAGCGCTCGAGAATGCCCTTGAACGCGCCGGCCATCAAGTCGGCAGAGAAGGTATCCTTGAATTGGCCCTTGCCGCCCCTGCAGATGGCGGTCCGGAGCGCGGCGGTCACGACGATCTGTGCGAACCATGCGTTAGCATATGCGGATTTGCTGGAACGGTCTAGGGCTTGGAAAAATCGGGGTGCCATACATCATCGGGGTTCTTCTGCAGAAGCTTGGCCTTGCCGCCACCGGCACCGCCGGTGATCTGGTTGCCCAGCTGCGAAAGACGATCGGTAGCTGTCGCGAGCGTATTGTCAGCAAAGTCGTCGCGGGCATCCGATGAGCCGAGGATAACCTACCACCCATGGTGAATGTGTGTGGTGCCTTGTTTTTATGTGTAGAAAGGATATTTTTCAGGAACAAGAAAAAGACGAGAAATTAGACACAGCGCAAGAGTTGGACACTTAAAAAGTAGATGGCGAGTTGAAGTTATGGGTTGACAACAGCCCCGGGTTTATGAATGCTTGCTCCGGAAAGAAAAGCTGGGGAGTTTGCCTCGGGCCCTTTTCCCCCTGCGCAACTGGTTTCGCAGCATCTCGGCCCCAGAGTCGGCTTGACCCCTGCCGTGGCGTGTGCCTTCCGGGCCTGCCCCAGGTGATGTCAGGACGGCCGAGGCATTGCCGAAGAAGGGATAGCGTGGGGCGGGGTGCATTGCTCAGCAACGTTCACATGCTTGGCCTTGGCACTCTTCGTGCATTTTGCTCTCCTGCGCCCGGGCTGCCGGGCTAGGCCTGCTCATGTTTTCTTGGTTCTTTATTTTCTTGTGATATTCACATGCGAACATACGATTACTGAACCGTGGGTTTTGAGGCTCAGGTGATGTTGGTTGATTATTTGAAGTTTTGAGCGATTCTGCAACGAATACGGTAGCATCGCCAGATCCCACATGCAACGCACGCAACTTCGCGCTCAAAGGAATGGGACTGCCAAGCTGTTAGGTCAAACGATGACATTGATTCCAAAGAAACCCTTCCTCTCCGTTACACCTTCAATTGTGGAATGATTTGACCTTCTCCACCTCGTCGTAGCTGCCCATGAAGATACCAGACTTGTCGTGAATGTGCTCGGGCACCACTTCTAGCATACGCTCCATCTTACTGTTGAGCGCCTGGCCGCCGGCTGGGAAAAACATGGAATGTCAGCAAAGGGCATTTTGATGAAGAGAAGAAAAGAGAAAAAAAAGCTGAAATGGAAAAAGGGTAACTCACCATTCTCAAACACCATGGCCATCGGCGCGCACTCGTACAGAATCCGCAGCTTGCCCTTAGGGCTCTTCTTATCGGCGGGATACGCAAAGATACCGCCATACAACAACGTACGGTAAGCATCAGCAACCATGCTGCCAATATACCGCGCGCTGTACGGCTTGCCGCCCTCAGGCGCCTCCTTCAGCGAATTGAAGTAATTCTTGACATTATCCTCCCAGTACAGCGAGTTACCTTCGTTGACGGAGTAGATGGAGCGCTTGGCCGGCAGCCGCATGTCCGGGTGCGTCAGGATGAACTCGCCGAGACCGTTGTCGAGCGTGAAGCCATTGACGCTGCCGCCGCGCATCGTGATGACCAGCTGTGCCGAGGCGCCGTACATGGTGAACCCCGCGGCGAGTAGCTCGCTGCCTGGCTTGAGGATGTCCTCTTTTGTCCCCTTCGACCCTTCGGCAAGCTTGTGGATCCCGAAAATCGTGCCGACTGACACACCCGCGTCGAGGTTGGAGCTGCCGTCAATGGGGTCGCAGGCTACGGCGTACCGGGCGTTCTCGCTGTCGCGGAAGAAAATGATGTCTTCTTCCTCTTCTGAGACCAGCAGCGCGCACCGCCCGCTTGACCGCATCGCCTCGATAAACAGGTCGTTGGAGATGACATCTAACTTCTTTTGCTCGTCGCCGGTCGTGTTGGACGACCCGGCCAGTCCTGTCAGGTTCACGAGTGTGGCCCTCCGGATGTAGTAGGCGATCGACTTGAACGAGAACTGCAGCGCGTGGCAGAGGAGACTTGCCGTGGGGGCGAAGCAGATGTTAGCTAGTTGCGAGCATAAGAGGGAATTGAGGGAGTCCGGTGTCATACGTAAAGTCTCCTGTTGCCTCTTTGTGTTTTACTTGCTCTTCCGTGAGGAATCTGGTGAGCGTGACGATGTGGGTGTTGACCTTCTCCCCCTCCACCGGGCTGGACCCGTTTGTAGCCATGGTGATATGTTTAGGTGAGTGTGCGTAGTGTGTGCGTGTGGTTATCTGTCGGAGGGCTTGTATTCCAGCTACAATATCTCGATATGTCGAATAATATCACGGTGAGAGCGTCGTAGAGTTGGATTGTCTGGTTGAGAAGAGACCCAGAAGAATTACACAGTAAGCCGCGGCGGACGAGCCCGGGACTATAGATGATGTCAAGTGGAGTAGGGATTCGAGGTGCTGAATCACAAGATCAACACAGATAAACCAACCAAACCAAATTCAGATCAGGTCCAGGAAAAAAAAGGTCGAGAACAATGGATGATCCCGAACTTTATCTTCCCAGTCAGATACCTCAACACACTTCGGCATAAAAAGGAAAAGCCGCCCCTTCACCCTCCAATTGTCCAAAGTTGCGGCCCGCGTTCTCGATCCCATCCGTCCACCTATCATTGATCCGGTTCATCTCCCCCCGGAATCGTCCGTCCCCTCCGTTTCCAAAGCACACACCCACCCGACCGCCCGTCTCCAAAACTAGTAGGACGATACTCGAGGTACCAAACCGTTAATACCTCTTGTGCCTTGGGGTACACCCCCCTCTGATGTCAGACCAACCCGCTCCCGAAGACCCCTGCTCAATTGCCCCGCAGCAACCCCACCAACAACTCCATAGCCGCGCTCTGCCGACGACGGCCGAACAACGGACAGGGGCTCTTTCCCGGTCTCTTCCTTCATCTAGAATAAGTAGAGAAAGAAAACCCCGTTATCTACCAGCGTCCATCCCGACGCTACCGTTTCAGCCGGGGATGCGCTCTTTATGAATTGTGCTGTGTAGATAAACTGCATAGATAACCCGGGAGTGGGAGCGGGTTATCCATCCGGGCGAGGGGAACGGGAAGGGGGGAGGGGTGGATCGTGTACCGGCTGTAGTGTATGGACGTGTGTCTGAATTGGAAGTACAAAGTACTGGTACCAGGACGTGATCCGCTACAACGACACCCCCCCGTCCCGAACCCGGGCGCAATCGCGAAAGAGGATTTCCCGGTACCAGATGCCACTCGCTCGGGTTATGTTTCGACCTTTTGGGCCGAGCGGCGTTTGTTAGTCAAGCTGAGTAAATTAGTCCAAGGCTTTCTGTTCGCTCTTAGTCCCAACAATTTTTTGCCTTACCGACTTATCAGCTAATTACGACTAATCCGCGAGGAGTACATGCGGGTGCTGATATTTTCGGAACAGAGGAAACTTGAGATGCACGAATGAGGTTGGCGAATTCTGCTTTGGTGTTGACAATTGGGAAACCCCTTTTCTAAGGACTAGGCCCGGGCGCAGGTGACTAGATCACCTGATGGCCCCAAACTTCTCTTTCTGGGGATCATAGTATCCATGTTTAGCTTTTACGTTTGGTTTGCAATATCGTTGGTTTGGCGCTGGCCTCGTGACCTTCTCGGGTTTTGACGGAGGAGGATTGGTATCAGGGGCTTGGCAGCTGCGCATATTGAACCCTAACCCCCGTTCTTGTGGACGTACCCAAAGGATGAAATGTCGTGTATATGTTTTTGTCGTAGCTAGATAGTCTATGGTCCTTGAAAATCGTCCCGGTGCCCGAACCCAAGAAAAAAGAGTCAATCCCCTATTCTACGCCGTCTGTCCCACAATGAAGGAAAAACCAGAACAGAGGAGAAAAGACGAAAAAAGGAGGACGTCATGAACAGAGAACTTGCATCGCAAATCTCTGGTTTAACCCTCCCATGTCCACTTCAGCATCGCCAGGCAGCTGATACCCTTGATCCAACCGATGATGGCTCGCCCACGCCCCTAGATCTACCCTCCGCTCCTTGGGCCCGTGATATTTATTCAACCCCGGTAAGAGAATCGATCGATCATTGTTGGCGTACGAATACCCGTCCCCCGTCTCCATCAGCGCTGGCACAAGCTTCCTTACACGATACCCAGTCTCCGGGTCCGGTGCCGTGTGCCAATCGCTGACACCAAAGTTGGTATCGTTCGTCGCCCAGGCGAGGTGGCTGTTCTCGGAGGTTTGTTCGAGGCAGGCTTCAATCACGCCGTCGGAGACGCCCATATAAAAGTGAGGCGAGACGTCAGATGGGCGGGCGAGCGACCAGATGCCGCCTGGGCCGGCATGGGGCCGGAGTGAGCCGGAGACAAACATTCTCGAGTTGGGGCGGTAGTAGATGTCCTGTGAGAGGTTGTGCCAGTGGCATGGCAGGCCGCGGACGTGGTTGCAGCGGGATCGATTGGTAGTTGGGGTAAGGAAGGGGGGCTTCATGAAAGGTTGGTGTGGCCTCGGGAAAGGTTCGACATTGCGACATGGAAGGCCTGTCGTGTGGTAATAGCTTTTGCTCCAGCGGAAATCGAATATTTGGATGGCGAGCTGGCTTCCGCCACCTGTTATGAACCTCTCCGTGCCGTAAGCCATGAGTGAATCGGCAGTCAACCAAGGATCGACGTTGTTCTGATAGATGGTGTCGAAGGCCGAAGGGGTGCGAAGATCTTGGAGCCTGGATGGGATGTGAGGTTAGTGGGCTATGCGTGAATGGCTGAAGTAACGTACCTGATAGTACCATCCCTCCATGAGCTTAGGAGGAGGCTTGTCCCCCCCTTCGCGCCAGAATGAAGGTTAACAGGCTCCAGCGCGCTGAGGGCGACGTTACGCTGAAATTTGGCGTTGAATTCTTTCTCAACCCTCTCATTCTTAGCCGCCGCGGAGAGAGACCACCCCGTCGGAGTGCGAGTGAGATAACGCAATGGATTCTTGGCTCCAACCAAGGCCAAGGCAAGTGAATCGCCATTCTCCATCCACTTCGCGCACCCGAGCCTGGTTTGACCGGAGGTCAAAGCCCCACCCTCCTTCAAGTCGTAGGTTTCTATGGGAGGTATCTCGGCAGCACTCTCCTGTGGGATATCGTACATTCTTAGAGTGGTCTTGGCTGCTGCTGCAACACGGGGGCCGTTGCTACCGTTGAACACATCCAACGAGTTGATCGCATCCGATGCCGCAAGTTGCTGAAATGTAATGTTTTGGTCGGTAAGGGGCCCAAAATGTGCGATCTGTTTGCCGAAGTCGTCAGGCTCGGCGGATATCAGCGATAGTTCGCCGCTATACCGGCCGGTGATGATGGCCTGTTTACCACCGTGCTTCACAACCTTGAGGGCCTTCACATCGTCATACCCGTTGCGGAGACCAAATTCGTTGCCCTTCAGCCTATGCCACGATGTTTTCGAGACTTGTCCATGCCCTCGGCGTTCCCGGTAGCGGGCGACCACGTCTTCCCCACCCCCCCAGACCACGAGTTCTCGTTGTGAAGTAGGGTCGAACGTGGCATCTACCACCGCCATGAACGAGCCGATGGCTCGGCCATGACCCCGGTCTTGTCTCTGATGCTCGCGCCGAGGGAGCAGCGCCTGGAACTGGATTGCTCGTCGGTCCCAGCACCGGCTCTGCCAGGTTAGAGATTCAGCCAAATGCCGCCATGTGTGATTTCCCGTGGCCGGAGATGGGACCAAAAGAGACGGGAAACTGTTTCTGACGAAAATGCGCCACCCGTCGTTCTCAACGAGATGCTGGAGCCGGCGGCAGGAAAGCCCAACGGCGCGAAAATCGCGGGCGCAGTCAAGACTGGCAAAGATGAGGAAAAGGACGTCGTCGGGTAAATCTGCAAGCTGATGAGGCATTGCAGTAATTTACTCGGTTGAAGCGTTATATGTGTTTGTAAAATGTGATGTGCGTTAAGTTGTTGTTGTCGTGTATTTTGTTTTTGAAGGGTCCATCTTAATATCTGTTTGCAATTATATCCACACAAGCCACACCACACGTGGATGATGGCCTAAAATGACGGGAACCCGATTTTCCAGATGGCAAGGCATTCAGTCAACCAGTCACAGAGTGAGTCAGCATCGCGGTTTCCCAAACAGGCAACGCCCTGCCGGCAGTGCCACTAAAATACAGGGGTTTTGAAGGCTATCGTTCCCCGCAGAAATGGAGGGGTCAATCACAACCTTAGAATCCCGTCGTTGGCGTTGACTCTTCTCTCTCTAACCCTCTCCAGACAGGGCGAAACAGACTCGAGAATGGCTCATCTGGGTGACTGGGCAGGCGCAGTTGCGTTGGCAGTCTTTGTGCTTCTGTTTTACCAATACATCATCTACCCCGCCGTTTTCTCGCCCCTAGCACGAATCCCGAATGCCCAATGGTCAGTTCCCTTCTCACGCATCTGGATCCTGTGGGTTCGGTATGCCCATCGAGAAAACAAAACCCTCCACAGCGCCCACCGGCGACTTGGGCCCATCCTGCGAGTTGGACCGAACGAACTCAGCGTTAGCGACCTCGATGGCGTCCGTACCGTTTACCAGGGAGGGTTCGGGAAGCCTGTTTGGTACTCGGTCTTCAACAACTATGGGTAGGTTTCATGAAGCGAGGAGTTCAACGGTTGGGCGATAGGTGTGGATGCAACACTTTTGTCAAGGTTCTTTTGCCCACACACTCACCTCAATGCTCCATCAAAGTGTTCCCTGCATGTTCTCGGCCCGCGCCGGGCCCGAACATTCGGCACGCAAGCGGTTGATCTCACACGTTTACTCCAAGTCGTATATCCAGTCGAGCCCAGCAGTCGCTGCCCAATCACATGAGATCCTTTATGGCAGGCTTCTACCGATACTCGAGACATCCGTTAACCCTTCCCAGGGGCCGCACGTCATAGATGTTTATTCGGTCTTCATGGCGGCCACCATGGATTTTATCGCATGTTACATTTTTGGACTGGGCCACGGGACTAATTTTCTCGGCGATAAAGCCTACCGGGAGCATTTTCTCGAGCTTTACAAGGCCCGTAATGACTCTGGATATTACGACCAAGAGCTCCCCCAGCTGACGAGGCTCTGTCGGAAATTAGGGATTCCTCTATGTCCCAAGTGGGCGGACAAGGCAAACCTGGAACTTGGGGAGTGGTGCTGGGGTCTTTGTGCCAAAATGGAAGGTTATTTTTACCCCGTGAACGCCAACGGGCCCCCTGCCGGTTCGGTTGTGGACCAGCCCATCGTATGGAATGCGCTAGTCCACGGGTTACAAAACGAATCGTCTGAGAAATGGCCGTCATCGGTGATGTACCCGAGTAGCCTCCCGAACCTCAAGCTATCGGTCGCATCCGAGCTCTTTGACCACGTTCTCGCTGGACAGGAAACAGCCGGTTTGGTTCTGACGTACCTCAGTTGGCGACTATCTCAATCGGTCGACCTCCAGCACCAGCTCCGGGCAGAACTCCTAGCCCTCGTTCCCAACATGCAGCTCACCCCCGACAACAGGCCCGTAATGCCGGACCCAAAACAGTTGGACAAACTCCCGCTGCTCCACGCTGTGCTCATGGAAACGCTGCGCCTCCACGCACCCATCCCAGGCGCACAACCTCGAGAGACACCGGAAGTGGGTTGTCGGATTGGTCCCTATGCCGTACCAGGAGGTGTTAGGGTCGCGGCGTCGGCATATACCCTACATCGAGAGGAAAGTGTCTTTCCCAAGCCGGAAGAGTGGGACCATACTCGGTGGCTGCCCTCAAACGCTAATGGAGAAGAGAGGCGGACGATGAATAGGTGGTTCTGGGCGTTTAGCTCGGGAGGGCGGATGTGCATCGGGTCGAACTTTGCTCTCCACGGTGAGTTGGTACCGTTGATTGAGGGTTTGCAGAGCGCTAGCCGGTTGGTGCTAATTCCCTGCAGAAATGAAGTTGATCATTACTACGATCTACTCGAACTACACCACCCATATCGTTGACGACGAAGGGATGGAGAACCAATCGGATGGATATACCGGTCGGCCTGAGAAAGAACGGTTGTTTCTTCGGTTTGAGAAGGTGGTGTAACTTGTACCTACTGCAGCGTTCAGCAGTCATCAACCCATGCACCTGGCTGTTTGCAGGCCACTGTTCCCCGCACTGCCAAGGCGCCAAGAGATCATCGTGCATTTGACAAGCGCAGCCATTGTGGTAGGCTTGGGTGTTGTCTGCGGCTGAGTCCGGCTGGGCGACGGGCAGGGTCATGAGCTTGTTTTTCTCTGCTGCCGGAAGCGTGTAAAAAATGTCGATTGAGACCAGCCTCGTCCCCCACCGGACTCTGCGGATGCCTAAACGAATGAGCTCCAAGAAACTCATCGAGATACGCTGTGTCCAATCACTTATCACCGCACCTGCCCCGAAATGGCAGGAGGTCAGGGTCACATTGTTTCCCGAGGAGCACGACCCCAACCACTTCCTCCTTCATCCCGCTCCTGCAAAACTTTTCTCTCCATCAATTGATGCCACCACTCCCACGTGCCCGGAGTCGTGGAGCAGCGCTGCTTGTCGGGAATAACTATCACAATGTCAACAAGACCGGCCACCAGGGCAATAGTGGCCAGGTTGACCCCGTCAAGCCAGAACCACCTTATTATTAGCGAAACGGCGCTGCCGATGCACGTCCTGCGAGCCGCAGAATAACCCGGCATATCGGCATGCAACCTTAGGACCGGGGGTCTACGACCAACAGAAAATTTAGAGTTCTTGAGAGACACACCAGAACCTGACCTGCGAACTACTGCATAATAATCCTAAAGTAAACCGCCCCCTGTGACCTTAAACCTGTAGTGTATAAGTGCGCCCATCCCCCACTCTTTGTGTTCCCCCAACTCCTCCAAGGAGATCGTCTCTCGACCGCTTCCTTCAGGTTTCCCCGCCACACCACACCACATCTCGTCACTCACTCTCTGTCGACCACGACAACACACCCTTCGCCAAAATGGCTGAACAGACTGACGCCGCCCCTGCGGCGACAGCCCCTGTCGATGAGACGCGCGCTGTTGAAAAACAACACCAGCAAGAGGAATTACCCGTCGCAACTGTTAACAAGTCATTTTGGAAGGCCCTCCTCCCCGTGATCGCGTGCGGCGCGGGGCTGTTTTCGGATGGATACATCAACAACGTGTGTTTACCACATCATCGTCCTCATCATCAGATGAAACTGCTCGTCCGAACTCGACGTCGGATTTGGTGCATTTTGTTTCGTCTAAGAAAGGCATGTTGACATGTATGTGATTGTAGGTAATCGGCTCGGTCGTCACGATTCTAGCAATCCAGTACGGTGATACGTGGAAAACGTCAAATGCCAAAAACTACCTGAGCGACATCGCCTTTGCGGGCACAGTTGTCGGGCAGCTTGCTTTTGGGTATTTGTAAGTGTCTCTCGCGGCTGGTGGCGTCGTATGGGCAGATAAGCTAACTAGTATCCTCAGGTCCGACAAGTGGTCGCGCATGAACTCACTTATCTTGTCTACCGTCATTTTGCTTATATTTACTGCGCTTACCGCTGGGTCGTACTACCATGGCGATGCGGTCGGGATGTTCAACATCTTGACTGCCTGGCGATTTTTCGTAAGTGATAAGATGCCGCGTCTTCTGTTCGGTGCCCTTCACAAAGAGAAACTCGGGCTAACAACTTGTTAGGTTGGCATTGGTATTGGCGGTGAATACCCGGCGGGTAGCGTGGGAGCTGCCGAGTCGACGAGCGAGCTCAAGTCCGGGACGCGGAACATGTGGTTCATCCTCTTCACCAACACCATGATCGACTGGGTGAGTGCCCATTGCCGTCCTAAAATCCAGCCCAAGCATGGGTCTAACGCACTAAACAGGGTTTCGTTTTCGGTGCTTTCGTCCCCTACGTTGTCGCCGCGGCCTGCCAAAACGGACATTTGAGCACCATCTGGCGTACCAGTCTCGGTATCGGTGCCGTCTTCCCCGCGTTCCTCCTCATCATGCGCTTCTTCGTCAAGGAGCCGGAGGAGTTCCGCAAGAACTCGATGAAGCACGCCAAGACCCCTTACCTTCTCGTGCTCCGCTTCTATGGCTTCCGCCTGTTCATCGTCAGCTTGATCTGGTTTATCTACGATGTAAGTCCGCGGCAACATTTCTGTAACTTGTGACGGGGCAGAACTTCACAAAGACATAACACTAACGTCGGCAGTTCTCCTCCTACTCCTTCGGCATCTACTCCTCCACGATCCTCGCCAACATCTTCGACTCCTCCACGGCACCCCTAACCACCGTCTTCGGCTGGAACACCGTCCTCAACCTCTTCTACATCCCCGGCACGGCTCTCGGCGCCCCCGTCTCCGACCTCCTCGGCCCGCGCTACGCCCTCGCCCTCGGCGTCACCCTGCAATCCATCGTCGGCTTCATCATGGCCGGCTTATACCCACGCCTCGCCCGCCCCGAAATGGTCGGCGCCTTCACCACCGTCTACGGCATCTTCCTGACGCTGGGCGAGCTCGGCGCGGGGAACAACATCGGCCTGATCGCCGCCAAGACGTGTGCGACGGGTGTGCGGGGGCAGTACTACGGCATTGCCGCGGCGGTCGGGAAGATCGGTGCGTTTGTCGGGACCTGGGTGTTCCCCTATATCGTGGCGGCCGGTGGTGATTCCGAGACGTTGTCGGCGCAGTACCCGTTCTGGGTATCTAGCAGTTTGTGCGTGTTGAGTGCTCTCCTCGTGGTCTTTGGGCTGCCGCATATTGGCCAGGACACGATTGCTGAGGAGGACATCAAGTTCCGGGCGTACTTGGAGGAGCATGGGTATGATACGCGCCAGTTGGGGCTCAAGAGTGGAGAGAGCTTGGAGAGTGTTGGGGTTGTTGAGGAGGATGAGGTCAAGAAGGAAACCTCTAAGTAATAGGGGTGTGACGACAGACAGACTAGGAGGTTGGATTCTGGGTGTTGGATTGGGGTTGGAGTTTTGGATATCAGTAATGACATAACATCAGGGGGCGCTGTGCTTAAACCGGATGATAACTGACAAGGAGGTAGATACCCAATGGATTACATACATTATATTTGTAAATTCTAGACCGTACTTGCGGTATCACGGCGCTTGCGAGTTGACTATTCCTCGACCTTCGAGACGAAAGATAATTATATGTTGGTCAATAAGCTAGGCTTTATGTTTCATTATATTATAGATGCAAACCGCACCTCGTTTATTCTCTGCTGTCCCGTTCAAGGCAGATGTCGCTGGCAGATGTGGCAGTTTGTTTCCTATCCAATCCTGCCAGTCAATCAAGCTCCACTTGCTCCAATGCCTCGCGTACAAATACATCCTCCTCTTCTTCCTTCCCATTGACACTATCTTCCCATTCCCCATCCGCACTCCGCTCATCCCCTTCACTCTCCGTTTCCGGTGGCGTCTCTATCCCACCTCTCCGCTGCCCATGACCACCCAAATTCCTCTTCAGCATACACATCTCCACTGTGATCCCTGGGCCAAACGCACACCCAACCACCATCTCCTTCGGCCCCTTTACCTCCGCCAAAGCATCCATATCCTTCTGTCGCAGCCGGTCTAGCACACTTATGATGGTCGCCGAAGAGCTGTTGCCGTGGTTGATGTAGGTGTCATAACTGGCGCGCAAGTGCGCCGACGATAGGCCTAAAACGCGTTCGGCGCCGGTGAGGATGGTGGCGCCGCCCGGGTGGAGGGCCCAGTCGAAGTCGGTTGGGTCGGGGTGTGCTTTTGCTGCTGCTGCTGTGAGGGATGGAGCAAGGGAGGAAAGCAGGGCGGAGAAGGTGGGCGCCAGCACGGATTCGGCAATTTGGGGCACGCGTGGGGAGAGCACGACTTTCCAGCCGACCGGATCGATGTCGAAGCCTAGGTCAGTTGTGGTGGATGGGATGGTATGGTGGTGCCAGCCGAGGAGGGAGTAGATGGGTGGGACAGGGAAAGCCACTGTGGGAGAAGGGAAGGGGATATTATTGGAAAGAAGCAAGGCGCCTCCGCAGTCGCTGAAAAGGGCGATGCCGATGCGTGTTTCCTGCGAGGTGTGGATGGACTCGAGCTCGCTGCGTCCCATGGTTGTGCTGATTTCCAGCGCGACGACCAGAATGCGAGCGGGTTTACCGCGTGCCGTATGGCCGAGGCACAAGTTGGCAGCGGTACGGAGCGCTGCAAGGCCGCCACTGCATCCAACGCCGTGGAGGAGTACTTTTTCGGTGTTCGGGCTCAACCCGAGTTCCTGTGCAACGAAATGGTCGTAGCCCGGGTTGGCCGAGTTGGTGCATGTCGTCGACACCATATGGGTAACCTGATCTGGATTCACACGAGCTTCAGCTAGGGCTTTTCGGGCTGCGCTGATGGCAAGCGGGACGCCGTCCTTCATGAAGACCTTGCTAGACTCGGCGATGGTCGGCGGGTCCGGTTGGTTCATGATCGGGTGGTCATGGGTTCCAATAGAGGAGCGGAATTCGATGCCGCTGCATCGGTTGATGGAGAGTACTTTGTTCATTCTGATTTCTTAGTGTTAGTTGCTGATTCCCAAGCAACAAAAGAAGACGAAACCAGGAAACGAGAGAGCTGGACTTACGCGGGCGACTCTGGGTAGAACCGCTTGCTTAACACCTCGATCGAATCCGGCTTGAGGCTGTGAGGCGGGTATTGGGTCCCCAGTCCCAAGATGGAGAGGTTGAGGTCGTCCATATTCGTCCGTATCGCCATTGTGCCAATTCTCTGATGTTTGTTGCCTAGTGATGCTGTTGTTTTGCTTCAGCAGTCCTTCTTTCAGGACGGGAACACCAGTGGTATTAATTCGGTCGTTCTCCAACGAACTAGCAACAATATGATCGATTGAGTCGATTGCTGTCGAGCCAAAGCGAATAAACCGGAAAGTAGGCCTGGAGATGCGCACTCGAATGCCTCAGCCGTGACTGTGACGAATCTATAGGTTAATTGGCAGGAACAACTGGCCGAAACAGCAAGAGCGGCGGGGAGAAAACAAATATGGCAGGAAGGGGAAGACAAGAGAGCCATTGCCAAAAGCAGCACAGTCCCCTAGATTTATAAAGGGCAAAAAATGGTGGCCCGAGGGAATGGTTCGATAAGAGCTGAACCTTACACGCACACGCACGTATGCACACGTGTGCCATTTTGTACATAGTACCGCCCTGCGGGCAATGATGCGGGATAAATATCACATTTAGCATCCATGCAGAGGAATCTTGTTTTTTACATCTTTCAAAAAAGCCCTAAGGTTGCTCTGCTGCTGAGCTTGTGAGCTGATTCTAGCCGATGTGATTCAAGGAACAGCCTTATACCATGAGCGTTACGGGCAGGCGGCCGCAGATGATGTCAAAGTGACTCAGGTATAGCTTTCCATAGTCTTGTGAAACAGAAAATTACAAGAGCTAATGGAAGGAACACAGAATTCATGGGCGGAAGCCATGCTCGGGGACCTTTCTTACATACGCTCTTCCCCCCCCAGCCCGATCGCCATCCCGGCCAAGTAGGGCGGAACGGCTCCGTTTCGGATCCGGGCCGGATGTTGACGGCATCCTGTTAGCCCTCAGAGAGACATGAGGATATAAGAGAGGAAGATTTTCATAGAAGTCGCCTCTCGGACTTTCTCGCTGTGTAAGTTATCTCGATAACTAACAGAATAGAATACCTATCTGCATTCTGCCACAGGGCGAGTTCCTCACACCATCCATAAAGAGTAACGTGTTCGCTTTTTAGGGCCGAGATGTCGTGCCTGGTTTCTAGGAATTTGTTGCCGTTCCTTAAAAGAGGGGAGGGAGGTACGGTATGCATGAGTGGCATGGTAGCTTCGTGTGGTGTTGATGCTTGAGCATACGACGTCACAGCTTGCATTCCATGCCACTTTCGGCAGGGGGTATTTGGGGTTGATTCTTATGATGCAAACCCTAACCCTCTAGATACTTCAAACGCACGATGTCTGAGGCAAGATTCGTGTCATAAGAGCTGGGACCTTTGATTCACTCAATTTAGATATAACAAATATGTTCTTGAATTACATCGGCAATACAACAGCTAAGAAACGTATATAAAAGCTAACATGACTCCGAGGTATCAAAAACACCACCGACCACCACCATTTTGGCACAATTTGCCTTCCCTGCTTTCCACCCCTCAAAGCCACTCCAATCCATCACGCATATGTCGAGCAATCGCACGTATGTACGGATCCGACCCTCCGGAGTGATGATTATTTAACATGGCGCCTTACGCCGTCTTCTTCCACTGCAGGTAGACGCCGATCAGAGAGCTCAGCGTACCGGCGAGACCAACAACCCCATCGTCAAGCGCGACCCAGTTGAGCGCTGACAGCGGAACGGTCAAATCGCAGAGGTCCGAGGTCAGCTGCAGCTGGCTAGCCTTGCGTTCCCTAGAAGAGAAACGACTCGTTAGCAACAGGCATTACCCCAAACGGTGTATATGATGAAACATCACGCATAAGGGAAAACTTACAGCGCAATCCTCTTCGCCTCCAAAACACCCTCGCCCTCCTTCCGGTCAACCTTCGCCTCACGCAGCCGCAGCTGGCGCAGGGTATACAACTGCGCAATTAGACTAAAGGTAATCCCAACAGCCCAGCACCGATACGCCTGCTGCTGCAAGTTCTTCGCGCGGGGACTCTTCTTAATCCCCGTCGCATCCAGCACCGTGCCCAAATCAAACGTCAGATAACCCGCATAACCCAACTGGCGACCGACAGCCGTGTACCGCAGTACGGGGTCCAGGGTCTTGGAGTCGGCAGCGACGGAGGCGGCCTTCAGGTGCTCGATGTTCTTGCCGACGCGCAGGACCTTGCGGATGAGGCCGAACTGCTTCTTGGCGACCTCCCAGGGGGCGATGGATGTTTGGGGGCGGTTGGTGCGCAACAGGTACCAGGCGTAGAAGCGCGCGAAGTATTGGATCGTGCGCAGGAGCTTGTCGCGGCCGACGGTGGTGGCGACGAACTTGAGGTAGTGCGATACCGCGGGGTGGTAGACGAGTGTGTCGGCGACCATTTTGGGATGGAGTTTCGGAGTTGGACGGGGGTTTTGAGTCGGAGAAGGCGACGGCGATCTGTTGCGTTTGGTCTGGGACTTGGTCCTTTCGAATGCTATTGTTGTTTGGTCCCGTTTGTGTTGCTGTGAGAGAGTTGGGGGGAAGTTGTTGAGACGGCGGTTTGCGTGACACGAGGTCGGAGATGGCAAAAAGTTGGAGATGGGCCGTTCCAGGGGAAAATGGGTCGGGATGAGACAAAGTCGCGCGATGCCGTCAATTCAGTGAGCACATGCCGAGGTTGCGCCTGCACTTGCGCCCGCACTTGGCGCACTTCGGAGCCGAATCCCCATGCAGGGAAGACCAGCATGACAGGGGGAAAGGGAGCGGGGCGCGTTTCGGCTCGTCATTTCAACGGCTGTGCTCTCGTGTCAGAATGATTGACGTAAGGGTTAGGGTTAGTTCTCTTGGTTACTGCAATATAATCGGTTCGTGGACGTGGAAAATTTGACATGTTCAAGAAAATAGAACTAGTTGCACAGAGATAAAGAAATATATATCCCCCATATAACCCAAAACAGAACGTCTACGCTAGTACATACACCCTACAGCTTCGACGACGGGGCAAACAGCCCGGTCCTCTCGGTCAACGTCTGCTCCGCCTCCTTCTCAATCCTCGCCACCAGATCCTTACACGTCGGAATATCCTGAATCAACCCAATCACCTGGCCAGCCGTCCAGACGCCATGCTCCGGATCACCATTGATAAACACCTCACGGCCGCGCTTCCCACTGACATAAGGCATAACCTCAGAGAACTCGCCCGTCTTAGTCTCAGTCTCGATCTTGAGCGCCTGCTCAGTGACCTTGTTGCGGTACAGGCGGGTGGTGTTGCGCCAGCGGCGCAGCAGAAGCGCCGTGTCGGTCTCTTGCGCCTTGACTATCTGCTCCTTGATGTTGTGGTGGACGGGGCTCTCGACCGTGCATAGGAAGCGTGTGCCCATGTTGATGCCACAGGCGCCTAGGCAAAGGGCTGCCGCGAGACCCTGGCCGTCGGCGAAACCGCCCGAGGCGATGAAGGGCACGTTGAGGGTCTGCCGGGCCCGGCTGAGAAGGATGAAGTTGGTGATGTCCGACTCGCCGACGTGGCTGTGTCATGGTTAATATCATGATGGGAGTTGGGTTAGGGGGCGGTTCCGGTCGCTTACCCAGCGCACTCAAACCCGTCAATGCTCAAGAAATCGACACCAAGCTTCACCGCCGACTGGGCATGCCTGATGGTAGTGCACTTGTGCAGCACGATGCAACCGGCCTTCTTGAGCTTCGAAATCACCGGCCCCGGCGAGTTCCCCGCAGTCTCGACAATCCGGATGCCCTCATCGATGACGACCTGGGCGTACGCCTCGTAGTCTGGCGGCACAAACGCCGGCAGCAGGGTGATGTTGACGCCGAACGGCTTGCTTGTCAGTTTCCGGCACTTCCGGATCTCCTGGCGCAGGCCCTCGGGCTCGGGCCAGATGAGCGCGGTAATGATACCCAGGCCGCCAGCGTTGGACACGGCGCTGGCCATCTCAGCTGTCCCGACATGTTGCATGCCACCTTGGACGACGGGGACTTTGGTTTGAGCCGTGGTGTTAATGTAGTTCAAACTGTGACATCGCAGAATGCGGGCGATGACGTACCTGCAATGCCGAGGCGGCGGGTCAATTCGGTGTTGAAAGGCATCTCGACGGGTGAGTTGACCGAGCCGGCCGTCACAAGCTATTGAGGATAGCGAAGTGTACTGTTTTGGAATTCTCGATTTCCAGTGATCGACTCGTCTTTGTATGTTCCGGTGGTGGATCGTTCAACGTGAGATGATTCCAAATCGAGCAAAGGAGGAAAACCCAGAACTGGGAACTCTCCGTCTCATGGGATGGATAGTGTTTGTTCTCAATGAGGCGCGGCGAGGAGGTTCCCTCGGCCGGCGCCAGGGGTCGAATGAAGGACATTGGCCGAGCGTCCGGGTTTGGGGTGAGCCGAGGCTCCTCGGTGGAGTGTGGAGCAGTGTCAGCGTTATCCCCGAAACGGAGAACAGGGGTCATGCGGAGCCGGCACGTGCCTCAAGGAACCGTATTTTACGCATCGATACGTTATTGCGGACTCCCTGGGTAACATACGTTTCCTTGTGCAACCGGAACCCGTTGCTCATCCATTCTTCACAATCCATCAAACTTCTTCAACATACCGGTCTAATGATTCCTACTCATTCGTTTCTTGAAGCGAACAATTGGGGATCGCTAAGAATGGGGGCTCTGTGGATTTGAATCGATTATCCAATTTGCCTCGGCCTCATTCCCTTGAAGCATCTGTACGAACATGAACGGCACACACGAAATCTAGGTAGCCTTCAGCTTTCTGCCGCCCGTTTTGCAATCACCGCCTCAAACTCCTTCAAAAACAACCACCGCGTCGAAGAGCTCAAACCCCGTTCCCGCCAGTCGTTCACCTTCTCCGGGAAAAGAGGCATTCGATCCCGCAGAGTGTGGTCGTGGGCAATGACAATAAACACCTCATCCGACGCATCTAATTCCTGGAGCTTCCCCACCGTATCCATGGACTGTTCATGATCCAGGAAATATGGTCCCTTGGCAACATCGAAGAAGGACCTGTCAGGCTGTCCCGTCTTTGTCAGGCTGGCGAGGAGCTCGCCGGGACAGGGACATGGCGTTGTCTGCGTCGTTTGTGCCCGAGTCTCCAACCCCTGAAGCGACGGGCCATCACGGGGCAGCGGTAGATACGCCGTGGGCCGGAGCACACCGATGTGATGGCAACTATCGGCGCCCATGAGTACGAAAGACGGGGGGTCAGCCGTGGTGCGCGCCAGGCCGCACATGTGGCCGACTGCGTGGCCGGGCGCGTCAAGGAGGTAGAATGAGCCGTCGCCGAAGTAGTCGAAGGCGTCGAAGCGGCCGATGCGGACGTGCCCTTTTTCTCCTGCTTGAAAGGAGATCTCTTGGATGGGCCGGCCTCCCGCGATATCTGAGTCGAGCATCATTGATTCCGGGTTAGTGGGGTAGCCCGGCCAGGATGCGGCGCGCACCCCCGGGCCGAGGACGAGTGGTGTCGTGGGCGGGAAGGTTGACGGGTCGCCGGTGTGGTCGAAGTGGTTGTGCGACCAGACTATGGCCTCGACATCGCGGGGACGAATCCCGAGTTCGGGCCCGGAACCACCACCCTTCTCATGTCTTTCCGCATCCTCGTTGAGCAGCGTCGCGATGTCACTGCCGCGCGTTATCATCGCAGCCTCACGCACCAGAGAGACCAATTTCGGCGCGGAGTTCTCCCAGTCTTGTCTCACGCCCAGATCGAAGACCACATGGCGGTCGCCGTGGGAGATGAGGAAGCAGTAGGTGGGTACGTGCTGGGCCTCGAAACCGTCCAGTGCGGGCTCGTAAAATAGACCCGGTTTGAGGTGCAAAAGTGTGCCTCTAGGTGTACGAGGTACGTAACGTATGCGATGTCAGTCACCGGTTTCAAGTTAGGTAGGGCAGGTGAACGTACGCATCTAGGACTCGAACATCCACAGTGTGGGGTGAGTGTGGGATGTGTAGATCCGGGGCCACGGCCGGCTCAGTAAGGAAGTTAGATGACATGGGGACGTTGGATGGGATCGGTAGTCGCCGGTGGAAATGCAGTCTTGCGGTTTGTCGTGATGTGATAACAAAGCCGCGACAGGTCATGGAACTGGAATCTAGTGAGATATGGTAAGTTTATGTATCACCAAAAGAGGGGTTGTGGAAGTTCCCGGTTTAGCCGAACCGTTTCTACAAGTCAGCCAAGCTTCCACGGTCAGCTTATCCCAGAAAATAGTATGATACCATACGAGAGGAGAAGCAGGGGACAAATGCAAATACTTGAGTCAGTCACAAAAAAAGGGATTTAATAAGAGGGATCAAAGAGGCTAGTGGTCAATTATTATGTGGGTTTCTTGTTGGGTTTGTAAATTTCAATGCTTTACAATACCGCCCTTGATTCTCATCAGGGTAATCTACCAAACCCCGAACACTCCCTTCGTCCCTCGAATCATCCCAAGTGACCTTCTCCACGGGCACCTCAACCTCTACAACCCCTACATAACCAACGTCAACCGCCGCGCTCTTAACACTCCAGTGTCAAGGTAAATAGGGAGGCCCAAAGACGCCGATGGGGGTTTGTTGGGCATGTTGTTGGCCGCGGGATGGCATAAAAGGCGGCCTGGAAGCTGTAGTTGATGTACACTTTAGTACCCGGGGTTTAGGGGATGGAAGTTAGTAGGACAATCCATAAATTGTACTGGAAGTTTACGCTTTTACGTTTAACTTTGATTCAACTCACTTACACCTCAACTTGCCGATCAACTCCAAGCAGCTTACTCCTCCGCCCTCATCTTCGGTCGCAAATCACAACTTGGTGCCGTGAACCCTCCAGACTCTGCACAAAACGCTCTGCTTTGCATTGCCCCCGACATCTGGTATATGACCGACAGGATATCTCTTGGTGCCTTAGTCGTCCCTGATTTGCCCCTTTTGTTTTGTTTACATCCATTTTCAGTCTAGCACCGGGCGACGCACTCGCTAACCCCTTTCATCTACATAAACCAACCGCGATACCGTCTACGCCTCTATTCACCTTACCAGGCAGTATCTCCTCGACTATCTTTGAATATGGTACCCACCCTCCTTCACCCATTAGTCATTCTCAAACTATTGGCTAAAAAGGGCCACTCTACTCCAAGCCCAACAATGGTTTATGGGACCAAAGCGTCAGCTGGAATACGGAGTTAAGCGGACCTAACGCCGGCACGGCCCCGACTTGACCGGAGGCGGCCGGGTCTAACCTGGTCGGCGCAGCAATGTATCACCGCGGACATATCATATTTGCGAGGTACTCGGAGTGTCCAGATATGAGGTGCCGATTTTGGATAACCAGTTGGCTGGTTGTGTCCCCGCTAGAAGAGTAAGGGGATGAGGGGAAGGTTAGGTGTCTGCATCATCCATCACCTTTGTCATACGGTTAGGGAATTAACACATAGTTTTTGCTGTTACTCAGGTGGAAATAAATAGGGGTTAACTTCCCGAGCTTTTCTCCGCGAGGTTGCCCCTTCAACCGATACTTCAACTTCGAGTTCGACTTCAGTTCCGATTTCGTTTGTCTCAACCTTCCCGCTTCTACAAATAAAGCACCCCGTCCCAACCAACCACCCCAACTCTTACTCCCAACCACTTCCTTCGATCTCTACCAAGCATAGCCCCATCATGGCCACCGCGTTCGCCACCCCCAACCGCCCCCTCACCTGGTTCATCACAGGCTGTTCCTCAGGCTTCGGCCTAGCCCTCGCCCGCATCGTCCAAGCTAACGGACACAACCTCATCGCAACCTCCCGCAACCCGTCCCGCACCCCCGACCTCGTCGCCGAAGTCGAAAAGAACGGCGGCAAGTGGCTTGCCTTGGACGTCAACGACCAAAACTCGGCGGATGTAATCGCTAGCGTGGAGAAGGACGGTGGTGTGGATGTGCTGGTGAATAATGCGGGGTATTGTATCTACGCGCCTGGGGAGGTGTTTAGGGAGGAGGAGGTGAAGGAGTTGACGGAGACGTTGTATTTTGGGCCATTTCGGTTGATTCGCGCGGCGTTGCCGGGGATGAGGGCGAGACGGTTTGGGGTGGTGGTGAATTTTAGTAGTGGTGCGGCTATTGAGGGGAGGGATAGTATGAGTGTGTATGCGGGGGCAAAGGCGGGACTTGATGGTATGTTTTCTTTCTTCTTTAACCTTCGTTTCTGTGCTGTTCTTGTGGGTAAGGTATTTACAGCAACGCTAGGCCTCTCCCGCGTGGTCGCCAAAGAAGTGGCACCCTTCAACATCCGCCTCCTGACCGTCCAGCTGGGCACGTTCGACACCAACATGGGCAACGCCACGGTGCTAGGCGCAAACCTCCTGCCGGAGGACTACAAGGGCTCGGTGTCGGAGCAGATGATGCGTATCCTGTCAACTGGGGCGTTCAAGGGCGACGGCGACCCGGTCAAGGCTATGCAGGCCGTCTACGAGGTGGTCACGGGCCAGGGGGTGGGCGCCGGCCGCGAGGCGGAGCGATTGCTGCCGCTGGGCCGGGATTTGAAGGGCAGGCTCAAGTCGGTGCAGGAGTATTATGCGCATGCTGACGAGGTGTTTGGGGAGGTGTGTGGGAATGTTTACTTGGAGAAGTGAGAGGGTCAGTCTGGCATACGGTCGTCTGGGTGTTGGGCTTCTTCCATCCTTAAAATCCCTTACTGTGTACACATAAAGGACTGACAGCGGCGTGATGAATCCCGTTCCGTCCCCTCATCATCCGAATACATGTGTTGACTGGATGAGACCAGTGAGCGTCCTTGACGACAGGATACATATCTGGTGGTTATCTGTCGGACGTCCTTCTTTGACAACTAGTCGTCCAGGGGTGTGCTTTTCGTTCCGGTCAAGGACAAAATGGCAACATCTTCAGCTACTCCCCTCGAACTCCAACCCGGACAGCATTGACGTGAGGGCGGAGGGAAAAAATGATAGCGTTGACATTCTTGAAAACTCGGATAGGGAGGTGATGCTCGAAGAACAAGTCACGGAGTTAACGATTAAGTCCATGGGATTAAGCACCAACTGTGCAGAATACTACCCAAGCAATACGCCAACGCAAGAAGGATTATACGCGCGTAGGAATGGCCCAACCGCCCTGGCTAAGGCTGGGTACATATAATTACCGGAAAAGGGCATTATCTGGCAGACGCTGCAAGTGTCGTCCAATTCTACCCCTCAACAGAGAACCCCCACCGAAGCTCAACTCCTTTCCATGCGCTATGCAATGTCATGCAGCGCCCTGCATCATGCATGCGGGAGACCTGAGATATCTGAATCTAGGCACCCGCAGGGAACGTGTGATGTAATGGTGAGTTACGAGCGAAAACGTCGTACTGGGAGCTATTTTGTGACAGCTGAAGAAGAAGCTCCAGCCGAAGTTACCGAAGGGTTAATCTTGAGGTTCTGGAGAGCACCGTATTAATAACTGTGCCAGGTCCAATCACTTTGAGAGCAGTCGATATCTGGAGCTTCCCCCCCTTTTCCGAATATTTTAGGTCTACCTCAGCATAACGTAACGCATTGTAAGATCCCATAAGGATGTCTATCGGACACGTAAGTGGCTCATTCACCAGCTTCTACATAGCCTTCGGCGTAATTACATACGTCCCCGTCCCGGCAATTTCGACTACAAGTATACGGACGGCCGGTTTCCGGTTTCATGTCGATTCTGATGACACCTACAAACATACACTAAGAGAGAGATATTCGAGATAAATTTGACTAACTATACTATGAAAGAAGGGAGACGAAAGTGAAAGCTGCTTTCAGCACGATCCTCAAAATGTAGTTAAGAGATTACAAAACCCGCTGCTGAACTTTCAGCACAAATGAGGCTCTCGTGAGGCTGTACTATGTAGCCATTCACTGGCGTCTTCACCCTACTCGCGCGCTCAAACAACGGGTGTGAATGACTTCCAGACTCACCATATTCTAGATTGACTCACCTCATGCGCGTCACATTTGCGCTCCAGCTCCAACTACCAGGACAGGACGTGAACGAAGGCGTCTCCCGTGTACCGCCTGCAGCCATTCACCGCCATCCTCAGAATTAATTAGCGCCAGGCATCAAAGGCGGACTGAGATGAGCCGAGACCTTTTTTTGCCCTGGTCCTTGATATCCCCTACTTCCTTTCCACCGCTGACTTCCGGCGGTGAAGGTAAGGGTGAAGGTGAGGAAGGCCCAACTCCGATTCCGATCGCCTTCCAGTTCTCCCACGGTCGGGCCGCACACGAGTTCTCATGGGACCGGGCCGAGGCGCGCCGCAGGCTTGACCTGTGGGTACATGAGCGGTGGAAACACGAAAGGCGCTCGTAGCAACCGCGGGTTTGGCCGTGGACTGAGTTGGGGAATGGAGGAGCCGATATCATCGGAAACGGGTCCCAAGGCGGCGCAACGGGCTCATAGGTTGTCGATTATCGACTATTCAGCCGCCGGGATAAGGAATGGCTAACAAAGGTGTTCAGGCGATGAAGTATGATTTTTTTACGACGTAAACGATCAAGGGTCAGTTTTTTTATCTCTTATAACGTTATCCATTAATTATCCTGTCCCAATATACTTTTATGCACTTGTTCCAGATGTCCCGGCGTGTCATAATTTGATGGATGAAAACGCCGTCCTGATTCTTCGCAATGTGATTCAGCCTACGAAATCCAAGTATTTTAACCAGCTGATAGACGACTACATCTCTCTCGTGATGTTCAGCTGAACGAAGCGGTCCGACACATCCTGCTGTTAATCAACATATGTTTCCATTTTTGATTGCCCATTAGCTTCAAATTACAACAAGTGAGACCCGGGATATGTGGGGCGTGTTTGTGTGAAGATACAAAATAAAGTTGCAATAGCGATTCATCCGTGTTCAATGTTGGTTGATGTTGAGTTCCAAAGCTTTTTGAATAATTAGTTAATCAAGGTCAATGAATTACGCTACGTTAAGAAATCGTATTGTAATTACACAATACCTAGTGAATGTTTAATTATTAGACATTTTTTGTAAGTTTGCGTAAGTTACGGTAATGATGCCTCATTGGTCGTGCTTGCTGTGTCATGAATTTCTTGTTTATTCTGGACTAATGAGGCAAAAGCATCCTGGCACCCTGCACACAATCAACATGAACAACTAACTTCAGGTCGCCTCCCTTTCCCAGATCAAAGTACATCGCTTTTTCGATACAAAAACAGGTTTCTACCACTCTCAATGCAGCCATAGTTTCACACCCACAACGACATACGAGTCAACAAGTTATTGCTGCAGTATGCCCAGATTCCATGTGTGGACAGTGGGATCGTTCAAACAATCAGCATGTTTTTCAGTGTTGGACACCAGCCACGGCCCAGCCGTTATGTTTTCCTTGACATGGCATCCTGGCAGTGGCGCTTGGTGGTTTCAGATTGGCACTGCAGTCGATAAACAGCCCATCGCTGTCTCCTCTCGGCGACGGTCGTTCTGACACATCTCCAGTTTGACACGTTAAACACTCTCGTACGAAGGCAGCTGATGGCGCAACCGCCGCGGATGCGAGCTTGCTTGCGAACCAAGCTATTCTTTACGCAGCACACGACGGGACACAGCAGGCGCCGCAACGCTTTGAGACGCCAACACCCGCCATGATGTGGCGCCGAAAATCCTTTTCATTAAGCAAGAATCACGTTCGCCCTAGTCCGGCTCCCGTACCCTATCGATCTGTGTGGCCCTTGCCAGGTCCGCTTTGGTCCAGTCGGTTGCACACCTCACTCCCCGCGGCAGGCGGTTCTTGGGCCGATGTCGACAAGCCGCGTGTCACCCGTGCCTCGGCTTCGGCTTCGGCAGGCCGATCGAACAACGTGAAGCTTGGGCCGCGTGTTTGACTGCCGAGAAGCAGCTCTGGCCATGGCTAGGGCGGGCCGGTTCCATGGTTATCCTGCTTCCGGCTTGACGTGGCCGGTGTCACTTGAATCAAGGATGATTGTTCCTCCCACTGCAACACACAGAAAGCTTCAGGAGCCACTCAATGACTCCTTCCGGGCTCTCTGTTACAGCAGCTATTCTGCTCAAGCGACACGGTTTCTAGTCCATAGGCGAGTTTCGACCGACCTAACGCGGTTCCATACGGAAATTCAGACTTTCTGTTTGGGCCACTAATTATCCAACCAGGACCAAACCGCATTTCCCACCCATCAACGTTGGTGGTGCCGATAAGAGTTTTCAGGTGTGCCTCATCACTGCACAACATATCAACGCTTGCAACCACCATTCGCTGATCCACGGCGATGGAAGCTCCCAGCCGCATGGTACCCCCTATCAGGGACGTTTGCGCTTCGGCATACGCGAACCGCCCTGGCAGTGTGCAAGTTCAGGGGCGGGATGCCCTTCTGATTGACCGATAACTACTCCGTACGTGTACGAGGCTCCTTGGACCCAAAGAGGCGGCGAAAATGTGCAAGAATCCAAAAGGCATTTTCCTTAGCATCCGGTAAATCCGGGGGGTCTATCCGGGCTATTTATGCTAGTTGATATGACCAAAACGGGACGCAACTTACGGAAAACACCGAGTCTGAGAACCAGCCACCTGCCAGCAACTCTTCCATTTTGAGCATTATCGGATACACATTCGCTTCGTTGATACCCTTTTGGACACCCCCAGCGGATACGAAACGCAGCCACGTTTCCCTGCCGCATCAGGAGCTTCGGTGGTCGCCCGATTCGCTCATTCTCAACTGGTTTGTCGCAAGCTTCGTCATAATCATGCTCGACCGGTTTAGGATTTTGACATCGGCTGCCTTTGACGGTGACAACACAGACGAAACTCGGCCGTCTTGGCACCCGAACGACAGGGAATTTCTGCCCAGCCCGCACATGATCTTTGTTGTGCAATCCTTTGGCTCTTGTTTCTTCCCACGCAGCTGGTGTTGGCAGATCCAGCCCCAGTTTCCTCGCGCCAGTTCACCCCTGATCCCTTGCTTCCCGCTGGCATTAGTTCGTTTTGGGTGGTCTGGCAGTCACCCAGGTGGGTTGACAACACACCAGCCCCCCAGTGACAGCCGCCGAAAATCTTACACCCCTGTCCCGCTGGTGTCGGCTGGCTGGTTGTGCATCGTTTTTGCTTTTTGCTTTTTCTGCACACTTTGTCTGAACGTCGGCCCATCAACTGGGTGAGACGCAGCGCTGGGACACCAATTCCCGGGAGGACGGCGCTCAGTTGGGACATTCGGGAGCCACCCTGCACCCACACTGCTTGCGTTGACGAATCCCAACCTTGGAAGTCTGGAATACAGATCCGGATGTCAACACCAGCAACATCCACACAACGGGCACTCGACGCCATCTTGTTGTTTGACACCAAACAGGCAGACACGCTCTCGCCGGTGTCATGGCTGGCCCAGGCCCCAGTGCTTGATTCAACCATGGACCCAGTTGCACCATGTCCTCTGAGAGACAAGTGACTTGGCGCACTCGTGGGAAGTGCAGGGGCCAAAAAGCAACGAGAACGGTGAAGGAGATCAGAAAAGAAACTCTTTTCAATCCACCGCCTTCAATGGAGACAAGTTGTCGCATGGCGAGCCAACCCACCAATCCTGGGCCAGAGAGGCCGTCGAATTTGTCCAAGTCGGGTGAAATTGTCGAAACTTCTTTTTTGTTTACCCAGCGGTTTACTTGCCCATTCCTATCGCCCGGCTCATGATTTCATCCGTTGACGCCTCGAACACGGAGAGAGTTCCTTTGCATCGTTGTTTTTCGTCTTGTCCGCCCCGTTCCCGGCCACGATGCATCATCCCGTTTCCCGCCCGTGATCTCCCTGTTACTCGTCCTGTGCCTTTGCGAACAAACAAATCCCCACCGGGAAAGGAACAAAACAGTAAACGGCAAGGGGGCTGCACCTTAATTAAGCACAGCGGACTCTTCGAATCCCTTTCGGCCACATCAGCCCGCCCCTACACCGTCTTAGATCCCAGTAACACCCGCCAGCGCGGGCAGTCCCGGGAGTATAAAGCTTGTCAAACGCCGTCATCGCATGATCTGTTCCCTTGAGTCAACCAAATACCACAATCGTCACAAGATCAATTCCTCGCTGAAGCTCGAAAACCAATTACTCTGCCATCTCACCATCCGTCGGTACCGTGTTAATACCACCAAGCAGCCCCTACCTCCAACCCCAGACAGCCTACGTTCTCCGTTTCGTCTATCTCACTTTTATATCAACACAATGGCCAACCCAAACTGGCAAACCAAGCTGCAGGGTACGACACCCGGGTTTCCTTTCACACCCCTAGCCCTGTTACACCGCACAACCCTGGCCACCGGGCATTTTCGCCCCTCTCAGCTACTACCATGGGAAGCCAAACAACACCAATCCACTGACACACCCTGACAGATACTTGCCGCGGATACCAAATCGCCGCCCCAACCTTCCAAATTGTCTCTGACCGACGAGGTACCAAGCCCTTCCTTCCTCTTTCATGTTTCTGTCCTCCTGTCCCTGTCCCGGTAAACTCACCTCTTTCTTCACCGAAAAAGGCGGCCGCACCGCTTGGTCTAGCACCGTGACTGTCTACGGCTCAGTACACTCCGCCCGGTTTTGGTACGACGGCAAACATGTCAACAACGCCAAGGAGGACGCCGCTGAGGTTGCCCTGACGTGGCTCAGGCAGAGACCAGCTCCTTTGCCGATTACGATCCGGGCGACTCGGTAAAGCACCTGAGGGTTGTGTTGTGGGATTGTTCTTGGGGCTTTCAGGGGTTGGTGTTTTGGTGATGAACTATCAGCGCTGGATGGGCGTGGAAATGGGGAAAGGTTGATGGTGGGAGGTCGAGGACGGGGTCTACGACCGGCTGAGATCGATGGGCTTTGTCCACCTGGAGGATGCCTGGATGCAGCGGGGAGAGATGGAGTGAGAAAGGAGACCAATTGGCCGTGGATTCCCTGAGGGTGTTGCTCTCAACCCTTTGGGCACCATGTGTGCTGCTTGGTATCTTTTCCTCCGTCTTTCCCCAGCCTTGGCTGATCTACTGGGCGACGGCACATCTCTTAGTCTGTTCCTCAAACCTCCCCCATCCCCTTTTCCGACTTTCCGCCCCCTTCCTTTGCCCGCCAACGCTATCATCCTCTTGGGCCGCGTCCCCGAACACTCACGAAAACTCGAAACTGTATGCCGTTCACAACCCCCACGGCGCTCTCGGCATTTCCAACTCCGGCTCGACCGTTTCTGGGCCCCGGTCGTCACCTCAAGACCCCCTCTATTTTCACGATTCACATTTTTCGGTCTGTTGGCTGGGTAGCTTCTGTTTGTGTACGATGCCTGGACACCTCGTTCTTCCTCTCCCCTGGACTCTTCCGGTTTCTCTCAACATCGGTATTCTCGATTTTTCGGTTCGACAGATTTTTCAGGTTTCCTCTTTTATTCTTCTTTTCTTTTCCAGATTGAGACCCATTTTGGATAAGGCCGTGCCACACGGCTAGGTTTCGCGGAGGATATTTCTTTTATTATCATCTTTTCCCCACCTTTTTCTCTCTTTGGAACCCTTCTTTTACTTGGCGGCAATCATTCATGGGCATCATCACACCTGCGAGGGCATCATTTCATGGGAAAGGCAATTTCTACGTTGGGTCAGGTCTTTTTTCGCTAATTTTTCTCGTGCCCTAACTCTGGCGTTGGCCAGGGCCAGCAAGAGGAGGAATCTCGCGCATGACGAGTTCGGTATCCCCTCGGTAGTCCTTCTTGGCCGCAGCGGGTTTGTTTGGTTTGGTCGGCGAATCAGGGGAACTTGGGGTGCTTGGTGCTTTGACGGCTAGCCAGGGGTCGCGCCCACGAGGCGGTCTACCTCTCTGGTGAATTGGTCTGGTGACCATGCGCTGTCAAGTACTCGCCCCCATGAACTCTTCTCCTCAGGAACCGCCTATCGACAAACGCCTAGCAGCTCGGGATGGAGACGTGGGGTTTCTGGAATTGCGGATTTCAAAAGTGCTTTCAGGGTCTCTACACTTCGGTATCGCATTGGCTGGCTGGTTGGGCTCTAGATTGGATCGGCTCTTTGGATGGTACACCTGTTCGTCATCTCCTATTTTCCTTAATTTGCAGATTGTTTAGACAGGCAAACAATGCATTCTGGTAACTATTCCCACCGATTTCCCCGCTGTTTACATTGACAGTGACTTGGAAGATTCGACGGCACAACCATGATCTGCCGAATCAAAAACTAGTGTCCTAGATTCTCGAACGCGATGGACGCTATCAGGGTGGGTACCTCACGGGACCCGTCCCTCTTCCATCGCGTCCAGGGACCAGGCCGCCTAGGCTCACCGCTGGGAGGGGAAACCGGCCAGCAGCAAGAAGGGAAGCAGTAGCTCACTCACTTTTCACCTACCTACACTAGGTATGTTGCCCCACGTCGCGGCAGTCTACACGCCTAGCTCACATCCGTCGGCCGCTAGGAAGAGAGCGAGAGGGGGGGAGGGGGGTTGTTGCGGGAGGCGGCTAGGGGCTGGGGGCCTTAGCGGTGGTAGGCCGACTCTCTGTCCACGTCAGGGCAACGCGCAAACGCCTGCGTGGTTCTGTGGACGGACAGGCCATGTGCGAGGGGTGGAGAGGGCCTAGTGAAGTTGTGGGACGGCCTGGACGGTCCAGACAGCGGGCAGCAGCACTTCCATTTGTCCCCGTGACCCTGTGTTTACTGAGTTAACTGCAGCGGGATTGGCGGGATTGGGGTTTGAGGCTCGGATCTGGGACTTTGAGGGGTGGGGGTTATGCAATGTGGGATGATTCGGATCCGCCGAAGAGGGAATTGGCCTTCCGATTTGTTTTGTTTTGAGGAGGATATGGGTGAGAATTTGGGGTTTTCTTGCGATGAGGTGAGGTCGAGGGAACTTGAGCCCTGGTTTTAGCGGGGTATTGAGTGCGGGTACTGTAGCGGTGTGAGTGGGGTTGCCCGTCTGGGAAGGCAAGTGGGGGGGATTCTCTGGGGTTTGGGTTGTGGATTGAAGGGTTGTTACCGACATTCAGGATGACTAAATGGTTAACGGAAATCAAATTGAGAAGATCAAGAGGAAGTGGATTTCGGGACATGAGAATATTGAAATTGAATTCAAGGCGAGTGTGTGTCTGACCCGGCAGTTCCCTTGATGTGGCTTGATTTACCTGCGAGATCGAGCATGTGGCAGGCCGGGTGGGGCGCCAGGGGGTCATCGGAAGCCGGGTAAACTTCGGCCGTCGCCCAATTTTTCGAGAAACACCTCCTTTGCATGCGGCATCACGAAATCGCTCCGGGGGGTCAGTCATTGATTCCGCCACACCACAACCATGCCACCACGATTGAACTTCTGGTCGGCCTGCCGAGCACTTACGACGAGAACCCACACCTTTGCCCCGAGGTTACTAGTCCGACCGGCAACGCAGACGAGGGGATGGGCTGACAAGGCGACATCGGGATTTCCCCCCTCTGGGTCGGGCGCACCGCCCCCATTACCCCCCAACGACGCGGGCAACCAACAACCCGCCTTCACCAGCCCTGAAAACGAGGAGGCATTGACACAGTTGCGCATGATCGAATACGGTGTTACGTCTCTGGACCCCGCTGTCGATGGCCACAAGTATGGCATGCCCGACCGGTTCATCCCACCAGCGAAGCAAGTGAAGAAACGATACGATTCCGTGGTCGCCCAAGTTACGAGGTTAATGATGCAGGATGGCAAGTTGGCCAAGGCACAGAGGGTAAGGATCCATCAGGGGAGAGGAGGAGGAAGAACGCACACAACCCAGGGAATCTCTAACACAAATTCCAGGACATGGCCATGATCCTCAACTATCTCCGCACATCACCACCCCCCCGCCTCGACCCATCGAGGCCGCTCCTGCCCGGCTCCCCTCCACCGAACCATCTCCCACTCGACCCGACCCTCTATCTCACCCTCGCCATCGACTCCGTCGCACCCCTCGTCCGGATCCGGGGTTACAAGGGCATGGCTGGTGGTGGTCGGTCGTTCGATGTCCCCATGCCGCTGGAGCTGCGCCAACGGAGGAGGACAGCGTTCAAGTGGATTCTGGATGTGGCTCGCAAGAAGCAGTCGAGGGGGAGTGGTCGGACTATGTTCCCACACCGCGTGGCGGAGGAGATTGTTTCGGTGGTTGAGGGGCGGTCTTCCGTTTGGGATAAGCGTCTCCTGGCTCACAAGTTGGGAACGGCCAACCGTGCCAACTTGATCCAGGCCCAGCGGAAGAAGTTGATTTAAACGCGGGGAAGCTGACACTCCATGGGTGGTGTTGGGAGTTTCGCAGAGAGCGAGGTATGGGCCTCTGGGGCCTCTGTGTGAGGAAGGATGCTGCCAGTACGGGTGCTGTACATTATCTGTATGGGATTTGTGGTTATTCATAGTGTCTCCTAAAATTGAGACTTGGTACCCAAATTCTCCAATCTCCCAACATATACCATGTTTTGTTCAGTGAATTCAGCCATGTTTGCTGCGCCCCGTTCTACAAGGTGGCAACGAGCCGCGTCATGTTGACGGACACCCATTAACGTTAGTTTAAGCTATGTTTGCGTTTCTAATATGGGCTAGAAACTCCGATGGCAGTCAAGAGTTGCCTGATACGGGCACAATGAGTGTGTGGAGTTTCCAGGGTCGAATGTGTTTGCGCCTACCTATACAGGGAGTTGCTTTTGCGTTTTGGGGGTCGCATGAACAAATTGCAACGTCGCCACCACGTTCTTATCGCTGTGTCGACACCTGGTTCCCTCTTCTGCAAACTGAGACAGAGCGTCTAAGCAGCATAGAATATATCTAAATATGGAACGGCCACTACTGTGTAACAGAATACCTGCAGACTGATCAATACTTCTAGATTTCGTAGTGGTTGGGATCGGGTCCTAAAAAAAAAAAAAAAACAGGGAAGAGAATCCCACACGGCCGGCAAATGGATTAAACAGAACAATCCACAGGAGCTCCTTCCATGCAAGATCCACCCAGAACCCAGCAGATCTTCTCCCCCACCCCCACACGTCATTAAGCGGCTCGAGCTCTGTTCTTCTTGAAAAGCCACGAGCCCGAAACTTAAGTTTTGAGCTTAATTGGTGCCGTTTTCATGAAGCCACCCTTCTGCGCATCGACGACCAACAAATCTTTTCGTTTTCAACGCCACAAACCAGTGATATCCGAAGCAAAGCGCAAAGTTTTCTGCACCAAGCGCGGTCGCAACCGGTGTCTTGGTATCTTGGCAAAACGGGGCCAAGCTGTGATTTCTCTGAGCCACCGCATCTTGGCACCGTCCTCTTCAAATTCACAGGCGAACGACAGCTGGGCTGGGCTGATTGCCCCCGCTGCAAAGCTGAGCGAGGGCCGACCGAGAGTCAAAGCCTGCACCCGTCACCAAAATAGAATACTGCTTCAATAACCGACGGTCCCCCTCCCGTTCTCGAAATATTGACTTTCCATTCCCAAGAAAGGTAACCCCGACCATCGATTTCTTATGCGCGCGTCCCAATGAGCGGCCCCTGTACAAAGACGGCAAAGAGACCGAGACCTGCGAAGAAAGCTTGTCGGTCAATTTGGACGAGCACCGGCCTCTGTCTCGTGCTTTTGTTTCTTTCCAACGGCCGCCCGCGACGAAGGACAGCTCTTTACTAACGCGGACACAGAATCCAAGCCGAGAAGACTCCTTCCCCCGCCCTAGAGAGTCTTGACATCCTCTCACAACGACGCCCTATTCATCGATCCACCCCGTCCTGCCACCGCTCACACGCCACAACAGTCTATATTCCGGCACATACCCACTGAACTCTGCCCATCATGGCAAAGCGGCCGGCGATGTCGATGGAGGCCATGCTCGATGAGGAGCGGAAGGAGGTGCTAGCGCTTTTGGAGGGCACCACGGCCTCGCGACCCAAACCTCCAAGTCCGTTAGAGGCTCGCTCCCCATCACCCTACACGCCCCGATCCCCAGTGCGCAGCATGCTTGATATCGGTAACGATTCCCCAGCTCCTACACCCCCCCCCCCCCCCCCGCTCCACCTGTGGATTCAAATACTAAGATCGCACCCACTCGTGTAGCCCCAGTCAGGAGCATGCTTGATGTCGATAGTCCGCCGCCACAGGCTAAGCCAGTCCGCAGCATGTTGGACGTTGTTAATACCACACCAGCTGCTAAACAAGTCTTGAGCACCCCATCATCGCCAACTGATTCCAACTCTCGCACCCAGTCAGCCAGCAGCACACAGCACAGGAGCATGTCCGATGCTTCTTCGCGGCCAGCAGACTTTGGCCCTAGGCTGGGCACCAACCGAGACCTCACCAGCGAATACCAATTTTCTGGAATTATTACGAACCACGCGGGCCAGGCCCTACCTAAACGAGTAACACAGGGGGGCAAACGGACCGGCGCAGCCCAGCCCGAGCAAGGCGGCAAGCGGTCCAACGCAATGGCGGAAATCATGAGAGGCAACGACGTAACGGGCCTGATCCTCCCAGGAGACCGAGGACGCCACAACACAGCAGGCGGACTGCCAACGCGCCTCGCAAGCAAGTCGAAGTCGCCTAGTAACCGCTTGGGCATGCGGTCACACTCGCCGCGGGCCCCTCCACTCCTACGGAACATGAGCCCGGCGGGCCGAGCGGTTATCAACGATCCCGAGATTGTTGATTACAACAATGCGTACAGGCGGCTGTCTGATGCTGCACTGGCCCTCTCGCAAGGCAGCCTTTCCGAGCTAGGGAGGAAGAAGAACTCGAATTACATGACCGGAAATGGCAGGTTAGCGAAGGACTACCTTGGCCCAGACGGCGAGCTGTTAGTTGAAGATAGTAGCGAAGACAACGCTAGCTCGTCTGGGGAGGAGGACGAGCGCGGGAGGAAGGCTGCCCGGGCAGAAACCGTCGAAGCCCAGAGGGAGGCGAAGAGCTTGTTGGCGGCAGCAGAGGAAGAACGTAAGCTAAAGAATGCCGCTGTGTTTGCTTACTTGCCGCTTGCAGGACCGCTAATTTGTCAAACCAGGTATCCAAGTGGCGTCTCAACAGCCGTATAATTACCGGTCACTCTTAGATGACCCGGAAATCACTGTGACGAACCCCTCTGGCGAGCGCCTGAAACATAACAAGCCCGTCATCCACCCCACCACTAGCTTCGATGACCCACCCGGAACTGGAACGCATACGCCCATCGATTCGGATACCGAAGCCGATCTGACCGATATTAAGCGCGCCCAAAAGCTGTCGTTTGCCATGACCCAGATCATGGACACTCCCGAGGCTCACAGGACGATTCAGATCATCACCAGGGGCGAATATTCGAAGTTGGTCCAGGAGGCCGAGGAGGAGCATCGGCCCCCACGGAAATATCTGGTGGCCACAGATCTGAGCGACGAATCGACCCACGCGCTAGAATGGGCCATAGGCACGGTCCTCCGCGATGGCGACACCCTGCTGGCTATTTGCTGCCTCGATGAAGAGATGGGAATTGGCGCAGGTGACAGCGCGCAAGTGCCCGACGAACCAAAAGCCATGAAGGAACAAGCAGCCGCCATAAATACTATTACCACAAGCAAGACCCCGATCACACCAAGCGGCACCAACCTGCCGCTACACCATCAGCGCCCATGGCCTATGCTTACCCGCGTTTCGGACTCAGGCACAGGGAACAGCGTGAGTCCTGCGCCCTCAGTGAACAGGGAGCGCAGCAAGGCGGAGGAGGTCAGGTACAAGTGTGTACAGAATATCGCCGAACGAGTCACGAAGCTGCTACGCAAGACTCGGTTGCAGGTTCGGGTTGTTGTCGAGGTGTTGCATTGCAAGAGCCCAAAGCATCTTATAACGGAAGTCATTGACTTGATCAACCCCACGCTAGTGATTCTCGGGAGTAGGGGCCGGAGTGCATTGAAGGGGTAGGTTTTGCTTCTCTTGCTCCCTTTTGCCAACGCCTTTTGCGAATTGGTGGCCATTGACTAACCTTTTCAACCCCTACAGGGTGATTCTCGGGTCATTTTCCAACTATCTCGTTACTAAGAGCTCAGTTCCCGTCATGGTTGCCAGGAAACGCCTACGGAAGCAGGGCAAGTATAAGAGGGTGCCTTCGACACACCAGATCAACAACATCCACAATCCGGCTGCACGGAGCCTAGCGAGTGCCAAAATTGATTAGACATCGATATCTGGACGCATTTCGGAATGGGCATGGGGGTTGTTACGGAGGTCGTCGAAACGGGGACTCATCTAACAGGGCATGGTGGGATACAAGAGGAGTATGGTTTTTGCGGGACCGGCGAACGCAGGACTGCTTCTTTAACCTCTTCACTCTTTTTCTTTTCTATTTCCTTCGTTCGGTCGGCCGTTTTCATTTTTAGCGGGATATCTTCCTCTTCAGCTTTATTGCTTTCTTTTTCTCTCCACTCTTCATACTCGGGTTCGGTACATTGCTTTCAGGCTGGTGGTGGTGTGGCTTTGGTGTTTATTTCTTTTGTAATGCCCCCGCGAAAGGAAGCGAAGGGGAGAAGGTTAATGATGACGATAACAATGAATGCCTCTTTACATTGCAAAAACGTGAAGAGATCAAAAACCCGGTGATCTACTAGCTAGGGGACAATCCATATATCCAACGCTGGCCTGGTGGTTCTTGCATGGGGCACCGGCTTCAGCCCTAATCAAGGGGCGCGTAGTGTCAGTTTCATTCTTAGCTTGTCCACTTTCTTGAATGTCGCCAGTAGCCCATTGCTTCGCGGTTCTTTAAGTTGGTATCCAGGCTCTTATTTTTCTACCGTATTATTCTCGGCGTTTTCTCAATGCTCCCATTTCCTCATCGTATCTCGCTTCTCGGAAAACATACCATAGGATTTGGGTTTTGGATGTTGCGGAAGATGATATTTCATTTGATATGAGTGATCGAGATGAATCCAGCGAGTCGGACATGGCCCCGCACCCCCACAACGCGGGGTGGTGGGGCAGCACTCTCCAGCCACTCATTTTCTGGTGGGGCCGGGCTCGTCAGCCAGCGGCTCGCGAGGCTCTCATGGTGAACGCCCGAGGATTTCAAACAGAACAACGAAGCACATACACGCCTTAAAACGGCACCGATTAAACTGTCGAGGTGAATATTTACATATTTGGAGACTTATTTCAAAAATCCCGGCATTTATTAATTGATATCTCGATTTGTTGGCTTGCTATCGCTCGCGGGAACAGCCGTCCCCTAAAACGGTGTGAAAAGCACATTCATAAATTCAGTCCCCCGTCAATCGCAATCGCAATCACAATCATACCAACCTTGCTGCCTGACTTCTCAACCCTTTGAGCCCCCCACCCAACAGCACAAGGCGTCTCGCCGACCTGACAAACGGCCCGCACATCGTGGGCAGCTCCAAAAGAACCTCCCTTGCGGGCAACTCTCCGCAACCCCGGCCTCGGGGATGCAGTCCCTCTTCAGCGTGCACAACAACGTGTCGCTGATCAGTATTACCATTGCGCCAGGGGCCTGGATCACTTTTGTGGTTATCTTCTTGGCCTTTTGTTTCTTGTACTTGTTTTACCATCAACCTCTCCCCTCATTTTTCCGGTGGGCGGCGCGAACATTGTTCCGGCGCCGGAAGCAACGACCACAGGACCGGGACATCGCGCGGCCGATTATCGAGGAAGAGGAAGATAGCTACGAGGCTTATTCTGAGGAGGAACGACCACGGCGACGGCACATCGAACATACCCCTCAACCGCCTCTCCTCACGGACTACTCTTACCGCTTTGATAACGACGTTTACGAGTACAGCAGCCACGGTGAGCTGGAAAGTAAGGGGAAAGAAAAAGTGAGCCGCAAGGAACAACTACGGGCTAGCGAGAAACGGGCCAGCGCGAGCGGCAGCAGCAGCACTAGCAAGAGCAAAAGCGGGAAGAAAACGAGCTCCTCGAAAGAGAACGGAAGTGGACGAAGCGGGGGGAAACGAACGACCAGCTACTCGAGCGGCTCAACCAGCCGTCACCACGACCGCCATGGCAGCGGTGCCGACAACGACGACAGCGCTCGACCCGCTCGACGCGTCACTGGAAGATCTCGGGCCATCGAATGGCAACCCCAATCTGCCGCCGCCGAGTCGAACGCCGTTCGAGTACCCGTCGGCGCACTCGGGGTTCCAGAGCGAAGGGCTGAGCGAGACGGACGGGACGGACGATTCCGATTCGGAAGCTTCCGCTGGTGGCTACAGCCCGCCAGCATGGAGGCGCCTCGGCAACGGCGATCGCAGCAGCGGCTTCTGGCGGAAAGATGATGATGATCTTGCTAGGTTGTATGATCTCGACCATCCGGCGCTGTATGAGAAGCTGGAGAGAGAGAGTAGCCGGACTTATGAAAGCGCTGATGATGGGGACGCCATTCTTGCCCAGGCCATCAGGACGAGGTTGCCGTCGGGCAGCGTCTCGCCGGAGAAGGAAAGGAGTCCAGAACCTGAGTTTTATCCGGCGCAGCAGCATTTCATTGACGACGTGGTCCATATCAAACGGGAGCATGACGGCGCGCTTGCGCTGGGTCAGGTAAATGAGAAAGGCATAGAACCGGAATCAAAGGGTGCGACGGACAACTGTATGCACGCCTGTTTTCCTTGTGTTTCCCTTGCATTGTCCCACGATAGGAGACTAATAAGCACCACCATACTAGTCATCCGCTTTGCCGTCCACGCAGAAGTCCAACACCGAACAGAGCCGATCGAGATGGCCATCAGTTTTATTCGCAGTCGATTCCGGGCGGCGACGAGATCGTGGGCCTCGATATTCTTATCGTCGGTGATTGCTATTTTCTCATACGCAGCATTACGATGGATATCCCAGCCCGCGGCAATGCGCCCTGTCCCGGATCTTGTCAAAGTCGCGGGTGTAGCTCGCTCGTTAGAACCGCTGATTTACTATTCGGAAAGTGGTATTCAGCAGGTCAGCGAGTTGCAGGCGACTGGTGTCGCTGTGTGGGATCTTGGCGAAAGCGTGCGAAGCAGCAACCTGACCTCGGCCCCTATTATTGTGATGGAGCTCGACGAGCTGGGTGATAGCTTAAAGACGCTGGCTGTGGAACTCACCAAATTCTTCGCCAACGTAGATGGTGATATTGACGCGTATGGACTATTAGCCCTCCTTAAACCACCCCCTAAACCCTGTTGAATACTACTGACAAGCACTTCTTAACTCAACAGTATTCTCATCGTAATGGACTGGGCCCGCCGCGAGCTGCACCAAGTCCAACACCTCCCGACCCTCCCCCTCTCCTCCGCCTTCGACAACATCCACAACCTCCTCTCCAACGTCGGCCTCCTCGAAGACCCCCACACAGGGCAATCCACCCGTCTCGGCGCCCTCGCCACCTCCCTCTTCGGCCACTCCACGCCCCAACGCACCAAACACACCGTCCAGCGCACCTTCAACGAATTCCTCACCGTCCTCGAAGACGCAGTCTCCTCCGAACTCCAACACTCCCTCGCCCTCTTCGCCCTCTTCGAAGCCATCGACCACCAGTTCCTCAACCTCGCCCGCACCGTCACCCGCGAAGCCTCCCTCCAAGACGACGCCCACGATGACTTGCTCTCGTCTCTCTGGTCCCGTATCCTCGGCGCCAAAGCCTCCGAAGTCGCCAAGTACGAACGCAACCGCGTCCTGCTCCGGGATGTGCGTGAGCGTACCGTGGCGAACAAGGGCGTGCTGGTCGAGCATAACCATCGGTTGTTGGCTCTCAAGGCGAAATTGGAGTCGCTGCGTCGGAAATTGGTGTCGCCGCTCGTGCGGTCGGTTAACTCGAGTACCCTGGCGCTGGATGAGCAGATCCGTGGGTTGGAGGAGGCTGGGTCGCATTTGGAGCGGGTGAGATTGCAGCAGAAGTCGAAGTTGTTTGAGAGGGTGTATGGGGGTGGGAGTGGGAGTGCGCGGTTGCCGCCGGTTGTGGATACGGGTGATGGGAGGTGATGGAGGGGAATTTTAGGGTCTGAAGTTTATGGTAAACTGGGCTTGTGGCTGGTTAGGTCGCCGTGTTTTGGTTAGGTGGCGGGCGTACATCTGCTGGCAATGTCGATACGGGTATTGTCTTACTTCTCCTTTGGCTTGAGATGTGGTTCTACAGGGTTTTCTACGAAGGGATCTATCGCGCTGGTGCAGGGGATTTTGGGTGTGTATTTATGTTGGGTTTAGACGGACGGAGTCTGATGAACAGCGTAGCGAAGCAAACACTAGGGATAGCATCAATTAGCTATGGTCCGAGCGAAGCACCGAATAAAACACTTCGGGCAGTCCAACTTTTGAGCTCTGGGCATGCTAGCGTTTGTACGTATAATCATTGTTTCGACCCGCGAATCTCAGTCATGTTTGTTGATGTTGTTCCGACAGGTAACTTAATACTCTGTAAAGTTAGCGGGAACTTGACAGCGGAAACTTGACAGCAGAAACATACACGGTGTCGGTTCAAGGCAGCCGATGAATACACTTCCATGTCAGTTGGGTAGGGGTGTCACTTCAACGCTTGATGCAAGGCATGGCCAAAAAGAGCGCCGCATGTAGTCAGCGCATTGCAGAAGGTCAACCCATGCTGGCTAGTAGTCCTATTTCAACCATCTGCCTAGCCTAATAACATGGAATGGAAGACGGATATCGTATGACTACAATAGCTCGAGCGAGTACATCTACTCTCAAAGGAACACAGATGGAGCTAGCTGATACGGTAGGATACCCGTGGAATTCATAACCCGTCAAACGCCATGTCGGCCGATAGCATCTCCGCCCTGTCTGCAGAGACGGCCACCCAGGTCATATCCCGTTCGTTCCCCGCCCAATCATAAGCAATCCTATCAAATACATGACCATGACGTAGCAAAAATGCCATAGCAAAATGCCGTGATAATCCGTCGTCGTCCTCGATACCACCGCCGCGTATAGAAATGGGCCCGGTCCATCCGATGCCGGCCCGCCCCATGCATGCCCGCAATCATTCGCTGCACTGCACATCTCATGCTGCTGCCAAGCTGGTATCAAAACTTTTCCCGACCGACCAAACCGAAAAAAATGAACGAAAAAAAAAGCAAAACGCGCTCAGAAGGCGAGAAGCTGGGGGATAGTGATCTAAGCCTTCTCCTCAGGCTTCTCCTCCTTCGGCTTCTCAGCCTCGCCTTGAGCGACAGCTGGAGCCGGGCCTGGGCCCTGCTGAGACTTGACGTACTCGTCGTAGACAGCCATGGCCTCGTTAACCTTGGCAACCAAGGCGGACTCATCCTCGAGCCTAGTGGCAGAGTTAGTAAATACTGTGAATCCAGGACGATATCAAGGGTTAATCAACTTACAGGTTCACGAGCTCATTGTTGTCCATCTCCAACAGCATACCGGTGATTTTGCCGGCCAGCTCGGGCTGGAGGGCCTGGATCTTGGGGAAGAGGTTTTCGCCAAGAATCTGCTTTTGCTGCTGCGGGTTGTTGGTAGCAGCAAGTTGGGACTGCAGAAGAGAGCTGGCGTTAAGCTCACCAGCTCCACCAATGGGCCCAGCAGGGGGGTTACCACCACGACCTGCCGCGAAGTTGCCACCGCGTCCAGGGCCGCCACGACCGCCCTGGTTGCCGTTTTGGGGACGACCATTGGGAGGGAAGCCGGCCAGGCCGGGGCCACCGGGAATACCCTGAGGAGCCGGCATGCCCTGCAAGCCACGACCACCAGGGCCACCACGACCGCCGCCAAGAGCAGCCGCCTGCTGCTGGACCTGCTGAATGGCAGCAAGGAACTGGGGGTTGTTTGGCTGGGGATAAGCGCCAGGAGGGAACTGGCCAAGAGGGTAAATCGGGAGCTGCTGAGGGGGGATGCCACCGCGGCCACCCTGCTGAGCATAAGGAGGGAACTGGCCAGGACGACCGCCCTGCACGGCAGGAATTCCCAGACCACCCTGGGGGAACGGCATGCCGCGGCCGCCAGGAGGCAGAAAGTTCGGCTGTTGGCCGGGAGCATAGTAGACGGGAGCCTGCATGTATTGCTGAGGCAGCCCAGCCTGGGCAGCGGCCTGCTGCATGCGCAGTTGGTTGCGGGCTTGGATGCTAGCCTCAAGCTGGTTCTTGCGAACGTCCTTGCGTTGAGCAAGGGCGACGTAGAGCGGCTTGCCCTCAATCATACGCTGGTTCATATCAGCAACGGCCTTGGTCGCGTCGTCGGGGTTGCTGAAGCAGACGAAGCCGAAGCCCTTGCTCTTGCCAAGGCGACGGTCGCCCTTCTTCTCGGCCTTCTTCTCAGCACCCTCGGCCTCAGCCTCCTGCTCTGTCTCAGCCTCGCCCTCCTTCTTGTTTTCTTTGTCCTTGCCCTCTTTGTCCTCGTCAGAGTCGGTCGCGGCATCGCGCATCACCTTGGCGGAGGTGATGGGACCAAACTCGGAGAACATCTGGCGGAGCTTGTCGTCGTCGATGTCATCAGCCAGGTTCTTGATGTACAGGTTGACGCCTTGATATTTGTTAGCCTTCTCAAGGCGCGCAGCCTCATATGACCTGCGAAGCTCCTCCTCGCGCTCGTGCTTCTTCTGGGCGCGGCCAACATAGAGGTCCTGGCCACGGAAATCATTGCCGTTGAGCTCGTCGACGGCCCTGGAGGCGCTCTCGTGGGTGGTGTAGTTGACGAAGCCGAAACCGCGGCTCTTGCCCTCGGGGTCGCGGGCAAGGGACGAGGAGGTGACATCGCCGAACCTTGCGAACAGCTCACGGAATTCGTCATCGGTGACCTCGAGATTGATGTTCTTGATGTAGATGTTGGTGAAGTTGGCCTTCATCTCCTCAAACTTGCTCTGGCGATCCTTCTTGGGGATGTGGTACCCGACGTAAACCTTCTTCTCATTGAGAAGCATGCCATTGACGTGCTTAATAGCCTGAGCAGCGGCCTCGTCGGTCTCGTAGTGAACAAACCCGTATCCCTTGGAGTTGCCGTTCTCATCCTGGGCGACCTTGCAGCTCAGAATGTTACCGAAAGCAGCGAAGGTGTCGTGCAGAGCCTTGTTGTCGATGGCAACGTCAAGGTTCTTGATGAAAACGTTGCCCTGGCCGGTCTTGCGCAAAGCAGGGTCACGCTGGGACCACATGATCCGGCACGGGCGGCCCTTGATCAGCGTGTAGTTGAGCTCCTCGAGGGCCTTTTCGCCGTCCTGAGTCGAGTTGTAGTTGACGTAGGCATAGCCGAGGGAGCGGCGGGTGACGGCGTCGCGGCAGACACGGATGGAAGCGACGGAGCCAATCTGGGAGAACAGCTCGAAGAGCATGGCCTCGGTCACGGACGGGTCCAGTTCGCCGACGTACAGAGAAGCCGAAGACTGGGGGTGGGGAGCGGCAGAGCTCGGGGTCGGCCCAGCCGTGTCGGGGTCGGCGGTCTGGTACTCGCCAGAGGCCACATTGGTGTTGATGGCAGGGGCGCGGTTATCGCTGCCGTTGAGGCTAGTGCCAGCGAAATCAGCGGCAAGCTGGTCGACAGCGCCGGGGGCAGCGGGAGCGGCCATTTTTACAATCGACTCTATGTTCGCGATAAAGTTAGTGTGCTCCTTCTTAGTCCGGTAAGTGCAACCGCCTAAAATGATCGAAGCGCTCGACGTGAGGTGGGGTGGTGGTGTTCCGGTTCGATTGGGGCGCGACGTACCAAACGCTCAAGGGCGAGATCGTGCGACTGGGATGGGAAAGAATACCGCGCGCAACGAAGAGCGACGGTAGACAAAGAACGAGGTGAAATAAAGACCTCGATCGATTTTTCTTTCGTGTGGCGAAACAAGATTCTCGAATGGAAGAACGATTGCGGGGCGTCTTCCAAGGGAGAAAAAAATGTGACCGGCCCAATGTGGGAGTTTTTTTGGATTTTTTTGGTGGTTTTTTTTGGAGGGGGTTGATAGGTAGCTATCGGGTTTTTTTTGTGATTTTCAATTTTTTTTGTGACAGGTTTTTTTCGTGAAGTTCAGAAAAGAAGTAGACGAGAACAGAACCAGTGACGGTTGTGTTGTACTAATCTGACTCTTTTCTGAAAAAGGTTGTGGAAAGAATCCGGGTTAAAGGGTTTGATCGTTTGATGAAGAGGAAAGAGGAGGGCAAGATCGCTCCTGCGGAGACAAGATTTTTTTCTGCAGTGTTGCGCCCACAAAGCGGAGAATATCGAATTATCCGAACGCGGCTCCCATTTCCGCGATCGCGTTTCACTCATGCACTAACAGGTTTCCTGAAGAAGGTATTATACGTATTATTATGAAGAAGTGTTTGCTTTTTGAGACGGCATTGCCTGGCTTCGGTTCGCCTTTGTTTGCGTAGCCGCTGTACCCCGGCCGTTTGAAGGCAACGGTGCTGTTAGTTTATTCAACATCCCCTCAACCAAGCACAGTCATCGGACTTGAGGACTCCAGGTTAGAATGTCCCACAAACAGAATGTTTGGCGGTCAGCGTCCTTGGAAGCGTCTCCTACGTTTCCATGAGTGGTGACGACTAATGTCTGAGACCTGTCAGGGTTTATTTCCTCGCCGTCGGCTGAGAATTGTCGAACCGCAGTGAAACATGAGGAACCGAGGCAGCGATAACTTTGAGCAGATATCCTTCTATCGGGGTTCATGCTTGTTGGCGCCACTGGCGGCACAGGGGTGTGGCGGGGTAGCAATCGTTATCGGAACCCCTTCCTGCCAACCGCTGTGCTGCTGACAACGCCTTTCGTCACCAAAAAGTGTCACATGTGGAAGGTACGGTTGGGGCCTCATCGGTCTTCAAACCGTTCGCCCGAAGCAGGTGCGAAGGACGCGAAGCTCGTAACTCACTTCTAGCCCTTTCCGTGGCGTTGTTACTAATCCAAAGTTTTGTTCTTTATTCCTTACCTACCCCGGCCCGTATATGCTGCCATTACGTCCTGCGAACACCTCGTTGACCCCGCCGCGCCCGGTCCTTGGACCGCAGTCGGTGGCCGTCATCTGCACTGCTGCCTCGCCCAAGACAGCGGCATCAGCCAGCGCCGAACTTGCGGCATTGAGCCCTGGCTTTGATTGAACCTGCAGCCAACAAGTTCGCAAGACCTCTCTGTTTCTTTTAGAACCCCCAGCAGCCTAGAGATAAGATAATCATAGAATTGTTGACCCCACGGGCACCCTCCACCCTGCCGTCGCATAACACAAGGTCGAGCTTCCTTTCGGCCCAGCATCGTCCCAAGCAGCGAATCATCCACAACCCGCCCGCCCGAATTTCCTGGACGTTCGACCGATCGCCGTGATGTTCCCGACTTTCACTGGTAGCTCCCGCAAGGCGCGAAATGTCAACCTCAGCGGTCAGAAAGCGACAAACCCGTTTACAAATCCGTCATGGGCGCCCAGTGCGGCGGCCGTCGGGGCATCTAAATCCGTGGCGCAGGCCCAAGCAGAACGGTTACAACGGCAACAAGAGAGGGACCGCCTGAAGGCGGCACAGCACATCCAAAAGACGTGGAGGGGGCATAGGTCACGTCGGAATCTACGCACATCGCTCCGAGAAGCTTTTGATGTCCTGTATCGCGACGATAAACGGGTGGACCCAGTACAAAGGACGGTCAAAGCGGTGCCGTTGATGTTCAGTGTGTACCAAGTCTCAGATTCCGAAGATCAACAACGGTTATGCCTCCTCGCCCGCGATCTTCTCCAGACAGAATTCCATTGCTTTTCATCGGGAGGGATTGGGGAGCCCCGGTTGGAAAAATTGGCGCACATCGTGGTTCGGACTTTGGAGCGGTAAGGTAACACCCTTTTTTGTTCCCGCCCCAGAGCTAACTAAGGATTACAGCCTCGACCCCGTAGTTCCGAACTCACAAGTGCAAATAAAAATTCTCTTGGAAACCATATCCCGCGTTATCAAGGCCCGACCTCGGTCTATTCAGGCCAATCTTAGGAGGTTCTACACCGTGTTGGGGAGATATTGTCGCAGCCCGGGAGTCGATTCCGAACTACTTGATCCCATTCGCAATGCCGTGGGGGTACCACTTGTCGTAACAGTGTCTGGTATGTTACTGTCCCCCGGGGTAGTCTCCGAGTCCACTTACCCCCTTAGCTATACTGACAAACCCCTGTAGACGTGTTCACGAGAGCTGCCTATTATGAGTTTGCCATCTCGTTCTTGACTCAGCCCGACTTGGCACTGTTCGAGTCAAACATCACTTCATTCGTGGAGGATATTGATGTCGACCAACTCTCAGATTCTCTTCAGGCTGAAGTTACACCCGAGACAACTGGTTCGTATACAGGTCTCTTGTGGCTACTTGCACATTTTATTATACTGCAAAAGACGAAGAAACAACAGGTCTTGCACTCCCGCTCTCTACAGGTGTTGTATTCGCTCCTGTCGACGTTGTCGACGCAAATACGTCTCGGCTTTGGAACCTCTGACTTGAAGGCTTCCGATGACGATCTTGACGTGGAGGAGACCCTTGAGCCGGGGCTTCCAACATATGTCGCGGACAAGCTGGCCTCACTGACAGATAGGGACGAAATTTCGGGTGTCCTCGAGAAGTTTACGTCGTAAGTGCCTCCTAGTCCTAGCTTGTAGAACGTAATACTGACTATTGTAGCCCGACCGTATCCAACGTCGAGAATGCAGGGCTTCTTGCAGGCTACGTTCTCACATTAATTTATTGCTTCCCGGCGCTTAGCGACGACATTCGAATGCGCCTCTATCTGGCAGATATCCCAACCCGCCACGGCCCAACGCCTGCAGTTAAATTCTTCTGGAGTGCGTTCAATCAGACATCAATTGTCTCAAGAATCATTGCCGACGCCAATGCTCCACTTGCGATTCTCCGCGAAAGACCCGTATCGCAAGCAGATTCTCCATGGCACCGCGGGTGGCGGACCATTCTCTTGTTCCTGGAGCTCTATATCTTCGTTTTGCGTCTAACTGATGACGATGACTTCTTCGGTAGCCTCAAAGGGCCTGGCTATCCCGGGGAATCCAACTCACGGTTGCGCTCTAGCGGGCTTAGCCTTCAAGAATTGAAGCGTCTCACCATCTTTTTAAAGCATCTCGGTTTTACGCTACATTACCATATGGCTGACTTACTTGGCTCGATGCCCAGTACGTCGATCATGGCCGATGACTCACGGCCGCCATCATCATCGTCGTCTCGGCGGCGAAGCGGGGCTGGAAATAACCGAGCGTCAGCCGCTTTATCGTTCACTCTCACTGCGGGTGTCGATTTTGAGGCTTTTCGAGATCTGATTTCGACGGCAATGAAAATGTTGTATGAGCGGGACTCTCGGCGTCAATTTCTCCCATCAAACCACTGGCTGATGACTTCCAAGTTTGACATGGAAGGGTTTCTTTCTGCCGTCGTGCTGGAGGAACAAAGTCGGCGCGAACAAGACGAGGCTGGTGGTGACGATGAGGACGAGGATGATGATGATGATGATGATGATGATGATGATGATGATGGCACAGCGATATATTCTTCATCGCCTTTCCCCATGTCATCGAGTGGGCTGAGGCTGTCCCGACAGGCCCGGATGGAAAGAATCAGGGTGGCGCGGAAGCGGCAAGCACGCGACATTATCAGGGCGGCCGCGGGCCCCAAGCTAGAGATTCTACGCAACATGCCGTTCGTCATTCCCTTTGATGTCCGTGTGCAAATCTTCCGGCAATTCGTTTATCTCGACAAACACCGCAGGCGAGGCGGGCACATCGATGCGGATCGGTGGAGGTTGTGGGTGCTTAACCAGCACGGCGGACCGTTTGAGCCAGATGAAGCCGGAACGAGCATCATTGGCCGGCACCAAGCACAGATCCAGAGAGGACGGATATTCGCGGACGCCATGGATTCGTTTTGGGGGCTCCAAGAAGGCTTGAAGGAGCCCATTCAGATCACGTTTGTGGATGAGTTCGGCATACCGGAGGCGGGAATTGACGGGGGCGGCGTGACCAAGGAGTTTCTCACGAGCGTGACGACGGAGGCGTTTAGGCCCTCCGAAGGGTACTTTGTCGCCAACAGCAAGAACTCTTACTACCCTAACCCCTGCGATATGGACCAGTTGAGATATGCTCTTCGGGCAGCGCAGATCTCGGAAGATTCCCCAGAATGGGTCGAGGCTCACGCCAATCGCTTGCGGGAGTTTGAGTTTCTCGGCAGAGTGATTGGAAAGTGTTTGTACGAAGGGATCCTTATTGATATTTCCTTCGCGGGCTTTTTCCTCCTCAAATGGGCGTCATCAGCCGGGGCAGGCGACACGTACCGCGCCAATATCAACGACCTCCGGGAGCTTGATGAAGAGTTATACCAGGGCATGATCCGGCTCAAGAATTACCCTGGCGACGTGGGTGACCTGTCGCTCGACTTTACCATCACCGACCAGGTCTCCCCGCCGGGCCAGCCGTTCCGTACCACCACACGCAACCTCATCCTGCACGGGGAGGACGTCGCGGTGACGAATGAGAACCGGCCATTATACATCAGCTACGTAGCTCGACACCGTCTGGTGATGCAGCCCTACGCACAAACTCGCGCCTTCCTCCGTGGGCTTGAGATGTTGATCGATCCCGGGTGGCTGAGCATGTTCAACCAAAACGAGCTGCAGCGTCTGGTGGGCGGTGACAGCTCAGAAATCGATGTCGAGGACCTGCGCCGCAACACGGCTTACAGCGGGGTGTATGCGATCGGTGATGACGGCCGCGAGCATCCGACGGTGCAAGCGTTTTGGGAGGTTATGCGTGGGCTAGAAGATCGGGAGCGCCGCGATGTGCTGAAATACGTCACGAGTACGCCGCGGGCACCACTTCTGGGTTTCGGACAGCTTAACCCGCCGTTCACCATTCGTGATGGCGGGCAGGATCAGGAGAGGTTGCCGAGTGCGAGCACGTGTGTCAACCTGCTCAAGCTTCCGCAGTACCGCACCACGGAGGTGTTGAAGAAGAAGCTGCTGTATGCGGTGACAAGCGGAGCTGGGTTCGATTTGAGTTGAGAAATATCGGGGTTGGGGGAAGGAAATGTGGGAGATATGGAGAGTACGCAAAGGGGACGAATGGACGGACGTGCTGTAACATACGGGTTGGCTTAATGGGAGGATGAAATTATACATAATGACAGCGCAGTGGATTTGAACACTATGTGTAGGCAAGTATTCCGTTTGCCCCTGGGACTTGCCTTGGGGTCAACCGTGACGCTTCCCAGGCCAGTCTTCAAACCTCTTACTGTAACCAACCTGAGACCATCCCTGTTCTCCTTCTGGCCAAGGACCAGTTGTTGTTGATGTGGTGTATTTGTGGTTGGGGTTAAAATTCGCTGTATGGTAATTTCACGATCTTGCTTGTTTCTCCCGATACATGTATTAATGGATATGCATACACACTCACGGAAAAGCTTCCTGGTATTTGTATGTATCCCACATTATTTCAACACAAAGTTCTTCAAGCAAAGCATGCCCGTTTAGGCCGACCCAAAAAAACAAAAAGGGATCAAAAGCCCTGCTGCCGATCCAGATTTCAAAACCCAAGCTTTTCTCCCCTTTCCCCGCAAGGCTTGGCAATACCACCCTCCTTTCCCAAACAAGATGTCCGCTCTGTCGATGAAGTTTGAAAGTGCCAAGGAGTTGAAGTTCTGCCAAGAATGCCGAGAATGCCCAGACTTTTTTTCTCCTTCCTTTCTCTCCCTCCCACCGAACAAGATGTGATTTTCTCTCGCTTTCGCGCGGGGAATGAAGGTGCCGAGCGGTGGGTGGGACCTTTTTTTTTTTTTCGGAACGGAGCTTGGCGCTGCCGCTTGGCTTTGTCGCTCACTGCAGGCAGTGGGTTTGGTTGATGAATTGATGGGTTGCGGGGGGAGAGGGTTGTTTTGTGGTGTTTCACTCACGCCACGGGGCTGGATTTGGCGGTTTACCTCAGTATCTGTTGGATATTTTACAACTTGCAACTGTTTCTGTCTTTTTTTGGTGATTTTAAAGTCGATTTTCGGGGGTTTGCGTCTTAACCCTTGAAGGAACGAAGAAACGATCATCGTGCGCGCGCGATTCACCGCTGGTTTTTCCATGCCACGAGGATAAACTTCCCCGGTCGAGACGAGTCGCAGCGGCGCACGCAGGGACGAAGGCATGCTGTCGCTGCGGTGTGGGAACAACACACCTCGCTGAAGCGTCTCTGAAGTCCTCCCCCATAAGCCTTTCATATCACGACGACCACCATGGCACCGCCCATCCACCTCAATGGCGTGCCGCGGACGACTCGGTTCGTCGTCGTCGCCCTGTTTGTGGTCTGTCTCATCTTTCTGGTGCCCAAGCTCGGTTCGGGGGGTGGTGGCGGTCGGTGGAATAATGATGGGGGGTTATCTGGCGGCCTGCCTAAGTTTGGGACTGCGCCTAAGGATGATGATGTCTTGCGTTTTGTGAATCCGTTGATTGGCACGACTAATGGAGGTGAGTTTTTGTCTTTGGCCTTTGGCCCGTTTCTGGTCGTTTCTCGCAAGGCAGTGAGTGAGTGATACTGATATTCATGAACAGGCCATGTCTTTCCCGGCGCAACCCTCCCCTACGGTAAGCCACCAACCAACCAAACCAACCCCCTTAACCACCATCTCTCATGATCGAGATGGCGAGACTAACCGCCCCCATACAGGAATGGCCAAACCAGTAGCCGACACCCTCTCTCCCGCCGAAAACGCCGCCGGCTTCGTCTCCGACGACAACCCCATCCTCGGCTTCTCACACATGCACGATTCCGGCACAGGCGGCCAGCCCTCCCTGGGTAACTTCCCCTTGTTCGTGCACCCGGGGTGTCCTGAGGACGATTTCACGCGCTGCGTGTACGCCACCCGCTCGCGCGCGACGTCGAGGGTCGAAGGCTCGGCTAGGGCGGCGCCGGGGTATTTTACGGTCGAGTTGGTGAATGGCGTGACGGCGGAGATGACAGCGGCCGGGAGGAGTGTGTTGTATCGGTTTGGGTTTGAGGTGGGGGGGATGGAGCAGCAGATGGGGGGTGCCGGGTCGGGGTCCTCGGGGGAGAGGGGGTTGGAGTGGGTGATGGTGAAGGGGGAGGAGGATTTGGAGAATGATACGGGGGATGATGCGGATCATGGCGGGCATGCGGTGCCTTACTCGCCGTTGGTGTTGGTTGACTTGTCGGATTTGATGAATAGCCGTTCGGCAGGGGGGATCCAGGTGTACCCGGAGACGGGACGGATCGTGGGGGAAGGGAATTATGGTCCGTCGTTTGGGTCGGGGCGGTACAATGCCTTTTTCTGTGCCGACTTCAAGGGCGCCAAGATCCGCAAGTCGGGCACGTTCACGGGCAACGAGGCCGTGGAGGAGCCGAAGTTTCTTGACGGTATCGGCGGCGGGTTCCGCATTCCGTCTGGTTCGGCCGGTGCGTGGCTGCAGTTTGATAAGCCGCCTAAGGGAGGTAAAGACCAGCTGTTGGCGCGGGTGGGCGTGTCGTTTATGTCGACGGACCAGGCGTGCGAGAATGCGGAGAGGGAGATTGCGGACTGGAACTTTGACCGGGTTGAGAGTGACGCGCGGAAGGCTTGGAGGGAGAAGCTGGGGGCGATTGAAGTCGATGCTACGGGGGTGAGCGAGGAGATGCAGACTACGTTTTGGTCGGGGTTGTATCGCACGCTGCTGTCGCCGCAGGATTATACGGGGGAGAATCCGCTGTGGAACTCGACGGAGCCGTATTATGACTCGTCAGTGCTCCTTCGTCTTTTGTCCGGTTTTCCGGGGCCTCGATGACGAAAAGGGGAACATGTTGGCTGACTTGCATAGTTTCTACTGCATCTGGGATTCGTTCCGTGCCCAGCACCCGCTGCTCACCATCGTCGATCCGGCCACGCAGACCGACATGGTGCGGTCTTTACTCGACATTTACCGGTTCGAAGGTATGATTTCGAGGATCAACGAGTTCCTCCCTACCTATGACAGAAACGGGAGCTAATAAACCCAGGCAAACTGCCCGACTGCCGCATGAGCTTCTGCAAGGGGTTCACCCAGGGAGGTTCCAATGCTGACGTGGTGATCGTCGACGCCTATATCAAGAACCTCCGCGAAGGCATTGACTGGAACACGGCCTATGAAGCCGTCGTCTCCGATGCCGAGGGTATGTCCTCTCTCTCCCCACGTTTTCCATATCCTCTTACCCGAGATTATTCATAACTGACACAGATAAATGATAGTCGAACCCTCCAACTGGGGCCTCGAAGGCCGCGGCAATCTCGTCAGCTGGCACTCCCTCGGCTACATCCCCTGGGACGACAAAGACCGCAACGGCACGGGCCCAATGAGCCGCACCATCAGCCGGGGCGTCGAATACGCCTACGACGACTTCTGCATCGCCCACCTCGCTAGCGCCCTCAACCACCCGGCCGACGCAGCCAAATACCGCGCCCGCGGCGGCAACTGGCGCAACTACTGGAACCCGGACCAACAAGACGTCTTCCACGACCCCGACGACGCCCAAAAACCCCTCGACACTGCCTTCCGCGGGTTCATGCAACCCCGCGAAAGCGACGGGTCCTTCCGCTACCACAACACGCGGGCCTGTTCCCCTATCCAGGACATGCATTCCTGCTACTACGACACCTCATTGGATACCTACGAGGGCAGTCCCTGGCTGTACAGCTTCTATGCCCCGCAAGACATGGCCACGCTCATCAGCCTCATGGGCGGTCCCGCAGCGTTCGTCGACCGCCTCACCTACTTCCACACCAGCGGTCTCTCCTATCTCGGCAACGAGCAAGGATTCCTGCCAGTCTTCCAATTCCACTACGCCGGCCGCCCCGGGTTAAGTTCGTACTGGACACGGCAGTACATCCCCAGCCTATTCAACGCAACGGTGAACGGCATCCCAGGAAACGACGACTGCGCGATGGGGGCTTTCAGCGCGTTTGTGATGATGGGGTTTTTCCCCGTGGCGGGGCAGGATGTGTATCTGTTGACGACGCCGTTTTTTCCCGAGGTGAGGATACGTGCCAAGGAAAGGGGGAAGAAGGCGGTGATAAGGGTGATGAATGAGTTTAATCGGAGGGGGTCGAATATGTATATTCAGAGGGCGCAGTTGGATGGGGTGGAGTATACGAGGAATTGGATCACGCATGAGTTCTTTTTGAGGGGGGGGTTGTTGGAGTTGTGGGTGGGGGAGGATGAGGGGACTTGGGGGACGTGGGAGGAGGATTTGCCGCCGAGTTATCCGCTGGAGGAGGTGTAGCGGAGTAGCTACTGTTGTGGTGAAGAGGACAAGAGTTGTATTTGTTTGCTTGCGTGTTTTATACCTTTATTGGATATATGGGACGTGCGGTACGTAATTATCAAATCTGTATGCATATTTAGGCGCCTGGTTGGATATGATGAACAGCAAGTTGTTTATTTGTTTTGATAGCACAGGGTATCATGACATGAGTATTGGCAACCGTAAATAACAACCTTATACGTCCCTTTTTTGTCTTTCCCACTTCCTGTCCCCTTTTAAGTCCCTCTTCCCAACGAAGAAAGTCTCAATCCTTCGCCCACGGCGCTTTGGTCACAGCAAACTGGTTACTGGCCGTTCCTGGCTTCCCCCTGGGAAAAGCCGTCGGCGGCGGCGGCCCCGTTTCCGGCACCACTCCTCTAGGCGCGGACGGTGCTGCACTGCCTCCAGCAGCCCACGGGGCTCTAGAGTATGGGATCCCCGGTCCCGACGGCACGCCAGCCGCAGAGCCAGGCATCTTGGTCGCTTGTGCCCACGGGGCTGCGGTCCCTGCGCCTTCCCCAGGCGTGGCCGTGGCGGTGTTCACATTACCCGGCTGGCTGGCCACATGCGCAGTCCGCGCCGGCAAAGCAGCCTCCGGATCAGGATCCCAAGAGAACAGCGAGCCAAAGGGAAAATGTTGGACGACGGGGAACTTGGAGAGCACCTCGGCGTTGAACATCTTGATCATGCCCTTGTTGATCTTTCCCCAGCCGTCTTTGATGCCCGAGATGTCGAACAAGATCGGGCTGTGCTCCCAAAAGGGACCGGTCTTGACGTCGTTGATGAAGCCGATGGCGGAAAAGTACATGTTGGAATCGCGGTGTAAGTCGACGGTGGCTGCCTTGGCCACGTCGGAGGGCCGCGGGGCGCCCGGGACGGAGCCTTCGAGGGGCATGGGTTCTGTCTCGGTGATGGGCCGGGTGAGCTGAGCTGAGCCAAAGATGTATGGTAGAAACGTGTGGTCGTCGAGGCCCCAGACGCCGTGCGAGCCGGCCGGTTCGAGGTTGTACGTCAGGATCAGCCTCCTAACGACCTTTAGGTACCTGTTTTCTGTCAGCTTCACCGCAACACCCAACAAATCAAACCCCCCCAAAAAGAAGAATACAAAAAAGAGGCAACAAAAAAGAGGCAACACTCACGGCTCAAAAACCCCCAACACCACACTCCTCTCCACCTCCCCCCCTTCCCCCTTCCCATCCCTAAACACACCCACCTTCCACAACGCCCCCAAAAACGCCAAAAAGCTCAATTCATGCCCCGTCCCATAATCCAATCTCTGCGCACTCCCAAACGCCCCCAAAAAGTACCCCTTCACCTCCTCCAGTATCCCTTCCCCTCTCAGCATCCCATCCCCTCCCTTTGTATCCCCCTCTCCCTTTATACCCCCCCCTGCCTCTTCAGCTCCCAGCGACCCACCCCACGCACCCAAATCAACCCCCTCCAAAACCCCCCTCAACAACCCCGCCTCCACCTTCTCTTCAAGCAACGTATACCACCGCCGGAAACTCACATTCCCGAACCGGCGGGGGCCCTTTTCTGGTGGGGCTTGGTCAATTAGACCGGCGACTTGGTCGAGCATGTCGCGGAGCCAGAGGACGGAGGGGGGGTCGGAGCGGGGGGCGTTGAGGGGGAAGGTTTGGGGCTGGGGCGTAGCTTTCACGGCTGGGGCGGTTGCGGTTGCGGTTGAGGTTGAGGTTGAGGTTGAGGTTGGAAGGGATGATGGCTTTCGGGGGCAGAGAGCGCGGTTGAGCTGGAGGATGAAGATGCCGATGTCGCGGTAGGCCAGCGAGGTGAGGAAGTGGGGGAGGTCGGCGCCGGTGTGGATGCGTTTTTGCGGGGGGGAGAAGGTGTGGGTTTTGGAGGGGGCGAGGACGGCGAGACGGGGGAAGGATGGGGTTGTTGTTGAGGTTGATGCGGTCGATGTTGTGGATGTTGCTGTTGTTGTTGAAGGTGGAGGTGGAACGGGAGTCGTCGAGGAATGGGTGCTTGGCGGGGGTGGAGGATCCATTTTGGGGGATTGATTGCTTGGTGTCTTAGTCCCGAGGTATCTGTGAAAACAAATTGAATGGATGACGTTAATGAAGACGGTGTTGCACTTGGGCCGCCAAGCTCATATGGTGTTTGTGTTCGTGTTGGAAGCAGGATGGCTCTGGGGTAATCAAGTTGAGTGCCAGAGCTCCTTATCGGTCCCTTATCGGCCATACCCCGCGGTCGTCATGGTGGGGCAGCCGCTGCGGGCCGTTTGTGATGCTGGGTGGACCTCGACCTGATGCGGGCTACGGGATGAGCCAGACTTCTGAGCACTGATTCTAGAAGGCCTGTGATTCTAGTACACGAATGCAACGTTCGACTTATAAACTACATCGAAACCAAACCCCCCCTTTTTCCTAAAACTGCTTCGATCAAGATAGAGGTAGGTAATAGTCCTTTACATTGCGTGAGGACTGACATCTCATTTAGTTGCTAATTAATTCAACTCTTGACCAAAATCTCACCATTCTATTTTCCGCACTAAAAACTCCCAACTGTTAAAACATATCTCCGCGATCTCTTCTTTCCAAATTTCTTCTGAACCACAACTAAACCACCAAAACCCCCTCCTGCATGTCCACCTCCCCCTCTCCCTCCCCCTCGGCCTCCCCCTCTTCCTCCCGCGCTCTCTTCCCCAACCGCACCTGATTCTGCCTCCGAAACCAAATATCATCAAACACATCCCGATACGCCCTCCCATCCTCGGTATCCTCCGCCCACCGCTCAAACCCATCCCACGCCGTATTCAGCGCCTCGCTCGCCCACCATCCATCACCACGTTCCGCCTGCAACAACATGGTAGCCAGCCTCTTCAGGCCCGGCGTGTAGGCCAGCAGCGGCGCAAAGACGACGTCGATATTGATGTCTTTGCCGGCGCAGCTGGCGTGTCGGCAGCGAGTTGTGGTTGCTTGAGGGTTGGGTTTGGTGTTGGAGGTGACGTGTATGCATCCGCATGTGTCGCAGTCTTCGGGCTGGGGCAGTTCCCGGCCGAGCATCATGTGGTAGAGGATTGCGCCGACGGAGAGGAGCTCGTTGCCGCGGGTGTAGGGGCGTTTTTCCTGGTTGTGTTAGCGGACTGGGTCATGGCCGGCAAAACAAGCAGATCTAACCAGGTCGAAGAGAAAGTAAGGAAGAAAAGAAGAAAGAAGAAAAGAAAAAAGAAGAAAAGAAAAACTCACCCTCAACATCCCCAACCCCTCCTTCCCCCACTTCACCTTCCGATCCCTCAACAACTCCAAGCCCACCCCATCCTCCCCCTCCATCGCCACCACCGGCGTGCCCCTCATCAACCCCGCGCTCCCCGACACCACCGCCCTCTCCAACCCCCCGAGCTTCACAGCCCCATACGTCTCTGTCCCCCGCGGGTGCTGCAGAAATACATTCGACGCCCGGATCCCCCGGTGCAGCACCGGCATCCAGTCCTGCTCGGGCGGGGTCTTGCCTCGGATGCGGAGGTATTCTTTGGCGTTGGCGTTGGCGTTGGCGTTGGCGTTGGGGGTGACGTTAGGTTGTCTTGGGACTCTGCTTGTGCTACGGGCTGCTCGATGGCCTCGCGTTGTGGCCGGGGGTGGGGGTGGTAGGTCAGAGGGCGATACTACCTCGTAAGTATCCCGTATCCCCTCATGTAACCACTGCAGGGCCCGTAGCAGACCCAACGCAACATGCCAGATGAACGACTCAGGCAAGAACCCGCCATGCTGAACAGCCCCGGCAGCAAAAACCGATGGCCCAGAAGAAGAAGACGATGCAAGCGTAGAGTCAGGAAGCGCATAATCATCCAATACGTCCTGCAGCGTCCCAGCCTCGGCAAAGTCCATAATCAACCACCTTTTCACCATCCCCGGCCGATCCTCTTCCCCTCCCTCCTGCGCGGCAGCAGCATCTCTCCCGTCACTCCCTGGCGTCCGTGGAATGGACGACACAGCAGTCATCTCATCATGCAGAGAGATCAGATTCTCGTGGTTCAGCAGGTTGGCTGCTGGCTGGGCGCCGGCGAACTGCAGGAGGAGTTCGAGGGAGGGTCCGCCTATGTGGGGGTTGTTGGGGTGTCGGGAGGGCCGCGCGAAGAGGATCTCGCCGTCGGTGAGGCGCTGGACGAGGTAGAAGTCGTTTCCGAGGTGTTTGTGGAGGGTGTAGGGGGACTTGGGGAGTGGCATTTCGTGTGTTTTGTTTGGTTTGTACGTTTGTGGGATGTGTCTGTTCGTTACGTGTCCTAGGGGAAAAGGAAGCGAGAATGAGAGACGGTCGGTTGGAAAGGAGGGGGGATATCCCGTGGCAAGATACAACCAGATCTGTGTGTCTTTTGAAGACTGAATCGGTGTGGCCATGCTGGATGTTTTCTTTGTCTGGTATGGGTTTGCGTTTCCCAATCCGGAGGGAGGCCCTGCGAACAGCATTGGCCGCGGTGCAATCCATTCCCTCCCTTCCGCTTACTGTTGAGATGCAAGTTCGGAAGCACAAAGACCATATCACCTTGATTATGAGCCTGCAATTTTGGTTGGTTTTCCCCTCGGCCCCGAAGACCTTCATAGCCTCTAGCTTAAGGCTGTTGACTTACACGAACCCGGTCACATTAGGGTTAGGGTTGGTTATACACCCCTTGTCTTTCACCACCCCCTCTCGTCCTTTGTCCATGCATAAACATCCCATCAATCTTTCCAGTTCCGTGACAAACCTACCTACCAACCTTCCAAATCTCGACGCACGATCGACAGCCCCTGCCGAGCACTCCCGACCGACACAGCCACCCCCCGATGACGCACCAGATAGTGTACGTGTTTCTGGTTTGGAGGTCAATGAATAACGAGGGTATTGTATGAGTGTGATAGGAGCGGAAGATGAATTTGGATAAGTTGGGAAGGTAGTAGGTGGTGAAACTGGATTGGTTTGTTGGTTTGGTAGGTGTGTGGTGAGTAGGGGAGGAGGTGGGTGGGTACATAATGGGAGCCTGTCCGTATCCTGTGTGATACTGTTTCTTGTCCAACATTTTGGTGGCATATTTACTTGCACATGCTTTAAACGGGAAGCCCCATGATATCGCCCAGCTTACACTTTAAGTAGAAAGTTAAGTGAGAAAGGTGTCAACGAGAGTAGATCCGATTTTTCATGCCTTTTTAACTCCAATCTCTATATATACATGTATATCACGCCAAGTGCTATGTACATGGCCTGACCCTGCTTTTCATTCCTCAACATAATTACCACGCGCCCCTCGTTATTTTGTGCTTGTTACCCTACCTTGACCTTGTGTCTATGCCCTTTCTACCCAGTTATCATGAACACGTTACATTTCAGACCAGAAATGCCAGGTAAAACACCACGATCCAAGAGATCAAAACTTGTCTTATTGCCCCCTTCTTCTCAAATGGCCGAAAGAGAATCCCGATGGAAGAAAAAAAAGGGGAAGTTGGGTACCAGTCACGCTGTTTTCCCACGGAAAACGCCTGCTGAGAGTAGCCGAGGAAGATGGACAGGTAACGATCAAAGAATAATTTGACTGAGGCGTTTTTGTGTCCTGGCCCAACACCCGGATTTTGGGTCTTATTTTCCTTGTACTTTTCTTTTTCGTTTTTTATTTTTCTTTTCGTGTTCGGTCTAGCGTAACGTGAAAGTATCTAGCCGGCCTATCAACTGAAAATAAGACGTGCCTCCACAAAATGAGAGTGTGTAATAGACGGGTGCTGTGATCCTAGACAAAAAGGGTATCCTACAAGAGAGTGGATGCTTCGAGGGACATGTCGGGTCGAGGTCCTCAAACGGGGGGTATTGGGTGCGAGGCGTTTCTATCGTGCAACGGCGAACGAGAGGAAAATAACATCATTGCTTAGGCAAATGCACCAACGATAGACATGCCCATGGCTGGGTCATGTTAGTTATTATCCACGAGAGCTCGGATAGAACTGTGTGACAGAGGGGAGAGAGTCCTTACCTCCAAGAATGACAAAAACAAAAGCGGTGATGCGGTCCTTTTTGCTGAGCAACTGGGCTTCCTCGGACAGGAAGTCTTCGGCCAGGAGATCGACCAACGCAGCGTAAAGCAGCAGACCGGAGGAGCTAGCGGGTGTCGGTTAGTCTCTGTCATGATAAATAATTTTGAACCCCGATTCAACTCACATAGCATTGAATATCCCCACAATGATCAACCCAAATGCGCTATTCGGATCATACGAGTCCCGCACAGCCAACCCAATCGCCTGACCCAGCGGCGCGGTCGTACCAAACGCCACAACCAAAACCCACGGCCGGATGCTTCCCTTGGGATATGGCACCGCCGCGATACGCGAGCCGAGACCAAGCCCTTCAAACATCTGATGGAACAGAATAGCAATCAACAGGACAATAAAGCCCTCAATCGTGATGCTGACCGTCATGCCGACAAACACCGAGTGGAACAGGATACCGCCCTCCAGCAGGGTGATGTTGAGCGACATCTTGCGGAACACGGCTGGATCAACCGCCTGGCCCGTCTCTACGTCGATGTAAGGGGAGTCGGCCAGGGCAGTTTCGGTGATGATTGTCTGGCGCTTGTCAGGGGTGCTGGTGTTATTCTCGATTTGGTACTGTTGCCGCTGTTGCTGACGGGCCGTGGATTTGATCATGTTCATCATCTCGAGGCGTTGGCGGACATATTGCTCGTAGAAGACGATGAACCAGGGGGGCATTTCGGAGCGAGCCTCGAGCTCGTCCTTGTCGTCACCGTTGTAGGGGTCCTCCGCGCCGTGGGTGAACTTGCGCATCTTCTCGTCGTACATCTTCTGCGCGGCCTTCTTTTCATCTTCGATGTCATCGATCTCAAAATCGGTCGCGTTGGTGTACCTCGGGGGGCGCGGAGGGGGCGCACCACGGTTGTGGTGGACCTGAACCTGGCCGCCAGCCGGGGGTACTGCAGAGTCGAAACCCATGGGGCCGCCGTGAGTGTGGCCGCCCAGCTTGCTGTTGATCCACATCTCCACGATGAAGAGGCAGAACATGGAAGCCATCATGATGACGCCGGGCAGGGCGGGATATTGGTCGGTGAAGAGGTCGGGGAGGCACGGGTCGAGGAGGTTTCCGAAAGCCGTGGGGAGAAGCTGTTACTGTGTTAGTGCCGTTCTGATGTTCTTTCGTGCGTCTCTTGCTTACATGTACGAAAGCTGTCGCAATCAGGACGCCCGTTCCAAAATGCTTGCAGATGAAGAAGGTCTTCCTCGGGACCTTCACCCACTTGACCTTCTTTGCCACAACAGGGAATCCAGCGCCGAAAATCGAGGCCGCCAGCACCAGGACTATAGGTAGCGTTAGCTCGCGTTCTCTCCTCGATGCTCGACAGATTGCATAGTGGAATGAAGGAGGCCATCCAGATAGACTTACACAGAGCAGCAACATGGAGCCCGAGATCATACTCGCCAACTTCCTCCCCGCTGCCACACGCCGGCTTCCCGCTCATGAGATCCATGTCGGAGACCGCAGAGGCGCCATCTTGAGCCATTACGCAATATTCTTTATAACACGAACTTCAACCCAACGTACTATTGATCAGGGACTAGACCGCGCCAGGCGTGCTATCCTGGACAAGGAAGGAAAGATGAAGCAAAAAACGAGTAATATGAGAGAGAGAAGATAGCCAGCAAAACCGGCCCGCGGTTTCGAACAAGAAGAGAAAGAGAAAGGAAAGGAATCACAGACAAGTCCCAAGAGTCCCAACCATGTGAAGACAAGGAAGGGCAAAAGGGGGAAAGAGGGAAAAGCGAAAAGACAAGGCGGTAGAAAACACCAAACTAGAGAAAGAAAAAGAAGACAGGAACGAAAAGCTGCAGCGCACCGATGAAAAAGCCAAGAGGACAAGAGGAGGGAGGGCCAGGTGGTTCTTCAGATGGGAGGTTTATTTTAGCAGTGCTGGCTTGGCGTCGATCCAGTCGACTGACCGTACGAGTGGGGGACGGACGGAGGTTTCCGTGGGTGATATTCGTTGCTGAGTCGTGCTGGAGGGGCTAGGGGCGAAACTTTTGTAGCAGAATATCTTTCCCCAGCAGCGACCCAGTATATCCAGACATCTCGAGGATAAAGATCAGCTCAGATTTTGCTCTCCCTTACTCTAACGTTACTCTGAAGAGTCTCATTCTCGTGGAGCGGGCCTCCGTGTTTTCCAACTACTATCAGCTGATGATGCAGACACGCTTGACTCCTTCCTAAGGGGGATTGGGCTGGGGATAGCAGACTGCTCCTGACTCTTGCTCAAACAGTGTCACCTTCACCATACGTGAGGTGACATGGCTGTTTCTTTTCTTGACCTCCTAGGGCATGCGGTAGTAAACTTCAAACCGTCGAAGCTTCTGCGAGCGAGTAAGAACTGCCGAGCCACCTACCACGTACCTAGTCCATGTGATAAATGAGTTGCGAGTTATGTGATAGTCGACACCTTGATACTCGCTTGGACGGCGAGTATGGATGCGTGGGATGTAAACACTCCGTTTTTGGTCTAGTGGCTAAACTCTTTGTTGCTTGTTGCCACTTACACACGAGCAAAACCTGGGGTTTGCCGTGGCGAGATGAAACGAGCCCCACCGTTCTGCTGCGTCCCGGGAGCCGCTCCCGGGCGTCCACTCGGGAAATTTCTGTCGCCAAAACTTGTTAAGTGTCGGAACAATTTGTTCTATTGTAAGAGGTGTGCTCATGCAACAGAAACTTCTTTCCTTCTTTTCTTCCCTGGATTCAGTGGGTTCCGGCTCTTTCTGACTAGTCTTGTTTTGGCTGTGTGTTGTTTGTTGTTCCATTTGTGCCTACTTAGAGAATATTGGAGGTCTACGGGGGACATCCCATGAGCGCGTGTTGCCACTGCTTCGGATGTTGGGACTGGAAACACTTATGGTCTTCCCGTCTCACAACGATGGATGTGAGTTTCTTCGCTGTAGATTTTAAGGCAAGAAATACCGGGCCGCGCGGGGACGGACTCCTACACGGGTGTTGAGAGGACCGTCTTGGCCGAGGGCGTCTGTCTGTGCGACTGGGTGTGCCGCTTGGCAATGAACCTTGGTCGTCAACAATCACGAGGGTGTTGACCCTTTGGTATCAACAAAGCGGGATTGTTGTCGACACAGGCTGATCGACCTGCCCGGACGGGCCGGCCAAGAAACAAGCAGCAGGGTGGTCAAACGTGAAGCCGGCTCGGCACTCATCAGTGTCTCTTCCGATTTGGGCGCGAAGTCGAGGTTAACCGCTGCACGGCTGTAACTTCTTGGCATCGAGTTTCGGCGCAGATCTCTCGGGATGTGGGGCAGAGGGTGGTCGGGTTTTCGGAAGCCGGTCGGTCGAAACAACCTGTGAGCCAGTGGTGGGGAAGTCACCTTCTCCCGGTGTCGAGATGGACCTCAGCTTTACCTTGGAAGAATTGGCGAGTCTGTGGTAGGCTGGCACGGTTGGGAACGGAGCCCTGACGGCATTTGGTTTCGTCCACCCTTAACACCTCCAACGGCCACGGCTCCGGAGCTTGGCGTTATGCCTCGACTTCGAACAGAGGGTTGCTCGTAGCTGGCTCTGTCAGGGGTTTGTCTTTGTCATGTTTACTCAAGAGACAATTTGAAAACAATAGGGCCCCAGATTTACCACGAAGGCACCGGGCCAATGTCCTGGAGGGATCAGCCCATAGACGCAGCCCGCAAGTCCCGAGATCAGGGAGCACGCGTTTTGGTGGTTGTTATTGCTCCTGTTTAGTCCAGCGACGCGCATCACAAGACTTCGTCACCAAGCACAACGCATAGTCGCCATGGCCCCGGATCGGCGCCGCCAAGAGGGCGCTCTTGCACCGAAAATGCATCGTGATTTGAATTGGGTTGTGTTGAAAATGTTGATGTTCGCTATCGAAATAGGGGTGAGAGGTCGAGGCCTCAGGAAACCGGCCCCGCTGATACAGTCGAAAGGTCACAAATGGCAGCTCCGTTCTGTGACCATGCCTTTGGCGATGGGAGAGGCGATTGTGACGGTGATCGTGTGATGTACGTGTATCTCTCCCTCATACGATTGTCAGCTGTTCGGTTTATCAAAACTTGAAAGAGAGGTAAATCCGCCTTGGGTCGAGAAAGGCAAATGAATGACAAATAACGTTGTGTTTTCTAATCCGGCCTCGATGGGTCTGCTTCATCATTGGAGCGGCAGTTGGACATGCGATGATGGATGGGAGATGCAACGCCAAACCCGAGTTTCAAAAGCTTCGAGAAGCTGAGGATGCAAAGGGATGGTTGCTTTAACGTTAGCGTTAATTGGTAGCTTAGTGGGGCCTCGGCCCTGGAGCTTCGAGAATGGTGGGGGGAAAGTGGATCCCATTGGCCCATTTCAATGCGCAGTTTTAGTTTTGGTGACCTCCTTCCAGCAGTGCTTGACTTTGACCTCGTTTGGCCGCGAAGCTCGAGACGAACGGGAGCACGCCGAACAGCGGACCGCCACCGGCGTAAGCCACCACGATGGCTTTCTTCCGAATTGGACTTCGCCGGGCCGTCGCGCAGCTGCCGCGGGCACCGCTCATGAGGAATGCGTGTGCGCCGCTGAAGCTCTCGGCCCCTCCACCCCGCGTCCTCCAGCTCGCGGCAGCTCCTCGAGCTTGCCGGAGCTACGCCTCGATAGCACCTGGTGTGTCCAAGATACCGGCTCAATTTTTCAGCAGTGCTACTACGGATGCCGCGAAATCAGCCGCCCAATCCGGTTCCTCTCAAGCCTCAGCGGACCCCTCGTCGTCACCCGGGACGAATGCGAAGGTGGTGGGCTACTGGCTTGTGGGTAGCGCTTTGAGTGTCTTCGGCATTGTGGTCTTTGGGGGCTTGACAAGGTTGACCGAATCTGGGTATGTTCTCTTTGGAAGGAGGCGCTTCTTGTCGGTACTCTCTTCCACGGCCAGGAACGCTGACCAGATCGAAGGTTGAGCATCACGGAATGGAGACCGGTGACGGGATCCCTACCGCCCATGTCCGAGGAAGACTGGCAGTCCGAGTTTGACAAGTACCGTGCTTCCCCGGAGTTCAAGATGATCAATTCGCACATGGATCTAGCTGAGTTCAAGAAGATCTACTTCATGGAGTGGACACATCGTATATGGGGCCGTTTCGTTGGCCTCAGCTTTGTGCTACCAACGATCTACTTCCTCGCTCGGCGGCGTGTGACGCCCAAGATGGGCCTCAACTTGGTCGGTATCTCAGCTCTGATTGGTTTCCAAGGATTCATTGGTTGGTGGATGGTCAAGTCCGGACTCAAGGACGACCTATTCGCGCCTGGCTCTCACCCACGGGTGAGTCAATACCGGTTGACCGCACATCTCGCCACAGCTTTTGTTTGCTACGCCTGGATGCTTGTTTCTGGGCTTGGTATCCTCCGGACACACCGACTTCTCCGCGACCCAGAAGCTGCTGCTAAGACGTTCGCGGCGCTGAAATCTCCAACACTCAGGGTCCTTCGCGGCTCCGTTACCGCGCTGACAGCCCTCATTTTCACCACGGTCCTGTCCGGTGCCCTTGTCGCCGGCCTTGACGCCGGACTTATCTACAACGAGTTCCCGATGATGGGCAAAGGGTTGACACCACCAAAGACCGAGCTGTTTGACAAGTTCTACAGCCGCAAGGCCGACAGTTCGGACCTGTGGTGGCGCAACATGCTCGAAAATCCTTCCCTGGTCCAGCTCGACCATCGGATCTTAGCCACCACTACATTTACCGCTGTAGTAGCACTCTTCTTCTACAGCCGCACTGGTCGGATCAAGGCTGCCATGCCCAAGGACGTCAGGAAGGGCGTCACCGGGCTGCTGCACCTAGCCCTGCTCCAGGTCACGCTCGGTATCACCACCTTGATCTACATGGTCCCGATCCCGCTAGCTGCTGCCCACCAAGCCGGAGCTCTAGCGCTGCTGACTGGGGCTTTAGTCGCGGGCCACCGGCTGCGGGTGCCGAAAGCCACGCAGGCATTGGTGCAGAGGGCTTTGCAGAACCGCTCCGGCTCCAGGCTTCAGGTCGGCGCAATCAGCAAGAACCTCCCGAAGAGGGTATAGCGAGGGGATGGCCAAACCTGCGAGAGAGCAAGACCAGCGGAGGACGACACCACGATCTAGCTTCTTCCTGGCCGCGGATACCCTGTGTATTTTTAAAGACGTGTACGCATAACAAGAGATACCTACCCCTTCACATACAAGTAGGCGATGGTGTGTAACCATAGACCTCTTTGAATAAAAGAAACGATCTCTACTCAAACCTGAGACAACTGGCTTCGTTGGTCCGTCAACGTGATTTCAGACATAATTATGTCGTCGTCCGGCTGTAGTTAGACCCGATGCCCAAGTGCCCAGAGAATCGCTAGCAGAACGTGCAGCTTTTAGTCCGGGTGTGGGGACACTCGGTATCTGGAAAGCGGGTAAGGCGCTTTGCAGAACTTTTGGCAATGGCATCCCATCCAGTCGACATCCAGGTTCCGCCTGCTCCTAGCCTTGGCCAAGCCCACTCGTCGGTCCCTTGGTTGGAAAGTTCCTATCTAGTCAGCCCCATGAAGAAGGGTCTGGCGAGTCTTATGGAAGCTCACCGCCAGGTTTCAACTTTCCGGCCCGAATGTTCCGCGGGCAGGCGCGCTTTTCAGAACCTGCCTGACGGCTTACACAAGTCGCAACTGCCTTAGGTCTTCAAAACTAACTAGATGGCCTTTGGAAGGAGCTATTGAAGGTAGGGTCTCGGATGGTCTGATCTATCCCCGCCCCAATGGCCGACCCTCGGGTCTGTTCCTCCTGTGACTCAACCTAGGAGAGAGTTGGTGAAACCTTGATCGGACCTCACCGCCCGATCACTCCCTTCTCGGCCGTTCCCGCCCCTCATCTTCTTCCTCGAGCACCGCGACGCCGTTAGCAACAAAAGGATGAGCGCCCTGGCGCTGGGAAAGGGAACCCTGCGAGGTATAGTTAACGTTTGTCGACGATATCCACCAGAAAAGTCCCGGAGCTTTAGGTCCTCGAGCAAGTTACCGAGGCCATCCCCATGCTTCCTGGCGGCTTCGGTTCTCTCTCTCGCTCTCTCTGGTCAACCCCACGAGTCCGCCCCTCGGCATCACAGCTCACGAACCCTAGTTGGGCGCCTTGTGACATCATCCAGGTCAGCAAACCAAGCCCTCCCCCCGGTTCTCATTGTCTGCCCAACGCAACCGCACGAAGCGGTTAGGTATATAACCCCAACCAACAGCCACGATCGAGAGCCACGATCGTGATCCATGTCCCAGCCACGAGACGCCACAGTTCAGTCTCGGACGACAACGAGTCTAACAGAATACACTTGGTCGACTAACGGCACAGCTTTGAACCATTTTTACCTTTGTTGAAGGGGCATATCGTGGGCTCTGTTTCCTCTTTTTGCTCTGTTGGGCATTTTTACCGCTTCCAGCCGCAGCCCCCCCTTCCCACGGCATAATCTGCCGGGACGGACACGTACAGTAACATACCCTAGGGCACAAGACACGGCAAAGCGAGAGATAAGCCACACCCAAGACCCTTCCAACCTACTCCAAACCCCCGCCCGGCCTTTCGCCCAGCCCCCCTCAAGCACGATATCGTATTTCCCGCACGCACCAAGTCAAGTCAAGTCAAGTTCTAGCGAAAGTTTCAAACAAAGCAAGCCAGCCAGCCCCCAACACACACACACACGCACGCAAACCAAACAAACCATGTGCTTCGAGTGGAAAAACCGCTTTACTTGCGGCCACATCGGGTTCAACAAGGTCGAGCGGTGCAACCTGCTTGGGACGGGCTGCTACGGGCCGGACGGAACCGAAAAGTTCCTCGAGTTTGGCCGCCTTTGTTACGACTGCAACGCCCGCTTGCTGGACCCCATCCCCGTCCCCATCCCGCTCCCCATGTCTGGGGTGAGGAGCAGCGACCCATTCTTCTTCCAGCGGGCGATGACAGTGGGCCACTTCGCCCAGCTGGAGGGAGAAGATTCTGCCTCAACAGCCCCGGCTCTAGAAGGAACAGAAGCAGCGGACGCGAGGGAGTTGGGTATAACCGCGGGGGGAGAAGGGGCTGGAGATGGAGGGGAAGGGGAAAGGGAAGGAGGAAGAGGGGAGGAACTGCGAGGCAGGGCTGGGGCGCCAGGCAGCGAGAGGGGAGCAGGAGGAAGAGGGGGGACGACAAGAGGAACAGCAGCGGCAGCAGCAGCAGCCAGAAGAAGACCAGGTGGGAGAGAGGGGGTATTGGCCGCTGGGCCGCCGGCGCCGGCGCAGGTCGGGTCACCCGGGAACATGTCGGTGGGGTCGTTGGCACGATCGGGATCGCGATCGGGATCAGCTTCGTCTGGCCAAGAGGGAAATTGAAATCCAGATGCATGGTTGGGCATGGGGGGCGGGGCTGTTCTTTTTCGGGAGCGGGATTGCGAGAATGCTCATTAGGAAAATTTTGTCCTTTTGGAAACGCCGTGCCCCCTGGTTCTTTCTTGTCTTTTAGCATCCTTCATGGCCATTTAAATGAAACTTCACTTGACCTCGGGGTGGTTGGGTTGCGAGATTCACAAACTGCAGAAAGGGATGGTGGGCGGTGGTCCACAGACAGGGAAGATGAGTGAGTGGTTCGGATCGGGGATCGGTGGAAGGTGAGATGTGTGATTACCTCGCCAGCACGGGCGTCCAATCGACGGGCCGAACATGGGAAAAAGCCTATCCTTTGCGAAGGAAGCGGTAAATACGATCGGGGTCGAGAAAAGATCGAAGTTTGCGCAACCGAGCAAATGGAGCCTAATGAAATTCGGTTGTAGCTTGTGGAAAGGCTGTCGCGGGAAGATGCATGTTTGCAAAATGGGACGGAACACGGACCGTTTTTTGTTCTTTCGCGAGGTTGCCGATTGCGACAGCATGGGAAAGGTAACGTTATGCATGAAAAAAAACAACCCACAGTTCTGCAACGATGGGCAATCTTACAAATTCCATCCCGCGGCTCAATGCCAGGCCACAAAAACAGCGCGAATCTGCTGTCGCAGGGGTGAAGACCGAGCCCCCGTGAAAAAGTAGATTACATAAGCAATTCTTCTTGTCCGGCTCCCCGACTGCTAGATAGATCACGTGACAGCGCGAGGGCGCCACGCGCCTGGCAGCGATGCAGGCAGGCGCAGCTCTCGAAGGCCCCGCCCGTGTATGGTTTCAATGGAATTGCAAACTTGAAACACACCTGACTTCCCTTTGCCTTCATCTTTTCGCTTTATTCCCCGCCGACGTCCCGTCCGGCTTGCCTTTCCGCTTCGTCCCCAATGGCAAGCGGGGAATGGATGCATTGACGTTTCTCGCCATTTCGCCTTGCACAATGCGATGAGGAAGTGTCCACTTTCCATCCTCCCATCTAACAAATAGGCATTTTGCCTCGCCAGCAAAAACCCATCTCTCCCCGGCAGTTCGTGGTCCACAATACAGCCTTGTTTCTTTGAGGAGAAGGGAAAAAAAAACCCGAAAAGGGACAATGCCGGGCAAAAAGCGGAACGTTGCCCAACCGCCAGGACCAGGGAGAGCGACGCGTTCTAGCGCACGAGTGAGGTCGCAGACTGGTAGCGGTGGTAATAATGGCGCATCTTCAGCATCATCGTCGGCCGCGGTCCCACATGTGTATCGCCAAATGGTCGCGGAGGCTAGGAGAGAGATTAGAGCGCAGGAGCTGGATGATGAGGAGGAGCCTGAACGGCCGGTGAAGCGCAGACGGCCGGGGGAGGGACGGCCTGCGAGGAGGGCGGAATCATCGCAGAGAGGTGTTGCGGAATCTGCTGCTCGCAGTCGTGTAGTGGGAGCAAGGCTAGGAGTTTCTGACGATGGTGGTGATGATAGTGATGCTGACGAGGGGGAAGGTGTGGACGTTATGCTCCCACCACCTACGGTGCAAACTGTAACGAGGGATTCGGATGACGAGGATGATGAGGACGAGGATGACGAAGAGGATATTGAGTTTGAAGATGTTACGATTGACAGGACCGGGTCTTCGTCGGTGCCGAAGAGCAAGCCCGGCCAATCCACTGAACTCAATCTGGACCTTTCGGCGCAACTGGCCACACAAACCGCTCTGCGGCAGATCAACAGGCGCAAGGCTATCAGTCGGGAAGAAAAAGCACGTCGCATCGAGGTGCACAAGGTCCATCTCGTGTGCTTATTAGCGCACCTCGAGATCCGGAATCGGTGGTGCAACGACGAGCAGGTTCAAGAGGTGCTTCGGTCATTGTTGCCGCAGAAGACGATTGGAGCCTTGATCCCTCGGGCGAGCCTGAATCAGTTTGGGCGGTCCGAGTCGTTGAGAAAGGGCCTACAGGAGGCGAAAGACTTGTTCAAGTCCAGGTTCACCATCACGGAGAGGGGGCTACGTAGGGCGTTGTGGGCGGAAGACGAGGAGCAGCTGAAGGATGTGTGTTGCTCCGTGTATTCACCCCTTGTTACTTGATTCAGGCAATACTAATCGGCGTGGTAGTATCAACCCCCCGATGATATCGACTCCACGCTGGAGAAGAGTGATTTCCTCGAGGCGGCCAAAACGTTGCGAGGCTCACGCGATGTAGGCGCGCAATTATTCTGCGCCCTGCTTCGGTCCGTAGGGGTCGAGGCCCGTTTGGTCTGTTCGCTCCAACCCCTTTCTTGCTCACCGGGCGCGCCGACGATGCCGAAGCCGAAAGCGCGCAAGACTCAGACGCCACAGAAGCAACCATCTCGGGCTGAGATCTATGCAGCGGCACTTGCTAGGCATGAAACCAGGTTTCCCGAATTCCAAGCTGGTGCAACAACCCCATCCCCCCGTCGGCGGCTCGGCCATCCGAATGCAGCTGCTCACATCATCCCATCACTCACCCCGCCAGCGCAGTCGCCTTCCCCGAGACCTACGGCTCGTACTCACACCGGCATACGGGGCGAATCCCCCTTCCCTGTTTACTGGGTTGAAGTCCTCGACGCTGCCCACCAGAAATGGCACCCGGTCGACCCCCTCGTGACATCAACGCAATGGAAGCCACGCGTTCTTGAACCCCCAGCCTCCGACAGCCTCAATACCCTGACATATGTCATCGCCTTCGAAGCCGACGCCAGTGCCCGTGATGTCACCCGGCGCTATGCCAAAGCCTACACCTCCAAGACCTGTAGACAACGTATCGACAACCCATCCTTACCACCTGCCGCCACGCCCAGCGGAGGTATCACAGACGGCTCACGTTGGTATCGCGCCCTGTTAGCACGCTATACGCGGCGACGGCCTACAGATCTCGATCAAATCGAACTCGTTGAACTCGCCGCTGCTGAGGCGCGTGAGCCGATGCCACGCAATGTGGCCGATTTCAAAGACCATCCCATATACGCCCTCGAGCGACACCTACGTCGTGGCGAAGTGCTCGCGCCGGGCGCTCAAACCAGCGGTACCGTTAGGGCGGGCGCGAAAGCCCCACTCGAGAGGATATACCGCCGGCGTGATGTCCATATAGCCCGGACGAGGGAGCGATGGTACCGCATGGGCAGGGTAGTCAGGGATGGCGAGGAGCCAGTAAAAAGCGTCCCAAAACGGCGAGTCCGTAAGCGCGGGATGGGCGGTATCGGTGTGAACGAGGACATGGAAGACGACAACGACGACGACATCGACGACCCCGATAAAGTCGGTCTATTCGGCGACCTAGCCCACGGCAACACACCACTCTACACAGAATCCCAAACCGACCTCTACACCGCGCCACCTGTCGTCGCAGGCCGCGTGCCCAAAAACAAATTCGGCAACCTCGACCTGTACGTCCCCAGCATGGTCCCGCGCGGCGGAGCGCACATACGGCACGATCGGGCCGCGCAAGCGGCGTTTACTGCGGGTGTTGATTACGCGCCGGCGCTGACTGGGTTTGAGTTTCGCGGGCGGCAGGGCACGGCGGTGCTTAGCGGGGTGGTGGTTCCCGAGGAGTGTGCGGACGGGGTGTGGGCGGTGATTAGGGGGTTGGAAGGGATGGAGGAGGAGGAGGAGAGGGAGAGGAGGGCGAGGAGGGCAATGAGGATGTGGAGTTGGTTTTTGAAGGGGTTGAGGATTCGGGAGAGGATTTGGGCGGGTGTGGATGAGGAGGGAGAGGAGGAGGATTTGGGAGAGGGAGAAGAGGGGGTCGAGGGGCATGATGAGGACGAGCAGGCAAAAGACGAAGGGAAGGGTAAGGAGGTGTTGGAGGATATGGATCTTGAAATGGAAGATGCGGGTGAGGATGATGGTGTGGGAGGTGGGTTTTTCGTGCCGGATGAAGACGACGACGATGATGATGGGGGAGGCGGAGGTTTTATTATTGAGTAAGGGTGGTATATAAGGTGGTATTTTACTCAAATTATCAAATCCTATGTGTTATGACTAAAAGAGAGAATGAGTCTACATGTAGGTGTCTGGTCAGCTGCACGGTGTTCCAAATTTTCAAGTCTAGTCTACAATGATTTTATATTACACCCGTTACATTTTGCATTTCAGCAGCAGGAGCAATAAGTATGTGAAGCAACTGAGTTGTCAACCGGCAAAATTCCACAAACCCCACTAACCCAAAAATTTACTCATGCAACAATCAATCAATACATACCTATTACACTGCATCACCCCTCAACACAACAAAAAATCATTTCTGCCCCACGTCCCGTCTTATCCTACAACACTCAGAAAACATGAACAGCAATAAACCACCATCAACACCACCTCCAACACACCCACCAACTTTACACCTGCCCATCAACTGGCCAGCCCACATCCCATACCTAACCCGCCCTTCCTACTCGCGATACCTCACCCCGGCCCATCTCCGGGCCCTCCGTACCCGGCCCGCGGCCAACTCGGCGGACCCGCTCCCGGTGATACCGCGCAGTCTGAGGCCAGGTCCGTGTACGTCGGTTTGTATTGTGCCGATTACGGATTTGGGACGTGAGTTTTTTTTCTCTTTTTTGGTTTCTTCTTTTTACTTGTTTATTGTGTGTAGCACAATATGACTGGACCTGCAAAATTGAGATAACATTACAATCTACGCTGCAAACAAAACGGGTGTTGTACTGTGTAGCTGTAGCTAATTGTTCTACGGCCTGATCAAGACCCTGCAAACGGTCAAGCCGGGCTTTTCGCGACACGGGATTTGGCCCCGGGGGAATTGATACTGCCTTATATCGGTGAAGTTCACATTGGGACGGCACCGTTTGGGCGTATCGTTGTCGAGAGTAGCGACGGCAGCGACGGCAGCGACGGCAACAGCACGGGGAATACCACTACCGTCAATGCACCCGATACAACCACCACCGTCAACATAGCGTCTGATACCAACCCTAGTGAGCATCATGATCATGACAACGATCCCCAACGCAAGAAACCCAATCATGAGTCTTCCCACGAGTCCGATGTCAACCCTGACAAGGATAAACACAACGACCAAGACAACAAGAACAACGACAACAACGATGTTGATGCCACCTCTGTTGTTGAAGACCAAGACGACCCCTACGACTACGCCACATCAGACTACGACCTCTGGATCGACCGCGAGTCCGACCTCGCCGTCGACGCAGCACGAGCAGGCAACGAAGCCCGCTTCATCAACGACTACCGCGGTGTGCCGGGGCCGGATCAACACGTCAACTCCAACTTCAAAACGAAAAAGCAGAAAAAAGATGACCAGAGAACCAAAGCCAACGCCGAGTTCCGAACGGTATGGGATCCGCGCACAGGCGAAAGGGGAATGGCGGTGTTTGTGTTGCCGGCTGGGAAGAAGGCGACGGGGAGAGCGAGGACGGTGGGGATTACGAGGGGGGAAGAGGTGTTGGTTAGTTATGGGAGGGGGTTTTGGCAGGGGAGGAGGGAGGTTGAGGGTGATGGGGGTGATGGAGGAGATTGGGGATTGGGGGGGTGATGGAATTTAGTATTAGGCGTGACGGTAAATGGGGTTTATAAATTCAGGTTTTGAGAAGCACAATGGGAGCTGCTATCTGCAGTCGTTGAGAAATGTTGTTAGGGAAATATCTAATTGATGGCTTGTGTGAATCCCGTGAGAGAAAATTCGAGGTTGTGCTTCGTGGCCATGCTTTACTTGTGGCTAGGAATTATTCCCTTACGTCCATTTATACCGAAAAAAAAAAACGTGACGTGAATTTATTGGGCTTAAGTGCAAAGGGCTATCACTGACCTCTGTTTTTATGGAAGCAGTCTGAAAGAGGCGAGAGTTTTGGTTCTGGCACAGTCTATAAGTTAGACATTGCATTCATGAAGTTTTACAAGAAACAGTGCAGTCTGGCCCGGGACTGGGCGGAAGGTTGATTCTGGGCGGCGGGCTGTTTTGGCGGGGTTATAGTGGGGGCCCTTAAGGCCCAGGGTTCAACCCCACTTAGCGCCTCGGCCCGCCAGGCCCCAACTTCCACAGTCACCCACCAGAACTCCAATTGCATCATCAATCACCAACTTCACCGACTATCACCAACCTCACCACCGCCGATTGCCCACTACAGACCCCCCGAAACCGCCATCATGTCGCGCGTCATGCAGATGCCGCCTCCCCCACCACTCCTGCTCACCAAGCGCGTGACAGCATTTCTACGAGCCAATCTCTCGCCGCACATCCACTCGGCCATGCTGACCTCCCCCGCGGGCAGCCTCCTCGCCCACGCCAGCAACCTCCCCTCCAGCGCCCTCCGCCGCCAGGCCGCCGTGGCCGCCTCGCTATTCCAGGGCCCATCCGACACCCCCGCAACATCCACAACCAACACGCCGGCCCCAGGCGGGTCCGTACGATCCCGCAAGTCGGGAAAACACGCCTCGCCCTCTGTAACCGTCCACCTCGACAACGGCGCCGTGTTTGTGATCCGCCGCCTGCGCTGCGGGATGTTGTTTATCTGTATGGGCGGGACGGAGGGTCCGACGGCTTCGGGTCGGGTTACTCCGACTGGGCCAGCAGCACACCACAATCGTCGCAACACAACCGACGCACACCCACCCCAAGACGACGACCAAGACACGCCTCTTAGTCCCACAACCACCATCACAGCGTCCACAACCGCCCGCTCCTCCCGTCCATCTACCCCACCAGCACCATTCGCGCCGTCGGCAACCACCCCGTCTATTCTCACTACACCTCCTCCTAACCCAGCACCACGATCCATCCAACAACCACCCTCAACCTCCATCCCAACACCCGGCCCATCCAGCGCAGCAGCAACAACCCCCTCCCCCACCTCAACCCCCCAACCCCAACAACAACAACACCAACAACAACAACAACCACCAAACTCCCCCTCGCAAGCCTCGATCCTCTCCTCCCACACAACAGGCGCCGCATCAACAACAACAAGCAGTACCAGCGCCACAGCGACAACACCCACGGCCGCAGCAGCCTCGCTGATGAGGCGGCAGGTGGATGAGCTGGCTAGGTGGTTGGATGAGAGGTTGGGGGGGTTGAGTGTACCTGAGGAGGGGATTGGGCTGGGAGGGGGGAATATTGAACTGGCGGTGCGGTAGGGAAAGTAAGGGTGGGACGGAAGAGGGGAGAGAGAGGATGATAGGTGGATAGCTGGGTTATTGAGACAAGGCAGGCAGGGCAAGGCAGGCAGGGCAAGGCAGGCAAGGCAGGCAAGGCAGGCAAGGCGAGGAAAAGGGGGGACATTGTTATTCAGTCCGCGTGAGAGAAAGCGAGTGATGCAAAGGCAGACCACCACGACGGAGAAATACCCAAAAAGACACCAAAAGAAAAAGGGCATGAGGAGGGAACTTCAAAGGGAATAATGAGTTTAAAATCGAAGACCGAGTGTGCGCAAACTTGACGATCAAGGCCAAATCTAGTGTGATCCAGTCCTGGGATATAGAACAGTCAGGTTGACTATACCTACAAGCCTACAGCGATGTACATACACGCACCACTCCCCACTCCCAAAGACCGACCTGCTCGTGTCAATGCTTGTTATACCATCGGCTCGGATCATATAAGCTTAACCCGGGGACGGCCATCGTATATACTGTACTATACTGTACTGTACATACATACATATACAGATCACAGAGCCCAAGGGAAAAGTCACCGGATTCAGAAACCACCGTGATTTTGTCTCATGTTTGAAGTTGGAGTACGTTAAATTAACTAACTAACCCCTCTTTCCCGGCAATCCGGCCAGGTAAGTTAAAGTAAGTAACTAAGTAAACGCCTTCCCAGCCAGCTATCTACAGTAGCTAGCTCCCAGATCCCTTCTGCTGGCCGTTCCTCGGCTCAAAGAAAGGACAGAAGGAGGGCCCAAAGGAAGGGGAGAAAAAAAAGAAAGCAAGACAAACCCGTCCATTCAACGCCCCGTCCTAATCGTAGTGACGACCCCTGTGATCCGTGATCCATAATCCGTGATCTGAATGAATCAATGGGCAAATGGGTGAATGAGAGAACCATCCTCAAAACCCCGGCCCAAGTCACAAGTCCCAACTCAACCAACTCAACGCCATCGCGATGCCCTTGTTGAAGTCGAAGGGGAAATGAAATAAAAGGGAAATGAAAAGAAAAAGAAAAATAAACGAATCGAATTGAATCGAAGAACCTCTCCCCACCTAGTGAGAAGCTAAAACCCAGTGAGAAACTGAAAAAACGCCCGTAGATGCACCTGTGTGCCGTGTGCCGTATAGTGCTGTGTCGTGCAGCTTGTTTTTATCCCTCTTGCTCACTTCTCTCCCTCTATCTCTGTCCCTCCCTTCCTCTCTTCCCCTTCTCTCCCTCTCTCTTTTCTCCCTCTCTCTTCTCTCTCGCTAGGTGAGACCAGGGGACACCCTACTCAATACTCAACCTCGTAATCCCATCATTCGTATCCACCATCCCCTGCAGTCCAATCCTTAGTTTCCCGGTACTCCTCCCCCCAGCACTCCCACTCGTATTCCCACCCGTACTCCCACTCCCACTCCCATTCCCGCTCCCACTACCAGCACCGGTACCATCCCCCCCAACACTCCCCGGCCTCGACGAAATCGACACACCCCCACTCCCTCCCCCACTTCCACCCCCTCCCACTCCTCCTTGAGTTGCGTTCGTAGCCCCCCACGGCGCCATATCCCTCTGCAACGGACTCTGCAGCACCGGCGAGTTATGCACACTCATCCCCGGACTCACAGCGCGACGCTTGATGCTGACGGGGTCGAGATCATCGTCTCGGCCGCGACGCCGTTTGCTGTTGATGCGCCGGGTTATTTCGGCTGCTGTGGGGGGGGTTGGACCCAGGCCGCCTCCGAGGCCTAGACCGATTCCTAGGGGGTTGGTGTAGGAGTTAGAAGTGGAATGGCTAGTTGGTGGGGGGTTGGGTTGAGGGGGTTGGTTTGGGTTGGGGGTGGCGGTGGTGTGGTTGTTGTTGCTGCTGCTGCTGCTGGGTCTCTGGGAGGGAAAAGACGGCGTACCGTGACCAGAGCTAGTAGTTATCTGCCCCCCCGCGCTTCCACTCCCCGGCGGGACAAACGAATTCCCCTGGCTCGCACCACCATTAGAGCTCGTCGACGGCGAGTCCATGCTCATATCCTCCAAACTCATAACCGACGAGGACGCGCGCGCAACAAACGACGGCGGAGGCGGCGTAACACGCTGTGTAGCCCCCCCGCCCGTGCTACTCGTCTCGGAAAAGGTATCCCAGAACACTTTGCCCTTGGAGTTCTTGATGGCTTGCTGCTTGAAGGTGCCACCAGTCATCATCCCGGCGCCGGAACCGGAGCCGGAGTCCATCATCATGATGTCGTCGGTGATTTCCTCCAAGCTGTCGTGGGTGGCTAGGTTTGGGCTGGAGAGGGCGGTCGAGGGCCCGGATTGTGGGAGGGGGTAGCGCGGCTCGAGGTCCATGTCGCTTTCGCGGACTTGGCGGACTACTTCGGCTTCGTGGCGGAATTCGGACTCGACGGGCGCGCTCTCTTCGGCGAGGGCAGCGCGGATGCGGGCGAATCCTTTTGTTTTGGGCTAGCCGACGTTAGCATACATATGACCTAACATTGGGAGTTGCCGGGGGAAAAAAAAAAAAAGAAAAAGAAAAAAAAGAAAAACTTACCAGTAAATTCCCCCTCCGGGTAACAGCCCGCCGCACAATACTCGGCCGCGACGGACTATCCATTCCATCCGCCTGCCTATGACTATCATCGCTCTCATTCCCCGATATATTCAACTGGTTCGCCGCCCAGCTAATACTCTCCCGCCTCGCATGCGGCGACATATCATGGCCACCCCCCATCATGCTATTCGGCGGCGACCTGGACATCCCAACCGACGACCCCGCAGGCGAGTGAAACCCCAATCCAATCGGCCCGCGCGGTTTCTTCTTGGGCTGGTTCCGCTGCTTCTGCCGCTGCCGCTGCCGCTGTTGGAAACTGAGCAAATTGCTGGCCGCCGGCGACCCCGGCATCCAGGGCGCGCCCATGGAGGAACGTGACATGCCGACTTTTTGTACCTGCGGGGTTGTGATGTAGGCTTCGTCCATGTCCTCGTCCATGTAATCGTCGTCGTCGGAGCTGGAGGACAGGTCGGACATGGCGTGGCCGGTGGTGCTGCCTACGGAACTGGCGGCGATGTGCATGCGCTCGTGATTGCCCATCATGGACCAGAGCGAGGTCGAGGTCTGGTCTGCGCCGGAACCGCCGCCGTATTCGGCGCGACGACCCGGAATGTTCATGGCGCGCGATCCGATTGTCGGAGAAGAATCGGGTGAGGATGGTGCGGCGAGGGTGGAATGGTGCAAACTGGTGGCTGCACGGGAGAAATCGAGGCCGCGGGAGCGACGCGGGAGGATGTTGGTGGGCGGCGAGGCATATGGGTGCTGGTCGAGTTTCGGCGAGTGAGGCGGGGGCCGGGCGAAACTGGGTTGGCCGGCGGCAGGCGAGGCGGGTGCAGGTGCGGATTCGGGTTCCGGATCGGGCGGTGGCATGCGCAGGAGGAGGCCGCGGGCGTGAAAACCGGCTCGGACCGGGGTGGAGGGGGGAAGTGCCGGGGCGGTCTGGCGGGTTTTATCCCGAATGGCGATATCGTCCTTGGAGAGGCGCAGGGCGGCTTCGACAATGTGAGGCGAGGGAGACAATAGCTTGGGGGTGTGACCGCCGTCGGAAAGCGAGCGCGACTTGGGCACGGGAGACCGGGCTCCTCGTCCCGACGGACCAAAGGTGTGATCGTCCACTATGGCCACATCGCCCTCCACATCCGACATCCGCGACAAGTCGTCCATAACGGCGGAGGCGGATGTTGGTGTGGTGGATATTAGTGTTAATGTTGGTCGGTGCCAACGGGTACTGGCTAGTGTCAGTCGATATGGTGTGAGTGTCGATATCCACGCGTGCTCGACAAGCCCCTCACTTCAAAGTTCACGCGTTTTCCAGTGTTTCCGTCTCTTCCCCGATGCGTTTGCTCCCTCAATTCGCGTTCATCCGAAGCCGAGTCGTCGATGCGGTGCTGGGCAGTGAAGTACACTAAGTTGTAGGTCAATCTGAGGTACAATTCGTCCAGGCGTCCATGTCTAAGGCCGGCGAGGTACAATTAATGGATATGTGCGAGGCGCGGTTGATAAGTAAATGAATGAACGACAGTGAACCGAACGGCAGACTCACGACCAGGGTCCCCGGACAAATCACCCCACCACGTGTGATTGCCCCGCAATGAAAGACAGTCCCAGGGACAGTGCGAACATGGATAAACAGACAAATGCACAGTGTAACTACCGACTCTTCTACGGAGTACACTGCAACTTAAGTTCATGGGGAAAGGTCATATATTGCTTCATCACCCTTCGTCAAAGCTAAAACACTAAGAACCGTGGTTTTGGTGGTATGCTTGAAAGAAAAGACCAAGGAACCCAATTCTCATATTACCGAAACAAGCAGCAAAGAAAATAAAAGATAAAAATGATAAACATCAAATTGTGGACAACCCGACGAACAGCGAAATAGTTGCGTTGCCGTCCATATCATAACATCAAATCCTATCTAATTCCATTCCAGTATTACAAAATACTAGCGTTAATGACCAGCACAGAGCGGCGTTATGTACCTAAGTGTGAATTACTCCAGGTTGTAAGTCAGAAAGGAGACTGAAAAGACATGGATTCCGAGCTCATGCTATGTAAGGTACTTGATCTCATAGTGCAAGTCATCGTAAACAATAACAACAAGGAAATACAAACAATAACAACAAGGAAATATAAACAAAAACAGATCAAAACACAAGCAAAACAACAGGACAAACCCATACGAATCAGACCAAACCAACCTACAGCTTAACCAGACTAACATTCAAGATCCCCTCCGCCTTGGCCAACTCATCCAACAACCCTTCAGTAACATCCCCCGCCACGCCCAAAATCATCAACGCCTCCCGATCACTCCGATCCTTCGTCTCCAACGGCCCATCCACCACATCCCCCGGCACAGCCAGCCCAGCACCCTTCCCGTCCAGCGCAGCAACCTGCATAAAATTGATATTCACCCCATGCTGACCCAACACCATACCCACATTCCCAATCTTCCCCGGCTGATCAAAGTTATGCAGCACCAACAACGTCCCCTCGGGCGTGAAATCCGCCCGGAACCGACCCAACCGAGAAATATACGCACTACTCCCGCTCACATACCCCTCGATCGTCTGCTCCTCCCCATCTCCTTCCTTACCCGCAGCACCAGCATCCGTACCCGTAGATGTACTCAAACTCCTCAACGTCACACTCCCCCCACTCCCACCACCCACCCGGGCCACACCCCCAGCATCCTCAGCCCGAACATGCTTCTCATCAATCGCGATCCCGCGCTCCCGTGCGACGAGCGTGGCATTGACAATATTGACGTCGCGGCCGCGCAGGTCGCTGATGGAGCTGACGAGGCCTTTGACGAGGGCGGCGAAGAGCGGGCGGGTGTTGCTGATGCCGGCGAGCTCGCCGTGGTAGGAGAGCTCGAAGCGGCGGTCGTTGCGGGAGTGGGTTTGGGTGGCGAAGTGTTGGGTGTAGAGGCTGCCTATGCGTTCGACTCTGTTTTTTACTTAGTAAGTGGTGAGGGCTTGTTGTAAGGGAAACAAGGAAGAGACGTACAACTTCACAAACGGCTGCAACCGCCTATACTCATCCGGCAAAATCAACGGCGCATTCACCGCCGCCGTCGGCAACCCCCCCCTCAGAACCTCCACCACCTGCGTGCACACATCCATCGACACATTCTCCTGCGCCTCGACGGTACTCGCCCCCAGATGCGGCGTACTAACCACCTTGGGATGCGCCGCCAGCTTGGCCGCGACGGAGTCGGGCAGGGGCGGTTCCGAGGTGAACACGTCCAGCCCGGCGCCCGCTATCCACCCTTCGTCGAGGGCTTTGAGCAGGGCGGCTTCGTTGTAGACCCCGCCTCGGGCTACGTTGAGGACGCGCGCGGTGGGCTTCATGGAGCGGAGTTCTTTTTCGCCGAGGAGGTTGGCCGTGCTTGCTAGGAGGGGGGTGTGTACTGTTAGGAAGTCCTGGGTTTGTCAGTATCTCCGGGCAACCGTAAGGGGGAAAAGGGGGTGAACAGAAACGAAGTAAACAGGAACGAAGTAAACAGGAACGAAGTAAACAGAAATGGGTAGAACTACCAATTCGGGCAACATCCCCCCCAACTCCCCCCTCAACTCCACCCCCTCCCCCCTGGCCACCTCAGCACTAGCATAAGGATCAACCACAACCACCCTCATCCCCAACCCCTTCGCCATCCGCGCAACCTTCACCCCCACCTTCCCAAAGCCCACAATCCCCAACACCTTCCTCCCGACCTCCACCCCGACCAACTTCCCCCTCTCCCATTTCCCGGCTTTCATCCCCGCATCCCCCCTGCCCACATTCCTCGCTGCCGCGAGCAGCAAGGCGATGGTGTGCTCTGCCGCTGCTACTATATTCCCACTGGGACTGTTGACTACGATGACTCCCTGCGTGGTAGCGGCGTCGACGTCGATGTTATCGACCCCCACGCCGGCGCGAGCTACCACACGCAGCTTGCCTTCTCCTCCGGCGGCCAGAACGGCAGCATTGACTTTTGTCTCTGAACGGACAATCAAGGCGTGGTAAGAGGGGATTTGGGCGAGGAGGTCCGCGGGGGAGAGAGAGCCGGGGGCGGGGACGTCGACTTGGAGGGAGGCGGAGCGGAGGAGGGCGAGACCTTCGGGGGAGAGTTTTTCGGGGACTAGGACGCGGAGGGGGGTTATTCCGGGAGAAGAGGTGGTGGAAGAGGGGGGAGGGGATATGGCGGAGGGGGCCATGATGGGGTTGGGTGTGTTAGTTATAAAGGGGTTAATTGTTGGAGTTGGGTAAGTGGTAAGTTGGAGAATAAATAAACAGTACACGGAAGAGAAGGGAGGTCGAGTTACATGGTGACACCTCCGTCTTATATACCCCCTCAACAACTTGAATCAACACCCCCACTACTAAACTCCAAGCAGTCAAAAGAGTCAAAAACACCCCGCGATTCTCATCTGCGATCGTCACGTCAGGTGTCGGATCTCATACACCAGCCGCTGCAGTATTCCCAATCTGTCAACCAAGGCAACCCAACTACAGCTGATCTAAGTCTTGCAGGCTGTGCTACACCGTATGCATCTGTCGAGCGGCTGGTCGGATGGGTTCCGAGTGGGGGTTGTTCAAGTATATCTGTGTGTATGCGGTTGAAAAGAGGTAAATGAGGGGGAGGAGTATCATATTGGGGCCGGATTGAGTTGGGGTATCTACCCGTCGAGCCGTCGATGTACTGGAAAGGAGGGTCAAAGCAAGGAGGGACGGGAAGCATCACACCACCTTCTTCGTCCCGTCTCATGGACCCTTACAAGTTCACCCAATCCGGTGTTCTTATTATCCAGATGCATATGTCATCGCCTTTTCTCTGCTTACCTAGGTATTTATCCTTTCCACTCCAAGTCTGTCTGTCCCTTGTCTCTCTCTCTTCCTTTCTGGGTTTTTATCCATCCGCCGCTCTACCAAGAACGTCCCAGCAACCCGGGTTCCCCAGCCAATCTAGAACCGAATAAACTCTCGATTGCAGATATCCAGGCATGAATGCAGAAGAAGAACGGAGAAAACCAATGGGCTTCTACTCTCACCTCTCTCATCTACTGTCTATGGTCGAGTAACGAACCGTGCACTCGTGAGTGAAAACGTGCCCGATTGCTTATGATCGCCATCTCCAAATTCGACCCCTCACCCACGCTGGCCACTGCACCCGAACGATAGAGCCACTCAAGCCACTCAAGATGAATGCACCCCACGTTTGGCTAATGCAGCTCTGCAGCCAGCCTGTCAATTGAGTCGTGTGAGCGAAATGCATGCATGGGGACGTTTTGGGCGAATTAACTTGCAGTGTTAGATGGGCGATGAATGAGCGAATCTGCGTTTCATTCCCAAACTTGGTCGAAGGGGATACGTGCGTGATGCGGGTTCTGGTTGGTACATACATACACCGAATTGACATGTCTCCGCGGAATGGTATACACTGGATGGCAGGTTGGACCAAGGGGACAGACAGGCAAAAGTCAGGGCAGTAAGTGAGTGTGTGTTTACGCGCGACAGCCGCTTGAGCCCGTTCAGTCGACCCAGATGTTGATCATATCATGCACGTACATACACAATTCCCGTCTCTCCTCGCCATTCCCAATCCCTCTACAGGGAAGACACAGTCTAAAAGTTATCCTGTCCCGTGAACCGCTCGTTCTGCACAATCTCAACCCAGTACCCATCCGGGTCCAGCACAAACGCCACATTCTTCATGCGCCCGTCCGTCAACCGCTTCTTCCAGTTGACGTTGAGCGACTCGAGCCGGGCGCAGGCCGCGTCAAGGTTGTCCACCGAGACGCCTGTGTATGTTAGTCTCTATTTCTATATGCAGACTAGAGATGGAAAAGAGAGAGGAAAAAAACTCACAGATATGCCCAAACCCCTGCGGCTGACTGTTCCCATCATGGTACTTGAAATTCTCATCCTTCTCCGTCCCATAATTCCACGTCAGCTCCAGCAAGCCCTCGCGGTCCGCCGTGCCCTGGCCCTCGCCCGGCACCCCCTTCTCGCCCGGGTAGCCGAGGAAATAGAGATTGAAGCCCGCCGCCGCGGCCTCGTGCTTGCGGAACAGCGACATGCCTAGGACGTCCTGGTAGAACTTTAGGGATTTTTCTGCGTCCTTGACTCGGATCATGGTGTGGTTCTGATGGGAGGTTAGCAAAAGGCTCTAACACGTACTTCTTCAGAAAAGAAGGGGGGGGCCTACCATCCGATAAGTCTTCACATCCGTCACCTTCACCTCCTCCGTCTCCGCCACGGGCCTCTGCCCAATAATCTCCACCCAATACCCATCCGGGTCCAGCGCAAACGCAATATGCCGCATACGCCCATCCGTCAACTTCTTCTGAAACCGGTACCCAGCCTCCTCAATCCGCCTGCAGGCAGCCTGGATATTGTCCACACTAACACAGGTATGGCCGAACCCGCGGTGCGGCTCGACATTGCCGTTGTTGACGCGGTAGTTGGCGTCGTTTTCGGTGCCGTAGTTGTGGGTGAGCTCGATCAGGCCTTCGCGGTCCCAGACGTTGTTGCCGCCGGAGGCGGCTTGCGGCGAGTCGAAGCCGAGGAAGTAGAGGTCGAATTTGGCGTCGGGGAATTCGAGCTTTTTGATTAGGGACATGCCTAGGAAGGAGTAGAATTTGACTGGGGGAGTGTGAGTTATATGAAGTTACGAATCTGGACGGCCGACTAGGTCTTTACATACCGGACTCCTTGGGATCTTTGACCCGCAGCCTACATCGACTGGTTAACCTCGACTCTGTATCGTGATTTGGGATAGACCTTACATGGAGTGGTTGAACTTGTAGTTCTTGGTATCGGTAGTGGACGCCATAGTAGCAAAGCCTCGCCAAATGCCTTTAAAATTGAACTCAAATGTGAGCACTGAACACCTCATCAAATGCTTTTATAATCTTCAATAAACTCACCTGGTCCAATGTTGAACGTCGGTTTCTTTTGCAGTGAAGGGAAGAGAAAGCGAAGTCTCTGTGCAGCACGGAGTGAATAATTCATGGGGCTCGCGAGATGATTTATGGTGAGATGGTGAGATGGCGGGGTTTGATGCTTGAAGCATTTGGAATCAACCGATGATGCCGTTACACGAAATTACTTGCGTGGGGGTTACATTTGGAGGAGGTGTAGACCGGAGAAAGAGGGAGGATTTTTAGGTCAGCTTACACGTTCAATTAGGAGTTTAAGATTCCACATGAAGAGAGAGAGTATATGAAGGTCAATATCAATTGTCCCTATTCAACACTTCGTCCTTGCGTTTAACACTCTCATCTATCCGTAGCTCATGTTTCTCCAGAACACCGCGTATAATTACCGTCAGTTTCATGGCGGGGTTAACGTTATCCCACTCAGAAATTGGAGCTAGGGCCTCCATGTGGGATGTCTCCACTCTACCTGTGACGTCAGCAAGGGAATGTAGGTCCAAAACAATCCTCGGTGGGTGCTTGGGATGTCACGACCAATTGGTATAAACCACCACGTTAATTATACTAATACACTAAACTACAGCCCACGGAGGGAATAGCACACGTAAAACCCAAGGCAATCTCAACCACAAATCCCTCCAACCGTCCCGGTCCATCCGAAAAGAACCCAATGCAAAACTGACCCTCGCACACCCGAAGTGGTAAACCGTACACAATACCTTCATAAATACAATCCTATTTCATCCAGGCCACCAAATCCAGCAATGCCCCGCCGCTTACGACTTGCCGCCCTTCCGCTTTTTCCTCCGGTTCTTCTTTTTCCCGCCCGCTCCACTCGCCCCCCCTGCTTCCCCTTCTTGCTGTGTCCCTTGTGCAGCAGCTTCCGCGTACGACTCAGGACCGCCGTCTTCATCATCCTCAGGACCAGGTGATAAAAGCGCCTCCTCGTCTTCATCTCCCTCTCCTTCTCCCTCCTGGCCCGGTTGGCTGGGCAGATTCCCAGCTTCGTCCGCTTTATCCTTGCTGTTTGACTTGCCGTCCCTCGCGAAGAGCCCAAACGGGGCACGCGTCACAGAGTGAGAGGGTTGTTGTTCAGGGGACGATGAACCCTGCCCGATTGCCTCCTCGTCCTCTGCAGAACTTGTTGTTTCGAGGACTACCTTCCGCACGCCACGCGACTCGACAATGTTCTCGGTGATGCTGCCGCTGCGGACGTACGGTCGCCCTAGGCTCAGGATGGTATCCGTTCTGCCCGTGGTATCTTCACCCGCTCCGCTCTCGGCGCTGGAGTTGGAGCGAGGTTGTCTGGGCAGTGGCGGGGAAGGCTGTCCCCGTGATTGCCATAGATGTGGTTGTGATGATTCTTCAGTCTCTTGGTCGAGGAGGCTGGGTTGAATGGGGGTTTGTGTCGACTTATCCACACCCTCTGACCCAGCATCGGCGGGAGTATCAGTGCGGGGCGGTACAATCTGTACCGTGATGGAAGGACTTGTGGACCCGTATGTTTGCCTCAGCGCCTGGACGCCGTCTTTGCCAGTAATTTGGGATTTGAGCAAACTGGTGGTCTCGTCTCCTTCCTCCGCTGGTACCTCCTCAGTTGCCGGCTCGGCAGCTGAGCCTGACCGGACATGGGCACCGCTTCCCGGCTTGATCTTGACCGTGGTCGACCGTGTTTTGTTGGGGTTTGTAGCCGGGTTGGAAGGCCCGAGGTGCTTAAGATGTTGCTTGATATCTTGGAAATTGGCCCGGACTGGAACGGTCGTCTTGACAGACTGGCCATCTAAGCCGGCAGAACTTCGACGCATCATCAGCGTTGCTGTCTTAGGACTACTCGACAGCAAAGGTGAATCCGTGCCCGTCGCGGCCGTCGGTTGATCCAACTTCGGGACAGTGAGAATAGCGCTGTCGCTGACGCTATCACTATACCTTGTACTTGGGTCTTCCGACAGTCGCCGTTGGACCTTTGCTTTCGGGGCCGGGGTTAAGCGGCGAATTGCCTTGTGAACGTCAATGTAGACATCCGACTCGTCAATAATTTCCCTAAACAAGTCAGCACGATCTCCTGGCACGTAGTGACGATGCAGGCGGCAGCTTACTCTCCGATCAGCTCCTCAATCACATCCTCTAATGTCACCACGCCAAGGGCGCCGTGATCCTCTCCCGGATACGAAGAGACCAGCACCATGTGGGACTTCCCCTCTTGGAAAAAGTTGACGATATCCAAGCAGCTCGTCTCCGGGCGAGTCTCGGGAAGGGTGGCCAACGGGAAGTCACGGACAAGCTTGGCGTCTTCAGGATCGTAGGTAATGAGAATCTTAACGAGCAACATGCCGACGAAGTTGGTGGGGTTCCCTGTCTCGTGGATCGGGACGCGCGAGTAGCCCGCCGAAAGTATCATATCCATGGTTGGCTCGTCCAGCACGGTGTCTTCGTCCATGACAAAAACGTCATCCATCGGTGTCATCACGTTTGCGACAGGCTTTTCCTTCAAGTCCAGCACCGCGCTGATGATGGTGACCTCGTCTTGGTTTAAGCGCTGCGATACGTCGCCCAAGCTCTTGTGGAGGGTGACTAGGGTTTTCAGTCCGCTCTTCTTGTAGACGGTGCCGTGGTCTTCACCAAGGAGCCAATCGAGTAGCTTCGCTGTTGGCCAGGCGATCGGTGCCATTAGGTACATCATGGCGAGAACCGGTTTGGACATGTAGCCGCCGATTTGCAGGCCATAACGGACACAGACAGATTGGGGAAGAACCTCGCCGAAGATCACTAACGGAAGCGAACGTTAGAATACGGGCCAATACATGTAGGCTTTCAGGACACGCGACGTGGATAAACATACCGATCAAGAACGTGGAGCCCACCACAGCAGCAACACCTCCACCCAGACAACGGTCGAGAACCACGGGGAGTGTCTCGTTCACAATAACATTGGCCAAGAGCAATGTTACCAGCACCCAATGCTTGCCCTTCTTCAACAATTCGTATACTCGTCTCGCGTTTTTTTGTTGCGGTTCGCTCGGATCCCCAGCCATGACCTGTAGGTAGATGCCATCCTGTCCCATCAACCTCGAGGCAAGTTAGCAGCTGTGTTTTCTTTGCATTCCAATCATGCTGAATGTCATCTTACGCAATAGTCAATCCTGCAAAAGCTCCACCGGACAAAACAAGAACAAGCGATGCCACATAAAGCACCCAAAGGCTCGCGCCGTCAGCCTCGGGTTCGTCACCACCACCGCCATGGCCCAAAACATCTAACGGCGCCGCATAGGCTGTCGACAATGTCATGGAGAGGACACGAGCAAGGCCGACGGCCATGGAGGGCACCGCAAAAATGCCATTGGCCTGGCCCGGTATCCTACGCCCGGGAAGGGCTGCGCGGTTGGTCATCGTCGTTATTTGTTGGTAATTCTGACGTCCCGAGTTGGACACGCGACAGTGGGGACGGGAGAAACGAGGAGCAATTGTTTCGGGGGGGGCGAGTCTTTTCCTATGGCACTTAAGACATCATGCCTAGAACGCGGGGGAGGCTCGGCGCTGCAGAGGAAATTTCGTGATGCAGATAAGATCCGAAGTTTGAAGCCGGCAACCGGACGACGGCGAGAAGGAAGAAGTGATGGTGATCAAGGGTTCACTCGCAGCGGGTGGTGGGGCCGCTGCGCGCGCGGTTGGCGCACCTGCTGACGGCGCAGGGAAGCTTGAAGTGGGGACTTTCGTGTAAGCTTCCGTAACGGGTCTCTGCTTGCAATCGCGACAGAATCATCCAACAGCAACGACTTCGTTGTTTCACAAAGCAGGGATAATAATGTAGGCCAAGGCTCGGCGGTTGCTACAATCCTGGCTTTCAGCTTCAAACCAGGAGCGAAGACGGTGTTCGGTCCGTGGAATCCTTCGATAAGAACCCGCTTTCTCAATCTGGGTATTTTCTGTCTTCCGAATCTGCCCGTCACATAGGTCCGCACTACATTGCCAACATGGGGAACATGTTCAATTGGTGAGGTAGCCTTTCGTCTCTAGAAAGCCGTCTGGATTTCGATGTTCCCTTGGAAAAAGATAAACATAACACAGCCTTGAAATAACCTCAGGAACTTCAAAGGTAGCTCCAGAGTAAGTAACTTTCAAAGTTACAAAGTACCGTTCGTCGCTTGACCTCGAAAATAATGGGGCCGATTCCGCTGAGGGGCTGTGGGGCAAGCGGGAGTTCTGCTTGCAGATCGCTCGGCCAACCAAAACATCCGAACAGAAGCGCACGCAGCTCGACCGTGTATCCAGACCACCATGATCCGGGTGGGATCTGAGAGACGGACAACCAACATTCAACCCAAGCTTCTGATCCTCTGACCAACGCCCTGCCGAGTATGCCGGTAACAACTAGGAGCGGTGCGGCCCCTACGACGCGCGGAGAGCGTCACAGCGGCGATAGCAATGACAGTGGTCACGGTCGCGACAGCAGCGATGGTAGCGACAGCAACGAATCAATCCCAGCCCAACATTCACGCCGACGACCACAACCCCAAGGACCTGTCACTTTGAGTGTAAGGCCGCGTCAAAAAGCCGAGCCGGAGCAACACTTTGCCAAGAACCGAAAACGACCCTCCGATGCGACTGCCGAGCAATCGCACCGCAAACACCCGAAGAGAGAAGCCGATGCGCGACAGATGAGGAGAGCCCAAAGCGACGGTGAGGACGCGGGCGTAGACGCCGCTCTTCACGCCACGGCTGCCCGGCCGCGCCGCCGAAACGAGGGTTCGGTGCCCACTACGCGACAACCACAACCGCAGAACCAAATGATAGCAAAGAAAACAGCTACAAGGGGCCGTGACATTCGTGTCCGGCGCTTGCGTCGTAATGTTCAATCGGTCGAAATATTGGGCAACCTCGGTCTACGGGCCACTCCTGTGCAAACCGGCGCTGCATATTCGACCCCTGGAACACCCGAGCCAAGAGACGGGCATGCTGGTGGCTCGACGAATGGGGACGGTTCCGATCCTGCTGGCAGCCCGGAGTTGCAGTCCTCTGCAACCAGACGCCGCACAAGAAATATTCCGTCCGACATATACGATGTTCCCGAGGACGATGATAACGAATTGTCTGATCTTGCCGCAGAGCGGCTCTCGAAGGCCGGAAAGAACGTCATTTCCACCCAGCCTTGGCCGAATCAAGCCCCTGAGGGGCACAGCCGTTTGGAGGAGAGTCAGGACTCCAAGAGCGATTCGGGGCCCTCTGCGAGTAGCGACGAGGATTGGGAGGGGCTTGGCGATCTGGACGTAGACGATTCCGATGAAGAGCAGCTGCCGAATCACGAAATCGTGGTGCGCCCTTACGTGGAGAGGGAACACCTAGTCTCCATAAACTGCCGTCAGGTGAACAACTTATTGGACATCATGGGGAAAGAAGGCTGGGTGGGGCGGAGCAGATGGATCGCGGAACTTGATGCAGCGCGTGCGCGGACGAGGTTGGGGGGCAGCATATTCGCGCATCTCGATGCCATCGGTGATGTTCTGGAGGATGTTCCCAGTGCGCTGGACCTCAAAGCACAATCCGAAATCCTCTCGAAGAACCAGCGGCTGCTCGGCAAAGTCATGGCAAAGTTGGACAAAACTTTGACAACGATGGAACGGTGGGCCACCGACATGGCTTTGCGCGAAAAGAATAAGGCCACAGAAAAGCGTGCCCAGGCTTTTGGTAGCGACCTTCTAACCCTTGCCATCCCTATGGCTGTCCTGGTTCTGCGGATAACCTTCAGCCTGGGCGTGACGAGACCAGACTCCCTGTCGAGTGTCGCGGTTCCCTCCGATGGCCGTTTCACGTGGACCACAATTCAATACCTGATGGTCATCTCGGGGTGGCTATCACGCCTGGAAGCGCTTTCAAAGCCATATTGGGGTAAGCCAGCGTCTGGCCCAGCAGGTGACCCTGAAACCATGCAGGAGAACCAAGCAAAGTTTGCAGCCCTACTCCAGAAGTGGCGGCACCACCTCCGACAACAAGTCGACGAAGCCAACGCGGAACTCGACCGAGCCCGAGAGCTGCGCGAGAAGCAGGCGCGTGACAGGCGGATCCGCGAGCAGAAAGCCAGAGGGCAAGAACAGCAGTGGGCGCAGGAACAAGTTAGCCACGACGCTTGGATGAGATCATTCGGGGTTGTCACCGCCCAGGCTCGGCCCATGGCCGCCAAGTTCCAACAAGCCCTCGCACGCCGGCCCGTGCCGCCCACATACCCCGTACCGCCTCGGCTCTCCGTGGAAAGCAACAGCAGGAGCAGCGACTACACCACCGCCAGACCCACACCTTCAAGTTCAATCCCAGCTCAGCTGCCCCCTGCCCCAATGTCGATACTTTCTTCCTCCCCGGAGCCCGAATTTGAGTCGGGATTGGAAGAAGAGGGCCATCCCTGGGACGAAGAAGAGACGGAGTGGTTTTTGGCGGAGCTGAAACGACCTAACAGGTCTCGGGGTTATTTGGATGTGTGTGCTGATGCGCTGAACCGGAGTCTTGAGGAGGTTGTGGCGTACAAGGAACGGTTGGAGAGAGAGGGGTATTATCGGTCACCGGGTCCATCTTCGCCCAGGTAACAAATGCTAGGGTGGGTTAAAGTCAAGTCCATGAGGGAGGGAAAGCTATGGACGGATGGTATGGATGAGCTGGTGTCAATGGTGAGACCAGGGTTTGTTGTTTTTTTCGCTTTTGCTGTCATTTTGAGAGATACCCCGTTTGGTTTTGGACGTCCCTGTAGGTGGGATGTGGCTTCGCTTAAAAGAAATACGAGTATTTACTTTCCGCAACCTCCGCTGCGCAGCAAAAAATACCAGTTTTGAGCATGAACAAGCCACATCATATTCTGCTTGAGCCATTTAGACCACGGCTAAGGGTTCATGACCCCTTCCTATTCGAGCTGCGTAAAGATGGCGTTCCACAGATATGCAAAGAAATCACGGGGGTACTTGACCTGGTATTCTAGAAAATTGGACCGAGGAAGCACGTTCTGTAAGGTACCCGCATGAGCCAAATTGGGCCACCTCCCCCACGGCATGGCATTTGATACACATGAGACACTGTTCCCGGCGCTCCATGTGTAACACAGGCGTCTAACTAACGTTATGTCGTCAGCGGGATCAACCCGGCACCAAGTGGTCGTTTTCCCGGCCAAGAACCCGGGTTGATCCTCGCGGGGTCGCGTTATCATCCGGTTTGAGATGCGAATTCCTGACTGCGTAAAACTGGCGAAACAACTGTGACGGGAAGGTCATTAAGTTGATGTGTCCTGGCCACTAGTTGCCCTCTTTGGAGGCTGGCAGGGGACGCGAATCAGGTAATTAGTGACAATACATCGCAGCCCACCAATAGATAAGATACTGGGGAGTTCAAACCCCTAATTAGCGAGAGCGTAACGTCTACTTATTTCCAGGCCTTTGCTTTAACTTTGTGAAGGCCGGCAAGCCGGGAACTTGGACCACAGAATTGGAGGCATAGCCAACTCACACTTTGCTTCCGCGCTTCATAAGAGATGTGCAACATCCAGGGATCGGACTACCGCGGCATCGTGAACAACCACCCAAAGGGTTCCCCAAAAGAGGCGTGACCATAATCGGATAGAGGTCGTTGGCGAATGGAGATGAGTGGCGCTGCATGATGACGGGGCCGTGGTTGTGAGTGGATGGCACTGGATGGATGCATGGGCGGACACCCAGCGCCAAAGGGGGCAGTTTGCGTTGAGGGGAATGACCTGATGAATGAATGGGCAAGTGGGCAGGGCCGGCAGAATCGACTGGACCCCAGTAGTTCGCAGCCCCCCATCCGGTGTTTTCTGCAACATCTCCACAGTCCCTGCCCGCCGAGCCCACCCACCACGCTAACAGGCAGCGCCTTTGCCGATCTGGGAGCTCCCCAGGACATGGGAGAGCGGGTTCGGGGCTCCTCTCTTTTTCACCTCCCCTTCTTTGGCGCATTGGGACAAGCAAGGACACAACCTCCTCTTTTTCCTGTGATCACCGCCGGCCACCCCCCAATTGACAACGAAAGGAGCTCTTGCGCGGTGCGTTTCTGTTTCAACTCATCTCATTCGCACTTTCTGCTGCGAGACTCTGTTGCTTGCTGGTTTGCGTACTGTTCCTGCACCTTTTGACACTCGATCTGTTAGCGCCCGCCCGGTCCAAGCGTCCTGCAGTGCGCTTCCCGGCAGATTCAACTCTTTCGCTGGTTCGCTGCGCAGCGGTCTGGAAATCCTTTGTCGGACGACAGACGACAGGGGACAGGTATGTTGCAGCTCTTCTTTGACAACGTTGACCAGCTTCGTTTCGACCCCTCCACAGCCTAGCCTGGTGTCTAGCCCTTGATCGCCAGCGGACACATTGCTCAAGAGGGTCAAGGAAGCTCTCTCTCTCGTTGAGCTCGGGCGGCTTATTTCTTATTTCTTTTTTTTCTTCTCGTTGCGCGCCATCTCTCTTCGCACACCGCCGTTGACTCCCACAAACTGACCCTGTTATAACAACATAGCTCGGGACATACTGCAGTTCAATTGTCGATAGATCTCGCCTCGGTCTCCGTTATTTGCCTCCGTAGCCCATCATGTCCGAAGTCGATAGTTTCGAGGTTGTCCAGCACAACGATGCCCCTGCGCCGGCACCCGCGCCTGCACCCGCGCCTGCGTCGGTAGCCACCTCAGAGTCCGCGGCCCCCTCGACCCCTACCTCGCCGAAGAGTACCGTGGACAAGAAAGCCACGGCCGGTACCACGGCCACGAAGCGCACTACCGGCACTGCATCCTCCACGACTCGTCGGCCCGTCGGCGCTAGTACCACCGGTACCAAGTCGACTGCGAGCTCAACCACAAGCACACGGACTGCCGCCTCGGCCACCGGGGCCAAGCCCCCCGTCCGGCCCGGTACCGCGACCACGGCAGCGAAGAGGCCTTCTACCGCTGCCTCGTCCGTTTCGCATCGGTCGCGTCCTTCGGTTTCCGAAGATGAGAAGAAGCGGGCGCCCCTGTCAGGGGTATCCGCTGCGTCGCGCCGTACTTCCTCGGCTGTGACTGGCACTCCTGCGTCGCCCGCCAAGCCGAGACCCAGCGCCGGCGCCACGACCGCTACCGCGAGGAAGCCTCCGACGGCTGCCGGTGCTGCTCCCTCGCGGACGACTACGGCCACTTCGCGACCTTCGACAATTGGGTCCTCAGCTCCCGCTGCTACGACCCGTACCCTTTCGAAGCCCCCCACCACTGGTGCCGTGGCCGATGCAAAGAAGCGGCTGTCGGTGTCGGCCGCCCCCGCGGCCGGAGCCACTCGCCATGGGCCACGGGCATCTTTGGCCTCGAACGCGTCCAGCGTGACCGCTGGGTCCTCGAAGGAAATCGAGGAGCTCAAAGCCAAGCTTGCCGCAAGCGAGTCCGAGATCACCGAGCTGAAGGCTCAAATCGCGTCGTCCCAGGAGAAGATCACGGAACTTGCCAGCAAGTCCGGCACCGATGACGCCGTTCCAGACGCGGCCCTTAACCAGGAGTCTCTGGAGGCTTTGAAGACCGAACATGCCGCCGAGATCGAGGCCCTCAACGCCAAGGTGTCCGAGGCCCAGGAACAACTTGCGGCGGCCGAAGCCGAACTTGCGACTCAGAAGAGCGAGCTCGCCGAGGCCACTAGCGCAAAGGAGGCTGCCGAAGCCGATCTGGCCAGTTTGAAGACGTCACTGGAAGATCTGAAGGCCCAGCATGCCGACGAGTTGCAAGGTGGAAACGAAGTGATTGTCGCCAACCATGCAAAGGCCATCGAAGAGCTCAACGCGACCCACGACAGCGCCATCGCCGACCTCCAAAAGAAGATTGACGACCTCACGTCGAGCCATGCGACACTGGAAACTGCTCACGAGGAGAAGCTGGCCGCTGCAGCCACAGCTAGTTCCTCTAAGCTGGGTGAATTGGAGGCCGAAATCGCCGAGCTCAAGACCAAGCTCGAGGCGGCAGAGAAGGCTGCTGAAACTGCCAAGTCTGAGCTTGAGGCGAAGACCGCCGCTTTGGCTGCCCTCGAAGCCAAGGTTGCTGAGGCGGAAGCCGAGCTGTCCACTGTCAAGGATGAGACTGCCAAGGCCACCGGTTCGCATGCCGAGCTCCAGAAAATCATTGATTCACTCAAGGAGGAGAGCAGTTCCAAGGATGAGACCATTTCCAAGATCAAGGAGGAGACGGCCTCTGCTGCCGAACACCACCAAAAGCAGCTCCAGCAGGTCAGCCAGGATTACGAGAACGAGATTGAGAGTCTTCGGGGCGATGCTTTCTTCAAGCGTCGCTTTGAGGAGTTGGAGGTCAAGCACGATGAGCTCGTCAAGACACACGACGACGCCGTTGGAAGCCATACCGAAGCTCTAGCGGCCGCCAAGGCCGAACACGAGGCGGCGGTCAAGGCGTTGGAGGCAAAGGAACTTGAGCACCAGCAAGCTCTAGATGCCTTGCAAGCGAGTCATGCTGAGGAGTTGGAGGGCGCCAAGAGCCTGGCTCGGCAGGCACAGGAGGGCGGTGAGAAGGAGCTTGAGGCTCTTAAGGCCAGCCACGCTACCCAGCTTGACATCCTCAGAGGCGAGAGCGAGGCCGGTTTGGCTAAGGAACTCGAGGGCCTGAAAGCGACCCACGCTGAGATTATTGAGGGGTTGAAGAAGGACTCGGATGCCGAGAAGGAGCAGATCATCGCCAAACACGCCGACGAATTGGCTGCCGCGAAGGCGGCCGGCGACGACAGCCAGGCAGCGGTTCTAGAGCAAATCAAGAAGGAGTTGGAGGCGAAGCACGCCGAGGATTTGGCCAAGGTAACAGCCCAACTCGAGGCCGCCAGCAGCCTGAAGGAAGAACTAGAGAACCAGCACGCCGAGGCTCTTGCGAAGCTCAACGAGGAACTTGGATCTGCAAGCAGCGCCCACGCTGAGTTGGAGGCCAAGCATTCCGAGGAGGTCGAGAAGCTGATGGCTCAACTCGAGGCTTCCAGCAACCTCAAGGGCGACCTTGAATCCCAGCACGCCGCAGAAGTTGCGAAGCTAGTGGCCCAGCTTGAGGAGGCCGGCGCCTTCAAGGGGGAATTTGAGGCCAAACACGCCGAGGAAATCGAGAAGTTGATGTCGGAGCTCGAGACGGCCAAGGGTTTCCAGCAGGAAGTCGAGGCTGCGCAAGCCAAGCTGGCGGACGCAGAGGTCAGCCACGCGTCGGCGATTGCATCGCTGAAAGAGACACTGGAGAACGACCACGCCGCTGAGGTGGAGAAACTGATTGCAGGCCACAACGAGGCTAAGGAGGCCTTGAGGAGCGAAGGCACCGCTCAGTCCCAGGCTCAGATCGACGAGTTGAAGGCTACCCACAGCAGCGTCCTGGAGGAGCTTACCGGCAAATCCAAGGCTACTTTGGAAGAGCTAGCCAAGGTCCAAGCCGCCAAGGATGAGGCCGACCAGGCGCTCGCGGCCCTTACGGCTGAACACGCCAAGGTTCAGGAGGAAGTCGACACGCTGCGCCAGCAGCTCGCGTTGGAGAAGATGGAGAAGTTCACAGCACAGGCCGAGCTCGACGCGGCGAAGAACGCCAAGCCGGACACCACGGAACTAGACGCCTTGAAGGAGCAACTTGCCGCCCTCACCGCAAGCCACGAGAAGGAGCTCGCCGGCGTCAAGGACAACCACGAAAAGGCGCTTACCGAAGCCGGCGAGGCGTCGAGCAAGGCTAGCTCAGACCTTGCCAGCATTCGTGAGGAGCTAGCTGTGGCGCAAAAGGAGCTGGAAGCGCACAAGCTCGAGGCTGAGGCCAAGGCGAAGACGTCTGAGGCCGACTACAAGGACATGCACGACAGCATGACCCAGTTGGTTGAGGAGGCACAGACGCTGGCGGCTGAGAACCTGAAGAAGCTCGCGGATGCGGAGCAGCAGGTTGGGGATGCCGACAAGAGGATTGCTGAACTCACGGCGCAGCTCAAGGTTCGGGACGCGGAGCTGGCCGAGGCGAGGGTACATTTCCCTTTAATTGTTACATAATTGATTTTCGTGATGAAAGTGCTGCTGCTTACACGATGGGCTTTTTTATGCAGACTAAATCCGACACCCCCAAGGGTCTAGCAGCAAGCCGCTTTGCCAACGCCAGCGGAAACGACGACGACAACGGAGACGGGGCTGACCAGTCTACAGAAGTTGAGGGTGAGCCGGACCACTCTTCATCGGCATTAGCTTCGGTGCGGACTACCCTAGCGTATCACGCAACATTCTTATAATAACACTTTCCATTCTTTTCTAATCCATGAGTTGAAACGGTGATTGACTAACTGGGGTTTTGTATATCTCTAGCTCGCTAAGATCCAGCAGTCGGTCGAACAGCTGCAAGATTTCGACGACGAGATCTCCAACCAGCATCACGAAATGCTCAAGTCGATCACCGATCTGAAGAAGTGAGCTTGGATTGAAATGAGACAAGAGGGGAGGGATGGAAAGCCGAAATGAGGGTATCCTTTCCTTTTGAGGGAGGGGGTCCCATGTCAGGGTATTGATTGTTCTTTACTCGGAGGTTGTGGAGATGAAAGGGGCGGGCGGGGTCCAGGGGGGTGATGAGCCAAACAGCCATCTTGTCTTTCTTCCTCCTTTTTTCTCCTTCTCTATTGTCTCCTCCATCTCTGTCTCTCACATCCATTTTGGCCATTTTTCTGCCATCGTGTGATTTTTGTTCTTTTTTTTCTCGCAATACCCAGCTGCTTTTACTGTGATACTGCCACAGAGGAGCGGCTGACAGAACATTTTTAATGGAAACGCGGTTCGCATTTTTTGATGCCCAGAACACCTCACAGGATACCCCTTGATTATTAGCGGACTTGTACTTCCTCTCACCTCTTCGAGTCGAGTATCATGCGCGAATTGGATTATATGCCTTGAGTAGTTTGATTTGAGTTTTGCGAGTTAACGATGATCTATAACAAGCTTAACAGGTTGTGTTGGGTCTGACGAGCTCAGGGGGATGAATAACAGCCACTACCTATTCTCGTGTATTTGCTTCCTTCTATCAAGGTGTGAAATCTGACCCAGGCGTAGTAAGGATTGAGTCACCCTTGGTCGTTCCTTCTTGGTATTCACTCACACCTCAATAGGGGACATGCCTCAGATTAAGCCGCTAAGACCGTGCAAAACACCGTGTATAAGTCATATTCACACTGCTTGAGCCACACCATGCGCCTCACCCCAACCCCATCCCACTCCCCACACTTTCTCCAATCAAGCCCGCAAACAATTTTTCCGAGTTTGCCAACCACGGTAAAAACTCCTTCCAGTTCCGTTCCCTCGCGATCGGAGCTGTCAGTTCTTCCGCAGCGAGCGATAATCCAGGCACGGCATCCGACTGGGAATAGTCTCCTGGTCCTTGAACCGAGGTATGTTTTTTCTGACCTTTGTTTGATTTTCGAATCAACATTTTATTTTCCTTTCCTATCCTCCCGAACCCGATCGCAACCGTCTAGCTAGGAGGAGTGTTTCTGTGGCTGCAACATTTGCTTGTGCCGCATCGCACGTCCCTCTTGGGCGAAAATGGCTCCTGGAAATGGTATCACGGGCGACCGCCGATGGTGTTTGTTTGTTCGCGATCCTCTGGTGGTGCTAGTTTATCGCGGTTGATCGATGCATTGGGACTCTGGTCGCATTTCATGTACTTTTGTTTGGCTATCGTTTTCATAGCAACCCCAATTGAGATGTTGAAATTGGGCTGGTCGACGACCTATCTCATGGGTTCATGATACTAACCGTGCTTTAGTCGTGGTGTGAACGGTGGCACCCCCCATCCTACTCTTTGTGGGCTGGCGCCATCGGGGTGCATCGCATCTCATTCAGGGGCTTGCCAACCATCAAGTGAGGTTTATCGGTCACCTCGAAGCCCATTATGGACGAGAAGAAACCCTCATTAGAGGGCGATGGGGGCGTCATGCAGCAAAGCTACCCCTCTCCGATGGTAGACACCGCGGAGACCCAATACTATGAGCAGCTAGGACAGCATCGAGACCTTGATCCTCACATGGCGCACCAGGTGTCTCAGGAAGAGCAACACCATAGTTTACCCCTGACGACAAACCAGCAGGGCCAGCATGAACACCATGAACTTCACCAGCTCCAAGAACTCCAAGACGCACCTATGCCCCATCAGCAAAACAACCGCCCGCAGGACAACGCGGACGAACTTCAACTGGCAGCTCAACTGACACAAGGCCTCGCGCCAATGATGGACGCTGCCATCCACAACCATGGCCAAGAACAGCAGACCTCGATGCCCCAGCAAGAGGAACACAACGGCCAGGCACAGGCCGAAGAACAGCCCGAGCCGAACCTCCAGGAGCAACTCGAGGCGTCACTAGAACACCATGAACGTGAGATGCAGTCGAGAGAGCATCAGTACGGGGGCGGCCATGGGCATCAGCTCCAGAACCACGATCTACAAGAGGTTATATCGCCGCATTCTGCTCCACCTCATCAACATCATCACTACGAACAGGGTGGGACGCCGTCCTCACAGCTACCGCATCAGATGTCCATGGAGCATCTTTCACGGCCAGTGAATGCCCCGTACCCGCCAGGGGATCCCACACCGCCCCGGAAACGGTCCAAGGTGTCACGGGCTTGCGATGAGTGCCGCCGGAAGAAGATCAAGTGTGATGCCCAGTCAGAGGCCACCGAGGAGCCGTGCTCGAACTGTCGCCGAGCAAATGCACAGTGCTTGTTCAGCCGGGTGCCGCAAAAGCGGGGGCCTAGCAAAGGGTGAGTCGAGTCTCAGTGCCTGCTATTCATTTAGGCCGGGGAGCTATTGTGCTCTCTCTTTCTGTTTTGAAAATTCTTCTCTCTAGCTCGATCTCACACGTAGCAGGTACATCAAAGAACTTGCCGATCGCATCAACACCATCGAAGGCAAACTCAACACCGGAGCCGAGGGTCTTGACAGGAGATCGTCAAGCGAAGCATTTGCATCTCCCAGTCTAGCCGACGGCGACAAGAAGCGGCCCTTTACTAGCATTTCAGGCGAGGGTTTCCCAACTCCGCCGCAAAATCGCGTTGCGCCGACCCAGCTTTCCGACCACAAGCCAATTCTGCCAAACATCCCACCAGATTACCAACCCCCCCCTCCCGCACTCCCAATGGATGTCGAGGAGAAAGTGGCCGAGACGGCCCAGAACACCAACCAAGCGAACGTCAGCGGTGCTGCAGAGGACCAGCCCGAGCCGATGGATGGAATTGAACAAAACGGCGTGCCCGTAGAGACGGAACAGCCAGTAAAGAGGCTGTCGCCGGGCATTGAAAACCATTATTTCGACAAGTAAGTAGTGGCCGGCAACACGCTGCCAACTTGCATTTGAACTTGCCATCGCTGACGGTCATCAGGTATCTCGAGGTCGTTCACCCCATCTTGCCGTTCTTGCCGAGCACCAAGGCCAAGCTGCTGTCTCTTATGCGGCGGGTGCCAACGGCCCTGGAAGATGCATTCAGCTTTGCATTTGTTGCTATGCTTGAGCCTTACATTGAGGACAATGTCACTGTTCCTGCCCGCAAAGGGCTGGGCCTCCTCGACGAGTGGGATTCGAAGGCAACCCAACCCAATAGCCTCACCGACCTGGTTTCCCTGCAAATCTTGGTCATGACCCTCCTCTCTCTGGATCAGCAGTTCACTCCCAACCCCCGGGCGCGGTACGGAACGGTATCCAAGGCCCAAGTTCTCGGCCGAGCAGTCATGCTTGGATATTCCATGAAACTGTTCAACCGGACGGTTGATCTCAAGATGGATGAGGACAACGAGCCGGACTCGATTCGTAATGTGGGACTGCGCACCTGGTGGGTTCTCATCACACTCGACCACTGGCACGCCTTCAGCATGGCGGTGCCCCCGTTGGTCATCGAGTCGTTGAGCGTCCCGTCGGTTCGACTGAAGAATTTACTCGGAGACCAGGCGTTCTACTTCATGCGTGAGTTGCCCCAGAGCGAGCGCCCTTACTACAAGCATCATTTCACTGACTGACTCGTCGACCCATCAACAGAGGTCTCTGCCGTCGCGCCCCCGTTTCTGCACACCATGCTCAGCCCAGCACTTGACTGCACAAACGAGCAGAGGGCCTCGATGGGCTTGGTGGCCGCGCACTGCCTTCGGATGCTCGACGCGACTTTCCCCACTCCTCCTGTCGGCGGCCCGGCCCCTTTCTTGGCCTACTGGCACTTCCGGCTCGTGGGCGAGCTTCTTGCAGCGAGTGGAACGCCTAGCAGCGCTAATATCCTCCAAGCCACGTCCAAACTCTACGAGATACTCGCCACCGTGCACAACTTCCTCTCGCCCATCACTCATTACTTCTTAGTCATCATGGTCCTGGGTATGATTGAGCTCCTCCGCTTCCCCGAGACACGGGACGCCGGTGTTAGCTTGATCCGCGAGTTGCTCGCCTTCAAATTCGCCAAGACGTCGTGGGACGTTGTCATCTGCAACCAGCTCGAGAAATACCTGAATCTCCATGTCCCGTCGGCGCAGAACCCGGGCTCTGCCAGCGCCGCCACCGAAGACGCTTCCGGTACCCCGACCGTAGATGGCCATAACTCCGGCGAGACCCAATCGCAAACCCCCGCCCCCGAGCCCCTCAATGTCCAGGCTCTCCTGGTGGGTGGTTATTTCTCGTGGTTCACGGAGAGAGAGGATGGCCAGCCCCTGTTCAATTAGGAAACCGAAAGTGGGACTGGTGATTTATCTTCCTGTGAATCCGACGATAGCGAGACCGAAGATGACGAACCCGCGACGCCCTCGGATATGCCTGGTCTTACCGAGGAGGATATCGAGTGGCATGGGCGTTTCTGAGCACCCCTTACGCGTTTCCTCTTAACGACGATGGATATCCAGGGTGGCACCAAGGAACGGAAACGCGAAGAGAAGGAGGTGGCCACCAGGGAGATGGACATTTGGCGCGGTGCCTTTATTTGGGATCACTTCATTCCCCTCCAGTTGCCGTGCAGCGGCGCTTTTTTTTTCCTTTGTTTTTTTATTTTTTTTTTCATTGGGTTCCAGGAGGGCTGGTATACCCGAGGCGAGGTCAAGGCAGACTTGAGGGCTCTTATGAGTCCTACTTGCCGGTTGCCTATCTTTGCGGGTTGCTTGATTTGCATTTGGTGCTTTTTTTCGCCGAGAGCCACGTGATACCCGGGGCGAAGTCAAAGCAGGTGCGACGGACACTGATTATGGGTCCTACTTGCCATTACTTCGAGGGTTACTGGTCTACATTTGGTGGTTTTCACCGAGAGCCTTGGGCTATCCGGGGCAGGCGTTACGCACTCTACGGGTCCTACCTGCCGGTTATCTTAGTGAGTTAGTTGGTTTATGGGCGGTGCTTTGTCATCGAGGGCCACAAGTATACCCAAAGCAAGGCGAAGCAGGCAGGTGCTACGGGCTGGACTTTATGGGTCCTGTGTGCCGTTTACCTCAACGAGTTGGCTGGTCTGCATTTGGTGGTTTTCACCGACGGTCATGGCGCAAAAAAGGAGGGAAAAAAGGCACCGACGAGAAGGAAGGGAAGTCGGGTGGTGGCGAGCAGAAACATCATGTCCTCCACCCGGGGGGTTTCTGCTGTGTAGAGTAGGAGGGAGCTATTTGTGTGTCCCGCTCACGATTCGGCTGAGGGAGGGTGACCTCCTGAAACGAAAACTGGTTGGGGTAAGTGGACCACCAGCTTCATGTAACGTAACTATGTACATATATATCAAGTCGATGCCTTCATTTGAAATCCTCTGTCGTGAGTCGGTTGTCAAAGCCGGGGCTCGTTCACTTTGTTCATCTGTGTCACAAATCTATCAACGTCTTAAGCCAAAGTTAAGTCGGCTCCGTGCCAGATATAAAGGCTGAATACCAATAGCCCATCTCGTCGCCAGTAAACCACACGGACCGGGAATCACGCAACACATAACGATTGGGGGGGCGTCTGACGTTATTATCGTGAACGCTACCCGGTCCGAGTACTTCGTTGGTCAGGTAGTCAACTAGTTCTGGAACGCATCATCATCGGAACCGGAAATTTAGCTGTGTCTCACAATGCGCCGGCCCACCGACCGACCGACCCAGCTCTCGGTCGATCGCTTCCTCTCCTACCGACCGGGCTTCGTGTCTTCAAACTCGGCCTCGGTCACCGAGTCGAACCCCTAGTGTACGGGGTCCCCACTCCCCACGGGCCGACCGGAACGGCTGACATTAACGGTGGGTGAGGTTCGTCCTCCAGCCTTGGCCTTGTTGATGCCGGGTGACTAAGACAATCTTCATGGGGTTGGACGGCTGGACTTGGCATTTCTGTCCTTTTCAACAAGGATGAAATAACTACACGTTTACATCGTGGAGGAGTGTATCATTCTCCGCGGATAACCTGCGATCGAGTCTCCAGCCTGACAGGGGCGGATGGATAATGATTTTCCCTGCATGTCGGCAAGTGGGCGAATCCCGATCTGGGCTGGGCCAATGCCACGGATGTGACGTCGGCTGGCTGGACCCTTGTCTTTTTTTCGGGGTGGCTTGGCTTGCTTGGGGCCCAGAACGGAATTGCCCGAAGTTTTCACGGCTGGTGGAAGAATATTCTTTTCGCGAATCGCGGAAAAATAGCCGGGTTGTGGGATCGGGAACTACCGTCCTTTTCGATGTCTGCAACCTCGTTGAAATTTGGGCCGATGTTCGTCAGGTACGGAGCACGTCAGATTCTGGAAAAACCTTGATTCCGGGTTTTGTTCACCGCCGGCCGGTCAGTCACCCGCCTCAAATTCACGGGAGCCCGTGATGTGTGGGCCACAAGCCGCTGCGCTGCACACATCGCTTACTGTGTAGGTAGTGTAAAAAATACTGAACCCACGTATCATGTGGTTTTCCGAATACGCATGATCGATTCAACTTTCGGTGGAAGCAACCCCCAGAATCCCATTTGTATCCCTGGTCAAGCGCACGCGATATCTTCCCCAACATGGAGAGGGGCGTCCAACTGCCCAAACGACAACGACCCAGGATGTCAAACCCCGGAACCCGTATCCCAAGGCCTCGAACCGAATTTCCAACTAATGATTACGTACGAAGCAAAATAAAATAAAAAATAGAAAAGAATTCGGGAGGTGAGTCAGTGATCTCAGTTGCTATAACGTGAGCGCCTGGCGGAATTGGAAGAAAATTATGTAACACAGCTCTGCCACGTTCTCGGCACTTCAACTCTCTGTGGAAACCTTCCAGCCATGCTTGGCCCAAGCAGAAGAGCCCCTCTCAACCTCCTCCACTAACACCAGATTGTCCAGCCCGTCATCCCCCACGGGGAAAAGGAAAATTGGCCATCAGGAACGATGCAAGAAGCCGTCCACTCATGTGAGATCGATTACGTACGCAGCCGAGCGGAAACGCAGGAAAACAGCAGCAGAACGTTAAAGCGGAGCCCTCCATGACCTCTCTTTTCACCTTTCCAGGTTCTCGGTGTCCGCCTCCTGCCGACATACACTAGTTAGCAGGCCCGCGCCAACCAGAGAGCAAATAGTTACGGCAACTCTTGGGGCTCCCAAAACCTAAGACTGGGCTTTCTCAAAAGTCCCCCCACCTACTTTGTCAACCTTGGAAGTTGGGGGCGTTCGTCAGATTCGCGAAACAAGAATAAACCGTGAAATTGGGTTTCTATTTCCGACGCGCTTTCGTAATAAAACTAGGACCCAAGACACACCGCTTATTCCTGCCCTCCACGCGAGGCTCGCTGCTGCGGCACGCCCGTGTTGCCGTATTGTTACCCTTTCGCCCCCACTAATCAACTAACGTTAGCTGCGCCGCCGCGCCTCCGACCGCCGCGAAGCCCCGGGATATCCGCGGCGCCGCGGTGATCTCGGTGTGGATTGAGGGCTGAAGCCGAGGATGCCGAGCTCTTTTCTTAGTCAATGGGTCTGGCACATTGAAAATTACGGTAGGTGTGTGATGTACGGTGTAATACCGTTAGCCAGAGTGTTTTGATGATTACCTAATCTACTTCGTTTTCCCGTTTCGAGGTCGCAACGTCAGGAGAGGAGCGGGACAAACAGTTGTGTTGAAGATATTCGGTACTTAACACGTCTTAGGCTGGGATTAGATGTGTTTGTGGAGGCCGGAGACTCACAACATACGCTACGTACCAAATACACCTACACGTGTAGTTGATGTTAAAATAAAACGCCAATGTATTCCGCACACGGCGTCATCCTGTGGAGCTTGTGTTTGCCAATTTTTCTTGTTTGATCTTCAACGTCAACTCCACCACAGAAACAGAGGTCCCACACCCTCTCCAGACAACAGGGATATGCCGGAAGCTCATGAGATTGAGCTTTAAGACTAGTCAAACTAGTGTACACCAACCGTTCCACCATAATTCCCAGAAAAAAATCAACAATAAAGAAGCACCCCATCACAGCTCATGGCTCGTGGTCCACCACCAACTCCACTCCCAACTCCAAACCGGGCTGGCCACATCGGACGATATTTTATCGCCGTAGAAAAGGGGGATCAGCAGAGGTAATCACCGAATAACTAGCATTCAAACTCCTTGACAGGCCTTTTTCAAGTCAAAACTACACTAGCAATGGCTTGACTCGCAACTAACAGCTCTCATCCCTGGCAAGTATCAGAACTGTTTATGAAGGGACTTATAAGTGGGACTGTTAAAGCTTCGAACAGCCACGCAACTACCCCACTGCGACGTGCTGCGGCGTCAGATCTCAATGGTGTACTCCTTGTTATGCTTGAAATGCATGCTCGGTTTGCTTGCTTGCAGAAAATTGTCTATGAGCGAGTCTCTCAGATTTGAAGTATGTTGCATACGGTGGAGTTCAGAACTCTCCATGAGAAGTTAAAAAAAAAAGACGAGGACACACAAAAAAGAAGAAGCGTGATAAAACTTGGAGATAAAATCCATCCAAGTTTGGTTTTCCACCCAGTTTGAAACGTAAATATTGCCAGCGTCGGCATCAACTGCCGCGCGGCTGGTCTGAATGACCACAATGGACAAAAGATTCGGCCAGGCACGACCGGGTTGGTCCGTATCTCAGCTCGCCCACCACCCCCAACAACCAAAGCACCATCGCCTCGTGAAGCGAATAAAACGTAAGCTGACCTTGCCCGAATCCAAAACTTTTTTTTCAACTCTTTATATGAACCAACCCGCCTCCCAAAATAACGCGCGTATGTCCGGCTTGAAATGCATGGGTAATCGAGATAGGACGATCGATGTATGATGCATATGATTTGATGCAAGATAAAATAGATCATGAAGATAAGGAAAGGTCATCATCATGTCGTTTGGATGTTCATCTTAGGAACCCAAAGAAAAATAGGCGTATGGAAAAGAGGAAAAGTCTGGAAAGAAAATATGCCTCCTACGCCTTCTCAGCAAAAATGACCTCTCCCAAACGGACAAAAAGGAAACGAAAGAAACAAAACTGCCTCCCAATTCTATGATTCAGTCCAGGTTGAAACCCGAGTATGCGTAAAATGAAATCACAAAGCCGCCAGGGAACGATAAACATATGCTCCTCATGTCAGGATATGGGGTTTCGGTTGATTGGCGGCCTGCGATCCGTCGCGTCCGAGCGAGGTACTGAACTATTGGCCATCCCAGAGTGAGGGCATGGTGCTCTCGGTTGGAGAGTCCGTGAGGCCTGGCATCCCGTAGTCATTCATCCAATACGCCGGGTCGTCTTCTAATGATGCGTTGTTGAGACCGTTGAAAGTTGGCGCATTGGTGTTCAGAAGGGTCGGGTCGTCGCCGACCTGGGTGGCCGGGGTTGGCAGGAACTTGCTCGCGTCCTTCCTCATGTAGGTGTAATCGTCCACGTCCACGTCCAGGTTGGTGAGATCTGTGCTACCGAGCAAGTTGACCTGAGCGTTGGGAAAGCCGTAACCGTTAAGTGAGGGGGTGCTTTGGAAGATGTCAAAGTCGTCTAGCGAGTTTGACAAGAAATCCTCAACCTCCGAGACTTCACCCGATGTCGAAGTGGTGGTCGTCATGGTGGGTATCTCTGACCCAGAGAAGTCAAACCCGCCATAGCTCTGCGCCTGGCTGAAGTTTGAGGGCGCAAAGTCGGCGGTTTTCCCGGCGAGTTCCAGGCCTTCGTAGTTACTCCAGTCAACCGAAGCTGCGGTGGCACTAAACAGGGGCGGTTCGTATTCCGGCGACTGGGTGCCAAAGAAGTCGGTTATCTTTGGAATGAAAAGATCAAGCTGGGGGGGCAGCTGGGGATGGATCTGGAATGCAGAAGACCCATCCAACAGGGGCGAGGTGGCCTCCGACTTAACCTTGCGTTGCGCCTGGCTCATGTCTACGCTGCTCGCGGATGCAAGATCGGAGTCACCACCCGTGCTGGCTCCCGTGCTGGCACTAAAAAGGTCATCCATAGATCGGTTCCTCATGCTCGCGGCGTTGGTCATAGAGCTGCTGCGACTAAGCTGGTACGGGCCGCATTTCTGCGAAACCTTGGCGTGCTTGTACGTTGGCCTGTGGTGACCATTCGCGTCGAAGGAAAGCACAGCGTCCGAGTTAGTCGTGTTGGCACGGCGTCTCGCGCGGGAGTTCGGCTTGGAAACCTTGGGGTGAGCTGCAACGGGCTCATCGGAATCCGACTCGGGGACTGTGTCAAGTTTGGGTTCCCTCTTGTGAGAGCAACTGCAGCGGCCGCCATGATTGCAGCAGCAGCTTTCTACACGCAGGAAAAAGTCAAGAGTTAGAGAGGAGGAGAGGCTTGATCAATGAGGCACGACAGCGCTCACCCTTGTGACCGTCGAGTACCGGCCGCAGGTGTACGCACTTGTGCGTCTTCTCGCCGCAATCGCACTTGACGTGAGTCGAGCGCGACTTGCGCATTGCTCGGCAATGCTGGCATTGCGAAACTGGCCGTCCCTTCTTGTTGATGTGTTGAAGCGGCCGATCTAATTTTTTGAAAAAAAGTCGTCAATTCTCACATTCTTGATCTACTGCTCATCGTGTTCTTTGAGTTTCCCCCACTACTGGACGGAGGACCTAGTTGGGGAAGCGGGCTGCAGGGACATTGAGGGGCAACTCCGTCTGTGCAGAAGACAACCCCACCATGAAGCTCCCCGCCAGTTGTGTTGTTTGCAACAGCTGCAGAAAATCCAACTGCCCCTCGGTTGCAGCCGGCCAAAGCAACCGAAGTAACCAACGTGCCGGCGCATTGCAGCAAAGCCATGGAAAACACAGCAAGCGCATGCAGGGGGGAAAGCATGCGAAAATCACTCACCGTGATGTTGACAGTTGCTAACGCGGTGCCCTCGCACGCAGGCTTCGCAAGCCCACTTTTCTCCGTCGATGAGCATGGCGGATGAGTCGCAATTGCAACCAGTTGTGCTTGCTTTCAGTAGTCTCCGGGGGGAGGACTGTAGCTTTGCGACGAGAGTTCGGAGCAAATGCCCGGGTCTTGGGACACTTTCGGTGGGTTGTGTTGTCGCAGGGGCTGACTAACCAACGCTGTCCGAGGAACTTCAGCCGGTGGTGCGAAGAAAAATGTGAAAAAAAAAAGACCTGAGGGCGCGGCCGTGAACGACGGGGGTGGCGCTTCGAGACAACGAGGGTCGCAGAAAACGCCGCTTAGAGGCTCATTGCTGGGGGTATCGCCCGACCAAAAACATCGGTACAGGTCTACCGGTGACTCCGAACCGAAGCCAGAAGCCAGGTGGTGTTTGTTGAGGAACTCGGGAAAAAAAAAGACGTTCAAAAACAGGACAAGAAACGCGCTGGCCGGGAAAATGAAAATAAAATAATGTGGGATGAGTGGAGATTGGGGGGTGCTGGCCAGTCGAAAGGTGTGCCCGTCGACGGCTTGCTCTGTGGAGCTTCGGTGCGTTCAACTACTTGTAAGTCACCTGTGTGTCCGGTGGGACAGGAGCTCCGAGGGGACGACGGGGGTCGAGGTTGGTTAAACGCGATGGGCGGCCGGAGGGTGGTCGCAGGGCAGAGTGGAGATTTTCAGGGCAAACCGAAGGAGACGGGATGAGCCTGTATCGGAAACGTTCGCCTTGAGAGCCGGCTGAGCATTAGGTCAGCGAATTGCGTCTGGCATGGGAGGGTGTGAAGAGCCAACCGACAGCCGAAACACGAAGATGGCAGGCAGCTGATGGCACTGGCGGCACTGGCGGCACGGCTTTCCAAGCTCGCGAGCGTGCTGGTGGCCAACAGAGGTAGCAGAGAGCGGCGGGCGAACTTCTTCCGGAGTATTTGTAGCGAGGCTAATTGCTGGAGCTGGAACGATGCTGCCGTTGCATGACGTGCAGAAATAAACGCTAGTTAAAAGGGAAGCCCCACGACAAGGGCGAGGAGCTTCGGATGTATAAAGAGGGAAGCCTCTTCGATAGAGCAGAGCAATAGCAAGAAAGGGTAAAGGACCGAGATTGGTTCAGGGCTCGGCATTCGCTCTTGGAAACTGGAACTGATGGTGCGAGACTCGGAGCACGGCGAAGGGAGGTGGGCTCCTTATGAAGTGGTTCGGCCCGGGACGTGGGACTGCAAGTCTGCAAGCCTTCTTCACCTTTCATCAGGGTCGTCGTGGGATTCCACATGTGGATGCTCTTTGCAAACGGGGGTGGACGGAGAACTTGTGGCTGCTGCACTGATCCAACGTGCCCAGCAAGCCAAGGCCCCGGTGCGAGTGACGAAACGGGAGCCAGATCGGGATGGGCTGCGCTTGGCGGGGGTACATGGCTGGACAAAGACGACGGCGTGCGGGAGTCAGAAACGCTAGGACGCCGACCAAGCGCCTTGTGTCTGAATACATCAACCCCCAAGTTTCTGCAGTGTCTCCCGCAAATGAGCGCAGGGCTGGCTCAACTGGTTGGTCGCATTTTCCTCGGCGAGGAACGGGCCCGCGGGGACGCGGGTTTCCTCGAAGGGATCGACCAGCCAGCAGCCAAATGCTCGCTGACCAGGGGAACAGTGGAGGAGGACTGAGAGAGGCCTGACCTCGAATTGCGAGAGCGGGAGCCCTGCCGCAGCTTAGCTTGGTGGGTGTGCGTGGGCGTGGGCGTGGACGTGGGCGTGGTGGAGACCGAAGGCGACGACGAGTCGAGAGCAAGGGGGAGTGAGGGTGAGGGTGAGAGGACAACGGCCTTCTGGGGCTTGCTGTGGTAACGTGAAGAGCGGCGGCTCATTGGAGGATTGGAGGAAACGTTCGGCTGAGCGGGCAAGCGCAACCCCAGGGGCTCCAAGAATGCTTTGCCCCAAGCGTCTTCTTCCCACTTTCCTCAGACAACGGCTCCTTCCTCACTCGGTCGGCCATTTGGGCCTGACAGGCTTCTGCACAGGGCAACTGCGCAAAAACTCGAGTTGTATGAGGTCGTACCCCCGACCTCTCTTCGTCTCTGCGTGCCTACTTCCAATCTCACTCATCATTCGGTCCAAAACTCTTGACCCGGGGAAACGTCGGGAAACCCCGGCGCTTCCGGCGCATCGCTTGTGTGAAAAGTGTGTTGGAAATGCCTTTCACACCCGAGGGGATGGGAACGTGATCAAAGCAGAGCAAAAAAAGACTGCCGCATATCCTTCGAGTTTCTCCCCCACCACCATCAGCTCCTCTCGACTTGGTTTGGTAAAGTTCCGAGGACCGGCCAGCCGGCTGGAGTTCTTGCCGTGACACTGGTCGTCGCTGCTTGCGCTTTGCGAGGGGCTCGGCGCCATCACGGGCATCGTTGATAAAGACCCCAGCAGACGAGTGGGGTCCTGTCCGTTTCTAGAGGTGTCTCCACGGCGGGCGCATCTCGAGACACCGGTAAAAAAAACCAATCAAAAAAGAACAGCAAGCCGGAGCAATTGCGACAGAATGGCTGGTGACAATCTCGGCCATCTTTGAGTCCCTCCATTTCTTCTTCTTCTGGGCAATAGCCTTGGCAGGGCCTGACGGAAAAGACTGAGACAGACACAGACCCAAGCAAGGTGTTGTTGGGCTGAGCAGCGAATGAGTTGAGGGGCGGTTCAAAGTTTGAGAAAACGCATCGGGCTCCTTAGCAAAGCTGACCAACCTTCGACGGTCACCAAGTGCAACTCAACTCCCCTGACTCTGTGCTTGATTGAGTCCCAGATGACGCGCTTTTCTCCAACAGCTGCGTTGCGGGCCAGCCACCACACTCAACACCAATAATCACGGCTGATGGGCGTGAAACACCCAACTTGCAGGATCGAGTGTCCCCGGACGAGTCTCTCGTCACGTCTGGCAAGATGCTGTGGTTGGTGAGACCGGTCGGTTTCTTCTGACCTCTCAGTTTCACGGCTGCCCCGCGCTGGCAGATTCAGTCCCCAGGTCTTCCCCCCTGGGCAAGCTTTCGACACAACCACCCCGCCAATTCGGCAGACTCGCCATCTAACTAAGGCGGCTGTGTCAGAGCCCCCGGCCCAGCGGCTCCGCGAGAAGGTGGGAAAGAGACAGTGAGAAGAGGGGTCGAAGGGACCAAGCCCCGCGTTTTTGCAGACGCCAGGAGGTCGACACCAGAGGATGGGGGGTAAACGCTAGACTCTGGGACGTTGGTTGCTGCGATATGCCCAGCTGAGCAAGAGTTGTCGGGATCATTCCACATGAGTGAACGGTTTGACAACGAGTGCAGGTGAACAAGGACGCCGAAAGGGTCAGCCGCAACAGGCCGCTTCCCCACGGCCGACAACTTTGAACGAAGCCTCTTGGCGTGCTTGGGGAAGGTTACTTTTCACTCCACGTGAAATTGAGCCTTCGCTTCCGCCTGCAAGCTCGAACTCTGCAGGAGGTCGATTAGAGGCAAAATGCCCATATTGCCAGCCGCCGCCGAGCCGCGCCGATCGTTCCGTTCTCCCAATACGTGAACGGCGGGTTCTAGCGATAAAGTCGGGCAGCCTGACAACACCGAGCATGGCTTGTGACAAGATTCGCCGTGTAATGGCTACGGTTACTTGTTGTTCGACCGGATCAATCTCCAGTGACAGCCAAGAAAGATCGACTGCAAGTCTTTGAGACTGCCAAGGGCTTGGGTTCTCTCTCTCCAGGCCGTTCGTCCATATTTGTATTCTCGCCGACTCAATCCCGAGGCGCGGACCCTCCGGAAATCGTCCGCGCGCTTCTTTCGTTTCATCTCGGGGAGAATTGTGCAAGGTGCTCTGTGTTGAGCAACGGTCTCGGCATCCGCAATTGGCTTATCATCGGGATCGAGAAATCGGCTTGGCGTGGCGCCGAGTATCACGTCGATCACCGTGCGGAAGGATGTCCGGAGTCGGGGCGGACTGTTTTATTTTATTCTCCAATATTAGTTATTTCTTGTAACAAGTCTCCAGCAGGACTCGCCAAAAGAGGCTTGCTGAGGCAACTGCGACGTGGCCCAGCAGTGCCGTGGGGTTGCAGAAACAGAAGGAGCAAAGAGGAGCCAGGGCAGGCAGGGTCTGCAATGAGCGAGCGAACCCCATCAGGTCCGTTCGACGGCCCTAGTCCGCATAAAATTTTTCATGTCGCCCACAGATGGACCTCACCAAATCTCCCTCGCTCGCGCAAGCCATGCAGAGGGACTCTTTGGGCATACTTCGACTCCTCCGTGATGCCATCCATGACATACACACCGGCGAGAGGAGGCGCTGACGACCTTTTCTGAGTGGCCCAGCCCACGCTGGTCGCTTTCAACCTTGGTTTGGTTGGCAAACCGTTGGCTTGGATTGGACCAAATTGCAAGTCATCTGCATCACCACACGACGGCCCCGAGCCCTCCTCCGCCTTGCAATCCCTTCCGCCTCCGTTAACCTCTCAGTAAAGAGGATGAAGGGGAATGAAGAGGACGAGAAAGAAGAAGCCACTCACCGGGGTTCTGGGACTCCAACACGCTGCGTTGAATCTCCCCCAACAAAGTGCCCGATGGACTCGACCAACGCCCATTCGCCCACTCAATCGCCCGAACCTCCCGGTCCTGTGGCCGTGAGGCGCCGGGCCAAGATCGGCCCCTCGCATTAGATGTCGCTCGAACGACTAGAGAGATGACCGCCACAAAGAAGACCGACACTCACTCATCAAACGCACTCGCGCACCCCACGCCGTGGTTCATGAGGGCGTAGGACTACGCCGGTAGCGCAGCTCCCTGTGTCCTGGAGACCGGCGTGGCCTCGGACAGAAGGCTCGTGAAGTGGAAACGAAAACATCATCCTAAGCTATCATGGCCGCACCTGACCCTGGGAACTGCTAGTTGCACACATACAATTCCAGCCCAACAAACGTCACACTTCTGGGCGCCCCGCCCTGGTGTACCTTGCGTGCCGCCGGGTTGGCTACATACTTCCTTTTTCGCTGTTCTCTGGAGGAGTATACCGATTCCAACGCCAA